GGACATTGTCAACCGCACCAATAACGCTCTGGAGCGTTTCAACCGGACGTTGAACGAGTCGTTTACGACTTCTCACCCAAGCTTGTTGACATTTGTTGACGTGATCAAGACCAAGTCTCAAAACTATGTCGACCTCATCGAAGACATTCGCCATCAGCGCCAGCAGCCACCTGACCATGCCAACTTGGCACGCGTCGAAGTGCCTGACGACTACTTGCGCTTCGAACCGGAACCCACGCAGGAGTAGCGACACGAACAGATCTAGCTCGTAGGCTAAGTTCAATACAACACCATCCATCCCAACATATACACCGGGTCGCACCATGATATCCCAAATGTGTACCTAAATTTTATCCGTCCTCAAAGTGTCCTAAAAATTCGCCGGGTTGATAGGACGAATCCCAAATGTGTACCTAAATTATAGTTATCCTAACTATGTACCGAAATACAACCTGTCCCGAATATACACCTAAAACGTCGGTTAATGTGTCCGTAATCTGTGCCTAAAACTTACATCCCTTCGGGATTTTTTTTGGGTTTGGGCACATATTTGGGGTGCATTATCCAATACCGTTGACTTGACAGTCAGACGAGCCGGACAGCCGGTCGAGCGGACACGGCTACAGATGTAGTAGACCGTGCCGTTGTAGCCGCTCTTGATACTGTAGGTGTGGTTCTTGTGTTCCATCCAGAAATTTCCCAACTGAGCGCAAGACTGCGCTGAGTCGCACGGAACTCGTGCTCGCAATGACTGGTTAAACGAACAGCATCCTAAATGGTTGGAGAGCAGCACAAGTTTAAGTTGGATAGTACATATTTTTATGTTGCCTTAATGTTGCACTTACGTTGCTGGTATGTTGCATGTTTTGGGCAAAAATATCTCGGGCTTTGCCCAAACACCGTGTATTCCGCCCGAAATATGTGCCCAAATCCACCAAAAAAGTTCATTTTTCGGGATGTTTGGGGCGGTTTGGGTGCACTTTCGGGATGCATTATCAGCTTCCAAGTCAACCGGTGTTGTCCTGGAGGTTAACAGCCACACCTGTGACCCCCCACGTGAAACCGTTATCGACGCTTCGGCCGAGATGAAGGAGATCATCGAGACACTGACCGCAAGCGACATGGCTATGGCTCCGACGCGCGTTTGGTCCACCGCGATGGCGACTCTTCACCGGAAGTACGGCAAGTCGGCGTCCCTTCGTGTGATGGCGAAACCGTCAGCCGTTTCGTTTGTCAAGAACGTTAGACGGGAGTTAACAGGCGGTGACGTGTTCCGTGCAATCGAATTGGAACCCACGTCACTCGTCAGCGCTGATGACGCCCGCCCCTTCCTGCAATTCAGCTATCTCTACGCCCAAGCGGGGAAGCACAAGCGCATGGTGGGGTTCGCCCATCCCGACCTCCTACGGCTGCTCAAGTACCCGAAGAACCCACTTTTTGTCGACTGCACCTTCAAGGCGTGCCCCAAGCCCTTTTCCCAAGTTGCAATAATAATGGGATTCGATCCGGCGTTCGACTTGTACCTCCCGATTTTCTACGTCCTCCTCCAAGGCAAAGAGCAGCAGACGTACTGGCACATGTTGGACATGGTGATCATGCAGTGTGACATGCAAGTGGACCCTCGGACCGTCACCTGTGACTTTGAACTGGGCTTGATCAACGCTGAGCGTGAGCAGTTCCCCGGGGTGCCTCTTGTGGGATGCCTATTCCACTGGAAGCAAGCCTTGCGTCGCAAGATGCTTGACTTGCGCATCCCGGTTGACACGGTTGCTAACGTCATGTCAAGTGGCGTGATCGACGTGTTAACCATCATCACAGTGGACGAAATTATTTCGAAGGGCATCCCGTACGTTCGCAGTCGCATCGATGAGTCTGGCCATCGAGTCAAGTGGTCCACCTTTTGGCGCTACTTTGCCAAGACCTGGATGCGGACGTATGGTCCTTCAACGTGGAACGTCAATACTATTGCTGAGGCAGTGGACATTGTCAACCGCACCAATAACGCTCTGGAGCGTTTCAACCGGACGTTGAACGAGTCGTTTACGACTTCTTACCCAAGCTTGTTGACATTTGTTGACGTGATCAAGACCAAGTCTCAAAACTATGTCGACCTCATCGAAGACATTCGCCATCAGCGCCAGCAGCCACCTGACCATGCCAACTTGGCACGCGTCGAAGTGCCTGACGACTACTTGCGCTTCGAACCGGAACCCACGCAGGAGTAGCGACACGAACAGATCTAGCTCGTAGGCTAAGTTCAATACAACACCATCCATCCCAACATATACACCGGGTCGCACCATGATATCCCAAATGTGTACCTAAATTTTATCCGTCCTCATAGTGTCCTAAAAATTCGCCGGGTTGATAGGACGAATCCCAAATGTGTACCTAAATTATAGTTATCCTAACTATGTACCGAAATACAACCTGTCCCGAATATACACCTAAAACGTCGGTTAATGTGTCCGTAATCTGTGCCTAAAACTTACATCCCTTCGGGATTTTTTTTGGGTTTGGGCACATATTTGGGGTGCATTATCCAATACCGTTGACTTGACAGTCAGACGAGCCGGACAGCCGGTCGAGCGGACACGGCTACAGATGTAGTAGACCGTGCCGTTGTAGCCGCTCTTGATACTGTAGGTGTGGTTCTTGTGTTCCATCCAGAAATTTCCCAACTGAGCGCAAGACTGCGCTGAGTCGCACGGAACTCGTGCTCGCAATGACTGGTTAAACGAACAGCATCCTAAATGGTTGGAGAGCAGCACAAGTTTAAGTTGGATAGTACATATTTTTATGTTGCCTTAATGTTGCACTTACGTTGCTGGTATGTTGCATGTTTTGGGCAAAAATATCTCGGGCTTTGCCCAAACACCGTGTATTCCGCCCGAAATATGTGCCCAAATCCACCAAAAAAGTTCATTTTTCGGTGCACTTTCGGGATGCATTATCAGCTTCCAAGTCAACCGGTGTTGTCCTGGAGGTTAACAGCCACACCTGTGACCCCCCACGTGAAACCGTTATCGACGCTTCGGCCGAGATGAAGGAGATCATCGAGACACTGACCGCAAGCGACATGGCTATGGCTCCGACGCGCGTTTGGTCCACCGCGATGGCGACTCTTCACCGGAAGTACGGCAAGTCGGCGTCCCTTCGTGTGATGGTGAAACCGTCAGCCGTTTCGTTTGTCAAGAACGTTAGACGGGAGTTAACAGGCGGTGACGTGTTCCGTGCAATCGAATTGGAACCCACGTCACTCGTCAGCGCTGATGACGCCCGCCCCTTCCTGCAATTCAGCTATCTCTACGCCCAAGCGGGGAAGCACAAGCGCATGGTGGGGTTCGCCCATCCCGACCTCCTACGGCTGCTCAAGTACCCGAAGAACCCACTTTTTGTCGACTGCACCTTCAAGGCGTGCCCCAAGCCCTTTTCCCAAGTTGCAATAATAATGGGATTCGATCCGGCGTTCGACTTGTACCTCCCGATTTTCTACGTCCTCCTCCAAGGCAAAGAGCAGCAGACGTACTGGCACATGTTGGACATGGTGATCATGCAGTGTGACATGCAAGTGGACCCTCGGACCGTCACCTGTGACTTTGAACTGGGCTTGATCAACGCTGAGCGTGAGCAGTTCCCCGGGGTGCCTCTTGTGGGATGCCTATTCCACTGGAAGCAAGCCTTGCGTCGCAAGATGCTTGACTTGCGCATCCCGGTTGACACGGTTGCTAACGTCATGTCAAGTGGCGTGATCGACGTGTTAACCGTCATCACAGTGGACGAAATTATTTCGAAGGGCATCCCGTACGTTCGCAGTCGCATCGATGAGTCTGGCCATCGAGTCAAGTGGTCCACCTTTTGGCGCTACTTTGCCAAGACCTGGATGCGGACGTATGGTCCTTCAACGTGGAACGTCAATACCAGTGGACATTGTCAACCGCACCAATAACGCTCTGGAGCGTTTCAACCGGACGTTGAACGAGTCGTTTACGACTTCTTACCCAAGCTTGTTGACATTTGTTGACGTGATCAAGACCAAGTCTCAAAACTATGTCGACCTCATCGAAGACATTCGCCATCAGCGCCAGCAGCCACCTGACCATGCCAACTTGGCACGCGTCGAAGTGCCTGACGACTACTTGCGCTTCGAACCGGAACCCACGCAGGAGTAGCGACACGAACAGATCTAGCTCGTAGGCTAAGTTCAATACAACACCATCCATCCCAACATATACACCGGGTCGCACCATGATATCCCAAATGTGTACCTAAATTTTATCCGTCCTCAAAGTGTCCTAAAAATTCGCCGGGTTGATAGGACGAATCCCAAATGTGTACCTAAATTATAGTTATCCTAACTATGTACCGAAATACAACCTGTCCCGAATATACACCTAAAACGTCGGTTAATGTGTCCGTAATCTGTGCCTAAAACTTACATCCCTTCGGGATTTTTTTTGGGTTTGGGCACATATTTGGGGTGCATTATCCAATACCGTTGACTTGACAGTCAGACGAGCCGGACAGCCGGTCGAGCGGACACGGCTACAGATGTAGTAGACCGTGCCGTTGTAGCCGCTCTTGATACTGTAGGTGTGGTTCTTGTGTTCCATCCAGAAATTTCCCAACTGAGCGCAAGACTGCGCTGAGTCGCACGGAACTCGTGCTCGCAATGACTGGTTAAACGAACAGCATCCTAAATGGTTGGAGAGCAGCACAAGTTTAAGTTGGATAGTACATATTTTTATGTTGCCTTAATGTTGCACTTACGTTGCTGGTATGTTGCATGTTTTGGGCAAAAATATCTCGGGCTTTGCCCAAACACCGTGTATTCCGCCCGAAATATGTGCCCAAATCCACCAAAAAAGTTCATTTTTCGGGATGTTTGGGGCGGTTTGGGTGCACTTTCGGGATGCATTATCAGCTTCCAAGTCAACCGGTGTTGTCCTGGAGGTTAACAGCACCCCCCACGTGAAACCGTTATCGACGCTTCGGCCGAGATGAAGGAGATCATCGAGACACTGACCGCAAGCGACATGGCTATGGCTCCGACGCGCGTTTGGTCCACCGCGATGGCGACTCTTCACCGGAAGTACGGCAAGTCGGCGTCCCTTCGTGTGATGGCGAAACCGTCAGCCGTTTCGTTTGTCAAGAACTGGATGCGGACGTATGGTCCTTCAACGTGGAACGTCAATACTATTGCTGAGGCAGTGGACATTGTCAACCGCACCAATAACGCTCTGGAGCGTTTCAACCGGACGTTGAACGAGTCGTTTACGACTTCTCACCCAAGCTTGTTGACATTTGTTGACGTGATCAAGACCAAGTCTCAAAACTATGTCGACCTCATCGAAGACATTCGCCATCAGCGCCAGCAGCCACCTGACCATGCCAACTTGGCACGCGTCGAAGTGCCTGACGACTACCTGCGCTTCGAACCGGAACCCACGCAGGAGTAGCGACACGAACAGATCTAGCTCGTAGGCTAAGTTCAATACAACACCATCCATCCCAACATATACACCGGGTCGCACCATGATATCCCAAATGTGTACCTAAATTTTATCCGTCCTCATAGTGTCCTAAAAATTCGCCGGGTTGATAGGACGAATCCCAAATGTGTACCTAAATTATAGTTATCCTAACTATGTACCGAAATACAACCTGTCCCGAATATACACCTAAAACGTCGGTTAATGTGTCCGTAATCTGTGCCTAAAACTTACATCCCTTCGGGATTTTTTTTGGGTTTGGGCACATATTTGGGGTGCATTATCCAATATCCACAACAGCTACAGTCAGACGAGCCGGACAGCCGGTCGAGCGGACACGGCTACAGATGTAGTAGACCGTGCCGTTGTAGCCGCTCTTGATACTGTAGGTGTGGTTCTTGTGTTCCATCCAGAAATTTCCCAACTGAGCGCAAGACTGCGCTGAGTCGCACGGAACTCGTGCTCGCAATGACTGGTTAAACGAACAGCATCCTAAATGGTTGGAGAGCAGCACAAGTTTAAGTTGGATAGTACATATTTTTATGTTGCCTTAATGTTGCACTTACGTTGCTGGTATGTTGCATGTTTTGGGCAAAAATATCTCGGGCTTTGCCCAAACACCGTGTATTCCGCCCGAAATATGTGCCCAAATCCACCAAAAAAGTTCATTTTTCGGGATGTTTGGGGCGGTTTGGGTGCACTTTCGGGATGCATTATCAGCTTCCAAGTCAACCGGTGTTGTCCTGGAGGTTAACAGCCACACCTGTGACCCCCCACGTGAAACCGTTATCGACGCTTCGGCCGAGATGAAGGAGATCATCGAGACACTGACCGCAAGCGACATGGCTATGGCTCCGACGCGCGTTTGGTCCACCGCGATGGCGACTCTTCACCGGAAGTACGGCAAGTCGGCGTCCCTTCGTGTGATGGCGAAACCGTCAGCCGTTTCGTTTGTCAAGAACGTTAGACGGGAGTTAACAGGCGGTGACGTGTTCCGTGCAATCGAATTGGAACCCACGTCACTCGTCAGCGCTGATGACGCCCGCCCCTTCCTGCAATTCAGCTATCTCTACGCCCAAGCGGGGAAGCACAAGCGCATGGTGGGGTTCGCCCATCCCGACCTCCTACGGCTGCTCAAGTACCCGAAGAACCCACTTTTTGTCGACTGCACCTTCAAGGCGTGCCCCAAGCCCTTTTCCCAAGTTGCAATAATAATGGGATTCGATCCGGCGTTCGACTTGTACCTCCCGATTTTCTACGTCCTCCTCCAAGGCAAAGAGCAGCAGACGTACTGGCACATGTTGGACATGGTGATCATGCAGTGTGACATGCAAGTGGACCCTCGGACCGTCACCTGTGACTTTGAACTGGGCTTGATCAACGCTGAGCGTGAGCAGTTCCCCGGGGTGCCTCTTGTGGGATGCCTATTCCACTGGAAGCAAGCCTTGCGTCGCAAGATGCTTGACTTGCGCATCCCGGTTGACACGGTTGCTAACGTCATGTCAAGTGGCGTGATCGACGTGTTAACCATCATCACAGTGGACGAAATTATTTCGAAGGGCATCCCGTACGTTCGCAGTCGCATCGATGAGTCTGGCCATCGAGTCAAGTGGTCCACCTTTTGGCGCTACTTTGCCAAGACCTGGATGCGGACGTATGGTCCTTCAACGTGGAACGTCAATACTATTGCTGAGGCAGTGGACATTGTCAACCGCACCAATAACGCTCTGGAGCGTTTCAACCGGACGTTGAACGAGTCGTTTACGACTTCTTACCCAAGCTTGTTGACATTTGTTGACGTGATCAAGACCAAGTCTCAAAACTATGTCGACCTCATCGAAGACATTCGCCATCAGCGCCAGCAGCCACCTGACCATGCCAACTTGGCACGCGTCGAAGTGCCTGACGACTACTTGCGCTTCGAACCGGAACCCACGCAGGAGTAGCGACACGAACAGATCTAGCTCGTAGGCTAAGTTCAATACAACACCATCCATCCCAACATATACACCGGGTCGCACCATGATATCCCAAATGTGTACCTAAATTTTATCCGTCCTCAAAGTGTCCTAAAAATTCGCCGGGTTGATAGGACGAATCCCAAATGTGTACCTAAATTATAGTTATCCTAACTATGTACCGAAATACAACCTGTCCCGAATATACACCTAAAACGTCGGTTAATGTGTCCGTAATCTGTGCCTAAAACTTACATCCCTTCGGGATTTTTTTTGGGTTTGGGCACATATTTGGGGTGCATTATCCAATATCCACAACAGCTACAGTCAGACGAGCCGGACAGCCGGTCGAGCGGACACGGCTACAGATGTAGTAGACCGTGCCGTTGTAGCCGCTCTTGATACTGTAGGTGTGGTTCTTGTGTTCCATCCAGAAATTTCCCAACTGAGCGCAAGACTGCGCTGAGTCGCACGGAACTCGTGCTCGCAATGACTGGTTAAACGAACAGCATCCTAAATGGTTGGAGAGCAGCACAAGTTTAAGTTGGATAGTACATATTTTTATGTTGCCTTAATGTTGCACTTACGTTGCTGGTATGTTGCATGTTTTGGGCAAAAATATCTCGGGCTTTGCCCAAACACCGTGTATTCCGCCCGAAATATGTGCCCAAATCCACCAAAAAAGTTCATTTTTCGGGATGTTTGGGGCGGTTTGGGTGCACTTTCGGGATGCATTATCAGCTTCCAAGTCAACCGGTGTTGTCCTGGAGGTTAACAGCCACACCTGTGACCCCCCACGTGAAACCGTTATCGACGCTTCGGCTGTACTATCCAACTTAAACTTGTGCTGCTCTCCAACCATTTAGGATGCTGTTCGTTTAACCAGTCATTGCGAGCACGAGTTCCGTGCGACTCAGCGCAGTCTTGCGCTCAGTTGGGAAATTTCTGGATGGAACACAAGAACCACACCTACAGTATCAAGAGCGGCTACAACGGCACGGTCTACTACATCTGTAGCCGTGTCCGCTCGACCGGCTGTCCGGCTCGTCTGACTGTAGCTGTTGTGGATATTGGATAATGCACCCCAAATATGTGCCCAAACCCAAAAAAAATCCCGAAGGGATGTAAGTTTTAGGCACAGATTACGGACACATTAACCGACGTTTTAGGTGTATATTCGGGACAGGTTGTATTTCGGTACATAGTTAGGATAACTATAATTTAGGTACACATTTGGGATTCGTCCTATCAACCCGGCGAATTTTTAGGACACTATGAGGACGGATAAAATTTAGGTACACATTTGGGATATCATGGTGCGACCCGGTGTATATGTTGGGATGGATGGTGTTGTATTGAACTTAGCCTACGAGCTAGATCTGTTCGTGTCGCTACTCCTGCGTGGGTTCCGGTTCGAAGCGCAGGTAGTCGTCAGGCACTTCGACGCGTGCCAAGTTGGCATGGTCAGGTGGCTGCTGGCGTTGATGGCGAATGTCTTCGATGAGGTCGACATAGTTTTGAGACTTGGTCTTGATCACGTCAACAAATGTCAACAAGCTTGGGTGAGAAGTCGTAAACGACTCGTTCAACGTCCGGTTGAAACGCTCCAGAGCGTTATTGGTGCGGTTGACAATGTCCACTGCCTCAGCAATAGTATTGACGTTCCACGTTGAAGGACCATACGTCCGCATCCACGTCAAAAGCGACATGCTGCCGGAGTTACCGCCCAGCGACTCGCCGCTCGAGACCGTCACGGACCCGCTCACCTTGCCCGTGCCGGACTTGGCGCTAGCCATGGACACAGACCCACTGTTCGCACTCGCTCCGGAACCGCTCGAGATCACCACGCTGCCGCCCACGTCCGCTGAACCGACACCGCCGTTGATGTCCACCTCGCCGCCGGTCTTCACACCCGTTCCACCTAGCAGCACCACACGTCCGCCAGCGCTCACGCCGTTGCTGTCCGCCACGTTGCTGTCGCCGCTGCGCACAAGCACGTTGCCGCCCGCGTTTGAGTCGCCCGACCCCACCAGCAAGTCGATGTCGCCCGCTGCGCCCTTCGTCGCGCCCGACGTCACGATGTTGACCGCCCCGGAGTTGCCGCCCAGAGACACACCGGTCGACAACGAGATGGACCCACTGGCCTGGGCGCCGCCCGTAGACAGCGAAATCCGGCCGCTCGTCAGAGCCGTGCCGGACTCCAAGCTCGAGATCAGCACGTCTCCGCTCGCCACGTTCGTGCCGCCGCCACTTTGAACCGCTACATCACCACCTGCAGTCGAGGTTCCTGCGCCTCCGCTTACTTTGACAACGCCGCCCGTTTGACCCTTTCCGCCGGAGACCTCCACCTTTCCGCCCACACCCGACGACGTGCTTGACGACGTGCCAGCAGACAGCGTGATCGCGCCGCTGGCTGCCTTGCCTCCGGCTCCCACGCGCATCGTGATATCACCGCCCTTGCCACTCGCGGAGCCATCCGACGTCGCCACCAACACAGAGCCAGAGTCTCCACTGCTTGCGATGCCGCTCGAGACCGTCACGCTGCCGCTCGTCTGAGCAGAGCCCGAACCCGCCGTGGACACCACCACATCGCCGCTCGTCGCCGTGGTCCCATTGCCGCTGGTAATGCGCACGCTGCCACCAAGTGACGAATCGCCCACACCGCCTGTCAACGTCAAGTCGCCACCTGTCGCGGTACCAGCTCCGCCGCGAACTGCCACCACGCCTCCCTTGCCGCTCACAGCCCTGCTTTGACCGCCGTCCACGCTCACGGAGCCTCCTGTAGCCGCGTCGCCCGAGCCCACGCTCAGAGAGATCGACCCGCTTGCGCCGCCCGTCGAAGCACCCGTCGAGACCGACACCGATCCGGAGCTACCACCGCTCGACGCGCCCGACGACAGCCGCACCGCACCGCTCGTGCTCGTCAGCGCCGTTCCCGATGCCGCGCTCGACACGGCCACATCACCGCTCGTCGCACTGTCCCCGCTGCCGCTAGAGATCAGGACGCTGCCGCCAAGGACCGACGTACCAGATCCCGCGGACAGCTGCACGTTGCCGCCCGTAGCGGTGCCGTTGCCACCCTGCACCGACACTCGCCCGCCGACGCCCTGCTGGTTCACGCTCGTGCCGCCACCGATCTGCACGTCGCCTCCGACGGCAGCGTCTCCCGAGCCCACACGCACGATGATCGACCCGCTGGCACCGCCGTTCGTGCCGCCACTCGCCTTCGACGTCAAAAGCGACATGCTGCCGGAGTTACCGCCCAGCGACTCGCCGCTCGAGACCGTCACGGACCCGCTCACCTTGCCCGTGCCGGACTTGGCGCTAGCCATGGACACAGACCCACTGTTCGCACTCGCTCCGGAACCGCTCGAGATCACCACGCTGCCGCCCACGTCCGCTGAACCGACACCGCCGTTGATGTCCACCTCGCCGCCGGTCTTCACACCCGTTCCACCTAGCAGCACCACACGTCCGCCAGCGCTCACGCCGTTGCTGTCCGCCACGTTGCTGTCGCCGCTGCGCACAAGCACGTTGCCGCCCGCGTTTGAGTCGCCCGACCCCACCAGCAAGTCGATGTCGCCCGCTGCGCCCTTCGTCGCGCCCGACGTCACGATGTTGACCGCCCCGGAGTTGCCGCCCAGAGACACACCGGTCGACAACGAGATGGACCCACTGGCCTGGGCGCCGCCCGTAGACAGCGAAATCCGGCCGCTCGTCAGAGCCGTGCCGGACTCCAAGCTCGAGATCAGCACGTCTCCGCTCGCCACGTTCGTGCCGCCGCCACTTTGAACCGCTACATCACCACCTGCAGTCGAGGTTCCTGCGCCTCCGCTTACTTTGACAACGCCGCCCGTTTGACCCTTTCCGCCGGAGACCTCCACCTTTCCGCCCACACCCGACGACGTGCTTGACGACGTGCCAGCAGACAGCGTGATCGCGCCGCTGGCTGCCTTGCCTCCGGCTCCCACGCGCATCGTGATATCACCGCCCTTGCCACTCGCAGAGCCATCCGACGTCGCCACCAACACAGAGCCAGAGTCTCCACCGCTTGCGATGCCGCTCGAGACCGTCACGCTGCCGCTCGTCCGAGCAGAGCCCGAACCCGCCGTGGACACCACCACATCGCCGCTCGTCGCCGTGGTCCCATTGCCGCTGGTAATGCGCACGCTGCCACCAAGTGACGAATCGCCCACACCGCCTGTCAACGTCAAGTCGCCACCTGTCGCGGTACCAGCTCCGCCGCGAACTGCCACCACGCCTCCCTTGCCGCTCACAGCCCTGCTTTGACCGCCGTCCACGCTCACGGAGCCTCCTGTAGCCGCGTCGCCCGAGCCCACGCTCAGAGAGATCGACCCGCTTGCGCCGCCCGTCGAAGCACCCGTCGAGACCGACACCGATCCGGAGCTACCACCGCTCGACGCGCCCGACGACAGCCGCACCGCACCGCTCGTGCTCGTCAGCGCCGTTCCCGATGCCGCGCTCGACACGGCCACATCACCGCTCGTCGCACTGTCCCCGCTGCCGCTAGAGATCAGGACGCTGCCGCCAAGGACCGACGTACCAGATCCCGCGGACAGCTGCACGTTGCCGCCCGTAGCGGTGCCGTTGCCACCCTGCACCGACACTCGCCCGCCGACGCCCTGCTGGTTCACGCTCGTGCCGCCACCGATCTGCACGTCGCCTCCGACGGCAGCGTCTCCCGAGCCCACACGCACGATGATCGACCCGCTGGCACCGCCGTTCGTGCCGCCACTCGCCTTCGACGTCAAAAGCGACACGCTGCCGGAGTTACCGCCCAGCGACTCGCCGCTCGAGACCGTCACGGACCCGCTCACCTTGCCCGTGCCGGACTTGGCGCTAGCCATGGACACAGACCCACTGTTCGCACTCGCTCCGGAACCGCTCGAGATCACCACGCTGCCGCCCACGTCCGCTGAACCGACACCGCCGTTGATGTCCACCTCGCCGCCGGTCTTCACACCCGTTCCACCTAGCAGCACCACACGTCCGCCAGCGCTCACGCCGTTGCTGTCCGCCACGTTGCTGTCGCCGCTGCGCACAAGCACGTTGCCGCCCGCGTTTGAGTCGCCCGACCCCACCAGCAAGTCGATGTCCCCGGACGCACCCTTCGTCGCGCCCGACGTCACGATGTTGACCGCCCCGGAGTTGCCGCCCAGAGACACACCGGTCGACAACGAGATGGACCCACTGGCCTGGGCGCCGCCCGTAGACAATGAAATCCGGCCGCTCGTCAGAGCCGTGCCGGACTCCAAGCTCGAGATCAGCACGTCTCCGCTCGCCACATTCGTGCCGCCGCCACTTTGAACCGCTACATCACCACCTGCAGTCGAGGTTCCTGCGCCTCCGCTTACTTTGACAACGCCGCCCGTTTGACCCTTTCCGCCGGAGACCTCCACCTTTCCGCCCACACCCGACGACGTGCTTGACGACGTGCCAGCAGACAGCGTGATCGCGCCGCTGGCTGCCTTGCCTCCGGCTCCCACGCGCATCGTGATATCACCGCCCTTGCCACTCGCAGAGCCATCCGACGTCGCCACCAACACAGAGCCAGAGTCTCCACTGCTTGCGATGCCGCTCGAGACCGTCACGCTGCCGCTCGTCCGAGCAGAGCCCGAACCCGCCGTGGACACCACCACATCGCCGCTCGTCGCCGTGGTCCCATTGCCGCTGGTAATACGCACGCTGCCACCAAGTGACGAATCGCCCACACCGCCTGTCAACGTCAAGTCGCCACCTGTCGCGGTACCAGCTCCGCCGCGAACTGCCACCGCGCCTCCCTTGCCGCTCACAGCCCTGCTTTGACCGCCGTCCACGCTCACGGAGCCTCCTGTAGCCGCGTCGCCCGAGCCCACGCTCAGAGAGATCGACCCGCTTGCGCCGCCCGTCGAAGCACCCGTCGAGACCGACACCGATCCGGAGCTACCACCGCTCGACGCGCCCGACGACAGCCGCACCGACCCGCTCGTGCTCGTCAGCGCCGTTCCCGATGCCGCGCTCGACACGGCCACATCACCGCTCGTCGCACTGTCCCCGCTGCCGCTAGAGATCAGGACGCTGCCGCCAAGGGCCGACGTACCAGATCCCGCGGACAGCTGCACGTTGCCGCCCGTAGCGGTGCCGTTGCCACCCTGCACCGACACTCGCCCGCCGACGCCCTGCTGGTTCACGCTCGTGCCGCCACCGATCTGCACGTCGCCTCCGACGGCAGCGTCTCCCGAGCCCACACGCACGATGATCGACCCGCTGGCACCGCCGTTCGTGCCGCCACTCGCCTTCGACGTCAAAAGCGACACGCTGCCGGAGTTACCGCCCAGCGACTCGCCGCTCGAGACCGTCACGGACCCGCTCACCTTGCCCGTGCCGGACTTGGCGCTAGCCATGGACACAGACCCACTGTTCGCACTCGCTCCGGAACCGCTCGAGATCACCACGCTGCCGCCCACGTCCGCTGAACCGACACCGCCGTTGATGTCCACCTCGCCGCCGGTCTTCACACCCGTTCCACCTAGCAGCACCACACGTCCGCCAGCGCTCACGCCGTTGCTGTCCGCCACGTTGCTGTCGCCGCTGCGCACAAGCACGTTGCCGCCCGCGTTCGAGTCGCCCGACCCCACCAGCAAGTCGATGTCGCCCGCTGCGCCCTTCGTCGCGCCCGACGTCACGATGTTGACCGCCCCGGAGTTGCCGCCCAGAGACACACCGGTCGACAACGAGATGGACCCACTGGCCTGGGCGCCGCCCGTAGACAACGAAATCCGGCCGCTCGTCAGAGCCGTGCCGGACTCCAAGCTCGAGATCAGCACGTCTCCGCTCGCCACGTTCGTGCCGCCGCCACTTTGAAGCGCTACATCACCACCTGCAGTCGAGGTTCCTGCGCCTCCGCTTACTTTGACAACGCCGCCCGTTTGGCCCTTTCCGCCGGAGACCTCCACCTTTCCGCCCACACCCGACGACGTGCTTGACGACGTGCCAGCAGACAGCGTGATCGCGCCGCTGGCTGCCTTGCCTCCGGCTCCCACGCGCATCGTGATATCACCGCCCTTGCCACTCGCAGAGCCATCCGACGTCGCCACCAACACAGAGCCAGAGTCTCCACTGCTTGCGATGCCGCTCGAGACCGTCACGCTGCCGCTCGTCTGAGCAGAGCCCGAACCCGCCGTGGACACCACCACATCGCCGCTCGTCGCCGTGGTCCCATTGCCGCTGGTAATGCGCACGCTGCCACCAAGTGACGAATCGCCCACACCGCCTGTCAACGTCAAGTCGCCACCTGTCGCGGTACCAGCTCCGCCGCGAACTGCCACCACGCCTCCCTTGCCGCTCACAGCCCTGCTTTGACCGCCGTCCACGCTCACGGAGCCTCCTGTAGCCGCGTCGCCCGAGCCCACGCTCAGAGAGATCGACCCGCTTGCGCCGCCCGTCGAAGCACCCGTCGAGACCGACACCGATCCGGAGCTACCACCGCTCGACGCGCCCGACGACAGCCGCACCGCACCGCTCGTGCTCGTCAGCGCCGTTCCCGATGCCGCGCTCGACACGGCCACATCACCGCTCGTCGCACTGTCCCCGCTGCCGCTAGAGATCAGGACGCTGCCGCCAAGGGCCGACGTACCAGATCCCGCGGACAGCTGCACGTTGCCGCCCGTAGCGGTGCCGTTGCCACCCTGCACCGACACTCGCCCGCCGACGCCCTGCTGGTTCACGCTCGTGCCGCCACCGATCTGCACGTCGCCTCCGACGGCAGCGTCTCCCGAGCCCACACGCACGATGATCGACCCGCTGGCACCGCCGTTCGTGCCGCCACTCGCCTTCGACGTCAAAAGCGACACGCTGCCGGAGTTACCGCCCAGCGACTCGCCGCTCGAGACCGTCACGGACCCGCTCACCTTGCCCGTGCCGGACTTGGCGCTAGCCATGGACACAGACCCACTGTTCGCACTCGCTCCGGAACCGCTCGAGATCACCACGCTGCCGCCCACGTCCGCTGAACCGACACCGCCGTTGATGTCCACCTCGCCGCCGGTCTTCACACCCGTTCCACCTAGCAGCACCACACGTCCGCCAGCGCTCACGCCGTTGCTGTCCGCCACGTTGCTGTCGCCGCTGCGCACAAGCACGTTGCCGCCCGCGTTAGAGTCGCCCGACCCCACCAGCAAGTCGATGTCGCCCGCTGCGCCCTTCGTCGCGCCCGACGTCACGATGTTGACCGCCCCGGAGTTGCCGCCCAGAGACACACCGGTCGACAACGAGATGGACCCACTGGCCTGGGCACCGCCCGTAGACAACGAAATCCGGCCGCTCGTCAGAGCCGTGCCGGACTCCAAGCTCGAGATCAGCACGTCTCCGCTCGCCACATTCGTGCCGCCGCCACTTTGAACCGCTACATCACCACCTGCAGTCGAGGTTCCTGCGCCTCCGCTTACTTTGACAACGCCGCCCGTTTGGCCCTTTCCGCCGGAGACCTCCACCTTTCCGCCCACACCCGACGACGTGCTTGACGACGTGCCAGCAGACAGCGTGATCGCGCCGCTGGCTGCCTTGCCTCCGGCTCCCACGCGCATCGTGATATCACCGCCCTTGCCACTCGCAGAGCCATCCGACGTCGCCACCAACACAGAGCCAGAGTCTCCACCGCTTGCGATGCCGCTCGAGACCGTCACGCTGCCGCTCGTCCGAGCAGAGCCCGAACCCGCCGTGGACACCACCACATCGCCGCTCGTCGCCGTGGTCCCATTGCCGCTGGTAATACGCACGCTGCCACCAAGTGACGAATCGCCCACACCGCCTGTCAACGTCAAGTCGCCACCTGTCGCGGTACCAGCTCCGCCGCGAACTGCCACCACGCCTCCCTTGCCGCTCACAGCCCTGCTTTGACCGCCGTCCACGCTCACGGAGCCTCCTGTAGCCGCGTCGCCCGAGCCCACGCTCAGAGAGATCGACCCGCTTGCGCCGCCCGTCGAAGCACCCGTCGAGACCGACACCGATCCGGAGCTACCACCGCTCGACGCGCCCGACGACAGCCGCACCGACCCGCTCGTGCTCGTCAGCGCCGTTCCCGATGCCGCGCTCGACACGGCCACATCACCGCTCGTCGCACTGTCCCCGCTGCCGCTAGAGATCAGGACGCTGCCGCCAAGGGCCGACGTACCAGATCCCGCGGACAGCTGCACGTTGCCGCCCGTAGCGGTGCCGTTGCCACCCTGCACCGACACTCGCCCGCCGACGCCCTGCTGGTTCACGCTCGTGCCGCCACCGATCTGCACGTCGCCTCCGACGGCAGCGTCTCCCGAGCCCACACGCACGATGATCGACCCGCTGGCACCGCCGTTCGTGCCGCCACTCGCCTTCGACGTCAAAAGCGACACGCTGCCAGAGTTACCACCTGTTGATGCACCTGATGCTAATGCTAAACTTCCGGTTGTGGAAGATGTGGATGTTTGTAAGCTGATGTCGCCGCTGCGGCCTGGAATTCCTTTACCACTGACGATGATAACGGATCCGCCAGTGGCACTAGTTCCGGATTGAGTGACTGCGTCTGCTGCTGATATCTCGATGTTTCCACCAAGGTTATGACTTGATCCTGCCTCAACTACGACTGAGCCCCCTTGTAATAGAGGATCGGTCGTCGAACCAGCTGAAATTGCCACGGTGCCTCCTGTACCAGCATCACCTGTACCAACGATAATCTGGACAGAGCCACCGCTTCCGCCCGTCGAAGGGGACGTTTCAAGCGCGATATCACCCGAGTTGGCCCCGTTTGCAGATCCTGTTAGAAGGCGAATGTCTCCGGATTCGCTAGTGCTTGCATTGCCAGAAGAGAGACTGATCACTCCTGATGGCCCCACGTTCCCGATGCCTGAACTAATCTCCACTGACCCAGAGGAGGCGTGAGCAGCGATACTATCAGATGAGTGGAGAAGCAGCTTCCCTGAGGCTGCGCCGTAATTACTTTGGCCAGTTTTCACGTCGATATCACCCCCAAGTTGCCAGTTCGATGACCCTGAGTGAATAACCACCTTTGAGCCAGGCTTGTTGTCGAGAGATCCCGCAGCGAGCGACAATTCTTTTGCAGACTGGAGGTTTAAGGACGCAACTTCCGATGATATCGTAGTGGTCTCTCCGAGAAACTGAATCCCGGTGTCGTTGATTCTTAGACGGCCCGCTGAAACACCGCCCGCGGTCGTGGAAATCAATACGTCGGTCGCGATTATTTCGTTCGCTTCGGTCGCTGTCACATCGATGCTCGCACCAGCACGAATGCTCGTACCTGCTCGGACGTCCAACAGAATGCCTGCACCGATGCCATCTACAAAGATGGGCAAGTCGTCGTAAGAAGCACCAGCAAATGGTCGATCAAGAAAAAACTGCGTCGACGTCACTGGTCGAACGGGATCCACCAGATAAGCTCCTCCTGCTAAACGCACAAACGTGCTACCCGAGAGCTCCGTGGACAAGTCCAGCAGCGTCGTAACAGCATCACTGCCATGTACAACCGAAACATTGCCCGGTAACTGGCGGGCCGTGGTCGAGCTGGCATCGGCGAAGTGGCGGATCTGCAGCACCTTGTGCGACGAGGCCGAATTCACCGTGTCGTCATGCGAATGCAAGTGGAATCCGCGCGCGTTCATCGCAGTCTGCAACGTCGTGTCCTCGGCCGTGGAGAACGCCTTCTTCCGAATCTCGATGCTTTCGCCCCCTGTCAGGGCGTGCTGCAGCCCCTCGTCGATCAAAATGGTGGTGTTAGTGACACCCATCACCGTGCGCGCATCAAGCTGCCCGAAAAACACCACATCTCCAACATTCACGAACGCCCTACCACCACACAAAAAAAAACAAGCATCAGCCACCAAACAAGGACCGACACACAGCTTGCATCACCCGAACCTGACGTCATTCGTAGTTGGCACGCTCGTGGCCCCGACCACGGCGCCTGGGCTGTTGACGGAGTCGACATTGCGATACACTTTTCCTGATCTCACCGCTAGTGACGCCGAGCCGTGCACTGGGTGGTTCTTCACCGTCACCTCGCCCACCATGTGATTGTCTGCACGATAGCACAGCACGAGTCAGCACCAGATCGTCACAAACTTCTCCTCAAGTCGTCGACGCACCGAACATGAATGGGTCGCGCGGGTTCGGCTTGGTCGCCACGTCCGCCAATCTGCGCGGCACCTGGCGCGGCACGCTCGGCTTGGCGGCTTCCTGCGCTGCTTGAGGCGGCTGGATCCCCGCCTTGGCCCCTGCGTCTCCCGCGGCCGGCGGTGTCCGCAGCGTGAGCCCCGCAGCCAGCAGGACGAGCGTCCGAAGCGCCCGCATCCTAGTCCTGTTGCTATCTGCCTACTTCTGCCGCTGCTCCTCGCTCTCGTGTTCCTGTGCTCCTGCGCCCTCGTTGCTCTCTGCTCTGCGGGATCGCGAAGTGGCCATGCTTCTATGCTGCGGGCCGTCCGATTCCCATACGGAAAGATTTTAGAAGGATCCGCCCCATGGCATGACCTTTCACGTCCAGGTGGACCGCCCCGGTGTCCTCAATGCGTGTGCGTATCGCCACTGCAGCACGCCACAGAAACTCGGCGACCGACACGGCGCGCGCGCGGGGCTGAGCGGGCGGCGAGGAGGCGGCGCAGGAGCTCGAGTGCCGGGCGAGCAGCTTCTTAAGGCAAACGATTCTGATGTAGTATATTCTGTATGGGCCCTGTGAGTCCTGAAATGCCTCCGTCGGCCGGACGGCGTCAACTCCGGCGACGCTTTTTTGCCTTATTTGCTGCTGCCTGGGCTGTCTCCACCTCCGGCGCGTACCGACCCTTCTGGCTGACGGTGCTCAGCGACGCGGGGCCTGCCTCGACCAGGCCAGAAGCTTGTGTTGGCTGGTCCGGGACGGGGAAGATCTTGAACACCTCCACAATGACTTCGTGGAACAGCACGTAGCTGTGTTGGCAAACCACGAACTGCTCTTTGCCGCTGCTCGGCGCGTGGCCGAATCCGAGAGAGCGGAGTTTGGCGTGGACCAGCTTCTCCGCCCTCACGCTGTCGTCGCGGTCGAGCGCGCCATAGAAAGAGAGCGACGACTCTCCTCAAGCCGGCATGGAAGTAGCCGCCCCCGTCATCTGTGCCGCGGCGCGATCTCGCACACTGGTCCTGGAGGTGCCAGCCTTCATTATCCAGTTGTTCTCCGACCATTCGTTCGTCGCCCTCTTCTCCGAGTTGCAGAGGAGGTTGTAGAGTCCGACGATGTACTTCTCTGGCCCACATAAGAAACAACACTTCGGTTTTCTGGACATAACTATTTACAAAAAAAATCGTTTGGCGACTCGCAATACCTCAACCGAAAGCTGCGCATTTGCTCCGTTTCACGCTATGATTTAAAAAAATTTAGCAGCAGAAAGAAAAGAGAAACAGCCTTTTATCTGAAGTCCGGTTTAGGCAACATTAGGTTTTTTAGCGAGGTGCTGTCAAAAATTAGCGATATTAGAAAATAAAATATCACCGTAATCGCGAGTGACTGCTTTACCCTTATGTTCGGTTGTCAATGTTGTAGCGCCTGTTGGAGACGAGTTAGAAGGGCTACAGTTTTGAGGTTTTTCTACGCGATTATGTGCGGACCCATTTATTTTGGCCAATAGTAAGCTGAAACAGTTGATTATACCCAATCATATGTTACACGTGGTCCACATCAAATTGAGGTTTAATGCCGAATGTTGTTTCTTAAGTGGGCCAGAGAAGTACAGAGCATCGATTATGATGTGAAGCCATTGCCCAAGACTAGTAATTGAGCTTTCAATAAGCTGAGGTTTTATTCCTCGTTAAAACGAAATGCATCATATCAAGTGGGTATTACAGCCAATCACCATTCAGTACAGATTTAAATACGGATTTACCAATCAACTCACACAGATTAGGAAAGATTCGAAACCAGATGTTTATACGTAGAATGCGGAATTGGCAACAAAATGAAGAAAATGAATCTTGCTTGAGATGTTTTTGCAGCTTGTAATTCAAAGTGAAACATACCTTTGTAGTTATTGTAGTAAAAAAAACTTCAAACACTCTCTCGCAGCACTAACATTGTATCCTATCCAGGTATATTATACAAATGCATGACCCTGCTTGCTTGCTTGCCTTGCTTTGCTTGTTTGGCTCTGTTTTGCTGCTTAGCCTGGCTGAATTTACTTCCAGTAACGTTGCACAATGATAAAACCTGGCTGGGTTGTACAACCTGGTATGCACAAGTTGCAAAGCAGGCGCGCTGCTTTAGCTTTCTAGCCTTGCCTTGCCTCGTTTTGCTTTGCTTGCTAGACTGGGTGGCGCTAATACAAATTTGTATTGTATTTGTACTACATGTACCAACTGATGTAGCCAAATGTAGCTTGAAGGTTGCTTAATGTCGCTTGATGAAAAACTCTTCAGTTCTTACGAACTGCGAATAAGTCTGTCATTAAGATGTACACCTTAATTCATCGCACTGTTTTAGTTCACTCGCTTTCATCTTCTTCATTGCATCCAGGTATTGTCCCTCTGAGGGGCCAAACGGCCTCATCTTTAGTAGCAGTGGTGGGTTATTAGATGTGGCACGCGTCTTCGCTATGACAAGAGCATCCTCTGGTTCCAGGGCATGATACGGGTCAGGACACTCGCCTCCTTCATCGACGTTGTCGTCGTGCGTTCCAGGACACGGAAACTAGATGGTATGATCGAGTAATCACTTCTCGATACGTCACTGTAGCCCACAGTTTACATTCTGGCGGCCCTCCTACTCGAACGAAAAGAGGTGCAGTGGAAACAATGCACTGCCCGAGCGATTTAAGGGCGCGGCTTGCTTCGCCCTTAAATCTATTTGCTTGCTATGTAGCCCATCGCAGGACGTAGCTCAAAACATTCTAACATTCTTAAATGGTGGCGACCACAGGTCGCCAAATAGGCGAGTTTCGTGAGATAAGTACCAGTTGCATCTCACATACTTTAGCTGCAAGCAAAGCCCCTTGTTCGCGTGTGGGCCGTGGCCCCGAATTAATCACCGCCGTCTATACTTTCCCTTTCGGCTTTGATGATTTTTCGAGTTCGTGAGTGGCACGAACGCTTTCGAAACGAGGACTGTGCAAATTGCACCGATGACCCAGTATCGCCAAGTAGAGAATAGCATTGTCTTCAAAAGTTGTGATACCCAGCACATCGTTGTATCCACCACTGATGATGGCTAGCAGAGGTTGCTCGACCGTCCAAGCTGCCGCTGCGCCACTCAGCACACCCATCAGAAACTTTGGAACGGCGAAATATAACAAGACGCTTGATTATTGACGGTGTCAGCGAAGCGGGGCAGGCCGCGGAGTGTAGGCTATACCGATCTTGAAAATTGACGGTCATCTTGAGGTCACGTCGACAGCGTTGGCTTGCTAGTTTAACATCCAGGCGTGCAAGACGCCCCAATAACACCACCAGAAGCCGAAACAACAGGATGCCAATTCCACCGACAGGGAAAAGGATAACACTCAAGGGTAAACTTATCCACGTCAAAATGCCGCCGCCAAGACCCAACGCAGCGTTGAACGTGTGGAATTCAAGTAGCTCGAATAATTTCCGCGCAAATAGCCGACAGCGACCAGCCTGTGAAAGCGCCGGGGAAGCGTTTGGCAGTCGGTGTTACTAGAGTCTCGCCCTGCATCGGCACTGCAACCGTGGAAACCATCGGACTTCTTGACGCCGTCAGGACAATTTGCCCACCTGGGCAGGACCTACTTAGTAAGGCGCTGGACTACGAGAAGTGCGAGCATCTGAACCTTGAAGCGATGTATCCACAACCTCTAGGGAGGACATCGCAAATGTATTCAAAGCAATATAGACAATGTGCGACCCACTACTAACACAATGTCGGCTTCGCGTCGGGAGTGGGTGTTCGGATAACAACGGTCTCCATGTCGGCTCTCGGAGTACGCAGGTCAGCCATGTCCTCACGTTCAGTGCAAGCCCACGTCGTCAGCGCCACGGATGGTTTGGCGACCACTGCAATGCAAATCATCCCCAGCACCCAGCAGCCGAGGACAACACCTACGTATGCACCGGGGTCGTCCTGGTAGTTGATCCACCCGATCGCGTCCGCATGCCCGCCGCTGACAAGTGCCTCGATCGGGAGAACGATCCCCCACCCAACGGCAATGAGGCTCAACGTGCCCACAACCAGCTTCAGAGTGGCGAAGTAGAGCATCACCAGCAACGTCTTCGGTGAGAAGAAGAAGAAGAAGAGGCGCTGGCACCAATTGCTGCAGCCGTTGTTCGTCGACAGCCCGCTCTGGATCCCGTACGCTTTGCGAAGCTTGGGCTCTCGCTTGGACACCATGTTCGCCAGGCCGATGTCCGTCCTTGCCAGCATCTCCACGACGGCTGCTGACAGCTGGAAGAGCGCGATCCCCACGCCGAACAGCGGCACGAGCCCAATACTCAGAGGAACGAGCACCAACACGAGGATCGCGCCGCCGATGCCCAGGAACGCGTTGAGCGTGTGGAAAGCGACTAGTCTGGCGAAACCAATGCTGAACGACCGGCAGTGGCCGGGCGGCGACGGCGCTAGCGGTGCGGGTGGAGGAGGGCAGCTCTGACGGACGCTGGTCTCGTCATCGTCGTCCGTGTCGTTGTCATCAACCGCGACGGCCACCGCAATGGGCTTCTCAGCCGTATCGAAGTCGTAGCGGTGGTAGATAACGTCGCCCACTGGACTCTTCATGCTCGCTTGGTTGCTCTGGCGGTGCGTTTCAAGGTGCGGACTGGCCCACGGCGAGCAGAATGCAGCAATGGACGCCACGAGCTTACATGAGAAACGAGCGGGGTCTCACGAAGCGACTCCCAATACACGCCGCCTCCTGGACATGGGTGCAGGTGTTAATAACGGAAGTTGAAGCAGTTGTACCGGAAACGCGGTACATGTGACGCGCCCGCGTAAATACCGGTATCGGATTTTGACCAATCAAAAACCGGTATCTGTAAAACGTCAGAGGCCTGATTACTGGTTCAGCTTCAGCTTGAACTTACAATAAGCTGGCACCATCTTAGCCCTCCGACGCCAGCAATAGCACCGCCGAGCTGGCTAAAATAGCGGCGCGGACAACTATAGCCGCGGCGTCCTCGCTGCCAGCTTGCAGCCTGCAAAACGGCGAGGACTGGCTGGACTTGCTTCAAATCTGTTGGGGTCCAAGGTCTTGCGCAAGAATGTGTGTGCCGCACATAAAACCTCGTGTCATCCACCAATCAGACGGCGCCCTACCCTAGGACGAGGGGGAAAAACCTCGGGGAAAATGTAAGGCTCCCAAGCGCAGCAATATGTCCGGCATCCATTGCCGTTTAGATCACATTGTCCACAGGTGCGGGTGTGTTCCATCGCTCCAGTCGACGTGAACATGGAGACGGCGACGACAGCGGCGGCCAGCGATCAGGGCGCTGCGGACGAAGCAGTGCGTGCGCCGGCGGCCGCGGCGCCGCAGCAGAAGGAGCGCGAGATCGACGAGGTCATGGACTTCCTCAAGTTCAGCGTCAAGTCTAGCACGAGCTTCGGCGGCACGATCCTCTTCAAGTTCAAGGACGCGGACGACGCCGAGCCCAAGACCACGTACGCCGTGGAGATCAGCGACGATCGTCACGTGGCCACGGTCAAGAACGCGAGCGCTGCCGACGTGCGCCCCACGTGCGAGGTGACCATCTCGATGGACGACTTCCTGTGGATCTACTCGGGCAAGGCGTCCAGCTCCGACATGGTCAAGCTCTTCTACGCCGGCCGGGTGGCCATCAGCGGCTACGCGTTCCGCACGGTGTCAAAGTTCGCGCAGAGCTTCGACTTCTCGTCCGAGAAGTGGCGCAGCTTCTACGCCTGGCGCAAGGCGCAGGACGAGAAGAACGACAGCAGCCGATCGCCGAGCGCGCGCGGGGAGGTCAGGAACGTTGGATCTCCTTCAAGAGACTACTGGTTCTTCCATGCGAGGAGTATCCTGGACCGGTATAACGTGACCAGGCTGCAGCGTTTGCTGTGGGAAACCTCTCTGGCCAGTTTGTTCGGAGGGCAGATTGTCTTGGACAGCGTGCGTCGCACATCGTTGCGCGACAGGAAAGTGGCGTCTGGCAGGTTCAGCGTGATTGCGAGCGTGGTGGGTGACGCCGGCTCCGTATCCGCGGCCTTGAAGCGCCGTGCGACGGGCGCCATCACCCCAGGCCAGCTCAACTACGAGCGGGAGCTCCGCGCCGAGCTGGAGAGGTATTTGCGCCCCTGCGCCAAGCAGTCCGCAGCAGTCGTCAACTCGCTTGCAGTAGGAAACCCCAAGCAGACGGCCAGCGTCCTGTTCGACTTTTTCGACGAGGACTACGTCGTGGCTGTGAAGCTCAGTGCCAAGGAGCGGCAGCAGCGTCGCCACCACCGCAACCGCGTGGACCTTGGCGACGCCGGCATGGCGCAGCTGGACAAGCTCGTGAAGGTGATCGGCAAGGGCGGCCACTCGAACCTGAAGCGCGACAACCGCTCCAAGTACGTGCCTGCGCCGGAACTGCTGCTGCGCGAGTTCCGCGTCAACGTGACTGTGCTCATGGACACGCTCAAGGAGAAGGCCTCGGGCCGCAAGGCCCTGCACAAGATCCCTGCCCCGGAGATGGACTGGCTGGTACGCAACGGACGCGCCGGCAGCATGGTCATCACGGACGGCAGCAGCAGCCGAGTGAAGCCGACAGGCGCAGCTAATGTCCCGTCGCGGGCTGCTTCCGCGCTGCCCAACTTGCCGCAGAGTATCATCGTCGAAGTGAACCGCGCCAAGATCGCTCGCAACCGCACGCGCTTCGACGTGCCCAAGCAGCGCATCAAGGCCAAGTTCGCATCCATTTCGCGCGAGCTGGCGATCCAGAGGAACCCAGTCGTGGCCCACGTCGACGAGCACCTGATGTTCTCCGACTACCTATAAACGACCGCTTAGTGGCGAGTTGCCTCTTGCTCCGAGACGTAGCTAGCTCCTTCCTAGACGCTTAGCAGCCTGCTGCGCCCATGCAGCCAGCCAGCAGCTCAGCACCACCACCACCACCGCCTCATTTTCATATTTAACGCAGAATTTTGCGCTTTACCCCTTCTTTTTTCCGTTTCTGATTGGTCCGTTTTCCCTAAATTTCAACATTTGACGAGCAATAGTCCGTGGGCCAGTCAAAAGCGTTTGGTGGAGTGGCTACGCACGCACTCGAAGCGAAGCAGAGCGAGACCCAGACCGAGACGACCATGGGGGACCTGGACGACCACACGCCCGACGAGATCTTCTGCAACAGTCAGGTGTTCGACATCGACTTCCACCCGCTGACGGACATCGTGGCTGTGGGCTCCATCGACGGCGTCGTGGAAGTGTAAGCGCTGCTGCCATCGACTTTTGCGGACACGAAATGGTTGATTCAGCCGGCTGACGTTTCTGGTGCTCCTGCGTGCAGCTACAAGTACTCGGAGGAGGCCAACACCAAGGTTCTGGAGCTGAAGAACCACCAGGAGGCGGTGCGCGCGCTGCTCTTCGCCCCCGATGGACAGAGTACGATGGTTTCTGTTGGGCTGTAAGAAATGCTGTTGGGTTGATTTGTGGTGCTGACAATTGGACCAATGGTGTGGCGATGTATTGTGCTTAGCTCTCTACACAGCTTCGGCGGACAAGTCGATCCGGGCCTTCGACACGCTCGGAAACCCCACGTGGGCGGAGATGCGTGCCCACGAGTAAGGAAGAAGGGAAAGAGAGGTGCGCATCCTGAACCGCGATGCTGACTTTATATTGTCATTGTTGTAGCCACCCGGTCAACCGCCTGCACGAGTTGTCGGCGAATGTTTTCGCGAGCGGTGACGACCAAGGTTGCGTCAAGATTTGGGACACACGACAGCACCGGTGCCTGTCCGAGTTCAAGGAGCACACGGTGCGTTTTCTCTTTGCTAGTTGATGGCAATTCGTCTTCATTCCTTATTTTTTTGCTGGCGGTTCGTCGATGACTTGCAGGACTACATTTCCGGTTTCGCGACCACCCCAGCGCATGAACACTTTTTGCTGGCGACGAGCGGCGACGGACGCTTGTCGGCTTACGATCTGCGCAAGAACGCATTGGCGGGCAAGAGTGACGAGTTGGACGACGAGCTTCTCTCGGTGGCGGTGGTGAAGAACGGCCGCAAGATTGTGTGCGGCTCGCAGGACGGTGTGCTCGTCATCTTCAGCTGGGGCACGTGGGGAGACATGTCGGACCGATTCCCCGGCCACCCTGAGTCCGTTGAGGCTCTGCTCATGGTGGATGAGGACACTGTTCTTACAGGATCGAGTGACGGCATCGTTCGGTACGTTTGTGAACTAATCCTCGGGTTCCAGTAGGATATATTGACGCTGACTTGGATTTATTCTGGTTATCAGTGTGGTGCAGCTGCACCCGAACAAGCTTCTGGGGCTGATCGGAGACCACGAAGACTTCCCGGTGGAAAACCTCAAGTTCTCTCACGACAAGAAGATCATCGGAAGCGTCTCGCACACCAACAAGGTGCACTTCTGGGACGTCGGATACCTTTTCGATGAGGATGACGGTGAAGACGAGGATGTGGCAGATGAAAACGAGGAGAAGGCCCCGGCTGGTTTATCTATGGATACCGAGATGCAGGACGCAGACAGCGACAGCGACAGTGATGATTCGGACATGGGCGATGCGGCTGGCGGTCGCCGGGCGTTCCCTACGGCCAACGAGCAGTTCTTCTCGGACTTGTAGTAAAGTAGGAGGTGTTCGTTGAGATAGATGGAGGAGGTTAACCCAACCATACAGTATTTTTCAAGGTCATTTATGTACTTCGTACACGTGTTAATTCTTACACTTCATAAGGTCAACGGGAACAACATCAACACTGCACGTACTCTGGGATACATTTGCCGGAGCCCTGTACAATCCAAACAGTCGAGTGCCGAAACTCACGGCCGCATACTACAGACAGAAGACTGCTCGTACAATCTGTTCGTCGTCGTATTCCAGTCTGCGTTTGGCAGCTTTGGGGTATTCGCACGAAGGCCAGGGGCTGCTGGTACAAGATATATCTTCCAGGTGTTTCAGTAGCTCTCGAGACGTAGGACGCAAGCTCGGGTCGATTTGTAGACAGTTGTGGGCGATCTCGCGGATGAACTCAGGACATACAGGTGTTAACATGTCCAGCAGATCATCTCTGGGGACATCTACCAGTAGCCTCCCCGTGTCTAGAGCCACCAAGACTACACCGAAGGAATAAATGTCGGCCTTCTCCGAGAATCTCCTCTCTGACAGCACCTCGGGGCTGCACCAGATGCTACCTTCACCAGGTTCGCCCCTTTTGACGTCAGAAGTTGAAGCAGTCGAAGCCCGGCCAGCACAATGGCCGAGCCCACAGAGCGCCGGCTCTCCTGTAGCAGAGTCTAGCAAGATGTGGCGCGGCTCAATTGCGCCGTGGATAATCGGTGGCGAATGTGTGTGGAGGAACGACAAGCCGCGAAGTATTCCCATTGCAATCTGAAGCTTTTGCTTAGTCCATGTCCAATGTTGAGCCTTCCTGCCGCTTCGAAGCGCACGACGTAAGTCACCACTGCGATGGTATTCCCAAACAGCCATCAGATTCTGGAACGAGTTCCAGGCTATACCCACGAGATTCGCGATGTTAGGGTGCTCTATCGTTGCAGCCATGCGAATTTCACGTGCGAGCCGTTCAACAGCTTGAGTGTCATTGCGCTTCGGTACCCGTAGTCGCTTTAGAACCACTTCGCGAGATCCTAGCGTTCCAACAAGAACCTCATTCGGAGAGCCATCCCTACCACGGGATATCATTTTGTCACCGTTCACATCGATGATAGGCACACGTAAGGCAAGAACGACAGGGTCATTCTGGAAAAGCAGCAGCACTTGCGAAGCACCCAGGGCGTCAGAGTAATCAACCTCGGACGGTCCTGATGCACTCGAGTATCCCCTTCGAACTTCCGTCTCCAGCTCCGCCTCAAGATCGGACAGTTCGGACGACATGGAATCTGTAGCACCGTTGCTACCGTTTGTATTCACGAAGAAAACGCCTTCAGGGGTCAGAGCGCAATGCTCCAGTGCTGATTTCTCCATGAGGTCCATCTTGGTGCTTGGACGTTGTTCTCGTCGAAACAGGTAGCGGAAGTACATGACCCCTATGGCGCAGAGCACAGTGAGTAGTATTGCTGCCACCACCCAGATAGCAATTAGCATCCCTGACGTCCCAGCGTCGGCTTTACCCACTTTTGCTTCCGCTAGATCTTGGAGGAGACCTGCCACCACGCCGGATTTGCGTGGAGTGCACCACTCGCTGCTGTTCGCTGAGGAGGTGATCGTCGTGCATGGGATCACGAGATCAAGCTGTCGGGGACAGTTCCCACTATTGGTGCTTGGTGGCTGCAGCGTAATGGCAAAAGACTCGAAAGAATGGCGGTACACAGTCGGCATGGGGACGTCGGTGTTGTTTCCTTCTTCTCCCCAGATCAGACTTGTTTCCACGGTCACTGAGGCTGCGTTCGCCTCGCTTTCGGATACCAAGACAGCGCACTTGGCCACCTCTTTGATCTGATTATCGGCGCAGATTGTTCCGCGCAGGACGGTGTCTGCGCTCACAGGGTCGACGCACGACATCGATGGACAATTGTTCAGCTCCTGGAACTCGTCGCGCGTCACCACCACTTCGTCCATGCTGAGATCGCAGCGCACCTTGACCTCGCGCGTCTTGTTGGCGCTCGTGACGACGTAGCCTTGGTCCCAGAGCACGAGTCGCTGCAGAGTCCCGCCCAAGTCTCGCCAGGCCAGATCGCTCTGCGTCAGCAGGTATTGCACCTCGATGGGCAGCGACCCGTTGAGCTTCAGCTTGGGCGATTCGATGCCGCTGTTGATGAGCTGCGCCATCCGCGACGATATGGCCATGCCAGCAAAGTTCTCGGCGAGCGACGGGCGCGCGAGCGTCGACAGGATCAGCAGCAGCGACTCACGGAGCACTCGAGGGAGCGCCATGCTTCCCCGGCGCTGGTGGCTCTCGGCTTCGGTCTCCGCTAGCGTTTTCCCAACTGGCCTGAATTTCCAGCCAGCGATACAGCGAGCTCAACGCCGTTGGGATCATGGGTGGAACGGCCGTCCGTCACTTGGTGCAGTTTCAGCGCCAACGTCCGGATCGCCGGCCCCGCGTTCAGCGCGGTAGAAAGTAGTGGCATGACCCACAACAATGGACAGCAAGTCTTCCATACTTCTGGAGCAGTGCAGCGTCGAGCAGACCAAGCAGCAGTGCCAGTAGCAGCAGAGGCGCGAGGAGCGAGCCCCCCAATAGGACTTGCAGTGGGTTCCGCGTGAAGGGACGCGGTCGCCACGTCTTATTCGGCTCGCAAATAGCAGGCGCGGCGATCGCGCGCACACCGACGGCATCGCCTTCAATTGATGACAACAATGCTGCGATGCATGTCCAGGGCGAGTACCATGACCAGCACCGCATTGGCCATTTACGCACTCAGCATTACCCGTGGTGGTCTACTGAGGACGCTTCCGCTTCAACTTGGTCCGAGTGCAACTGTCGAAGCAGTTCTCGCTGTTGATTGGACGCCGGGGCGGCATACAAAACACAATATGTTTCTGGCCGCATACAAAGCGCAAGATGTTTCTGCCTCCTGAGCATCACCCTCTTCCTCAGGGCACACACACAACGAGGGGAAGCGCTCTGAAGTGCTAGGCGCTAGCTCAGCTCTCGCGCCTCAGTCGCTGCCGGCACCTGCCTCCGTCTGCCTGCAGCCCCCTAGCCGCAGCCACCGACCGGCCAGCCGGCCGCGTAACTTTCGAGCTGACCGACACTGCAGCGGCGGCCGCAGACAGGCCATCGGGGGAAGCCGATCGTACTTAGCGCTCCTGTCTAATCGTCGAGCCCCGCCTCCAAGCCAGAGCGAGAGACGAGAACGCGCGCCGCGTACCAAGCGGTCGAGACCGTCACGGCGCCAGCAGCAGCAGCAGGACGGAGCAGGGGGAGGCACCCACCGACGCAGCCCACGCGCCGGACCGACCGACGTAGCTCGTAGCCCCGCCGCACGACGAAGGCGCTCGCGACGTCGGCCATGAAGAAGATGTCCCGCAAGAACTTCCGCGCGGGCCCGTTGTTCTCCAGCAAGTCGAGCAGCTCGTCCACGCCCAGCCACGGGCCGGGCAGCAGCTCGTCCCCCGCGGGGGGAGGCGGCGGCATCATGCGCCGCGCCACGTGGGCCGACAAGATCAGGGACAAGCTGCCGCCCCTCGGGGAGAACGAGTACGAGGTGCTGTGGGAGCGCGGCGTGCTGGGCGTGATCTTCCTCGAGTCGGAGAAGGACGGCATCCCGTACGTGTCCAAGGCCACCGAGTCGTGCATCTCCCCCGCCGTGAGTCAGGGGGACATCCTCAAGTACGTCAACGTCGTGCGCTCCAAAGATCACTCGTTCTCGGACTTCTTCAAGATCCTGGCCACCATGAAGAAACCCGTGCTGCTGCGCTTCGAGCGCGTGTCGGCCAGCACGCCGTCCTCGGACGAGGACGAGGCCTCGCAGCTCTTCGGCGTGCAGCGCTCAAGCTCGACCAACGCCGTCAACAGCTCCAGCCACTATGCGAGGCAGAGCTCGGCCAACGCTGACGAGGGGGACCCCACGGGCAAGCTGTCGAGAGCCAACTCGGTGCCGCAGAAGGACCAGAAACCGCCCAAGGCCATGAGGGGCGCGTTCTGGCGCGCTACGTCGGCGAAGGACTCGGTCGGCCCCGCCAACCCAGCGGCGCAGTCGATTGGACCGGGTGGCGTGAGTGGAGGAAGCAGCGACAGGATGGGCGCGTCCCAAGCTCAGCGACGACAGCCGAGCAACAGGGACCAGGTTTCGCCGCGTGATGCGGCGGCAGCGAACGGAAGTGGGGGGCAGTCTTCTCATTCACCGCTCGGACCGCACGAGTACCAAGTGTACTGGGAAACGGGGTCGCTCGGTCTGTTCTTTGGCGAGGACCGCTCGACAAACCTGCCGGTGGTCACGCGGTCGACTCCGAGCGCGAATCCGGTGGTGCGGCGTGCTGTCGCCATCAACGACACGCTCGTGTCGGCCAACGACGTCAAGTCGGCAGATTACACGTTCGAAGCGTTCTTTGGAAGGCTCCAGCAGATGAACAAGCCCGTGAGGTTGGTGTTCAGGCGGAGGCAGTCGACGGATCAAGTGGTTATTGTGAAGCAAGGGGAGCAGCAACAGCAGCAGCAACGACAGCAGCAGCAGTTGCACCAACAACTCCAGCAACGGCAGCAACAAATGCGGGAGCAGCAGCAAATAAGGGAGCAGGAGCAAAAGCGTGAACTTCAGCAACAACAATTGCGGGAGCAGCAACAACGTGAGCAGCAGCAGCGTGAGCAACAACAGCGCGAGCTGCAGCAGCGTGAACTACGCGAGCGGCAGCAACGTGAGCAGCAGGAGCGCGAGCAGCAAATGCGAGAACAGCAAAAGCGTGAGCAGCAGGAGCGCGAGCAGCAAATGCGAGAACAGCAAAAGCGTGAGCAGCAGATGCGTGAGCAGCAAATGCGGGAGCAAGAAAAACGTGAGCAGCAAATACGGGAACAAGAAACGCGTGAGCAGCAAATGCGTGAGCAGCAGTTGCTGGAGGAGCAACGACGACGCGAGCAAGAGGAAGCAGCAAGAAATCGGACTCCGTCGGTCACTGTGGATACGACTCCGTCGCCGCCGGCACCGTTATCGGAGAGCCGAATGGCTCATCGAAATCGCTCTCCTAGTCCCACCGTTAAGCGATCATCTACGCCGCCGCCGCGCCCTCCTTCTCCGCAAGTGCGATTGGAACCAGATAATGTTCAACGTGAGCACCGCCACCTCGAGAGGGGGCGTACGCCGCCGCCAATTTCCCCCGTCATGTCGGATCTTCGTTCAAGCATGAGGCAATCACCAGCAGCAGCAGCAGAAAATGTCCCCAGCACTAATTACGAGGTTTCGCCGAAAGCCAGTGGATCTCCACTGGTTCAGAGTTCGCCAAGAGTGGATATTTCCCCGACATTCAATGCGTCTCCACGGGCGTCGCCGAATATTGGCAGTTCTCCGAAGGTTAGCAGTTCACCATTCGCTTCGCCGATGTCACCCTTCATTACTACGGAGATCGGCAGTGAGTCGAGCAATCATGCATCATCGCCTGTTGTCGACGTTGAAGACGATGTTCATGCTACCGACTCTCCGATTCAGATGGAGGAGGAGACTGCCCAAGCATCAAAGGAGAGCTCTCCAAGTTTTGAGAACGCACATGGTAACCGGAGTCGCAACGCTAGTGAAGAGCTGCGGCACCTTCAGAAGGCAAGTATCCCTGTGCACGAGGAGGAACCTGTATTGTCCCCACTCAGCAAACCGACACATCTGTCACCTACGGAGCCGTGGGATCTGCCTGAACAAATACCGTCGCCAACGATTAAGGCACAGCCGGTTATTCTGGTGGACGAAGATGAAGATGTTGACATTGCAGTGCCTGTGCCACCGAGCTCTGACATCCACTTGGAGACCGCTGCTATGGCCGAAGATGCTGAGTTGATTGACGAAGCTGAAGTGGTCGAGGATGCTGGGATTGCGGAAGCAGCTGAAGTGATTGAAGATGCTGAGCTCGCCCAAGAAGCCGATTTGGCTGACGAGGCGGAGCTTGGCGTAGAGGCGAAAATGGCCGAGGAAGCGGAGCCTGTCCTGCCGTCGCTGCCTGTGGAAAACTCCTCGGACGACAACACTGACCTTGACGACGTGGAGGTCGGTATGCTTGCATCAGACGTGGAAGTGGGAGTCGCTGTCGAGGAATCGGAGGCCGACGTTGTCGAGAGCAGTACTTCTGAGAACGACGACCACAGCTCAAGTCCATGGGATCTTGAGCCTGAGCCGGAACGAAAGAAGACGCACCTTCACGTAAGCAGCGCCGCGTCACCGCGCGACGAAGCTACGTCTAGTGCTGGAAGTCCTTCCATCGATGCCGCAGCAGAGGTCTCCAAGGTCGACTTCACAGACGCGTCCGACTCCGACTCGTCGGATGAGTTCTCGAACGACCCTGACATCTCCAGTGACATCGACATCGTGGACGGCGATATCATGATGCAGGAAGCTCCGAAAGACAAAGTGGACTCAGCAAGCCCTCCAAAACCAAGCAAGTCGTCACTCCACGCCAACTTGGCGAAGTATAAGAAGAAGGGCAAGACTGCTCGTGGTGTCACGAAGCTGCCAGCGCTCACGGAAGAGGAGGCGCTTACAGTTCCACTCGTTGCACCGAATGCCGTCAACACGACAGTCCAAGTGCGCGGCCGACCGAAGCCTAAGTTGACGATGGCCGACACCCCGGACAGTACGACTTATCTTATCAAGTGGAAGGAGAACCGGAGCATTGGATTGCAGCTCAAGGAGGTGCGCTTTGCCAAGGGCACCTACCCGCTGGTGACGGACGTGTGCCAGGAGCCGTGCTGCGAGCTGCTGCGGCATATTTGCGTGGGCGACGTGATCATCGAGATCAACGGCCGCAACACCTCGACGATGGGCGTGAAGAAGACTGTCAACTTCCTCAAGACGTGTACCAAGACCACGCTGATGAAGATTCGCCACGGACCGGCGTTCGTGACCCAGCGCGTGAGCGCGACAGTATGACGGGGGCGCCCCGCTGTAGCAGTAATGTACGATCAATTCCGCGAGCGCGACTAGCTGGCCTCACCAGAGCAAGACGGGGCGTGGTGGAGGCTAGAGCGGGCGGGGCGGCGAGGCCGCGCTTCGTCCCGCTACGACATTGCTTTTCTCTTTTAGTTTTTCCTCTCAGTGTCAGTGAAGTGCTCAATGTTGGAGAGGACGATTTAGACATGATTTTGGCTTGCAGCGTTGGTGAAGTGCGTTAGCCGCTGGGCCTGTGCAGGCCAGCCAAGTTACTACATTACAATGAAAATACTTGACCTTGCAGCTTGCTTCGAGTATGCTTCCTCGCCTCGTTGCGCGCCGAAGCGCTGCAATCCGCTCTGCTTGTTTGCCATGTTCATCCAAGCACCGTGCCAGCTGATGCGGGGCGCCGTGCAGAGACGCTAAAGCTGTGTGAAAGCGCTGCCACCACAACAGCGCGTCACACGGCCAGGCTTTGCGTTTCAGCGTGTTAAACCAGGGAGGACCTCGGGCGCTCTTCACCCTTCATCAATGCAATGCAATGCATCGACGCCACCTTCATTCGCGTGTAGGAGTTTTGTATTTTTTGTTCAATTTGTCGCCTCCAAGCGCTCGGCAACCAACACTGTGCGATCGGTTGGTCGCCGCGGCTCGTTGACAGAGACGCCTCCCGCTGCAGCTTCTTTCCGTGTTGTGTGTTTCTCTGCTGCTACGTTGTATCACACCTTGCGCGTGGCTGCCTCGCTCGCTGCGCCTCGTGGCCTACCGCCCGCGCGCTTAGTGCAGGCTGGCAAGTCGGGTCTTAATCTTGCCGATGGCCTGAGCCGGGTTCAGGCCCTTCGGACATGTGCGCGTGCAGTTCATGATGGTGTGGCACTTGTACAGCTTGAACGAGTCGTCCAGCGCGCGCAGACGCTCCTCCGTCTTGTCGTCACGCGAGTCCTCGATCCAGCGGAACGCCTGCATCAGCACTGTGGGGCAGCAACAGTAAAAAACAGTAGTTAGATATCTGTCACTGACCGTTCGACAGTAGAGAAAGCTAGCAACGTACCGGCGGGGCCGAGGTACTTGTCGGGGTTCCACCAGTAGCTCGGGCACGAGGTGCTGCAGCACGCGCACAGAATGCACTCGTACATGCCGTCGAGCTTCTTGCGGTCCTCGATGGACTGCAGGTGCTCGTGGTTGACGTCGCGGGGCTTGTCCGAGTGCAGCCACGGCTTGATGGACGTGTACTGGTCGTAGAAGTTGTTCATGTCCGGCACCAGGTCGCGGATGACGTACATGTGCGGCAGCGGGTGGATGCTGCTCACGTCCTTGTTCTTCTTGATGGGGCTCAGACACGCCAGCGTGTTGCCACCGTCGATGTTCATGGCGCACGAGCCGCAAATGCCCTCACGGCACGAGCTGCATAGCAACAACACGTCCACTTAGTCCTACTGCTCTCGTCTCCCTCCTCCTTATGATACACTGAATTGTCCTACCGACGGAAGGTCAGCGTCGGGTCCTGCTCGTTCTTGATCTTGATGAGGGCGTCCAGCACCATGGGTCCGCACCTACAGAGGACAATAGCCACGGGGGCGTCAGTATCTCCCTCCCCTCGCTCATTTAACGTCCTTCGCGTCCAGCCCCACGTACTCGTCCAGGTCCACGGGGTACGTGCACTGGTAGGGCTTCTCCTTGGACTCGGGGTCCCAACGGTAGATCTTGAAGTACTTGATGTTCTACTCGGTCGCAGGCAGGCAGCAGCCACGTCAGTCTCAGTATCAGGCGGGCGGAGAGGGTCTACACCAAAAAGACTAGGACGTAGTCTCGCTCTACGCACCTTGGGCTTGGCCGCCTGGGACTTGAGGTCCGGGTGGTAGGCCGGCACGCTCAGGGCGCGCACGCCCGTGCTCACCACGGGCTTCTGGATGGAACGCACAGCCGCCAGCATCTTTTCTCTGCTTCTGGACACGTGAACTCGCGGGATCAACTCCACCGTTGGAATTCGAGACTGACGGCTCGGGGCAAACGCAAGGGTGCGGCGCGGGTTTCGAGCGTTAAACCGCGCCTGTCTAATCCAATATCTGAAGCGTACTTAGTCGCGCTATTGATGAAGTCGCATACTTTTGGCCTGTCTGAACCTATAACCTGTCTGCGCATGCGTTTACCCAGGATGCGGATATAAGGGGCGAAACTTCAGCCGCTCGATTCCGGAGGTCCAGACGACACACCGCGCCACACCAGTTTGAAGCAGTCATTCTGCGACACTTGAAGTTCGGCCATACTCAGCGCAAGACAAACGTGGCATGGGACGGCGATGGCCAAGCGCTCCACGACGCTCAAGCAGTTCCTGCTGCGCGTGCACCCCGACCACTTCCGCAACAACCCCAAGGTCCACGATGAGAATCTGCAGTCCGTTAAGCTGCTGAACCAGTTCATGGACGAGCACTACGCGGCTCAAGGCGGTGCGGGCTCCATGAGCTGGAGGAGACTTGGAGCTCCACGGGAGAAGGTGAAGATCGCTCGTTAAGTTGCAGGAGCGAGATGAGAGCGCTGACTGAGGATGTTACTGGGGCGTGGGCAGGTCTACTTCAGCGTGCTGGTGCCGTCCCTGAGCTCAGCAGAGCAGAATGAGGAGACCAAGAGGCTGAAAAGGTTCGCGCTGGAGCTGGCTGCCAATATTGAGACCAAGATGGTTGCCGTCTTGAAGGAGTGCGGCGTCGTGGTGCAGGCCAGCGTGGAGGAGGAGGCCACGATGTCTGGCGCGGGATCTCAGCCGCGTCGAGCCAAAAAGAGAGCGGAGAGGAGGCCTGACAACTGGTGGCAAGGCCAGCAGGGAGGAAGGAGGCGTCCCAGCGGCATGGATTTCGGGGACTTTACCATGGGCGAGATGTACGCCAAGGCGAACCGCGCAGCGGTGGCGTCTGCGTCGAGACGGAGGAAGAAACCGATTCAAACTTTACAGGGATTGCTGGAGTTTATGAAGGAGGAGGAGACGATGGAGGCCCAGCAACGGCAGAGAATTGCGTGGGAGTCGATTCAGTCGGCCAAGAACACCCTGAAGCGTGAACTCGACCTTCAAGACGTGCTGTTTTCGTGCGGATGGTCTACCATGCACTTGAACACGACCGTCATGATTCTTCTCCAGACGCTGCGCAAGTACTCGCGAGCGAACAAGCAGGGCATCTTCACACCCAAAGACTTCCTTCGTGGCGCGACGATTGACCTCAGGTGCGCAGCACAGCATTGTGCTAGTATTTGCACGTTTGTGTTGTGATACTCAAGCGATTTTGTTCTCGTGTTCAGTGCCAACCCTTCCGGGATCGACCTCAGCAACGAGTACCGTATTGTGCTCAACCCGGCGGATGTCCCGGTGCAGTGGGTGCAAGTACTTGAGACCATCGATGCGAATATGGTCGTGTTCATGAAGGCAGCACAGGAAAGCCTGGCAACTTTGCAGGCAGATGCCACCGCAGCTCTCGGAGAAGCCAACATTTCTAGAGGCCACACGTGCTCAGCTCTTGGCTACCGGACGTTTCTGCAAAGTATGCGGCAGCGCGATGCTGCGGGCCAGAGCAGCGAGCAAGGCTTACTGGAGAAGTTCGCGCTTGTCATCGAAGATGATTCGTACGAGTGGGTGGTCTTAGAGACCGGCGAAGTGCGAGCGCCGTTCACGAGCTCGTACGGAGAGGCTATCTCGTTTCTCAGCACGAATCGGTCGTTGATCCGCCGCCAGCAAGAGACGCACAACGCAAACCTAGAGGCGTTTGCGTACATATCCTCTCGCTGCGCAGACGCAATGCATGTGAAGGCTATCACGCGGGACGAGGGGATTCCAGTGGGCATGGCAGTCGTGGCGTGCGAGGAGCTGCTCAAGGCTGTGGTCGGCATGACGCCGCCGAGCTCGAGAAGTTCCATTCCTCAAGGCATGGTGCGCTTCCTGGACACGTACACTCAAGGCCGCAGCATTTGCATCAGCCGCACGTACGGGCTCGGCCAAGACGGAGTGTTCACGCTGCCTGCAGACTGGTTCAAGTGGTAAAATAGAGTTCAACTTACCCCCACGATGTTATACAGACATGTTATCCGGATTGATTTCCGTTTTCTACCTGTAACATATTATTCAAACGCGATGGAGGAAGAGCTTCGCGAACTCCGCCTCCAGCTCAAGGTATATTGTGCCTATAGAGGAAGTGATGCGCTGTTATTGGTGCCAAAGCGCTCTAGTTGTGTTATAACAGGCGGCTCGGAGCGACGTGAAGCGGTACGCTAGCTACGCGCTGCGTTTGCAGCAGGATTTGACTCGAGAGAAGCAGAAGCGAGAGGAGGACAAGGACCTTCTAGAAGAGGAGGATGCGCGTTTTACGGCTTTAAACGACAAATACACGGGGCCAGCAGCTTCTTCTCTATGGAACGAGAAGGTGGAGGAGGCGAGGAAGGATCACGTTGCGTGGAGTCGCAAGATCGACCGACTGGTGCAGACGCTGGAAGGACGTAGTGAAGCTGCTGGGGCAAAGCATAGTAACCAGGTGGAAGGGAGTGTCGACTATGTGATGCAAGAGCTGGCGCCGTTTTTTAGGCAGCAGAGTAGGTTGATCGGGGAACTCGGCCGCGAGAATGCAAAGCTGCGTGATATGCTGCAAGCTCGACCGACGCGACGCGAATTACTGGTGGGTTGGAACAGCTAGTAGTGCAATGGGCATTTTTGAACTGAGTATGAACGCCCGTTATGTTGTGTTGTACTGTAGTCGTCACAGCTGGAGGTTGAGCGACTGCAGCGGCATGTGGGAAAGTTGCGTGTCCGGGCGAAGGATGCTGGCGCGCCTAATGCCCAGAGTGGCATCGGCGTGAATGAAGAAGCGGCTGTAAACGAATCTTCTCTTTCGGAGAGGATAATCGAAGAGAGGATACTTCAGTCGTTGCGAGTGAATACTGGGAAGTCTGCGACCAAGCACAAGTATCTGAAGGAGAAGTTGGACTGCTATCTCTCTTTAGACCCCGCACTGAAGATGCAGAACCTGACAGAGGCCAATGTGTTAGAGCGTGTTGGTCGGATTTGCTCCGATATTGTTGCTTCCTGCTGCTACGTGCTGGAGGTCGAGGATGTTGGAGAGCTCCCACAGTCTGTGGAAAAATTACAACAACTCGCCCACGTTTCAACAGCGTACCAGCGATTCGTCGAGCGAATAGAAAAACTTCTCAAGCGGTTTGATGAGGTGGGCATGTTGTCAGGTTATGTTGGTTCAAAACTGTACTAATTGGCGGATTTGCTGCTCTTAGGATGCCTTCTACTCTGTACGAGCTCAGTTTACAGCAGATTTTTCTTGCAGCGAAGCCTTGAAAATGGTCCGTAGTAGATACGTATGTCTGCGCTTTAAGATTGCGTGTGTACTTAGTTGCGTGTAGATTTTGTCCCATGTGCATGATGTGCTGGTGGAGCTTGATGCGCGTCGTGATCAAATGAAGCCGCCTGGTTCCAAAGCCCACGAGGTTTTGCTTGCAAACATGAAGCTGCTTCGGGTACCGCGCATTGATCAGCTGGCGCCAACTATTCGGGTGCGTTAGGTGCTAAATGCAACATCATATCGTTACTGAAAATGCTAATGAGTTTGTCACCTCAATCCCTTTGCAGCGCTTGGTTGGCAACATGCGAGCTGAGCAAGAATTCCAGGACAGTTTACGTGAGCTTTTCGGCTTGGATGAGGCTGCGAGTCGGACACAGATTTTGCACGTTGCCACTGTATTGTTTGGTGAGCTTGGCTTTCTTACTGGCAATGTTACTTCGCCTAGAGACTCCCGCGCACGATCTTGATAATTCATGCTAAACTAAACAATACCAGCTTCAGCATGGCAATCATTTCCAATAAGCAGCACAACGTGCGCCTTAATTTCCAGCGAGCTCAATTTTTCTAGCCTCTGTGTAGGCCGAGTGCAGCACCTCCGCAACCTCCGCAGCATTCTGCACTAAAAATGCATGAGAGATCTTTCCAGCCCGTTCTTCAAACCGCACTTGTAGAGCCCGCCCGATGATTTTGTCGCTTGGGTAGAGCTCTAGGGATTGCTGTGCTTTGGCGTGCATGATCTTCTGCTTTTTGGATGGCGACGCCGCAGTATCAACAGCATCTACAACCGACCGCCGGTACTTCCGCCAGATGTGCCACGCCGTCTTCACGTGCTCCCTCTCAACTCGAGCTCGAATCTCCTTCGCACAGTCGTTTTTCTTCCCAAGCCACTGCAACACACACCGTCGTTCAAAACGTCGACCAAATAGACACATCTCCTGCTTGTCTTCGGCCTCTTTCTCTTTTCCGTCCGCCTCTTTGTGCTTCAGTTTTTCCACACACAAGAACCATTTCTTCGCTGTAGTCGTATGCGGGAACGATACAAACGTCTCCGCGCGATCAAACCCCACTTGCAGTGCAGTCTTCTCCATGATGTCGACGTACTCCAACCCCGAGGGGTAAACCTGGAAAACCGCGCGCGAGTCCTTCTCGCCCGACAATTGTGTCAACAGTGACGAGAAGCAAACTTCCAGTCCTTTTGGCTGCAACCACTGCAGCATTGAGATGCCGATCGCAGCATCCAGCACTCCATCTCGAATGGGAAGCTTCTGGGCCGCATTGCCACAGTAAAAGTCAACTTGTGCTTGGGTGCTCTCCTGCTCTCCCTCTTCTTCCTCCTCCTTCGACGCTAGAGACAACATCGACGAACTGATGTCAAACGCCAGTGTGAACGCCGGCATTTCTCTTGAACGGAACCAATCCTGAGCTGCCTTTGTGCTCAACCCGGAGCCTGCACCCAAGTCTAACAGGAAGAAGATGTCGTCCTTGGTCCTGGAATGTGTCAATTTTGTCGAGTCCAGCAGAAGAAGCTCCAGCGCGTGCCGCGTCAGGTCCTTTTGGATGCTGGCATTTGCCGCTGTGGTGTAGACACTAGACTGCTTGTCACTGTAGAAATCGCGCGCTCCAGCAGACAGCGGTGCCACCAACGCGTTTCCTCGCTCCTCGGGCCGCAGACTCCTATTGTACGGCATCGCCAACCAAGAACTGGCATTGATGTGTGCTTAAATAAGTATACATGTCAAATTAAATAAGTGATACTTATAAAGGTAGCGATGAGACAGAAAGTGTCCACATCGACATATAACGTCCACCCAAGTGTCCATGAACGCTCAGGACCCTCAGGTGGACACGCGAAAGATGGTCTGGTCGCTGGGCGATTGGCCGTTCGTGTCTTCGATATCATGTGCCGTGAGTGTCTCGTCGTGCCCCGAGCGACGCGAACTTGATCGGCCACTTAGTGTCGCCCGCCAGGTATCGCGTCGGAAGAGCAGCAGCAAGCCAACGATGGGCGACACGCACACCAGCACTGCAGCTCCAGCAGCGACGCCACCGATGAACACGCCGAGGGCAGCGAGTCCCAACGCCAGCACGATTGGCGCAAGGAGCACGTAGCCAGACGCGCAAAAGCAGGTCGTGAACGCTTGCCGGAACGTGAGCCGAGCGTTGGTTGTGCAGGGAAGGAAGCAGCAGCACAGGATGCAGAACACCACAGCCAGTACGAACGCAGGCGGGCCAAACAGCACGAAGAAGAGAATCCGCATCACCATACCGATGCCCTTTTGAGTGGTGCCTTGCCCCTCGATGTCTGCCATCTGATTGCCTGCGCAGCCTCGGACATTCCACCACTGCGCAACACAAGACAACCAGAGCACAGAAACTGTTAGTGTCCCCTAATTTCGACAGTGACAATTTTGTGGGCAGGGTGGCGAACCTGAAAGTGCTCCGGGAAGACACTGTCGTCGATGACCTTGAGGCAGATCCAGCAGAAGCTTGTGTTGCACACGACACACTTCATCTGATTGCAGCCGCCAGTCTTCTCGACATTGTTCTGGCATCCAGGACATGGCTTGGAGATCTTACTAATCAGGGCATTGTTGAGCTTCTCCACAGCGATCATCTGCTTGTCGTATTCGGCACAGGTCCGACCTTGATGAGCATTGCTGTGCACGAAGCAAAACTCGCGGCTGCAAGCCTCACAAACGCACTCCGGGTGGTCACTCCCAGCGCATATCTGCGAGTGGTCGCAGTACGGGCACTGCCGCGCGAGCTCGTGCTCCTTGTTAAACTTGAACTTGTTATACTTCTGCCAGACCTCGTCGGACACTAGCGACTGGATGTCATCCACCACGATATCGGCCTTGCACGCCGCCTTGTCGTCCGAGTTCTCAAAAAAGCACTTGGGATAGACCTGCCCCTCCTTAATCTTAAACTCCAGATAGTTCTTCAAGCACGCCTCGCAGAAAGTATGGCCACACCCCGTTAGTGCGTACGACGTACTCACAGGCGCGTAGTCGTAGCAGATCTGACAGAGGAACGTCTCCTCCATGGATAGACCCAAGTAGCTAGCCATAGACCGCAGCAAGCTCGGCACCGAGTGGCCGAGGCTGTTGCTCTCCTGCCGTCTGAACGCCGTCAAGGACAAGCTCAGCCCGTTCGTCTCCGTCTTCGTCTCCTCCTCCAGATCAATAGACGACGGCGGCTGAGTGGACGCCGCGACTGCAAGGGATATCTCATCTCCCGTCTCCTCGTCCTTCACCTCTGCATCGAACTCGGTCATGCTCATGCGAGTCGACAGCGGCAAGGACCGTCCTCGATCCCGGGCGCTGGCGCGCGTCAGAGCGCCCAGGGTGCGGCCTGAGGCGGCCCGCACAAAGCTGGACATGTGCTGCCAGCTGCCTCGTCTCGTGTCTTCCATGGTGGCCAGCGTCTCGTTCTCCATAATGGGGATCGAGCCTCGTCTCGGCGGTGTGGACGTATCATTCTTATTGGTAGTAATGGACTCGTCAGCTGCGTCCTCCACTGAGAGACGGAACTCGCTGATTGCAGCCGCGGCAGAGGACGCGCGCGCGCGAGACAAGCGACCATCACTCTCCACTGGCAGCGCCGAGATCTGATTCTCCATCGCCGTCAGCAGCGAAGCCATGTGCGCGGCCCAAGCGTCGGGCGCGTCCTGCTGCTCCATGTCCTGCTGCCGCCGCAGCTGGTGCAGCCGCCAGCGCCAGCGCATGCGCTCGTCCTCGCCCGAGAAGGTCTGCAGCTGTCGCAGCGAGCTGTACAGCGCCGCGAGCTGCGCAGCGCGGTCGCGAGTCCACGTTGCGGGCTGCATAGGACGAGATCGCTACTGGCTTGAAACGATGGGCGATTGGTGGAAATGGACCCGCAAGGTGGACCAATCAGACTGGTTTCTCACTTCAACTTTGAAGTTGCCGTGCAGCGTCGGGGACGACGGATACACTGCGCATTTCCAAAATATCTCGCTCCTGCCAACTACTGTAGCATTGATACAACAGCACGAGCAGCTCAGCGACTCTTTCGATGTTGAGGTCGTCGTCGCTGCTGCCGGGGATCCAGCAGAGGCGCAGCGCCGGTCAAAGACGCTGGACGAAGATGAGCACGGCCGACGTGGCCCTTACGACTCCATGCTAAGTGTGATGGTGTGTGGTGCGGTGACAAGTATCAAGCGTGGGTGCATACTGCTCGTTTTCCCCGCTCTGAACTCTGTGGTGGCCGTCGGTGGCGCATTTTGCGTCCTGGTGTTCGCTGGTTATATTCTCGAAAGAAATGTACGTTCGGACTGGTCTACGCTACCGGAGCTACGTCGCGACCGTGTACCGAGTGGGCTTGCGTTTGGGTTTCCCCCCGTTCCCACGACTGAGTGCATGTCCTAGTTGAGGCGGCGCCCGCGCAGGAATTGCCATGGGCGCCGGCGACCAGAAACTTGCTGTAGGCCTAGTTGCCACATATTCTTGGCCGCGTTGACGTCGCGTTCCCAGCACCTCGCGCCGCAGAGTATGTTCTTGCACACCCGCACGTTCCTCGATGGCTTCGCCTCGTCCGATTCGGGATCTGCAAATGGCATGCCTACCATTGGTGTGAAGCAGTCCAAGCACAGACGGCTGGTGCGAAACTCATCCACGGATATGAGCGTTGCGCGGCGAGAGAGCTCAGCGGTGAGGCGCTTGATGGGCGCGTTCATGTAGCCCGAAACTCCCTTGTGCTGGTTCCAGTTGCCGAGACAGACGCACACGTCGCGGTCGATAGTCGGCACGATTCTCTTTGCTAGTTTGCAAACGGCTTGGCGCTTGAACCTGGACAATGTAAAGCGCCACTTGCGGAACCCCACGGAGGCGCTGAACAGCAGAATGTCGTCCATGTGTCGCCACATGTACTTGTAGCCCTCGAGTAGTCGTGACGATGAAGTCGTCTTCAGCGAAGGCATGTTGTCGATAAACTCTCCATAGCCCATGCGCCTTTTTAAAGATTTTGGAACCAGTGCGCGTGGTACTCAATTCGCGCCATGTGTCGATACTCAGCCGAAGAGGTTTGAAGGACATGGGCTCCTTCTCTCAAGAAGTGCGTTCTGCGACGGACGCCGTGCTTTCGGGGGTGGAACTTCGGCTGGGTCTTGTGGCAGATATCACACCATCCGACTACGTCGCACACAGCTTGGCTTCGGCGTTTGCGACGACGCTGACGCCGTCTGTGACCTCGCCGACGCTTCTTACCATGACGTTCGCCCCCATTGTGGTCGTGGCATACACTGCACCAGCCAGACATTGGGCAAGGTTCATCCGGAAGGTTGACGTAGGTACCGGGGGCCGGACGGCTGTAGCAGGTAAGGGGCATTCGCTCCCCGGGGCCGACTCCAATGAGCGTGTGGGGTTTGTACAGGCCCGGCTGCACCGTTCGTTGCAGCTCACGAGGTATAGATGTCAGAATACACACTGCATATCCATTGGTCCGGATCATATACTCGAACTTGCGACGCCCTCTACCGATCCGAGGATCGGTGTCTGGATTCCCATCGGAGCTGACACATCGGCTTAAATCGAAGACGGTTTTCCACATTAGCTCGCGGACTGTGTGGAACTCAGCGGAAGTAGCGTAGCGTTTGCGACCCTGGCCGTCGAGAGCAGTGCACAGGTTGAAAATGTCTTCGTCGTGCGAGCTTATGATGTTCTTCGCGATCTGGTACAGATGGGAGGTCTCCACAGAGTAGTATGCCGAAATGCACGTAGTAGGCTGAGGTAGCAGAGAGAATACTCGTCATCCCAGCGGCTCCACAAACTCCAAAATGTCGTACAATTTTCCGAGGAAGAGCACGAGGTGATTCTTGATATTCGCTGCAGTCGGGGGAGGTCTAGCCAAGCCAGCAGGTCGATCTCGTCGTCCGTGTGTTGCGTGTTCCCGTTCTTCAGTCTGGTAGCCAATGTTTGGGCATCGGGTCTTGTATATCCATATCGTAGAACGACGTATTGAACGAGGCGCGCTTCGAAGTTGTAGCGGATGTGGTTACTCGTCGCGGTAGCCATATCCTTCGACAAAGTGTTGAGGAAGGAACTCATATGGGCGACATTCGGAGGCGTATAGGTGTCAAAGCGACTGCGCTGGTCCAAGAAGATGGTCAGAGAAGCTTCAAGTGGTCCAGTTCGATCTGAATTTGACGCTCTCGCGTAGCTGCTAGCTGCTAGCCCAGAGCAACATCGATAGAAGAACCCTGCGTCGAGCTTCAACACTGTCTCCAACACGCGGGAGCTAGCTGGTACAGCCGGATAGTCGGGATAAATCGACCTGTGGTGCTCGAAGAGCCTCGCGCAATGGAAGTTCGCCAGCTTCCAAGCTTCCACCCGGATGTTCTGCAAGGCGACCGCATTCTTCTCCAGCACTCCACGCAGAAGTCGATTTGAACAAAATGCGTTCAGGGGCATGACGAGAGTTGAATACACGAGCGGACTTCGTTTTTCTTTCAGGAGCGACTTGCGAAGATCAGCGGCCACTCGCAACCTCTCGTCTTCCTCGTCCGGAGGTCTCCACCGGATTGCCGTACCCGCCATGGCTCGACGAGTGACAGGGGTGTGCGGCAGGCGGCAAATCGAAGAATGGAAACCCCACACGGAATTTTGAGGACAAGCCGAAGTCGATAGGATCTCGGGTTCGGCAATAAAGGACGAGCCCCCATCTCCTGGCAGCCAGTATCTAAGTTACACGCCATTGAAACCAGGCTATAGAGTCAAAGGCACCACCTTACATTTCAAGAGAAAGAAACCCACTCAAGACACAGTGTTCCTTTTTCTGATGGTTCTAGTCATTAGCTTGGCTGGAGTGTGGTTGATATATCGTGCGGTTGAATGTATCAGGGACGCTGGAGAGTGCACGAAGGTGCTAGTGGGGGTCGGTGGACTTGTGTTGCTCATTATCGGGGTCAAGTGGCCCGTTATGAAGACAGCACTGCTTTGGATACCCTTAATTATTTGCGTGTGCGGCACTCTCGGAGCTGGCATCGCTTACCTTGCTCTTCTCTTACTGGAACAAGTGAGGAAGGCAGACGTCTGTATCGCAAACACGGTTGGTTTTTCAACTCAATCCGATTTTCCGGCGAAAATCAACTCCTTCCTGACCAATCTGAGCGATCGGGTCGAGTTAGCTATGCCAAATGGGCCTGGGCTGTCCTCCCCATTAACTCGCCAGAGAGTTTTATCTACGCCTTACTTCGTCGTGCCTAAGGCTATCGTCGGTGTGATAAGTTCCGGGATCGTAGACGCTATCATGATTCAGCCGTTGGTCTTGATTCTAGCGGTGGAGACCGCTCCGTCTTCGGGCTAGATATCACGTTCCAAGAGAAACCCATTGTCTGCACGTTGTTGATGTGGGTGATTGGTGCAGTGTTCGCATCACCGGTTGCTCTCCCAACTGACTTTGCTCGTTTTTGACGAGCTAAAAGATCCCCAAGTTCAGGTTGAACACACTTGTCCCGAATTATTTAACTTTGAACACTTGGGTTCGCCAGCCACGTAACAAGATGGGAACCGACCCTACTGTTGGTTGTTTCCCAGCCTTCATTCTTGCAAAGACAATCGAAGAAAAGATGCCGTCCGAGACCAGCCACACCGAGTCGAGTTGCCTTCTTCGCCCGTTGTTAGAGGACTTAACGCACCCAAAAATTGAATGGAGTGAAGTGAACTCGAAGCTGAAGAGTGGACTGCAGTGGTGCAGTCGGCTTGCAAAGGAGTTGCTCAAACGAGTCGCCGTCTTCATCTTCCACGCGCTGATCGTGATTGTGGGGGCTGGTAGTGTTATCTCAGCTGGTGTGACGGGGTCACACAGCACAATGCACAGAGGAAGTGCGTGCGGATATTACTATCCAGGTGAACAGCAGTTCACCAGTTCCCGGCCTCAAAGGGAACGGTTTGCTACAAAGGAGTAGGTTATAAGACTGACTGTATTTTGGTAGAGGTTAACTTGGTCGTAATACAAACTACAAGTTAACTATACAAAAGCCCACGCAAACTCAAATGGTTGGCTTGCGGGGCTACTGGTACCATGTACCATGTACTCGGGAGAGTGACACCCGTCACTCTTCATGTAATGGGTACACTTGATTGTACCCCGTTACATCCTCCCCCACTTATCTGAGAATCACATCTGATTCTCCAATCAGCTTCGAGAGAATCCGAACACCCAAAGGTCGGATTCTCGGGCGCTGCCGCCGCAAGGCTGGCGCGCCTCATCGTCACGCCCACAGTGACTTGTGCCCGCAGCGGGCACCCCGCGCGAAACCCCCCTGCCCTCGGCGATGTTGGCCGCGAAGCCGACGCGTTTAGTGGCCGTATTCACAGCGCTAGCAGGCGAAGAGTGCCTCGGCACGGGATGCATGTGCCTCCAAACGTGCGGTGTCCCTCGTAGACAACCAGCAGTTGGCGTCGCATGGCCCTCGGGCCCCGCTGGCACGTTCGTGCTGCAGTGCCTCCCGCGAGGGACAGCACCTTTCCGGTCAGCGCGTAGCGTAACCATGGAGAGAGCTGTGCTGCTCATCTCCGGCCATGACAGCGGCCCGACAGGGCCCCGCTCGTCACAGCACGGTGTGCCGGTCGGCCGAATACGTCGGCTCGACCCGTGGGCTATGGTCAAGCGCTGATCACAGCCATGAAGCGTCATGCTTCAACGTCGTGTTTGCTTGAGCGACCATGGCTGCTTCCAGCAACCCGCTCATCATACAGAGCAACGCGGCGGACTTGTCTAAAGCCCTGCAGCGCGTCACGGCCATCACGTCGCCGACGCTAAGGTGTCTTCCTTCGACACCAGGGTACCGCAAGGGTACTTCATCGTGGTGTGGGGTGTATTGCCCTCCGTCACCGGCGATCGCATCCTGCGTCGCGGCGACCAACACCAGGTCGGTGTGCGTGCAAGACCGCATGGCACACAGTCCATACAGGACCTCAAGGTGTACGAGGGCACCACATCATACACCAAAGGCACGTCGTGTATGACACGTACCACGACTGCCATAAGTGCCTCGTGCACCTCAAGTGCCACGTGCACAAGTAGTGTCGCGTGCACTAGGGGTACCTCGCGTACACCAAGTGCCACGCGCACAGTGAGCGTCACGCACCGCGACTATCTCACAGGTAGTATGTGCCACGTGCGCGCGTATGGCTTCGCGCCTTACAGGTGCGGCATGTGCCGCGCCAACTGTGAATGTCTGCAAAGGCAACACGTTCGGGTTCTCCCCTCGTGGGCAACACCCATGCTCGGGACTGATAGCTACCTGGCCGGCAGACGTGCCGCGCCCAGCGTAGCAACAGCCTGGAGCTTTGGCGTGGTGCTGATGGCTACCTGGCCGGTAGACGTACCGCGTCCAGTGTTGCAACAGCATCACGCTGCGGCATGGTGTTGCGTATGTACACATGCCATCGTCCGCGGACCAAGCCGCAGACTGGCTGCCATGTCTTTGCCTGACATAGGCAGCCTTCCAGCAGCGAATGCGCGCGTCATCTTCGGCCCAGCAGTGACAGTAGCCGCTGCCAAGGTTGCTGGCCATCGGTCACCATGACCATGGAACCTGAGCAGCGATGCATCAGGTCCAGCACCTTCGTGCAATACTTCGTGAGTGGCTACACCATGCAGCCACTACACTGGCTTCTACGACGAAGCAAGTCTCATGCCAGAGACCTCGGGAGGAAGGGCACTTCCGATCCCCTCCCCCACTTACGATTTGAGCCCCGGCGGGTCAGGCGCCAGCCGGCCGCCTAACCTCGCGCCGCCCTGCAGCACCGAGTCACCGTGCCAGCAGACTCCAGTGGCACGGGCAGCTACCCTTCTTTGGCTCTGGGTCAACATCGTCGACCAGGGCTTGGCATCTACCAGCCTGGATGCAGTTTGAGTCTGCGTGACTTGACGTGTTACTCTGTTACCCACGCCTTCGGGCAATGACACCCATGACAGCGTACGGCTTGTCCTGCATTCAGAGTAGCTGCATGGCATGCACGCATACTCAGACTCAGCCATCTCGGCACCGAGTCATGGGCACTTGATGTCCCAACGCCGCACAGTGCTAGGCGCGACAGACCGTACCAACGATCCCTGCCGTGCAGCGGCCTTTGCCTTCAGACCGAGCATGCTCCTGCATGTGGTCATTGAGGTGTCGCCCTCCGGCAGACACGTTCCAGTCGTGATCGACCATGCTCGCCGAGTCGGCGGCGGCGCAACATGCATCGCCGCAGGTACGTCGTGTACCCAATCCACGTCTTCTGTGCGCATGGCCACAGCTGCGCTGGTCGACACCCAGTCGAACGTCATCCATGATGACCGGGTGCCAAGCCCTTGGAGGAAGGAAGTGCTTCCGCGCACTCCTCCCCCGCTTAAAATCAAAGCCGCGCGGCGCCTTCAAGAGGACCGTCCGGCTATGACATCGTGACGGTGTCACGAGCCTCTTAAACTCCGTGTGGTCATCCACCACACGCGAGGAGACCCAAGTGACCTGATCACTAGTCTTGGTCGTACTATCCGTGCGTGGAACCAAGTTACCCACGCTGAAGTCGCTTCGAGCGACTCCTTCCGGCTCATGCGGAGCCTTACGGCATCGTGTGGAACTACGTTACCCACACAGGAAGCGCATCATGCGGCTTCACAATCCGTTACCGTCTGAGTGACGCGTGTGGAACTATGTTACCCACACAGGAAGTGCATCGTGCACCTTCCTCATCAGTTTAGGTCTGAGTGACCTGGCGTGGTACTTGGTTACCCACACAGGAAGCGCGTGCAGCGCGTTCCTCTTCAGTTAAGGTCTGGGCGACCGTCCGTGGTACTTGGTTACCCACGCCGGAGGTGCCTTGAGCGGCCTCCTCAGCATTACATGCTCTGTGCGGAACTAAGTTACCCGCTAGTCAGTGGTCCTTGGTTACCTACCTGGTGGTGTCATCGAACACCACCCTTGTCAATGCTCATGCCGAGCAATGACTCTCAGCACTGGAGTTGCTTGTTGAGGTAGCTCCACATGCCAGGCATAACAGCCCTCGGTTGCAGATACACTGCACCTTCTTCATGGAGATCAGCATGTCAATGATGCCTCCCTTCTTCTTCTTCGTCTTGTCGGACGCATCCAGCGCCCTGGCGGTCCCATCGGACGCCCTTGTGTCTGTCCAGAGGTGGGAACATGACTCACCAATGCTCTGTCAGACACAGAGGGCCGACTTAGCCTCAAGGCGTTGCCGCGCTACTCGACCGAGAGCCTGTGCAGCTTGCACGGCGCACTCAGGGCCAAGTCATACTTGCTCAAGCCGAGGGCATATACGGTTCCATGCCCAGGGCCGGCTTCGGCACGATGTCCGGGACGATGTACGGTTCCATGTCCGGGACCATGTGCGGTTCCATTGCTGTCAGCGCCCTCGAGCGCGGCAGCCAGGGTCACAGCGGACCCCAAGGTTCTTCTTCGGCCCAGCCTCAGTCAATGAGACCTGACCTTGTGCTTAGACTCTCTCTCAGAGTCTCGGCACTTGTGTCGTTATTCCAACCGACACATCTGGCGACGTGCGAACATCCACGCGACGTCCCAGACTCAATCATGTCTAGGGATACCATTACCCCCGCACACTCACGTGTACTACCGACAACCCACCGTTGTCCTTCACCAATGCGAGCGTCAGTGCTCGCAAGGGACCCCGGGTCTCTGTGGTGTACGCCTTCCGTACACCCATCACAAAGACTCGGGCCAACCCCAGCAAGGCCCTCGTCCTTACTGGTGGTTGTGTCCCCCTTGAGCACCTGACGGTGCATGGCGTCGGCGTCCCCTTGACCCTCTGGTCTTCGGGTAGGTCTTCTTCCCAGATCCAGGCGATGGGCAGACACGTTGATAGTGTCCTAGTCCGCCGCAGCCGTAGCAGCGGGCTGAGTACTGCTCAGCCGAACTCAGATCCATGGGTTCTCGTTCGCTGTCAGCGACCACAGGCTGTACAACAGCCAGAGCACCAGCCTGCTTGTGGCTGTACTCTTCCTGGAGGGCGACTTGGATCGCCTCCTCCATAGTGGCGGTGCGCACGCGGAACAACTGCGTGCGCGCAGGACCGACCTTCAGGCCGTCCACGAAGACTGTCATCTTGACGTCTTCCGACAGTGGGTTCCCCACCAGCGAGGTTGCCAACGTGCGCATCTCCTGTACGTACGCGTACAGCTCGCGCTCCCCTTGTTTGCAGGCAAGGAAGCACGAGCGCTGGCGGAACTCGTTGTTCGCCGGGAGAAAAGCGGCTCGAAGCTGCTCACACAGCTGAGCCCAGGATGTGAAACATCCAGGCGACATCGCTTCGCGCGTATACACCCAAGTCCTGGCACGTCCGCCAAGATTGGAGAGCGCGAAGGCGACTCGAAGGTTCTCGGCCGAGATGAGACCTGCGCTCATTGCGATCTCGGTCTCCCGGATCCAGAAGTGAAGGTTCTCACCTTCCTTCCCTTCGAACGGAGGCACCGCTAGCCGCAGAGGCTTAGGCTGCACCCGTTTGGGCTCACTCATCTGAGCCAGCAGGTTTCCCTGCACATGAGCGATGAGCCCGCGTTCGTACTCGTCAAACGCGCTCACCCGCTCGACCTGCTCGGCTGGCGTCGCCGCCGCCAAGCTCCGGAGGGCATCTCTTCCGAAGATGCCCGCCATCTTCCGCACCGACTCGAACTGCGAGTCAGTCAAGTGAGGAAACTCACTTCGGTCCATCGTGGCTCACAGACCTGAGCCACCGAGGATTCAGGTAGACCAATCTACCCACGTAGGCGTAGGATTGACTACAAGTGCTACCAAGTGTGACGGGGTCACACAGCACAATGCACAGAGGAAGTGCGTGCGGATATTACTATCCAGGTGAACAGCAGTTCACCAGTTCCCGGCCTCAAAGGGAACGGTTTGCTACAAAGGAGTAGGTTATAAGACTGACTGTATTTTGGTAGAGGTTAACTTGGTCGTAATACAAACTACAAGTTAACTATACAAAAGCCCACGCAAACTCAAATGGTGGCTTGCGGGGCTACTGGTACCATGTACCATGTACTCGGGAGAGTGACACCCGTCACTCTTCATGTAATGGGTACACTTGATTGTACCCCGTTACAGCTGGGCTCATGCTATCGAGTTTGGCGCTGATGCCCGCCTGGGTCATCGCAGCCTTAATGATTCGGCTGTCTCCGTCTGCCTGGGGTTGCCTGCTTTTCCTCGTGTATCTCGGAGGTGCTGTGGCGTACTGCGTCGCAGTCACATGGAACTTCTATGTCTTTCTCGGACCCCTGATACTATTCGCCGTGCTGTTCGTCCCGGGTGGCTGTGGAGTTTTGCTATTCGTTATCTCGCTGTCCTCCGTGAAAAATGTTCTCGAAGCGGATGTTGTTCTTGCTGAGCTTTTCTTCGGCGACTTGCGGCTCGATTCCGAGGCCTGTTACGAGCCTGAGCCATCATCGTCCGGTAGATCAAGCCTATTTGGTTCGTATCCAGAGCCAGAAACCACTCATTGCCTCTTCACTATTTATCGGCTTTGGTACGTTCTACCCAGTCAGCGCACAAGCGACGAAGTCTTTGTGCTGCCACACCTCGCTATGAGTTGCCAAGAGTAGAAGCTGGTGATCTATTGTGTGGTGTGCAAGGTCGCTATGGGATTGCTGAGTGCTGCGGTCGTCGTCTTTACTGTAATTCAACCTGCGGTGGCGATCTACAGCGGTGGTGACGCACCTTTCCTTGGCAATTTGCTCACATTCAACCAGACTCCCGTCCTGTTCGTTGGCGTGACTTCAGGCCTCTGGGTTGTCAGTGCAGCTAGCCTGATCGAGGCGGCGAAACTTTCCGTGCGGTTGACGGAAGAATGCGTGCTCTCCCTAAGTTTATGAATACCAACTGTGCGGCATTTTTTCCTGGCATTATAGTGCTGAGCTACCGTTGGGTAGGAAACAGAGACAGCTAAGAAAATGTTGGATCTCAACCCTCGAGCTCAGTAAGCACAAAAAATACCCAACAACTCCCAATCTTCCGAAGGAATTATGCCGCTCGGGATAAGTCCTCTGATTCATTTTAGCTTCTCCGTGTCAGTGGCAAGAAGGGTCGCAGTGTAATGCTAACTGGTTGTTCCGATAGCTTACTAGAAAGCAACGCTGGACGTGCTGCTGGTTTTGTTCCAGCAGACACGAGCGTTAGTTGACCCTACAGTTGGGCAGGGGAGTCGATTTGACCCTACCGTTGACTGGGAACAGGGGGCATCTTCTTTCCCTACAGTTGAGAAAACCGGATTGCATCTCGCTCACTTTCGAAAACCGCGGGTAACACAAACGCAATCAACTCCCAACTGCATCGGCCGTGCACCCGACTCGGAAGAAAGTATGCCGTCCAAGACGATTCGTCCAGAGTTGAGATATCTTCTTCTCCCGGTAAGCGGCAAGGATTCGTCGTTGCAGGAATTGAAGCAACCGAAATTTGAATGGAGTGATGTCGGGTACAAGCTGAAGAGTGTTCTGAAGAGAGTGTGCTGCAGTGGAGCTACTGGTTTGCGAAAGAGCTGCTCAAACGAGTGGTCGTGCTCGGTTTCCACGTGCTGAATGTCGTCATTACTGGTGATGGGTTTATTGGCGCTGCGTTGATGCTTCTGTGTTCGGTGCTGGCACCAATCTGCGAGGTGCTTGCCTGGCTTGCCACTCCAGTTAGGGTATTTTTCGTTCCTTTCATCTGGTGTTGGCGTTCTCGATCATGCATCCATACAAGTATGACGATGTACTGGTGCCGATGTCGATAGCCGTGTTCACGGGTGCTGCCTTGTTGTACGCTATGTGGGCGCTCCTCTGTTTTGTCGGGATTGAAATCCTTTTCTGGTGTAGTACACAAGCAGAAAAGTTTCTTGCTGACAGCTTCGAGCCGCCCGAATCGGAGCCTAGTACCTCGTATTTACGACAATACAGTACTCTTGTGCTGGCGGCTTCTGCACGGTGCATTTGATCCTAGCGGACATCCGTTGTGCCAATGGAACATATTTCGTCATTGTCAAGATCTTCGTGGGGTTGCTGAGCGCTGCGGTCGTCGTTTTTCGACAACGTGCCCCTCCTGGGAAATTTGATCACGTTCGACCAGAGCCCTGTCGTGTTTGTTGGAGTGATCTCAAGTCTTTGGGCGGCCGGGGCTTTTGGACTGTTCAAGGTGGCGAAGCTTTCAGTGTGGCTGACAGAAAAGTGCGTAGTCCCCCAAATGTTTTGAATTGGTTGTCTGGGCGCTGATGCCGTGGATGGCCGCGACAATGTTGATCATGCCGTACTGGCTAAGTGGTAGGATTCCACATGTAGTTCACCAACAACCAATTCATTCGCAATTTTACAGTTGAGAAATTTCCGTCGTTCACTCATTTTGAAGAGCAGTTATCACCTGGTAAACATGTACAGTATGCCGTCCGATGCCGAGTCGAGTTGTCATCTGCTCTAGTCGCTCAGAGGAGCAAATGGACACCAACCGACTAGCAAAGCTGAGACTACACCAGTTGACCACCCATTCATTGCACTGCAACCATTGCCGTTCCTCTTCGCCATGCCACTTTGTCATCATGATCAGCGCAGTGCCAACGTGGCGCAGCGGTGCCAAGTGATCACCGAAGGCAACAGCAACATAATGCGCCCGCGGCCACTCGTCTCGGTGCGTCTGCTTCGCCGAATCTTCTGCGTCCCCTCGGCAAATCAGGTCTGGATACCAGTCAGTCGACGGATAGCGGGCCCCGTCGACTGCTTCCTGGCGGCAGCCGCCTGTCGAGTCCCCATCCACCAGGGGCGATCATGGTCGCCAAGACCAGACGCCGCAGTTCCAGACTCGCGCCCAAGCCCAAACATGCAGGTGGGCCGACCCTTTGACGACGACTTGCGCCGATTCCGCGGCGACGCGCGCGTGGCCGTCGCCCCCGTCGGCGCTGCATTCCATCGCCCCGCCCCCAAGACCTTCGCCGCTATGGTGCCGGTCGAAGAGATCCGGCTGGATGTGGGCCCCAAGACCCTGTGCCAGGGACGCCGACGCAGCGATATCCAGCGGCAAGGCAGTCTGGAAGACATCCGACCTGCGTCGCCCATGGCCGGCAAGCCCAAGGACCTGAGCTTCCTCGGGCGCGTGCATTCGTCGTGGACAGAGGTGGAGAGCGAGCCTGGCACGGCGGAGCTGTCGGTCGCTAGCGGCGATCACCTGCTCTCGTTCCGTGACGAGGCCGCCGGCTCCTTCCGCAGCATGGAAGTGCTGACCTGCTTCCGATCAGAAGTGCGGCGGGGACTGCGTCTACTGTTGAAGGCAGCGACCGCGGAGCAGTGGCACATGTGCTGGGCCGTGCTGTTGTCGATGTTCCTGCTGCCGATGATCCTCGCGCTCATGGTGGTGGCCGGCGTGGGCTTTGTCGTGTTATCCACGTGGGTGGCCATCGCCGCCGCCGTGGTGTATCCGCTCGCGTACATCAACCCGAGATTGTACAGCTACACCACGGACTCGTAGAGACCGAGGTAACGCGGGGCTTGAGGTATAAAGGCCCTGCAGTTTCGACAGTGTTGCAGCGATGAGTTTCGTCGTTGCTGAGCTGCTATTATGCGTGAAATTTATGTAGTTTTCTTACACGTACGTCGTGAATGGTGCGCATGGAATTGTCTGCTGTTGAAACTTTTAAAGAGGTTGACCTGTTGTTTGGTGGATTTCAGGGCAATGCATGTCGTTTTGCACTGGCAGCACCTCGGCAAGTTGCAAATCCAGAGGCGCCTTCATGGGTACAAGTGAAACACCTTGAAGTCGCAAGCTGCTTCGATCCTATGAACCCACTTTGATAGCTACATGCACATTTGCCAATGCGAGTGCCTCTCCATTCCTGAAAAATCCGAGTGAGCAACAACACCTCCAGCACCAACTAAGCATCTCCACACTCAACGTACCCATGGATCCGTCGCAAAAGCTCGCGCCGTCCCCAGTCAAGCCAAGAGCGAGCTGCTGCAGTGTCAAGTCGTCCAAGCGGGTGGGTGCTCTGCTCGCCTTCCACCTGCTGAACGTGCTGGTATCCGTCGGTGGAGGCGTTGCCGTGGCTCTCCTGCTGGCGAGCATGGTACTCATGCCAGCCTGGATGGCAGCCATGGCGATCGTGGTATTCGTGGTGTTCCTACTGCACCTGGCCCAGCAAATTCCCCACAAGTGCGGGGTGTTCTTTGGTTACGGAGTGCTGATGGTGCTCTATGTGGCCTCGTTTTCCTTGGATTGGTACCTGGCGTATGGCCCCTACATGCTATTCGGGGTTGGTGCCGTCGGCGTTATGCTCTTCTATTTGTCGACGGTAGCTGTGAAGTTCCTAGTGAAGGCTGACGTCCACGTTGCAAACCTTATCAAGCGTACCGATTCCACGCAAGAGCATCAAGAACTCGTGCCCGAGGAGTGCATGGAGCGATTCGTGGTCTCGAAAGCAACCGACATCAGCATTCTCCTGCCCCATGTTCTCATGACACGTCGCGTGTGGGTCGCTGCTCTCTACTTCGCTGCTGTCAACGTTGCTATGGGGGTGCTGAGTGCTGCTGTACTTGTGTGCACGGTGGTTCTGCCTGTGCTGGTGGTTGTCAGCAGAGGTGACGCGCCCTTTGTCGGAAGCCAAGCCACGTTTCACGACAACCGCGTCGTGTACATCCTGTCGTCCCTCTCAATCTGGCTGGCCGGAGCCATTGGGTTGCCTGTGGTGGCAGCGTTGTCTGCGAAGCTGACGACGCGCGTATGTGGGGAATGGGAGTCCGAAAGAACGGACACCCAGATTGAAGATAAGGCCGACTTGGCAATCCCGGCAACTCCCGGGGCGAGCTCGGCAGGCTTCGCAGAACTCGAGTCGGGCACCCCCGTCGCGACGACAGGTGCAATGACTGCACTGTAAGGTGCCAACCCAAAGATCCCGAGAAAAGTAAAATATTTATCGTGCTCCGTAATACATTATGATGGTTTGAAGTAGTTTTGATCGTGAACTTCATCGCGAAGTTTTTTGGTTGGGGTTGGGGTGACGCTCTCCCCCGGAACGCGTGGACGGCGGCGAATGCCGCTCACGGGCTTCCGGCAGGCGCTCTCGGGCGTCTGCAAGTCCCTTGCGAGTCTCTCCCTTTGGCAGCCACCTTCACCAGCAGTACTACCCGTCACAACCCCCCTTCCGTATCGTTCTAACCGCACTGACCGCACTAACCGCCTTAGAATAGGCTCGTTCAATGTGCAGTCCCTAGGTTCGCTATACAAGCAGTTTGAAACGCTTCCCCAAGACCTGTGCCGCTACCAGATCGATATCCTTGGCCTCCAAGAGACCAAGCTGTATGAGCTGGGGCGCTTTGAGGTCGGAGACTACTTACTACTAACGTTGCCGGCACAAGAAGAGCGCTACGGAGTTGGATTTGCCATCTCTCCTCGCGTTACTCCTTACCTCCGTCGGTGCTGGGCTCACAGCGACCGTATCGGCACCTTGCAGATGCGGCTACCTAACACAGGACCCATCAACATCGTCACGGCCTACGCTCCACACAGCGGGCGCCCACTAACTGAAGTAGATACTTTCTACGCAGACCTTCGAGCAGCCATGGACCAATTCCCCCGCAGAGATATCACCATGATTACCGGAGACTTTAACGCAAAACTCGGGCAGAAAACAACCGGAGAAACGTTTCTCGGGCCTCATGCACGAGGCACGCGTAACCGGAACGGCCACCTCATGGCTGCCTTTTGTGATACTTATCAACTCTTTGCTACCAATACAGCCTTTTCCAAGCGAGCGAAAAAACAAGACCACCTGGAGCCAGCGCAAGCGGACACACTGTGTCTACAATCAAATCGACTACGTACTCTGCCCTCAGAGTTGTAGACGGGTCTGTCTAGATGCCCAGTCCTGGGGTGGGGCCATCACCCCGTCCGACCACAAGATCGTCACCGCGGACTTTGAGCCCAAGCACATCCGCCGCCTCCGGTTTCCGTCGCGTCGCACAAGCGGCACAACTGTTCACCTCGCACGCAGCGAGTTAGTTCACAACGACGACTCCAGAACCGCTTACGCATCAACCGTTAAACGGATCCTACCCCCCGCAGACGCTGACGATGGATCCACTATCAACCTGCAATGGGAGGACACTTTTGCGATGCTACACGAAGCAGCATCGCAGACCATCGGGTTTTCTTCGCCGGATCAACGATGCTGCCGCAGCTACGACGATCCGCTGCTCGCCGCGCTGTCCGAGCAACAACGCCAGCTCCGGCTCCGCATTTACAACGACACATCGGCCAACACAGCGCTGGTGCGCTCTCAGCGAAACAAGATCCTACACCAGATCCGCACTCGCTGCTGTGACCTCGCTAACATGGCCCTCGACGAAAAGGTTTCACCCATCGATGCTTCAAGCGACTCTCACAAAATGTTCGTTGCCGACCGCGATCTCGCCCGCAAACCGACGCAGCAGCTTCTAATTCAAGACTCATCAGGTAAGTATATACTTCACAGAAACACAGCTAACAAAATTGTCCGAGATCACTTCCAAGAACAGTTTCTAAATCCAGATCAAGCTCAAGTATCGCCAGACCCAACAGCTCAACCCCTCGACTGCCCAATCACGCCGGACGAAGTCCGTGGTGCCCTGCTTCGACTGAACAACGGTCGTGCTGCTGGCCCCGATGCTATTCCTGGTGAACTACTCAAGTATGCCGCTGCTGACGTTGCTCCACGACTCGCACATCTACTAAACCGCATTTTCGAACGCGGTGAACCCATCCCACTGGGCCAAGTTATCCTGTTGTGTCTCCAGAAGCCGAACAAGCCACGAGGGCAGTGCTCAAGCCTACGCCCGATAGTTCTCCTGAACACTATTGGCAAAGCGGTGTCACTCATCGTTCTCCGCCGCATCACACCCGCGGTCGACAAGTTTCTCTCAGGCCACCTAAGTGGCTTCCGCAAGAGCCGCAGTACGGCTGACGCGGTGTGGGCCCACAAGTGGCTGTGCGCACGGGGACAACAGTATCGTGAAATCGTTCATGTACTGGGTATCGACTTCTCGCGCGCGTTCGACACGATCGACCGTACCAAACTCCTCAAAGTTCTACAGCAGTTTCTACACGACGACAAAATCCGGCTGATTCGACTCTTACTATCAGACACAACGCTTTCACTCCGCATCGGCCACCAGATCCTGCAACCATTCGGCAGCAACACAGGTACGCCACAGGGCGACTCATTCTCACCAGTATTAGATCTAGCTAGTCACCCTGCAATGCCGCGGGACCTGCTCCAGCAAATGATCGTGTATGCGGACGATGCCGACTTTATCTGTCGGGACCCCGCCCTCGTCGAGCTCATCCAGACCCATGCCCCGGAAGTATTCGCGCGCTGGTCGCTTCAAATGAACGCGGCAAAGACGGAGCACACAATTCTCCGCCGCTGCCTGACACCTGCCAGTGCCGACCCCCACGCTCGTGCAGAGGAAGAAGCATGGAGGTCTACGCGGAAGCTTGGCTCGTTGCTCGGAGATGCCGATGACGTATCGCGTCGGAAAATACACGCTGCGGCTGCTCTTCGGCGGCTCTGGACGGTCTGGCTGAGATCGCACCGTATCACAGATACGACACGAATTCGCCTCTACAACTGCGGGACCTGGGCGCTTACACCAACGGAGCTTCACCGACTCGAAAGCTTTCACCGTCACCAGCTACGGTCTGTCCTCAATGTGCGTTACTCGTACCACATCTCCAACGCTGATCTCTACGCAACGTGCAACGAGCGGCCGCTCCGTCACCGGATCACATCTGCGAGGTGGGGGCTTCTCGGGCACATTCTACGGCGACTACAAGATATCCCGGCGTTTATCCAGATGAAGGCGTATTTCTCTTCCTCCGACAGCAGCAAGTGGAGAGGTAGGCCCCGCACCACACTGCCTCTTGTCCTCGACCAGGACCTTGATGCTAGTGGGTGTGGCTACCGCCTCCGCACCAGCTCAGACTTGGAGAGACTTCGACTGCTTGCCCAAGACTGACGTAAATGGAAGGCCCTCATGACTACCATTGCTGACTCACTGCCAGCCAAAGGAGACTCGACGTATGCGGACACCACACTATGCCGCCGACTAGCTAAACTGAGACTAGCGCAGGTGTAATTTGGCAACGCGAACACGTAAATCATTGCATTGCATCACGAAGTCTTCATCCAACCTCATGTCGACAATTTCTACGAATCAAAACTTCAGATTTATCACTGGAAGCAACGCTCCAGGATGCTGATCAACGGGCCGGCGGAGTGGAGCGAAGCGCTACTGACCACGGGCGTCAAGAGCAACCTGCTGCGGAATGGTAGGGAGCTCTATACTCCTCTCTATGCGCGAGTGTGCTAAGTGTACGAGCTTCTCCTGTAGGGTACAACTCCAAGTTGCAGGTGTCGGCGATGACGCTTGGCTCAACTGTCGCCATCACAAGATATGCCGACACTGATAGCAGTGCGGGGCTTGCACGTGGTATTTCGGACCAACCCACTGATTCGTTAGTTCTGCACGAAGAGAACCCGGGCAGTGTAAGTGAGTGGGAAACGATGCCCAAGAAGGGATTTTGGTGTTTGAACCCTGGTACTTCTTGTAGGAGACGATGGCGTCGCGTTATCGGCTGGTTGCGTGGTCTAGTGGATCGACGGAGAAGAGCTTGCTAGCAATTGCATCGACAACACGAGTGGAGATTTGGGAGGTCACTGTTACAAATGGCATCTCGGCAATCTTGAAAGGCTCTGCAGACGTCAGCCACTCGCAAGGACTGGCGTGGAATCCGTGCAACGAAGTGCTACTTGTACGTACCAGTCCTAGCATATTTTTGGTTTGTGCTCTCGAGTGATCCAGTGGGTGTGCTAACAACTATGTGTAGATTTACTCGAAGACGGAGCTTCTGTTGATCAACGCATCGCGTCCAGCTTTATCATGGCGAACAATTTACAGTGACAACTGTACCCGCCATGCTTGGGGAGCATGCTCATGGAGTCCTTGTGGCTTGCATGTATCACTGTACGTCAAAATGTTTAGCGGAAGGATCCGATAGCACTTCTGACTCGTGGTTAATGTTTGTTCAGCGCCCAAAGTCATGTTCTTCACTGCTTCAGTTGGGCAGATATGGAATCCTTAGTCTCGGACATTCCGAGGCACGATCAGATAGATGCTGGTAGCTGCATCAAAGACGCCAACGGATTTCGGTTGGACGTCGGGAATGCCAGTGTCGGTCCCATCGCCGCTGTTGTGCGCGTATCCGCAACAGTCTGTATTCTCACGACTGACACAAAGTTGATACTCGAAGATCTTTCTCGCTCGGATCCAGTTAGCTCGAAGATGAACTCTGGTCTTGGAGACAGTATTTCCATTGGGTCAAGTTTGCTTCTACGTCCTGAAAGCCGACCTTGCTCGGGAATACGTGAACAAGTACAAGCACCAACTCCGTCCAACGATGTCATCGATTTGACGTCAGTTCGAGTTGCGGCCAATTCTAAACAGAGTTCGCTACAAATACTGAACCGCGTCGAGGTACGTATCAAAAAGTTCTTACTTAGAGCTAACTAGAAGCATCATGGGGTTTATGTGTGGTGTGCGTGGCTAATAACACGTGCATGAAATTGCTTAGACTGCATACACTCGCGTTACTCCGGACGATGAGAAACCGCGCTCGCACTTGCTCATCGTGGAGTACAAAGCGGGACAGTGGGGCATCACCTCGATCCTGGATCTGCCCCACTTGACTTCTCCCGATCTCCTTGTAGTCCAGGTTCGTCTCTATTTAGTCCGTTCTCAAGCGGTGAATGCTAACTGGCCAAGATGCGTTTCATCGATGAGCAGGAGATGCGGGTCCTTGTTGGAAGCTGCTTGTCACCGCGCCTTGTTGTTGCACACTTGGACGTATCCGATCGCATGGAATGGACGGCTTCCCTCTCGGGTGAACTGGTGAGTCACCGCTTAACCATGCCCACTTCGAGTTAACAAGCCGTTCACTAACTGCAATTTCCTGTTGTTTGCGTTCAGGAGCTGCCGCCAACGCACGTCTGCCGCGGAATCTACCTCGCCCAGCGGTCTCCGTTTGTAGACGTCGCCTCCACGGAGAAGCGCAAGCGCGCGACCTTCTTCCACGCCGCTGCGAGCCACGAGCCGCAACCAGTTTACCTGTCCAGATTCAAGGTTCCCCGCCGAGCGCGACCCAAACCCAGCACCACACCACCCGGCAGCGCGCAGGAATCGCCAGCAATTGCTGCTGATAAGACGGCGAAGAGCTCTGTCGACGGCGGCAGCGACAGCAAGGATCTGATGGAGCTCATCCTTGTGAAAATGACGGCCATGCAGACGCAGCTGAACGCCCGCTTCGACGACGTGGACAAGAAGCTGCAGCATTTGACGGCTCGCGTCGAGCAGATGGAGCGCAACAACAGCGGATCACTATCTAAGTGAACTAACAGCAAGAGTGATGGTCTCCTGCAACCATTCCGCTTCAGCCTCAAGCGGCTGTCTTGTGCTAAGCTTGCATACCGGGGACATGCTGGGGGCATTGAGAGCTCTTGGTGACCTGGCCCGTTTGGCCAAAGTATCCATTCGCATACAAACTTCAAGATAAGATAACGGATCCCCGTCATTCTCGATCATTCTTTGTGTACGGGCAGTGTGGCACACGACGGAGCCCCACGCAGGCAGATCGTCAGAATCTAACCGACGAAGCAAGACTCAAGACCACCGCACAGACACAAGAAGCATGGGCCGCTCTCGTTCCTCGCGTCCTGCCGCCCGCCCGGCCCCCCGCCGCGCCCCTCCGCCGGCTCAGCCGCGTCGTCCCGCGCCCGCCCCCGCCCAGACCCAGGCCGCCCCCCCTCCGGCGCACCAGAGCAGCAGCGGCGGCGGCATGATGAGCGGCCTCATGGGCACGGTCGCCCAGGGCATGGCCTTCGGCACGGGCAGCGCCATCGCGCACCGCGCCGTGGGCGCCGTGGCCAACTCGTTCTCGGGCTCGGACGCCCCGCAGCAGCAGGAGGCCGCCGCCCCGGCCCCGCAGGACTACCAGGCCGCGCAGCCGCCCCAGCAGAACCAGTGCGGCGCGGACCAGAAGGCCTTCCTGGAGTGCCTCAACACCAACAGCAACGACATCAGCGCCTGCCAGTTCTACCTCGACCAGTTCAAGCAGTGCCAGCAGAGCGCCTTCATGTAGACTCGCTCAGCGTGAAGGACATGCGAGCTTGAGACCAGCCGGAGGCTCTGACGACGATGAGGGAAGCTGAAGCCCTCCTCTTTGTCTGCGAAGACGAGTTATGCCTCAGCGGAGCAGACAGAAAGGGCGGAGGACAAGTTGTCTTCTTCGGGGTCGCTGGGGACCTGTCCGCCTGAGCCAGAGCGAGCACTAGACGCCAAAGACCAATAAATGAACTGCGCGTGCAAAAAGCACGAGTTCGCAATTATCCTATGCACACTTTTTCTTGTTGTGTTTTCTGGTGCCCAGGCGGTTGTTACCCCCCGCTACGCCCGGCCATCGCTGTGGATGTGTCAGTTCGCGCTAAACACTGTTCCGCTGCACGTACACTTCGGGAGGACGCTGATGAAATTTGAATGCCCCCGCTGCGATTCGCGGTGCGATCAGTTGACAATACTAGTAGTATGTCCACTTTCGGACGCAGTGGCAGGTCTCCTTGCTCTCGGCTGCTCTGCTAGCCGAGAGCTCGATAAAGTTTCATGCAGAACTGCTGCGATCGTTGCAGATGAAATTTCAGTGCTGCTGAGTCATGCACGCGCACACAAGGGCCGTCAATCCATGCGGCGCAGCTGAAGCGGCGGCATTAGCTACTGAGTTGCCCTTCGACGTGCTTTTGTTCAGATGCCACCCTGGGTAACTTAACAATTCGGCCCCTGGCACTAATATCTGAACAATTCTCACCGATGCGCGCATGCAACTAACCCGAACTTGCTCAACGGAGCCAGGATTCCTTCCGCGGGATTTCCCCCGTGAAGCCCGAGGCAGCAGCAGAATGAGCCAGTGAGGAGGAGAACATGAGCGAGTCATGGTAGAAGATCGAGATTTGACAAAGACATCTTGACAGTGCTTCGAGTGAGTAGCGTAAGAGCGCGCGATTTTGTCGAGAAACCATTGCCATCGTTCTGGCTAATGTCAGCACGACAATTCTCGCGGAGAATTCACTCAGCGTTGAAGAAGATCTCGCGCCTCGCTCAGTCACTCGCTGATGTCCTCTTTCCTTTCGCAATGAACGATCACGAGCAGGAGGTGGCGGCAGCCACACACAGTCTCTGTACGTACGGTAGTTCAGACCGGAGATCGATGACGGCACGGCGGTTCTCCGAGAACTTCTCGCGGAGAATTCACTCAGCGTTGAAGAGGATCTCGCGCCTCGTTCACGTTTCCCTCCTTCCCTACGCAATCAGAAAGCACAAAGATCGCGCGGCGGGAGCGGGCACCGTGGCGGCAGCTTACCTACAGCGTCTATAATTCAGGTGTCGAGCGGATAAGCCTTCCAGAGTGTATTGTCATTGCCGCTACATTTACAACCTCGCACCGCAGGCATCCTTCCCAGCATTAGCCCTGCCGATCTCCGCGTCGCAAAAGATTCGCCATCTGCTTTCACCCAACGGCAACCTTCCCCGACGATTCGGTCTAATTCGGGTTGAAGTGCCCATTTGTTTTCCTAAAAGAAGTGCCCATTTGCAAAGCGGAAAATCTTGCGATTTGATGTAGTTTTTATAGTGGTATGACAAAATTTGTCGAAATGAATTTTCAATGAACAAAACATCATTTTTTGTCCTGAACTTTACCCAAAGCAGACAACGTGGATCACATACTCGTACAGCACGACAATATGCCGTGCTGAGGATTGTAAACCACCCCGAGCGAGATCTTTGGCAGTCCACCTTCTTGTAATTTTCGAAACTGTTGGTGGCTCCCAGGGCTCAGAAAGCCCCTTTATCCGTAAACATACATTGCAGTAGCTCCATTGCCAACCCGTACCATTAGACACAGGAACCCCGACGCAGAAATCGTTAAATTTACGATGCTTGGTATGACCCCCTCCTCCAATTCAACGGCAATTCGTTTGCGAGAGAAGCCTGAAGCACCGACTGATAATGTATCGCTGTCTTTACTACTAATATCTATCAGAAATCGGGTCAGTCGCTATAGAATACGTAAATACTAACTATCCAACCGTTGCTACAGGTGCATAGACTCTAAATAATGTGATAGCTGCTACCCACCTGAGTCCGCTGGGTTTGTTCTACTCGCTGTTTTGCTCATCCCAGCTTGAGTGTGTCTGCATTAGTGGGGCACATATATGGTTTTTACGTTTACTGAGAGCGTAAATACGCATGTTCCGGTAGGGAATCGCCTTCAATGGTCATAGTGATCCTACTTTGAGTAGCGTGCTCGCACGGGTACATCATCGATAGGCGGGGCTGCAGCTGAGCGCGACTCCGAGATATAGCCTCCTAAACCGCAACAAATTTAAAGTCGAATTCTACTCTGAATAATACCCTGGTGATTAGCCTCCTTTGAAACAAGGTCGTGGAGAGCATGGGCTCACCACCAGGGATAAAGCAAAATGCAATACGGTTAATTGGACTCGCCAACCCTCTCCTATTAATGATGTGTTTTCTAATCCTCCGATGATAGTGCTGCATATTTTTTCGAGAGATCGATGTCGGTGCAGAGCTTGTTGCTGCACAAGCGATGTACCAGGCGCAGCTACGATACGTCCCTGGCGTGATCGGTTACTTTATGTTTCGGGGGCGGAGAGTCAAGAAATGAGCGAAATCGATTGAAAGATGGGGGAGTGGAGACCAGGGAGGTGAAGGCCCTATTCTTGAGCATCAGAAATGCTGACTTTCGCAATAATAGCACTGGTATTTTACTATTAATCATGGGCTGAGTGCTGCAGTAGTGTATTATCACAATAATATTGTTCAAATCGCTTACATGTAGTCTACCGAATCCGCGCTGCCGGCGCCACACCATTGCTCAACAAAGCTGCCTAGCTGCACACATGCAACACACGAGTCCCATGCTTTGCCATGTTGTATGGTGGTATGCATGCATTTCCGCGGATTTCAGCCCTCGATGTATTTTGCAGGCATGCCGGTGTAGCACCCGAATCTTTCCTCTAAAAAACACCTGCTAGCCAACAAAAACCATCCTGAGAATCAATCAGAAAGACGCGCTGTCCGTCCGTCACAAAATCGTCACGCTTATTCACTAAGTACGAATTACACTAAGTACGAGTAGCTGCCGAGCGCAGCGAAGGCGGCTCCGTCGCCGAAGGCGACCCCACCATACGATATTGCGGGGCCGCAGGACCCGCCCCGGCCTCTGTAGTACTAATCTAACATTGAGAGTAGTGCAGCGAGCCGACGAGGCGAGCGGAACGGGTCCGCCACTGCCGTAGCGAAGCGTAGGCAGTCTGCTCCAATAGCGCAGCGAGCATTGCGAGCGAAGCGCCAACTAACAAAAAATTCACCGCCGCGTAGCGGCGGCGCTCGGCTAGTGCGAATCACTACCGGAACAGCATCTGCTGTTGCGCTTGGTCAGCGCGTGGCAGGAACAGCAGCAGCAGGTAGGAAAGCAGCGAGAAGTCCCATATTTTTGGGTCTTGAGACCTTCCACCGGGAAAAACCTCGGCGTGTAAAGCACCTCGGTTTGACGGCAAGATTGTATAGCATACGAAGGGCCATAGCTTTGCGGGCGCTCTGCTCCACCCGTTTGTGGGCTCTTTTCTCTGCAGGACCTCCCCCGGCCGCGCGTTTCCTCGCGCTCGGTTGGCTGCCGAGCTCAAGCCATTTCCTCTTTTGGATCCAGCTAGTCCGAAAGGGAGAAGCCCAAGCACCCTACACCACCACCCCGCCGCTACCCCCCCCACCCCAGCAGCAACCATGGTACGGGCCGCTGCACGTGCATGAACTAAACAGACAGCCTCGCAGACCTCCGCCGAGGCGCGGGCGCAAGATACCCACACAGATAGACAGACAGAAGAAACTAATGCGCTGTATCTTCTTGTCCCCCTCTCTCTTTCTACCTTGTGACACGCTCAGGTGAACTTCACGGTCGAGCAGATGCGTGAGATCATGGACTACACGAAGAACATTCGTAACATGTCCGTGATTGCCCACGTCGACCACGGCAAGTCGACGCTGACGGACTCGCTCGTGTCCAAGGCCGGTATTATCTCGGCCAAGCACGCCGGTGAGGCCCGTTTCACGGACACGCGCGCGGACGAGCAGGAGCGTTGCATTACCATCAAGTCGACGGGTATCTCGATGTTCTTCGAGTACGACATGGACGTCGGTGAGCAGGCCACGGCCGCCGCCATCGCCAACGAGTCGGCCGACGCCGCCGCCTCGCAGGAGGTGACCATCTCCAAGAACTCGTACCTGATCAACCTGATCGACTCGCCTGGTCACGTTGACTTCTCGTCGGAGGTGACGGCCGCTCTGCGTGTGACGGACGGTGCTCTGGTCGTGGTGGACTGCATTGAGGGTGTCTGCGTGCAGACCGAGACGGTGCTGCGCCAGTCGATCGGTGAGCGCGTCAAGCCCGTGCTCATGGTGAACAAGGTGGACCGCGCTCTGCTCGAGCTGCACCTTGAGCCCGAGGACTGCTACCAGTCGTTCACTCGCGCTATCGAGACGGTGAACGTCGTCATCGCCACTTACTTCGACGAGAAGCTGGGCGATGTCCAGGTGTACCCCGAGAAGGGCACGGTTGCCTTCGGTTCGGGTCTCCACCAGTGGGGTTTCACCCTGAAGAAGTTCGCTCGCCTCTACTCCAAGAAGTTCGGTATTGCTGAGGATAAGATGATGCAGAAGCTGTGGGGCGACTGGTACTTCGACGCCGCCAACAAGAAGTGGACGAGCAAGAACAACGCCGAGGGCTCGCTCAAGCGTGCTTTCTGCCAGTTCATCATGGACCCCATCATCAAGATGTTCGACGCCATCATGAACGACAAGAAGGCCAAGTTCGAGAAGATGATGAAGGCCGTGGGCGTGGAGCTCAAGTCGGACGAGAAGGACCTGTCGGGCAAGCCCCTGCTGAAGCGCGTCATGCAGCGCTGGCTGCCGGCCGCCGACGCCGTCCTTGAGATGATTGTGGTGCACCTGCCGTCCCCCGTGACGGCTCAGCGCTACCGTGTGGACACCCTGTACGAGGGCCCCCAGGACGATGAGTGCGCTGAGGCCATCCGCAAGTGTGACGTCAACGGTCCCCTGGTCATGTACGTGTCTAAGATGGTGCCAACCTCGGACAAGGGCCGCTTCTACGCCTTCGGCCGTGTGTTCGCCGGTAAGATCGCCACGGGCCAGAAGGTCCGCATGCTCGGCCCCAACTACGTGCCCGGCAAGAAGACCGACCTGTGGGTCAAGAACATCCAGCGTACGGTCATCATGATGGGCCGCTACGTCGAGCAGACCCCCGACATTCCTGCCGGTAACACGTGCGCCCTGGTGGGTGTCGACCAGTACCTGCTCAAGTCCGGTACGATCACCACGTCCGAGACGGGCCACACCATCCGTACCATGAAGTTCTCCGTGTCGCCCGTTGTGCGTGTGGCCGTTGAGCCCAAGACCGCTTCGGACCTGCCGAAGCTTGTGGAGGGCATGAAGCGTCTGTCCAAGTCCGACCCCATGGTCCTGTGTTACACGGAGGAGTCGGGTGAGCACATTATCGCCGGTGCCGGTGAGCTCCACCTTGAGATCTGTCTGAAGGATCTGCAGGAGGAGTTCATGGGCACGGAGGTCAAGATCTCGGAGCCCGTTGTGTCCTACCGTGAGACGATCACGGGCACCTCGTCCAAGACGTGCCTGTCGAAGTCGCCCAACAAGCACAACCGTCTGTTCTGCGAGGCCTCGCCTCTGGGCGACGAGCTCACTCAGGAGATTGAGGATGACAAGGAGGAGGTGACCCCCCGTTACGACTTTAAGCTCCGCGCTCGCTACCTGGCCGACAACCACGACTGGGACGTGACCGACGCCCGTAAGATCTGGGGCTACGGCCCGGACGGCACGGGTGCCAACGTGTTCGTGGACGCCACCAAGGGTGTGTCGTACCTGAACGAAATCAAGGAGTCCGTGCTTGGCGGCTTCAACTGGGCCACCAAGGACGGTGTGCTTTGTGAGGAGGTCGTGCGTGGCATGCGCGTGAACCTGCTGGATGTGGTGCTTCACGCTGATGCTATTCACCGTGGTATGGGCCAGATCCTGCCCACCACCCGCCGTGTGGTGTACGCTTGCCAGCTCGTGTCGGAGCCCGCCCTTATGGAGCCTGTCTTCCTTGCCGACATCCAGGTGCCCCAGGACGCCGTTGGCGGCGTGTACGGTGTGCTGACCCGCCGTCGTGGCCACGTGTTCGCCGAGGAGCAGCGCCCGGGTACCCCCATGATGCAGCTGAAGGCGTACCTGCCCGTCAACGAGTCGTTCGGTTTCACCGCTGACCTGCGTCAGGCTACGGGTGGCAAGGCCTTCCCGCAGTGCGTGTTTGACCACTACCAGGTGATCGGCGGCGACCCGACGGACACCGGCAACATGGCCGGCAAGCTGGTGAACGGCGTGCGTGTCCGCAAGGGTCTGTCCCCGGACGTGCCCCCGCTTGACCGCTTCTACGACCGTCTGTAAGGCGTTTAGCTCGAGCAAAATCTTCTGTCGTGGTGCAGCCCGGTGCCATTGAGCGCGGGCGAGTCTCATGCGTCTGGATTTGTTTCGGCTTGTAGCTCGGTTTAACGTCGTAGTTGAATCAAGATGCCTCTTTTTATATCCATTCTTCCTTCACTGTTTCTTCTTGCTTTGTGTGTCTTTCTTTATGAAGTCTGGCTAGCAGTTGTGCCAGGCGAGCAGTGCTACTAGCGTTGATCTCCTGTTCGCTTAGGGTTTTCAGTTTGTTGCCGTGCCGAGTTGTCATAAGCGCCACCACCATCACTGGCATCCCTGATCCACATAGCGCGAGATAGTATGATGTACTACGTGCACGACGCAGCCGTCGCGGCGCCGCTGAAAAGCGTCGTGCAAACTTCTATCGCCGTACTCAGTGCTGAAAACCTTCGCAGCTGTCAGCTTCTCGCTCAATCCCAGTTTTTTTGCCAGGGTATCATGAAATCCACGAACACTACGGCTGCTGTCTGGTGGCAAGCCATGGTCAGAACTGTGGAATTGACCCTCGCCGATGCTACCATGGCAGGCGGAGTAACTTGACACTGCCGCGTCTTGGTCTTTGAGAGGATTGCTTTTTGCAACGAATGTATGGCACTGGCAGCAACTTTGAATATTCCAGCGCAGGCTGGCCTAATTTCCCCACCGAGTAGAAGCTCCCCTTGCAAATTCGATCCATCAAAAGTACCAGGTACTTGAAGTTAAAGGCGATGTTCATGTAATCGTTGCACCGGATACATTCCGGTGAGGACAACGTCCTTTGGACATGACAACCGCAAGCGTCGACCGGCACCAAGGGCTACCAAGTAAGACCTTAGTAGATGCAATTCGTTCGCGAATCACACTACAGGCTGTAGCGTACAGCTACTGCTGCCGACGCAGCGAGGCTGGGGGCGAAGCAGGCAAAGTGTCCGCTTCGTTCGTTGATGGACATCATTCTGGCGAAATGGACGGCAACTTCAACCAGGTGCCCCCGATCGCCCGCCGCATCTCTACTGTGCGCTTCGCTAGTAAACCGCGGCGCTTACGAAAATGGAGACCGCACTGGAATGAACATGCATGGAGCCGGTGCTGCACCGCCGTCTGGGACTTGCAATCGTAAGCTTCAGCGCTTACGTGTCGGCAATGAGAGCAGAATCAATGCTCACATTTGACTGCAATGCTCGCGCTGTACTAGTTGAAGTTGCCCTCCTTGCGTTCCCGTCGTTGACGTCACTCGACTTGCTTTCGAAGCGTGTCAAGCGCAGCACTTTACTGTAACGGCCGAAGTGACGTTGTCCGCTCTTTTCGGCACATCCGCGCCAAGGACCTGTTGTGGTTGAAGCTGCCAGCTCTATCGACGTACCTTTGGTACTGCTGGTACTGTACCGCCGGCAATACACTGGCTGGGACGGGAGCCTCTCATTCTGCCTTTTGCACTCTCGCCGTCAAGCCCCGCAGACCCGCTCTCCACGCCGCCATGCAGCGCCAGGTCCTCCGTCAAGCCCCCCGCTTCGCCGTCAAGTCGGCCGCGACCGCCGCCAAGGCCTCGCCGCTCGTGCTGTCGCGCCACTTCTCGACGCCCGTGCCGGTCAAGCAGACCAAGCTGCTGATCAACAACGAGTTCGTGCCGTCCGTCTCGGGCAAGACCTTCGAGACGTACAACCCGGCCACCGAGGAGAAGATCACGGACGTGGCCGAGGCCGGCACCGCCGACATCGACGCCGCCGTGGCTGCTGCCCGCGCGGCCTTCGAGGGCCCGTGGCGTACCATGCCCGCGGCCGAGCGCGGCATCCTGCTCAACCGCCTGGCGGACCTCATTGAGGAGAACATCGACGAGCTCGCTGCCCTCGAGGCCCTGGACAACGGCAAGCCGTGCGCCGAGGCCAAGGGTGCCGACCTGGGCCTCGTGCTCAAGACCCTCCGCCACTACGCCGGCTGGCCCGACAAGATCCACGGCTCCGTCATCCCCATCACGGGCCCCTACCTCTGCTACAACAAGCCCGAGCCTGTCGGTGTGTGCGCGCAGATCATCCCGTGGAACTTCCCGCTGCTCATGATGGCGTGGAAGCTGGGCCCCGCTCTTGCTGCTGGCAACACGGTCGTGCTCAAGCCCGCCGAGCAGACCCCGCTGTCCGCTCTGCGTGTCGGTGAGCTGATCGTGGAGGCCGGCTTCCCCAAGGGTGTGGTGAACATCGTGCCCGGCGTGGGCCCCACTGCTGGCCGCCACCTGGCGCAGCACCCGAACGTCGACAAGGTCGCCTTCACGGGCTCCACCGAGGTCGGCTACCAGATCATGCGCACCTCGCACGTGAGCAACATCAAGCGCGTGACGCTTGAGCTCGGCGGCAAGTCGGCCAACATCATCCTCGACGACGCCGACATCGACCTCGCCATCCAGCAGTCGCAGCTGGGTCTGTTCCTGAACCAGGGCCAGTGCTGCATTGCAGGAACGCGCGTGTACGTGCAGGAGGGCATCTACGACGAGTTTGTCAAGCGCACGGTGGAGGCTGCTCGCTCCCGTGTGGTCGGCGACCCGTTCGACGCCAGCACGCAGCAGGGTGCTCAGATCGACGAGACCCAGTTCGAGAAGATCATGGGCTACATTGACGAGGGTGTCAAGGAGGGCGCCCGCCTGCTGACCGGCGGCAAGCGCGTCGGCAACAAAGGCTGGTTCATTGAGCCCACCGTGTTCGCCGACGTCACGGACGACATGACCATCGCTCGTGAGGAGATCTTCGGCCCCGTTATGTCCATCCTCAAGTTCAAGACCATCGATGAGGTCATTGCTCGCGCCAACGACTCCGTCTACGGCCTGGGCGCCGGTGTGGTGACCAAGAGCGTCGACAACGCCATCAAGATCTCCAACGGCATCCGCACGGGCACGGTGTACGTCAACTGCTACGACGTGTTCGACGGCAACACGCCGTTTGGCGGCTTCAAGGACTCGGGCATCGGCCGCGAGAACGGCGAGCTGGGCCTGCGCAACTACCTAGAGCACAAGACGGTGATCATCAAGCGCCCCGAGGACTCGATGCCTTAAGTATGTCCTCATGTATGTTGAAAGTGTAGTAGCGAAGGCTGAGGTTACCAAAGCAAAACAAGCTAAGTGAAAGTTTAGCAACCGTTTGCCATGGACGTTTTGACTCGTACATCTCCACCATGTTCAAACCGCCTGACAATGAGGCCCACTCGCTTCATGCTCGTCAGGTGGCAGAGTTCTTGCTGCGCGGAACGGACTGTAGTAATCGCTGCTCCCCCGTTCAATTAAGAAACCATGCTCGGATTAAGGAGTGGTGCTGAGTATTGAGCTCTTCGTGCATTCTGAAAGTTGCCATCCCGTGTCATTCCTGGAACCCAAGATGCACGTTTGCTTTCAAAGACGAACATGTGAGAGCTTGCTCTACCAATACATCCAACGGCTGCAGTCGTCTTGTCAGCTTGGGTCGAGAGCTGCTCGTTCATTTTTTCACTTCAACCAGTTCTCGTCGAAGTTGTCTCATAGCTACGTGCACCACACCATCTACGGCCTGTGAAATGGCACTCGCTGATTGGTCTTCACCATCCAATCAGCGATTTTCGAACAGCAGCCAAAAATACCTTATTATGACGTCGCATTCAGCGCCCAAAGCACGAAGCGAAGCCGAGGTGACGAAGGCGTTTTGCTTGATCCATCTCGCAGGGGCTGCGCGCACATGTACAACCGGATGGCGAACGGAAGGTCTTCCGCGCGAGAATCTCTCTTCTCTGGGGCCTCTTCGCGATCCCAGGTAAGCGCGAGATGAAGCCACGGACACGCTAGGTAGTGCCCCGCCCCGAGTGTTCTAACGTTGTATTGCATCCTTGTGCGTGGCGTCTTGGCAGCTTGGAGGCAGCGTAGACAACGGCGAGCAGGCTAAACGGCTGCTGGAGGAGCAAAACGACGAGCAGATCAGCCACTTGTCGCTGCAGATCACGCAGTTGAAGCAGGTGCGTGGGCGGACCCAGCCTGGAACTATCATACTCCGTGGAGCATGGAGTAGCTGCTGCAATGAACCTGGTTTAACGTTGTTGGTATTGGTGTTGCTCCTTCGCTATAGCTTTCTGGTAGCATTCACGCGGAGGTGGTGGACCAGAACCGATTCCTGGACAGCATGGTGGGTCTCGATCTTCCGTCGCTTGGATATTCTGCTGATAGAGGCTGACGGCAACATGATTTTTGTTGCGTGACTGCGTGCATGCTGCAGGGCAAGGAGTTTGACAATACGGAGGGGCTCCTGGGCGGAACGATGAAGCGCCTGGGCATTATGATGGACCAGGGCGGCAGCAAGCACATGCTGTACCTCATCCTGTTCGTCGTGGTGGTGTTCGTGCTGCTGTACTTCGCCATCCGATCTCACTAGACCCCCCACCGCGCGGTAATCAAAAACACGAACTTGAATTTGTTTCCTTCACCTTTGGTAGCTAGTCTGGACGTCACTTGCGTGAATCGCGGGCGTAAATTAGTGAGTGATATGCGTGCAGGGCCACATGGATTTCCCACTGCAACCCATCGACTCTACAACTTTTAGCAGCTTGACATCTGTTACCCTCCTTAAACCGATGCTATCGCAATATGAAGGAATGTAAAATAGCTCTGAACTTCATGCGGCATCTATGATCCAATAACCTATGATATGTTAATTACGCTAGTGTCGAATGTACTTAGATAACGCGTAAGTTGAAGGTCCGCGGGTGTCCGACGCTCCGGATCCGTCTTCTTCACCAACGCAACAAACTCGAGGGGCGAGTCGCACGGAGCACCGAGCGCCACTTCCGCAGTCATGGGCAACTTCCTGGCGACGCCGATCACCGACAAGAACACGGAGGACGGCAAGGGCAACGGCCTCGAGTTCGGCCTCGCCACCATGCAGGGCTGGCGCACGGGCATGGAGGACGCGCACGTGGCGCAGCTGTCGCCGCCTGGACTTCCGTCGGACTGCTCGCTCTTCGCCGTGTTCGACGGACACGGCGGCCGCTTGGCGGCGGATCTGGCGGCCGAGCGCATCACGGAGAGGCTGGTCGCGGCCGCCACCAAGGAGAACCTCTTCCCCGACGGCAAGGCGGAGGGCGTGGACCCGGACAAGATCGGCAAGGCCATGCGCGACGCCTTCATGGAGCTGGACGCGAGCATCCGCAAGACATTCGACGAGAACTTCGGCTCGGACCAGAGCGGCTGCACGGCCATCGCGGCGCTGGTCACGCTCTCACACATCATCGTGGCCAACTCGGGCGACTCGCGCAGCGTCATGGCCAAGGACGGCCGCACGGTCGAGATGTCCTACGACCACAAGCCCATCAACGTACGTCGAGGGTGGGGGATAGCTACGAGGTGCAATGGATACTTACTGTGCTATTGTGGTGGTGGTTGATGTAGGCGGGAGAGCGCAAGCGCATTGAGAATGCCGGCGGATTGGTGCGCAGCAACCGAGTGAACGGAGACCTGGCGGTCTCGCGCGCGCTCGGAGACTTCTCGTACAAGGCTAACACGAAGCTACCCGCCGAGCAGCAGCAAGTGTCGGCTGAGCCTGATATTGAAGTGCAGAAGATCGAGAAGACGGAGGAGTTCTTGATCTTGGCGTGCGACGGGATCTGGGATGTCATGAGCAACGACGAGCTCTGTGCGTACATTCGCCAGCTGATGAACAACGGCGAGTCGGACCTCAAGTTAATAGCCGAGGAGATCCTGGACAACTGCCTTCGTGCTGGAAGGTAAGAAGGCTGGCGGGTTTGCCCTGATTTTGCCGTGCTAACTGGATGCTGCTTGTTCGCACTTCAGCCGTGACAACATGAGCGTCGTGATCGTCAAGTTCCCTGGAGCAAAGCTCGGCGAGGGTGGCGGTGTCCGTAAAATCCGGGAGGAGCGTGCTCGCCTGGAAAAGGCTGAACAGGAGGCGAACGGTGAGCTCGACGACAACGACAACGGTGGAATTGCAGGCGCCCTTCCGGGCTATAAATCCACGTAGTTATGCAGCACCAGCGAAGTGGAGACGTGGGGTGCGTGTCCAACAGCTCTTCTTCATAACCAGCTAGCTTGTTGCTCCGCCCCCTGCGTCGACCAACAAATGAATAAGCAACCAGTTACCTCCAAGGTTTGAATTGCCTCAGCTCATCTGCAGGCTGCGCCGCGGATGCTTTGCGTTCATTTCCCAACCTTGACTTTCACAGATAAATCTTTACGCGAGTGGATGTGTTGATCAATGTGCTTGAGAATGACAGTGTTTTGCATTATGTACGTACTGCTACGTGTAATTCGCCTGTGCCATGCATGAATGTACGTACTACTACGTGAAATTTGCCCGCGCCGATTGTCCCCTGTGCAGCAACTTGAGCTCTATCCGTGAAAACGGTGGCGGCGCTTCTAGTTTCGGCAGTCCGCCGCTGTAGCTTTGGACTTGTTCGCCATCTGGCTGCTTCGATGCGCCGTGTTGTTCGTCGGTCGCTTATACTTGGAGAGGTCCAAGTCCCGGAAATACGCGATGGTGCGCATGAGCCCTTCTTCGATGCACACATGCGGGTTCCAATCCAAGTGAGTTCTGCAAAAGAAAAACAATTCAGAGCAGCAATCGTAAGTACCACCTCAACAACTCATAGTCAACAGTACACGCGCAACTTACTTGGCAAGGGTGATGTCTGGTTTTCGCAGCTTGGGGTCGTTGTTGGGCAGGTCTCGGAACACGAGACGACTCCGAGAATTTGTGAGACGGATGATCATCTCGGCCAGCTCTCGGATGGTCATCTCGTGCGGGTTTCCCAGGTTCATGGGGCCCACGCACGTTTTGCAATCCATGAAGCGCAAGATGGCTTCCACCAAGTCATCCACAAAGCAGAACGAGCGGGTTTGGCTTCCGGAGCCGTAAATAGTGATGTCTTCCCCCTGCAGCGCTTGCATGATGAAGTTGCTCACCACCCGTCCGTCGTACGGGTGCATGCCCGGGCCGTACGTGTTGAAAATGCGCGCGACGCGGATGTCCACGCCCAGCGTGCGGTGGTACTCGAAGAACAGCGTCTCGGCCACACGCTTGCCCTCGTCATAGCATGCGCGCACGCCGGTGCAGTCCACATTGCCAAGATAGGACTCGACCTGCGGAGAGACCTCCGGGTCGCCGTAGACCTCGCTCGTCGAGGCTTGGAATACCCGCGCCTTGACGCGCTTGGCCAGCCCCAGCAAGTTCAAAGCGCCCATGAACGACACCTTGGTGGTCTTGATGGGGTTGTACTGGTAATGCACGGGCGAGGCCGGACACGCCAGGTTGTAGATGCGGTCCACCTCGCAGGCGTAGGGCTCCGTGACGTCGTGACGCACGAACTCGAAGTTGGGGAACTGGTTCTGCAGCTCCAGCACGTTGGCGCGCTGGCTGGTGAAGAGGTTGTCGAGGCAGATGACCTCGTGGCCCTGCTCCAGCAGGCGGCGGCACAGGTGGATGCCGATGAAGCCGGCGCCGCCCGTCACGAGCACGCGCTGCATGGTGCACTCCTGCACCTGGCGGGGCAGCGAGACCGGCGGGCGGCGCTGCGGCAGCGTCAGCTCCTCCTCGCGCGGGACGATGGTCACGGGCGACGTGGGCGGCGGCGTCGAGGCGTCGGGGCTGTGCACGATAATGCTGCGGCTGACGTTGTCGTCGTTGGACGTCATCTCGGGCGACGAGACGGAGGCAGCGGGAGGCATAATGGAGCTCCCGGGAGCTCTTGGAAGTGGCAACTGCGGACTCGGCGTCTTATTCAACACTGGGGTGTGTGTGAGTGCGACGAAATAAAGGCGAGTGATTTTCTTTGTCACATTGTGGCGTTCAAGCGCCTGTCGAGTGACTTGGAGAATGTATGTTGCAGTGTCGGAGAAGAGCCGGTACGCGCTAGGAATTTGGAGTACCGCACCCCAGTGGAATTGTGGAGCTCTTTATTATCCTGAGAGGGAGAAAGGAAGGAGAGACTAAAGCTTAGCGAGGACATCATGCCGGCGACCGCGGGACGCGTGCGCATGCCGCACAACAACCGCATGCACAGCAGCGCGGCGCTCAAGATGACGGGCATCTGGAAGAACACCATCGGCTATGACCCGTACGCGGCCGAGGACGAGAAGCAGGAGACGTCCGAGACGTCGTACGAGCAGGCCAAGGGCCTCATGGCGCTCGCCAAGCTCTCCAACAAATCGGTGGGTGTCTATAATTAAGACGAGGGTAGGGAAGAGGATTTTTACTTAACTTTTGCTACTGTTGCTCTTCGACCTCAGAACGATGTTCGCGGAGCCTGCAAGAAGGTATTGCAGCTGCTAATGTTGAGTTTGCACTAGGGGAGTGCTGGCTGACGGAATTATGATTATTTTATTTTATTTATTTTATTTATTTTATTTATTACAGTGCGGCATGGTGGGGCACTTGACGTTCCAGTGTCGAAATCACTTGGGAGTGGCCGAGAAGCGCGTGGCGTCGTCGGACTCGGACTCGTCTTCGTCCTCGGTGAGCGTCGCGTTGATGTTGATGTTGTCCATCGTCTGGTTATTGACAATCTTCTTATGTCATTGTTGTTGTTGTTGTTATCTATTTGTGAACAGGATTCTTCAAGTGACGAGGAGGGAAACGAGAGCGAGAGTGACGACGAGCAGGCAAAGAGGCCGTCATCACGCCGCCCGTCATCTCGCGGACGCAGCCGCAGTCCGAGTGAGCGGAAAGAGAGACGTCGGGGCCGCTCGGATAGTCGCAGTCGTAGCCGCAGTGCTGGGCGACGTCGTCGCGACAGGTCGCCGTCTAGAAGCCGAAGCCGCAGCTTAAGTCGAGGACGCAGCCGTAGCCCCTCGCGTAGGGACCGCGAATCTGCCAAGAAACGTCGACGCAGCCGGAGCTCGAGCGTCAGCTCTGAGCGTGCGAGCAGTAAACGTCGCCGACGTTCAGAGAGCGAGAAACGCTCGTCGAAGAAGGACAAGAAGCGCAAGAGCTCGTCGAATAGAAAGCACAAGGACAAGAAGGAGAAGGATCGCAAGCACCGACACCGCCGCGATCGTGACCGTGACTCGAAGAAGAAATCACACTCCAAGAAGAAGCGACGTCATTGAGGTGGTAGCCGGTCCTTGACGGATTGAGTTGATGTTGCTCAAAGAATGATAGGAATAATGCTGGAGCAAATGCTCCGGTTTATACATTTTGAAGATATGCCTCTATCCATTCCTTGCTTTGTACAGAATTTACAGAGTGTAAACAAAGCTCTGGCACGCACGTCGACTGCCATCGGTCAACCAAGTGCCAGTCATAAATCACCGGTCGTAACTTTGGCTCCTTCCAGTTCTGGCCGGATCTCTCTAGGGCAAAATGCCATTGGAAATCTTCTGGAACCAGTCGTATTGCCTTGTGCCACGGTGTCCGTTGCTCTTGTCCACAATGCGAGCAGCAGTGCGCTCGACGTCTTGGACACTCCAGCCGATACACAAACGTCGACTCAACCTCCGGACAATTCGAGCACGTGATCGGCCGGTGAAGCACGGGAACGACGAGTCTTTGGACGACAGGTACACCAGCGACAGAAGCTGAGGCGCCTCTAAGTGCAGAGCAAGCAGCCCTTGAGCCACGAGCTGTCGGTAGCGGTCAAATCCTTCGCCACCCATGACCTCAACCATTTCCGGCGTGAGCTTGAACGGAGCTGTCTCCAGACTGAACGTGTTGCCTGGCGCGATACCTAGCACGAAGCCAAAGTCGATGTGTACGACGTGGCCTTCGGTGTCCAGCATGATGTTGCCATTGTGTCGGTCCTTCACCAAGAAAATGTAGGAGAAGAGACTGTAGGCTGCCATGCTCGTGATAAAGTTTGCTCGAGCTCTTTCCAGGCGGACTGGGTCGTGTTCACCTGTAACGGGGTCTCGACCACACGCTCGCTCGAAGATTTTAGGCAGCGACGTACCAACCCCACTGATCTTCTTGCCCTTCTTCTTGAGACCATCCAGCGACTGAGCGTCCGTGATTACCTCCAGCAAGCCGCAGTCTTTGCCCGCACACACGATACTGTAGTAGCGCATCCACAGATTGAGATTGTGCTTGCGGAAGATAAGCTGGAACAACTTGAGCCCTTGCAGCACGAAGACCTCTTGACGCATATCATCGAAGCTCTTTGCGATCACGGGAACTAACGCCCAGCCGTCGAAGCGCGCAAACGAACTCTCCTCATGAATCCGCTTCTGCGTATCAGCAAACCGTTCTCCGAAGAACGGACACTTGCTGGCTTGTGACGAGTTGGCGGAATCCAAGCTATCGTTCGTATCCGTTACGTCGTCACCGCCTACCTCCTCTGCACCAAACTCGTCGCTTTCCTCATCGGAGAACACACCGGTACTCGCTTTTTCACTAAGCGGCGTGCAACCAGCAGGTAGCACGTGATTAAGCCCGTCTAGATCTTCGGAGATCGATGACCGTACGGAAGCGTGAGATTCGCTTCGGCTGGCTGGGATCAAATCTGCTACGTAGGTCCCGACGACTTCTCCGTCCAGGTAGTTGATGATTTCCTGTTGCTCGGGAGCCAGGAGACCTTCCAGCTCACTGTCCATTTGCACGGCTGCATCCACCAAATCATCCAGGTTATTGTCGCTGCTTGACCGAAGATCGATCCCCTCTTGCACAGCAGACTTACTATCGCATGCATCTAATGACGATGCGATGATTTCAAAGAAAACCAGCGTCGGCGCGCGAGCCTTGGTAGAAAACACCGTTCCTTCGTCAGTCAGCACATTGACCACACGGTGTTGGCGAGCCATAGTTCCCGACAATGGCAATGCTGCCTCAGGTCGGATGTGTTTACCACGTAACATTTCCTGTAGCAGCGCTGGGAGCGCCTTCTTCCGCTGCGCAGGCTCGGAAATGTTCTCTTTTAAATATGTACAGAGGTCTACGAGGAAGCGCACGAGCCGGACTTCATCACTGAAAATGTGTTGAGCAGGTTTGTTCCACAACCGCTGCTTCGTTTCCACCAAGTGTTGAGTCCCTGACCTCCGACGCTCCAGTAGCATAAGCTGCGCTTCTTCGTGGTAATTTGATGGAAATGGGTCCAGGAACCCGTCACCAATACGAAGCTGCTTCTGAACATTACGAGAGCTAGACACAATTTCTTCCTTGCTGCGCGCGAGAAGCCACTCGAAAAACGGAGATTCACGCTGTGAAGCAGCGTATGCCCGGCGCACATACTCGTACAGTTGCTCCAGTAGTCTTTCGAATGATTCACGCTGGTGGAGCGGTGCTTGAGGGAACAGTAATTGCGGTAGCACGCTTCGAGGTTCACCAAAGTTTACGTTCGTAACGAAGAAGAGCATTACCACGATGCCATTGCCACGCTTATAAAGCCCGCCTGCCATGGCGTCCCAGTGAGCTGCAATGCATTCCCATGTTGCCTTGACAGCGAGATGCACGCTGCGACGAGCAGTGGCAGCGAGGAAGAAGAGGTAGAAGGCACGGACACTTGGAGACGCGTCGGGGAGGTTAACAAAACCCCATTGTAAGAACTGCGGCCAGTAGAAGTCCATCGTGTCCATACAGTTCTCAACATTGTGCACTAGCTGTGCCAGTACCACCACAAACATGAAGGGCTGCTGTCGATACTTGAACATCGCTGATAGAAGACTCAAAGGGCCGAGACTTCGAGCGCGAATGTGGGTTTCAATGTCATGCTTCGGACCCTGATCGAAATATTTCCAGCGCACAAGTCGTGACAATCCCCCAGCTTCGTCGACTGCGGAAGCATAATAGACACCAGCTTCTTGTAGCGAGGTCAGCAGCTGCTGTCGCACGAGGCAATCCATACACACGCGCTTCTGCTCAGGCGCCGGGACTGCTTTTGCCCCCATTTGGGACCCTACAACCCCTGGAGCAGGTAGTGTGATTGATTCCGGGGTCGTCAGTGTCGTCCACTGGCAGCAGTGGTCGCGACAGAACCGATGTGAGCAGGACGCGCACACCTTGGGCGTATGAATGAGTCTGCCAAATCGCTTGTTACATCGAAGACAGCCATTCGTTGGTTTTGGAGTTGAGCCGAACACAGACCCCAAACTATGACGTCGGCCTTGCATATCAGCAGGTTCTCGGATCACACTGGAGCTCAGGGGGTCTGTGACGTTGCTAGCTGAGCGTTCGCGGGACTGAAGGAGCTGCCCGCTTTGCTGCCGACCGGATGACAGCAATAAAGAGGGATCGACTGCAGTGTCTGCCGCAGTTTCGGAATCAGTGTTGGCAATGCTGACGTCGCTATCGCCTGTGTCTTCGATCTCTTCAGCGTGGCCGTTTCCCTCTGCAAGCTCAAAGTGATCCATGGCAAACATACCAGGCGCAGCGCTACTTGAAGACTTCTTCCCGACAGCACCAAGACAATCCATAGGAGCAATCGAACTCAAAGCCGATGTCGTAAGTGACAGTAATCCGAAAGGGTCGTCTTCCTCCATCAGATTCTCCGACTTGCCTTGGTGCAGTAACGAGCGCGTCGAGATGGACGACCTCGACGCCGAGAAGTGCAGCGATTCGAGGTCTTCCACCACGTCCTCTCTGGCCTCCTGCACCTCGTCACTCTCCTCCACCTCCTGGTCAACATGCTCCTGTTCTCCATCGGGCTCTTCCCTCTCTCGCGTCAATAACCCACTCAGGAACTGCACCCACTGGCCCCTCTGCTCCTGCGACTCCGTCTCAATGAGCAACGCGATCCCCGACGCGTCGTCCTCCACGTAGAACGAGCAGCTCTCGAGTCGTTTCCGCTCTGCGTCGTCCATCTTCAAGCAGGAAAAAGTCCCAGCGTCCTCCGCGTCGTCCCCTTCGTCTGGCAACTTGATGCTCTCTCCGTCCACTGCCTTGACGCTGGAGACTCGCGTGCTGGCCAGCAACACGGCGCCGCTGGAGCTTGTGGACGGCGCTGCGTCCTCATCGTCGCTGCTCTCTGTGCCTGCGTCCACTGTGAACCACTCGAGCGCTGCGGTGGACGCTCGGGAGACGCAGAAGTACCAAACGTCGTCATTCAACCGACTGGCAGAGCGGCGGCGGCTGCCCGACGAGGACGAGGAGAAGGAGCGAGCGGCGTCCTCCTCGACGTTGGAGGACGCTCGGAACGCCACGCGCTCGCGGATACGCACGAGGCCTTCGCAGCGCGTCGTCCCCATGCTGGCGGAGGGAGAGACCTACACGTATCGGAGCTTCTCGCCCTCCTGGATTAGTGCGAATGAATTGCGACACGTCGAGTAATTAGAGTAGATGGGTTCATGTGGGTTGTATTTGGAAAATGTATGTGGGATATATCAGGTCTTTATAGAATGCAGCCATTTCTCGTCGGCCTGCAACCAGTTGGTGGTCAAGTGGTCGGGAATAAGTCGCTGAGCTCCGTGGCCCCCGTGGCGACGTCTTGACGCACGTAGAAGAGCAAATAGGCGGTGGACGATGGACTCACCTCGTCCTCGCTCAATGGGGTCACCACGGTGTCGTCTGCCAGCCACCAGCACGTTTCGTCCGGCCGACGGATGTGCGCCGTGTAGTGACCCGAGCTGATCCCGCGGCCGCAGTGGTTCACCACAGCGTAGAGGTCGTACTTAATGCAGCTTCGAGACGCGGAGGTTAGAGGGATGTTGAGGTCATTCTGTAGATACTCGATGCCACGTCGGACACGAGGATCCAGAGCGTCGATGAAGCAGCGATCGGTGCAAGGCTCCGAGTCGTCGTGCCCGCCGTCGATGGGGGACAAGAGATCGCGGAGGTCGAGGTCGCGTACGGGGAAGTCGACGTTGTGCGAGAGCTTCTTCCATTGGTAGTTGCCGTTGTTGGTCGACAGCTCGAAGCGTTTGAGTTGGAGTACGAGCAATGGGGGGAGACTCCAGAGCGAGAGCTGCTTGGTGTGAGGAGTTGACTGTTGGCATTGAGAGCAAGAGGCGCCGAGGTACTCGGTGCTGCAGAGAGACTGGAGACTTTGCATGAGAGGGTGGGTCTTTGTTAGGCGATATTCAATGTAGCTGGGGTGGTCTCGTGTGGGGTAGGATTGCAACCACCAGAATTCAGAGGGGTCTTGAGGATGCAGTTGGGTGTCCCAGTCGATTGCGAGGGTTTCGCTATTTTCCAAGTCAAGCAATTCAGCGGCAGTCGCGGTGGGTAGGATCAGACAACCACGACACCCTGTACTCCAGTGGCAGCGACTACAGGCGATACCATCGTCCCGTACCCGACGGAGGATGAACGTTGGCGCGTAATGATGAGCGAGCCTTTCGTTTGAAGCTTGGATACGTCGACATTGCACAACCGAGATCTGAATTGAGAGCTATAGCCGAAAAGAAACCGTTGACGCACCATTTGATAAAGTGCTTGACCTGTGAGTGCTCCTCGTATTGAAGAGCACACGAACGGCGATCCACACAGCGCTTGGCGAGTCGGTGTCGTGCAGTAAAATGGGACGAGGAAATTGTACCGGTGTACGAAACGCAGATATGCTTTTGTACTTCCGGTTGTAGGAGAAGTGGTATCATCGCCACTTCCTACAATGTTGGAAACCTCAAATGCATGCGTCTGGCTCGGCAATACGCTCGCTGGTGTCTTGTCATCCATGTGGCCCCCAGTTCCATCACTCACCAATAAATTCTGAATGGTGGAACCTTCAAGGCTCCCGACAATAAACTCGCGCGATCCGGACTTTGAACGTGAAGCTGGAAGCTTTGCCAACACGTCAGCAACTGTGGATTGATCGTATATCTGCACCACTGTACGAATGGGTCCTCGCACTCCCGTCGAATTTCTGGACGAACCTGCGAGGTGGAGAGTCACCACCAAATCTCGTTGTTCTTCATTCGATGACTGAAAGTCATGGTTGTTTTCGATCAGCGGTAGTTGGAGCGATGAGAACGGCTCAAAGCGTGCAGATTGGTGTTCGCAACGAGTGCAGGTAAGTGCGCTTTTGAATTGCCCTGAGAACAATGTGTTGATCACCGAGGGCTCGTTGACAATATGAGAGACCCACCACTCCGTTGCCACGACCCGGTCATGGCGTCCATTGCTGTCTCCAATGCACAATTGCGACGAGGGTTTCTCCGCTATGGGCCCTGCATCTTTCGATTTGAAAAGGTTGGCCAGCAAGGTATGACTTCGTGGCGACAGGATGTGGGGTTCTCCGTCTTGCCTCAGGTTTGGACTCCTCTTCAAAGTATCACCTAGAAACCCCAACAAGCATACTAGAAACTCTTGAGCGTCTTGCTGATTCCCATCAAACATGTGTGGATAAAGAGCCGACAAGGCTCCCAACAACTTCGCAGGAGAACGTGAGCTTTCAGCGTCAGCAGCTTCTTGCCTTCGCGGATTCATCCCTACAAAAAGTTCCCCAAGGGCACAAATGAGTGCCTTGCTAGCAGGACTCGACAAAATGAGTTCTTGTCGCTGTTGTGTTTCAATGATGTGTGGATGCAACAGCGGTGTGGTAGCCACACATTGCATAACGGCATTCATGAAACAAGTGTTGCCTAGGTTGGACAGACCTCGCGGACTTGAACCAGTTGATCGCAACCTGCATCGGCTCAAATGCGAAGTAGTAGCTATTCCCAAGGTATTGCGCGGCATATCCATGCCAGTTAATCCTTCTGTGTTTATGCCACCGCCGTGCTGCTCAATCTCCACGACGGAAAAGTGAAGCTCTAAAGAGGTCTTGTCCTGAACTACACCATTTTTCAAACTCCAAGACGAGAACAGCTGCGGAAGTACCGAGCCCAAGGGGCTCGCTAGTTGATCTTGCGATAAAGTCGTCGGATCATCCTCTTGGATCGGTGTTTTGATCTCACCTGCTGCATTGCACTCAGCAACGAGAACTTGACACTGGCACATTGTGGTTACGTTTGAGTCTGTTCCTTCATCATACACACCCCAACTCATTTGGAAAAGAGCAGCATCCAACACGCTATGCACGGTGCATTGCTCGAAAGCAATCGCTTGCGGGATCGTGGCAACTCTTTCAAATCCGCCACGGCTTGTGAAGGTTATCGAAATGCGGATCCAAAATTCCTTTAAACAAGTTGGCGCGTCTTGATAGAGTTGGATAGTAAAAGACTGCTCCGGTGCATATAGCTTTTGTCGGTACCAATACGCAACCAGTAACCAAACTGGCAGCGGCAGCATCACGTGACCGGACGGGAGTTCAGTTGCTTCTTGGTGTAATATTTGTGCATGGATATCAGACGAATCTGCCTGGCACTTGATTACCCCCTCGACAAACTGCTGCCATTCCTTAGGGCTTAGCAGACAGAAGGCGGTCGATTGGAACGTTTGCTCCGAGAAATAGTTGGCGAACAAATCCACCAGTGACGTGTAATCGTGGCGTGTCATGCTTGGAGAGATATCGCCACGGTCGTGGTTTTTTAGGTGAAATAGCAGCAAGGCAGTCGCTACCTCAGCAACAGAAAACCCGGGTAGCTCCTGCGCCACCTCTGTGAATTGTTGTAGAGATAACACTTGCGCGCGCTCAGAAGCCATGACAGGCGTTCTTCCTGGGGATGGCGGCGGTGACAATTCAGAGGATTGGGATCTGCCACGCCGTCTGATGATGACATTCGCTTCGCGCTCACTATCCATCGGACTAAGATCCATCGTAAGCTGTAAAACGGCGCTCAATTGCTCGACGTCGATCTGCCCGCAATTGTACTCATCAAAAAGCTCGAACAGCAGTCGATATACCTGGTGAACGCTTGATGCATGTGCGCAGCAGTATCCCAACAATAAAAGCTTTAGCTCTTCGCGAACGCTTGATGGCTTCACCCTCTGTGATGAATTAGACTCTTTGCTTGTGTTGGCGGAATTCCAAGCAGTTGCAATCTTATCAACGAGAGAATCTTCACTGAGCACCTCGCGAAATCTTTCGATAATGTAAGCTGATGTTAAGCTTGCGGCATCTGTCGATAGAATGAAGAGAAGACTACGCAGTTCGCAACGGAAATCTTCTCGTTGCTTGGGTGAGATACAATTTCGAGCATGGAACAGTCTCACGATGCAGGTATTGTCTTCGAGCTTTCGAGGACCAGAAACGCTTAGCGGAGTGTCATCACGGGCGTAAAGTAGCTTCTTGCCGAATTTTGGGATCCAACTAGACCCCTCATGGTCCCTAGGCAAACTTTTCACTGCTGCAGCTACACCTGCAATGAACTCCTGAAGCGAGAGCTCCCCTGTGCCACTAACATTCCACTCACGGAACAAACGTTGCGCTTGGTACTCTGGTATGCCCACGCATACTTCATCCAGAACTGTCTTACGAAACTGGTCGATGTTCAGCCCCTGGAAGTGCCCGCGAGCTCGATTGAAGGCCGACGTGGCTGAATGCAGCTCACTCTTGGAGAGCTGATGGATCAACTTGCCATCGCGTGGCTTCGTAATATCGGCTTTGTCACGGAACCAAGTGCGCATTGACTGTTAAATTGACGCAACGTGCCGTGCACGATGAGATGGCTTTCGCGAAACACAGACTGCGGCACGAAGCAAGTCTATTAGTAGTATCATAGCAGCTGCAGACTAAACTTGTCATTTTTGATAGATCACCAAGACGCGGAGGGTGGACCGCGTTGGACGTGATGGCCAAAGCGCCGACGAAGTAGTGTCGGTACAAGTAAGGACCCGATCCGCCGAGGCCGCCGTCAAAGAAGTAATCGCGAAGGTGGAGCTCGCTGGGAAGTCGACGTTATGCGAGAGTTTCTTTGTTGGTAGTTGTTGTTGGTGGTCGACAGCTCGAAGTATTTACACTGGAGAGCAAACAACGAGGGCTCATTTACTATGTCAAAGACCCAGACCCTCTATTCAGTAGCCACAGCTCACCATTGTTGTCTCCAACGCAGTGGGCATTCGCGAATTTACGCTCAAGCTCGACACCTCCCAACATGGGAGCCCCAAGGCACCCCTTCAAACCAAGGTGCTACTGTTCATTCAGTCGCCGCGCTGTTCAATTTCAACGCTGATTAAGTGGAACTCAAAAGTTTTGAGTCAAAACGCGGTGCACCGCTCAAAAACAAGGGAATGCTGACACTACATGTAGTATCCCATGTTTGAAGACCTACCGCTGCGGTAATTAATCTCGATCGCTTATCTCGCGTTGGGCCGGAGTCCCTCCTGTACTGAAGCTCTCATACCATAATAAACAACGAAATACATCAAGGGATGAATGTGAAGGGAAGCCTCTGTTACAGTGTTGCTTGAAGCAGAACTACCAGTAGCTGCTCTACCGTTCTCGCACGAGCACCTTGGCCGATACTTGCAGACTTGGTAGCTGCCCGCATCACTTCGTTTTGTCCGCTGCGCTGGAAAGTGACGCCTAGAGCGCTAAAATATTCTGGGTGTCACAATTGTCGTTAGTGTATCCCTTGAAGCAGGCGCAGACGCCCGTCTCGGTGCCGCAGAGGCCGCGGCCGGAGCACGGGGAGACGTAGTTGTACTGGTAGCTTTTATCGGGCGGTGTGACTTTGTAGACCTTCAGGATCGTGTTGTCTCCACCATCCATAGTATTACCAGGGAACGGTCGATCGATTGTAATGGCCCAGGGACCTGGAGTTGCCGTAACGCTCGTATCGACCACCTTCTGCGGTTTGTAGAACAGGTTCTCGAAAAACACAAGCTGCCCAGTTGTGAACGCAGGATCCGTGGTCACTGTGATTGTAGTAGATCCCACTACGACCGCAGTGCAAACGAGCTCTGTAACAGTGAAGCCGGAACCAACCGCGACGTCGAAACGGTTGTTCTTAGTCGAAAGTGTGTGCTTGGTTGGGTAGGTAAGTGTGATCAACGTGAGGGGGTTTAGCTTTCCCACAAATACATGCGATCCAAACTTGAACAACGTCGGGTTTGCATCAACCACAGCACTGGCAGGGCTGCTCACAGTGATTTTCGTGAAAGTGCCAGCTGGGGTGGCGCTGGGGTCGTTGTCAATGCTAACAAAGGCGATGCTGGAATCCGTGGTGAACCACTCGTTATCGAAACCATCCTCCACCGTGTATACCTTGGCAGACTTTGCCAACGGGTCCACTACGCCCTTGAAGTCAAAGGCGGCCACTTCCGGCGCACGAAGTCGACCCGGGTTGTCATAAAATTGGCAGAAAACTGTAAGACCCTTTGACGACGCGGTACGGGAAGATAAATACCCATCAAGGTCGCCATTCGACATGCCTAACCGTTCGCACAACACCTTGCGAAAAGTCTGGTTCGGAACGCGCTTGATAGCTGCGGCCACGGCATCAGCGTTGGTAGCCGCATTAGCTGTACTGCCCGCGTCATTTACGATGGGAATCGCCTCAGTGATATACGATTCCCCGTGGTAGTCAAAGAGGCGAAGGCGAACGTAGTTCTCTGGCGGTCCGCTTGCCGCGTTTGCTGTGAAAGTCCCCGTGGTAAACACATGAAGTACGAACGCTTCTTGCGTTGCCGAACCCACCGACAAAAACATCGGATCCACACCAACTTTGCAGGACCGCAGCGAACAGTCAGCTCCATGATACCATGGGTCGCAGCGGCAGCCGTAGGTGACTCGACTATCCCAAAGATCGTACGAAATATGATCAGCATTGTCTGGGATCCCAAAGAGTGTGCCCGGCGTCTTCAGTCCAAGCTCCCGAATACTTTCGCACGTTCCGTGCCCACTGCACTTGTTGGGGCAAGCCGCTCTCTGGCACGCCACACCTTCGTAGCCGTCGAAGCACGTGCACGTCCCCAGCGATCGATCACACAGTCCCTTGTTGGAGCACTCCATGTAGAAGTGGGCCTCGCTGGTCGCCGCGTCCGGGTTGAAGTACTCGTACGTGCCTGCGGGATGCTGCTGTGAATTGGTGAGAATCCAATTCGCCGTCCTGCGGTCTTGATCCATGTTAATATCCCCCTTAGGTGTGTCCACGTGCGCGTAGCCGAACTGACACGTGCGGTCCATGCAGTCGTTGCCCTGGTAGTTCTTATAGCAGTTGCACATGTCCTTGGCCATACACGCGCCGTTGCCCGAGCATCCGTTGGGGCACTCGGCCGTCGTCGGGACGCTCAGCAGCGCCACAGCGAGCAGCAGGAGCACCGACACCAGCAGCGTCTTGCGTCTGCCGCCCATGGTCGCTCACTCGTCTCCGAAGCTTCTTGTCTCACTTGGCGCCCGATGGATCGTTGCCTCCAGGCCGTGGTTTGCCAAATGCCAAGCACGCGACACCTGTCGGAGCCTGCGATCTTGCACTGCGTTGCCCCCGAAGAGCCGTTCGCGACGAGTGAGCTCCGCGATCTTTTGGCAACGCGTCCCCTCATGATCCGGACGGTTGGTGGATCGCTCGACGGTTGAGTTTGTGAATGCGCTGAATTTAGCGATCGGTTGAAGCATGGGTCTCGGATAATAATAAAACGAGCACGTTGTTCCGCTGGTTGGTGATGAAGTTTGCCTTTCAATCCCGTCTTTGGGTGTCAGCGTTGCTGGCATGAACCAGGAGCAGCCGGACCCTCATGCACCGGAGACGCAGCCGACGAGGCAGGGCAGGAGGTTGATTCGGGTGAGCACTGTCGGTTTGTTTGGGTAGATTGTTAGTGTTGGTCGATTGATACTTACGGTGTTTGCGCTAATTTTATGATAGATGCTCTTCCGATCAACTGCCGAGGATGCCAAGTCTTCAAGCATAAATGCAGCACCAGAACACGACGGCCGAGCTGAGGACGCTGTAGCGTGGAAGAGCTCTTCGAATCACCAAGAGAATGGCAACAAGCCCGCCGTTGTGCCTGCTCCTACCAGCAAATTTGCGTCGTTGAAGCGAAAGCTTTTTCCGTCGCAGAATCGGCGGCACCCTCGACACGTGCCACCGCTTCTAATCAGTCCTATCAACGCACCGGTGAAAGCTTCACCTTCAGTTCCACCGCTTGAGGATAGTTACCGCAGATCCATGACCAGAATTTGTGATGAAGACGACAGCGATGAAAACCAAATCGCCGAATGTTCCTCCAAATCAATTTGTACGGAAAGTTTCAAGTTGAAGCGACCCGCTTGCGAGAGTTTAGAATGCACCCCTGAGAGCAATACCTCATGCGCTGTGGAGGGTGACAATAACTGGAGAGCGTCTGGTAGAAGAACGCTCATCGACGACGATGACGATAGAGATCTCGAGAGCGCAGTGGAAGCGCTCGACCTTGAGAGTTCGATTGCAGACAAGACTTTGGACGAGGTGAGCTTTCTATCATGGGAACTCTGGAGTTGTTGATCGTACCGATACTTTTTTTTCGTGTGACGTTTGCAAGATGAACAAAGCTATCAGCGATTTGCGGGCCTGGAAACAGATCCACGAGCAGGAAACGCAGGCAGCATTGAGCAAAATGGTTCGCTGCAATATGGCATCAAAACAAAGGGACAGAGCTTTGTGGCTCATTTTATTATCAAACGTGGCCCTAACAGCAGGATTCGGAGGCGCAACGAGACATTGCTGAGCCGCCTATTGGTGACGACCATCTTGAAGAGCAGCTTGAGGTAAGCAAAACCTCCGCTGCCTACACTGACAGCGAGTCGTAACTTTATATCGTCTTTGCCTCTGTAGCTTAAGCGCCAGCAACAGCAACGAGACCGGGAAGCCCTGACACTGGAACTCCGAAAAGAAGCCGAAGCGTACCAACTCGAGGTATGTTTTGCTGCAATTGATACATTATTCTTTAAGCTTAATCAGCGTCTAACTAAAATTCGCAACAGTGTAGTGCATTCAGGACAACACTGGATGAATCTGAAGCTTCTCGAGTCGAGCAGGCATTGCAAAGCAGTAGCGACTCGGAAGGATTGGCACTGTCGCGACTGCGCAACGAGCTCTTCCAGTTGGACGTGAAACAGCGACAAGAGGCACTGCTGCAGGAGATCCAGGGGACCAACAGGGAGTTAGGTAAGCGCGGGCGTTAGATCCTTTTCCAAGTCATGAGCACAACTAACTTTGCGTGCCTTGGCAGACATGAACATCGTCGACGTTCAGGTAAGAAGCTCAAGTCCCCCAATGGGTTTTTCACTGTGGGACGAACTATCTAACCAACGTCTATCACCTTCACTGCAGGCCTTCACGGGCGAGCTGGACGCCATCCTAGCGCAGTTCGACTCCTCCAGCGTTCTCGAGAGCAATGACCAAGTAGAGTCTTAGGTTGACTACCCCGTAGACAAATACTGACTTCCAGGTATACAAGTTTGTTTGAAGACGATCTGATAAGCCCCTCAAAAGCGATGCCAATCACATCTTTCACCTCTAACTCTCTCACTACAGGGTATCTAATTCCACAGTCCATATTGAACGTAAAGCCACCATCTCTCTCATCAACTCCCACAGGTAAGACGCGTCGACCCCCGCTGCACTGACAGCGCTCCCTCCCCCCTTTGACCAGCCCAGATCCGAATCCAAGCCTTCCCCTCCCCATGGCCGCGCGCGAGCTCATCGCGCTCGAGGACGTGGCCAAGATGCCGGCGCCGGGACTGAGCGCCCCCGCCAACGTGAGCTTCAGCCCGGACGGACGCGTCGTGGCCTTCCTGCACGCGCCCGGGGCCCAGAGCGGCCTCTCGCGGCAGCTCTACGCGCTGGACGTGGCCTCGCGCCGCGTGTCGCTGCTGGCGGCGCCGCCCAACCAGGGCAACACGGAGGGCAACCTGAGCCTCGAAGAGAAGCTGCGGCGCGAGCGCCAGCGCCAGATGGGCGTGGGCATCACGTCGTACGCGTGGAACCCGTCGCTCCACGCGCAGCGGCTGCTGTACCCGCTGCAGGGCGACCTCTACGTGCAGGAGCAGCCCGGCGCGGAGCTCCAGCTGCTCTTCGACAAGACGTCCACGGGGGCGGCAGGCGGCGCCATTGACCCGCAGTTCTCCCCCGACGGGCGCTGGGTCGCCTTCGTGCAGGACAAGGAGATCTACGTGATCCCGAGCCACGTGACGGAGGGCGGCCACAAGGCCGTGCAGGTGACCACGGGCGCCAGAGGAGTGGAGGGAAAGTCCAACGGCCTGGCCTGCTTCCTCACGCAGGAGGAGCTCAGTCGCTTCCGCGGCTTCTGGTGGTCACCCGACAGCTCGAGACTCGCGTTCGAGGAGATCGACGAGAGCCACATCCCCAAGTTCAGGATCATGCACTCGGGCAGCGAGGACCCCACGGGCGACGCCGCCGAGGAGGACCATCGCTATCCTTTCGCAGGGGCTGCGAACCCCAAGAGACGGCTGGGAGTCATCCGACTGCCCCATGCTACGGACCAGGAGCACGGAGGACTGCACTTCCACGCACACGGACACCACCACAACCAGCAGCAGGAGTTCCCCACGCCCATGTGGATGGACTTTGCGGCGGTGAACCAAGACCCGGACTTTTACGTTTCCAGAGTCAACTGGCTGCCGGATCAGTCGCTCGGCGTGCAGAGGCTGAATCGGCTGCAGACGGAGGTCATGTTCCTGCGCTTCGACGTGCATACGGGACGACCCACGACGCTGATCCATGAGACCAACTCCGTGTGGGTGAACGCGAGCTACCTCTTCCGGAACATTGAAGCGGAGAGCAAGAACACGTTCCGGTTCTTGTGGGGCTCCGAGCGGTGCGGATTCATGCACCTGTACATGTACGAGTACACGGCTGGAGCCCCTGGAGCTCGTCTGCTGGGCGCTGTGACCAATGGAAAGTGGAGCGTGGAGTCTGTCGAGGGGATTGACCTGGCGCACGGTCGTGTCTACTTCTGCGGCACGGCGGACTCGCCCCTGGAGCGTCATCTGTACGTGACGTCTCTCTTCCCGACCAGCGACCCGCCGCTTCCCCCTACAAGACTTACTGCTGCTGAAGGCATGCACAGCGTTGTCATGGACAGCAGTTGCCGCTTGTTTGTGGACGTGTACAGTAACACGACGACGCCGCCGCGTGCACTGGTGTGCGCGGTGCCTTCGGAGGCTCAGATTGCGGCTGTGAAGCCGGTTGAGCCCGCGGACCCGAGCTTGGCTGCACAGGCACCAGCCCCGCCATCTCCGGAGCATGCAGCGCTGTTCCAGGGTATCCAGGAGTCCGCGTACCCCCTCACTACTGAGCAAGAGGATCTGCGTGTGGCGATTCTGCAAGCCCAGGGGAAGCTGTGCGTGCCGAAGATCATCTCAGTTCCAACTCGCGATGGCAAGGATACACTGTATGGAGCTGTGTACCTGCCCGACCCGAAGATTCACGGTGAAGGACCGTACCCCACGATGGTGAGCGTATATGGTGGCCCCCACGTACAGCGAGTCGCGCGCATGTGGGCGATGACGGTTGATATGCGAGCGCAGCGGTTCCGTGATATGGGCTACGCTGTGTTGAAGGTGGACAACCGTGGAAGCTTCCGTCGCGGATCAGCTTTTGAAGGCGCCATCAAGCACTGCATGGGCACTGTAGAGATTCTAGACCAGCAGGACGCTGTCCGCAAGCTTGTCGCTGAAGGCATCACGATCGAAGACCGCGTGGGAATTTACGGCTGGAGCTACGGTGGCTACATGTCGGCTATCAGTCTCATGAAGGCTCCCGAGACTTTCAAGCTCGCTATCGCTGGTGCCCCCGTGACCAGTTGGGATGGATACGACACTTGCTACACGGAGCGCTACATGTCGACTCCGCAATTGAACCCCGCAGGTTACCGGGAAGGTTCTGTTATGGAGGCTGTGGGCAACATGCAGAAGGGGCAGAAGCTGCTGCTCATTCATGGCTTGATCGATGAGAACGTGCACTTCCGTCACACTGCTCGCCTTATCACGGCACTTATCAACGCACGGAAGCACTACGATCTGCTGCTCTTCCCGGGCGAGCGCCACTCGCCACGCCACCTAGAAGACCGAATTTACATGGAGCAGCGCATCGCCGAGTACGTCGAAGCTAACCTGTGAGGGGAATATAAATGGTTTATAATAAACCACAGGTTGTCAGCTCTTGCATTAGAGCGCGGGAATACCAATTCAAGAAAACTGCTAGGAAGAATACGTGTTCGTCTCGACAGTGTGCGATGCGTTTGTATTGAATCGATTCTTGAGTATGAGTACTCTGCACGATGTTCTGTATTTTTCCTTGGTCAAAACTGCTGCGTGCTGGTCGTTCTCAAGAGCGCTCTAATGAAGCTTGGATCGCGCGTTGCAGCTCATCCATTTCATCTGTGCTGGCTGATTCGTCTCCGTACAGTCCAAATGGCTGCGCTGGAGGTGCGTACTCTTGGGCGGATAACTCCATAGCCCGACGCAATTGCTCGTCATAGTCATCGGCGTGAATACTTGCTCCAGGGCCAGCATCTCCGAGTGACGCCTGGATAGCTGCTGACATTTGCGCATCGAAGTCCCCATCGCTGACCAGCGCGTGGCCACCTAAAGATGCTTGGATGGCAGTCTTCATATGCTCTTCTTCGGACTCTGCCTTTGCTTTGGCCAACAATTCAGCCTGAATTGCAGCCATCTCGCTCTCTCGCGTTGCCTCTTCAATATCGTTGCGCTCTCGGTTAGCTAGGGCTGGCGAAGCCTCACCGCCGTGCTCTGCCAGGGACAACTTCAGCGTTTCCTCTAGGCTTGCATCCATGGCATCAAACTCGTTTCGAGATTGCTACAATTTCCAAGAGTGTCGAGTCAGCTATGAACACTGAAGTCCACCATAAACCACCAAATGACTTACCATGAGAATCTGTTCAAGCTGCTCAACTTCTGTGCGCTCACGGTCAGACTGGGCCTGTACCTGTTGCTCCACACCAGCAACATCGTCGTGCGTTTCGCGCGAGTTGATCCGATGGGAGTATTCGATATGCCGTTGTTCCCACTGGCCGGGCGTCTCTCGAATCAAATTCGCTGCATGATCGGCACCGACAAGAGAGTCGTAGTGGCCTCCTCCGTAGTAGCTTAACCTGCAACATATTGTCGAAGTTAGAGCCGCATGAAGGGAGTTGAGCATCAATTTCATGGATGAACGTACCGAATGGGAGGTCTACTACGTGATAACGCGCTGTTCTCATGGAAGCACCGAAGCTTCCGGAAACCCTGCACCGGATCATAGGCAAACACTTCGGCAGGGCGGTCGTACAGTTCGCACAAGGCTTGCAGCTCTGGGTCGTCCCCCCACACACCGTCACGTCGCTTATAGCGCAAATATCGCATGAATGCCGCCATGTCGCCAACCACATACGGCTCGAAGTATTCCTTCTCACTCTCCATATAGTCCATGCACGCTGCACGAACAAGAGCATGGTGGCTATCATCCCCATACACCTGGTGACTCACCGAGCGGAAAAGACAGTTGCCATCCCCCTCAATATCGTGGATTCTCAGCCCCAACGTCGCCTGCAGCGAATCACGGTAGTGCGTAAACCTCGGGTTTTGAGCCTGAATCACGCGACGGTGGGTCACATTCGGAGCATCTACTACCATCTTTCTCTGCTCCAACGCGCTACCGCGCCCACGAAGCTGCAAGTGATCGCCAGCAGGGGCCACCGTCGCGGGCGTGAACGGAATCCACTCATCGAACTTCTGGTCGCGTCCGGCATAACGCACCAGCACCGTTCCTCCACGAGCCCTCACAGCAAAAGCCTCCTTCCACAAGCTGCTGTTCCCTCCGCCAGGACGCACTTCAATCTGCTGAGCCTGACGCACGGGCACACTGTCGTTTCGTGCCTGTCACAAAAAAATAAATAAACTTCAGCTCTAAAATTTCCAGTAGAAATGCTAATTACCTCCACCCCGTCGTACCTTGGTGCCAGGCTGTGCAAGCCGACCGGAGTCCACCGAGAGCCACTGCCGCCACGAGTCGTGCATGTTGAGGAACTGCAGCAGCGCTTCGCCGTCCGCGACTTGCATCACTCTGGCCGGACACCAGTTGCCGAAAACGTTTTGGGCGTCCACTTGGTCCCCCACGTGCATTTGGCGTCTCCACTCGTAGTCGAAGACGTTCACGCGCATCATTTCTGGCGTAATTATCACAATATGCAAAAGAAAACAAAATGGTAGAGAAGTTTAGATGGAGTGAGGAGCTCCGATAAGGTTTGCGCCACTGGGGTTTCGACCCGAGCGATGAGAATTGGCCGCACCTTCTTCGAGGTCGGAGTCGTCGCTTGCTGCGCGACTTCGGCCGTCCATCGGGTCGTCCGCACGCTGCGGCGGGGACGCGATGAGCCGCTCGCACACCATTTCGTCCTCCCTTCTCGAACTGTTTTGGGGTGTTTTTGAAGCTGTTCGAGAAAAGTTTAACAAACTTTTGAAAGTACCAAAAAAGAGGTACAACCTAGCACATGAGCGCTTGAGGTAAATAGTTTGATGGGATGGATATCAATTAGAAAGTGGTGGAGCTCTATTGTGCTGGGAGTTAGTGGGTTTTATTTGCGCGCCGAGTTCTGGGCGATACCGTAGTAACAGACCAGGCCGTCGTCGTTCTCTATGGTGGTGTCGGCCCCCTTGGAGATGAGGTAGGCACCGAGTGAATCACCGTAGCCGTACGAGAAGCAAAAGTGCAGTGCTGTGTTCCCTCGATTCTACAATAAACCGTGTCAGTGAGTAAATGTGTACCATTTGGAAGATGGATGGGATCAGGTACTTACGTTTTGGCTGTTGATGTTGGCGCCACGACGGAGCGCGAGCTTGGCGATACGCTTGAGGCCGTTCTGACAGGCGATGGACAGCAGCGTGTTGCCGAATTGATCCCTCGAGTTCACCGGCACGCCTTGATCTAACATGTAGACGACCGAGTCATAGCGGTTGTGTCGCGCGGCGGAGAACAGGTCGTAGTCATCTGCTGGTGGCGCAGCAGTCCGTAGCTCCGAGACGCTTCCACCGCGGTGCTTGGTGTACTCATACGCATCGTACGTGGGGTCAGCGACGGGCAGGTGCTTGCTACTAGCACGAAACGCCGCTTCCTTGTAAACAGCGGTGGACGACAATGCTGCTGCCGAGATGCTTGCGCTTCGAGGTGCGTGGGCGACGATCGGAGCGGTCTCTCGCGGCGTGACGTACTCATTGTCATCGGACGAGACGGAGCGTGCGCTCTCGCGGGGTGACACGAAGCGTTCGTCCTCGGAGCTGGCACTTGAGTATCCCCGCCTGGCTGAGCTTCGTGGCGTGTAGAAGCGTTCGTCCGTGCCAGCCTTGGCCTCCATCTTGTCGCCGGCACTTTGATCACAACAATCCCCAGATTAATGATCAGCGCGAGGTTGGTCGATCCCAGCGTCTATAAATACTCGATCTCACACCACACATGCTCAAGACCTACAAAAGTTCACGCGTCAGTAGATGAGCACAATGACGAAAATAAGCCGAATGAGACGCTGCCTTGTCTTTCAAACTGGTTGCGTGTTTCTCTCTGCAGGAAGTTAGTTCTGCGCTGTCATTTGCTGTTTGCTCACTTCCTTGCCAGCTAGCTAGCCTTTATGAGAGCTAGGCACGCGAGAGATCCGTAAAGTCACAGCAAGCGCCCGCCTGGCTTAACCATGAGATAGAGATGGTAACCTGCTGCAATCTTTTTCACGATCTTGAACCACCGGCTGAGCTAAGAATTGCTCTCTGTCTCGCGCTTATTCCTCCATCTTAGCGTCTCCGTCCTCGTCTTCCTTCACATCAGACACCTCCACGGCGTCAATCTGCGGGTAAGGCAACAAGTCCACCGATGTTAGAATGGCACCAAGTCCATATACACAAAGTGGCAGCAGCTCCGTACGTAAGGCTGCAGCTCCGCGCCCTCGATGATCTGGAACGGCTGGTCCACGCCCACAACGGCGATGGTGACGTTGCTGGCCGTCAGCTCCTGGTCGCCCTGGAGGCAGCCACGCACGCCCTGCAGCGCGTGGTGGATGAGCTCGTCCTTGCCCACTGCAGCACAACACACAAAAGCCATCAGCCTCTTGGTCTCCCCATCTCTCCGTTCAACTGTATATCTGACGCACAGTTGGAGAAGCTCTCAAAGTGCTTTTCCAGGTACGTGCGCGCCGACTGCGACCGCGCGCCAATGGCGATGCCCTTGTACTCGTAGTAGTTGCCCGACGGACACGTCTGGTACAGGTGCACGCCTTTTTTCTACAAGAAGAAAAAACAAAAATATTGCAGCAGCAGCAGCAACAAATTGTCAAAGATCTCTCCCTCCAAGAACTGAATTGCCCAGCCAGCAGCAGCAGCACGTACGTCGACGCCCGCCACCAGCAGCCCGACGCCGTAGGGGCGGCGGATGTAGGACTGCGTGCACTCCTGCTTCTTGTCTGCCACGTCCGAGACCAGGCGCCCCACGGTGATGGCGCTGCCGTAGACGAACTTGTGGTTGAGGCTCTCTGTGCGCATGAAGCGCGCCAGCGTGCGCGCGTCGGCCGTGAGCCCCGAGATGGCGATGCCCATGTGGTCGTCGATCTTGAAGACCTTCTTCTGGTGCTCGGCCAGCTCCAGGCTTTGGCGCTTGATGCCGCAGAGCACCGCGAACTTGCTGGACGTGAGTCCGAGACACGCGCTGCCCTGCTTCACGGCCTCCATGGCGTAGTCGATCTGGTGCAGGTGGCCCTGCGGACTCCACACCGTCACGTCCGTGTCGTACTGGTTGCGGAACATCTCGAGTCTCCTCCTGCCGGCTAGGTAGCTTCTCGGGCCTCAATAGATTTGGATTGCGACGAGGGGGGATCTTTCCGTCACGGTTTTGGTCCCAGGACTATTTCGCGTTTTTTGGTCTGGTTTTTTGGGTCCAGAATAGACACGATTACTTTTGGTCCTGGACTATTATATTTTAGTCCGGTCTATTTATTTAGAGCGTAAAGTATCCGAGTATCTGATCTAAGGTATCCGATGATGAAGATGACGCGCTACCTGGGGCAGCGGGAGGCCCAGCGCTTCGACGAGCTGCTGATGGGCAGTGCGCATGGCTTCTCCATCGACCAGCTCATGGAGCTGGCGGGGCTGAGCGTGGCTGCGGCCGTGGGCAAGCGCTTCCCCAGCGCTGCATCGTCCGATAACTTCAAGCGCGTGCTAGTGGTGGCTGGACCGGGTAACAACGGGTGCGCAGCGATCGCAGAGAAGGGGGTGGCCAAGTAGTTTGACGAACATTTGTGGTGGGATATTTTTAGAGGCGACGCGTTGGTGGCAGCTCGCCATTTGGTGGTATGATACACAGCTCTTGCAGTGCAGTGGAGTGCAGTTGGTTGTTGAACTGACGGGTGGGGTGGACTTTTACGTCCAGCACTTCGGCTACTCGCCGAGTATTTTGTATCCAAAGCGCAGTGCCAAGCCTCTTTTCCAGGTGAGGAGGTGGTTCCATGGGTGGGTGGGTCAAGGTGTTTGTTTACTTACATTGAGAGCAAAAATTAGGGGCTGGTGACGCAGTGCGAGCAGCTGAAGATCCCGTTCATCGACCAAATCCAGGACGCGTACGTGTCGGTCACGTGCTTGGTTGGTGCAGTTCTAGGGCGTTGAGCAATGCGGTTGCTGCTTCCTTCCTTTGCGCAATTTACAGGTCAGCGGTGGACGCTGCGTACGACCTGATCCTCGACGGCATCTTCGGATTCAGCTTCTCGGGGTCAATCCGTCCGCCGTTCGACCAGGTCGTTGGGACGCTCCAGAAATGCCAAACGCCGATTGTTTCGATCGACATTCCGTCCGGGTGGCACGTTGAGAATGGTGCGGTTGAGGGCGGCGATGCAAGTCTTGGGACGGTTGCTTACGGAAATGATGTTATGCATGGACAGGAAATGAAGCCGGCGTCGGCTTGGAGCCGCTAATGCTGATCTCCCTGACAGCACCGAAGCTCTGCGCGAAGCACTTTACCGGACCGGGCAAGGTGCACTACGTCGGCGGGCGCTTCGTGCCAAAGTAAGTTGCTGTTTACTTGTCTACGATCGTTTCTGTTCAGCTGTGTCATCTGCAGAGGAGCAGTTCCATCGACGCAATGCTAACTCTCGTTTGCGTTCTAGGTCGCTGGCGGAGGAGTTCAATCTGGAGCTGCCTGAATACCCCGGTGTGGAGCAGTGCGTTGAGGTGCCGATTCCGTATTGAAGCCAGGAAGGAGGCTTGATGTCTCGCGTCTGATCGACGTTGGTCGGGCCTCCGCAGTGGTTGTATCAAGTTAACATTGTGAATGTCCTCTCATCCAGTTTGGGCAGAGTTTGAGCTGAGTGAGTGAATCACATCATCTTGTTGTTCATCGTGATGGCACTTTATCGTCTGCTGCGTACAACAGGGCTCGTCTCAAACGAAGTGAAGGGATCTGTGCAGTCAATAGATGCCCGACTTATCTTGGCTATGGCGGTGGTAAAGCCATTGGCCCCGTGCGCGTGTCTGCTATAAGATAATTGGTTATCGGTGTGTCCTCCACGTGCCTCTGCTTAGTCGATAGGCTGCTCTCCACGCGCTCACTTGGTCCAGCTCACCCTTCTGTCTGCTTACAGATACTGTACCAGCGACGGCGCCATGATCCTCCACCAAGCAGCAAGCTTGTTGTCGGGAGCATGGGCATGTTGTATAGCTGCTTGCAGTCGCATACTGCTCCAGGCGCTTCGAGAGCGTCAATTTGGGGAGTCATGCGTAGCTGGAACCGACAAGAACTGAGACCGTCAATTCGTCTACAACTTTGGCGACCTGGCTCACGACTGACAACCGAGTTTCACCTGACATGCGTGTCATCAAGGAAGCGCAGCTAGGGCCTGTCTTCACCAGTCAGTCTGCACCACCGACCGGATTTGGTCTCATTGATCAATTTCCTCCGTCCTGCACAACTCACAAGGCCATCATGGCACCCCCACCCAAGAAGGCTGAGGCTGCAGTGCGCCTATCGATGCTCAGCGCTAGCTCTCAACCAAAAGACCTCGAGGAAGGGGACTGCATCGGCGCAAAGACCCCGGAGCAGAGTGGGTACTCAGACCAAGGCGCACTCCGACCTGGAGGCGAACCAGTGATGACCAGCAGAGCCAACATCGGGCTGCTGTACCAGTACGCGGTCGTCGGCTTCTTCGCTGGGGTGCGGCCTTCCACAATCTACCCGTTCCTTCAGATGTACCTCAGCTGCAGCGGTGCTCAAGTGGCTACTGCGACGACCCTGGTGTCGCTCCCATCGAGTTTCAAGGTATTCTTCGGGATCATCTCCGACTGCTTCCCCATATTCGGCTACCGTCGTCGCCCGTACATGGTTATCGGCTGGACCATCTCGGTGGCCATGCTTTTGGTGATGGCTTGCCTGCCGAATGGAGACCCATACTACACCGACGCCTCCGATCGAGACGTTGATGTATCGGAGTACACGCCCGAAATCGAGGCTCGAATCAACTACGACGCTCCGTCGGAGGGTGGGAAATACGTCATGCTCATGTTCTTCACGGCCGTGGGCTACGTGCTGTCAGATGCCTGTGCAGATGCCATCATGCCGGGGCTGGCCCAGCAGGAGTCTTACGCGAGGCGAGGCAAGCTTCAAACGATGACGTACACGGTGCAGACGTTCGTGACAGTGATCAGCTACCTACTCGTTGGTTTCTGCTTCAACGGAGAGGAATACGGCGGCAACTTCGATTTCTCCTTGAGTTTTCCCGAGTTGATGGCGATTCTCGAGGGTGTTTTTTATGGACAATGTAGTGAAATTTGTGGACGGTTCTAACGGCGCCAACGATCCCGATAACTTGGTTCTTCGTCCACGAGGAGCGACTTCCTGTCGCCCCGAACTTCAAACTCTACATGGTGGACTTGTGGAGGCAGATCTGTAAGCGGGCCGTCTTCCAAGTTATCGCGGCCCTGTTCTTCTACAGCTTGATCTGCGATATCTCGTACACGGCCTACTCTCCGATCCAGTCCTACATGGTGAACGTGACGCCAATCAACAGTACGTTGGGGGACGCGCTCAGCTATGATGGCAACTTCCAAGTGGGGGCTGCATTGGAACTGGCGCTGGATGATCGTGATCACAGGGATCATCCTGATCGTGATCGACGGCGCCTGCAACCTCATCATCGTCTGGAACGTCTACCGCAGTCAGTGGTTTTGGCTCGGGCCACCCATTGTCGCTCAACTCCCCAATGGTATCAGCTTCATGATCAGCACTCTCGTCATTGTGGAGCTCGTCGGTGAAGGCAACGAAGGGGCCATGTATGGGCTTATGAGCACGATCTCGGGTATCGCGTCGCCCTTTGCTACGTCTCTGACTGTGATCATCGACAACCGTTCAACATCACGAACGACAGAGTGCAAGCGGATGACTACTCGATCCACATGGACATCACCTACACGATGATCATCGCGTACGGCGCAATGGTAGTGTCCTGGGTCTTCCTGCTACTGCTACCCAAGCAAAAGAGAGAGACTCAAGAGCTTCTGCGCACCGGTGGGTCGAACAAGCTGCTGGGTGGAGTCACGATCTTCTACTTGTCCTTCTCGCTTGTTTGGTCGGTGATGGTCAACATCATGGCCATCTTCGATAGCACGTCGTGTCTCGTCATAGCTGGTGGAGACGGATGTTAGCACCAACACAGGCGTACGGACAATGAAAGACTCGTTCGTTGTAGTGATACCAGGGTACAATTCTATTCATTTCATCAGTTCACTACGCACATGTACAACATAAAACATGTAATGAAACATGTAACACGCAAAACTACAACTTCAGAATCGATCAGTCCTGCTGGAAGCTGGCAACAGCCTGGGACACCGCGAAGTCGCCCGAGTGGCTGATCGACACGCTCAGCTTCGACAAGCCCAGACGGTTGAACACCTGCAGCGGGTAGCCCGACAGCAGCACGGACGGAGCGCCTGACGCCGTCATGAAGATCTCGATCTCGCGCAGCGGGGCGCCAGCTCCCTTCCACAGGTTCGGCTCCGTCGGCGAAGAGCTCGAGATGGCCTTGATCACAGCCTCCTTGGCGGCCCAGCGACCCGCGAAGCTCGCGGCCGGGTGCGGCGCGCTGTAGCAGTACGCCATCTCCTGGTCCGTGAAGTTGCGGCGGATGAAGTCCTCGCGGCCATTCAGGTTCTCGAACGTGGCCACCGGCTCCACGTCCACACCCATGCCCATGTTCTTGGACGCCAGACCCAGGTCGGTCGCCGCTTGGTTGATGGCAGTCAACAGCGTCGACGACGAGTCGGCCGAGTGCGTCTCCGTGGTCTTCTTCGAGGCCGCCGCCGCCGCTTCCGCAGCAGCCTTCGCCTTCTTCGCGCGCTTCTCCGCGCGCTGGCGGTGGTTCTCCTCCGCAGTGAGCGAGTCCGCGCCGCCAAAACGCCACGTCTTGGACGTCGCGTCGTACTCCGCGCGGGCCGTCGGGTCCAGGTACACGTTGCTCTCCTGCGCCGACGAGTACGGCGCCTCGTTCTTCACCTGGATGTGCGCCTGCTTGCCCGTGATCACGCCCTGCACGTGCGTGTTCATCTTGATCAGACGCTGCTCGCGACGAGCAGAGTAGTGCTGGAACTCCTCAGCACCCAGCGTCGACAGCAAGTAGTCCGGGTGCACCAGCACCACCTCGCCACCGGCCTGGCCGAAGCCGAAACTCTTCATCAGCACAGCCTTGATGCCCACCGTCTGGTAGCTACGGTTCGGGTACACGAGGTGGTCGTACTTGCGCAGCGTCGCGCACGTGTTGTCCAGCTGACGGTTGCCCGGGATCAAGCCCGTGTTCAGCACCTGCAGCAGGCCGTTCAGCATCCACGCAGCAGCGGCACCCTTCGGGTGGCCCGTCAGGTTCTTCTGGCAGATCACCGGAAGCGGGTTGCCCGCAGAGCGGCCCAAGTGAGCCATCTGCTTGTGCGTCACCTCGCTCTCGTTCTTGTCGTTGGCCTTGGTACCCGTGCCATGGAAGCTAGCAGCGCCCAGGTCGTCGATGTCCAGGTTCCACACGTTCAGCGCACCGCGAAGAGGAGCAATATCCGTCTCACCATAATAGAAGCCCTGCCCCCATGTTGCTTGAGCTGCTCGCACCTTCCGCAACCTTCTCCTTTCTATCAATCTAATGCGAGATCGGTCTCCGTTAGCGCCTGCCTTCTCACGCGCATACCACTTCTCAATGCTCTCCAGCTCGTCATCAAACTGACGGCGACGGAACTCCACGTCCAACAGCGGGGAAGGCTTCGAGTTGTCCGACGTAGCCTCGCGCGCCGTCGTCAGAATGCCCTGACCAGGAGCCGGCACAGAGCGGCCGTTCTTGTCCGTTGCCGTGTTCGTCAGCGCCACAATACCATAGATCGGCAGACCCATTTCAAGCGCGAGCTGGGCATCCATCAGCAGCTGAATACCAGCGCCATGGCTCTCCATGAAGCCACCACGCGTCGTCGAGCACGGACGGCACATTTCCTTGGGCTCGCGACCCATTCCAGTCTCCTTCACCGAGTCGCTCGTCGCCTTCATTTGTGCAAACTCATTTGACGTTTCCTCGCCGAAGTCGTCATAGCCACCAACGATGCAAATGCGAGCCTTGCCGCTCTTGATCGTCTCCGCACCGATGTCCACAGACTCAGCAGCCGTGGCACAGGCACCCACTGGGGTCTTGATCGGGCCAGAAGAACTCAAGAGCAGCATGTTCACCCATGCCGGAGGCGTGTTGATGAAGCACTCCTGCAGAGCGTCACTCGGAGCCGGCTTGCCAAGAAGGCGGTTCTTGTAGATCTGCGTGAATGCTCGCATACCACCCATTCCACCACCGGACGTGTTACCGACTTCCGACACGTGCACGTACTGGTAGAACTCGTACGGGTCTGTCACACCAGCAGCAACAAACGCGTCCATCGTCGATGCCAGCACGTACAGCGTAATAGGGTCCACGGCATCGGCAAGGTCCTTTGACAAACCAAGACGCTCCGCGCTCCAGCCCGTCGGGATCTGGCCAGCAACGAAGCGGTCGAAGTTGAGCGCACGAGGAATGTTCAGCACAGAACCCTTGCGCAGGCGAATCATCCACGCGCCGGACGCGTTCTGGAACACGTCCACGTTCTCCTTGCCCAGCTCCTTGCGAAACTGCAGAGCCTCCTCGCGGTCGGCCACCTCGATGGGGGACATCTTCTTGTCGATGGCCACCTGGTGCAGCACCATCTTGTTCTTCGGGTCGTACCCGTCGAACAGCTCAGGCTCAACGATGCGGATGCCCGAGTGTTTCAGGATGTCCTCCTCGTAACGCGGCTTCACCTGGTGGTCCGGCACGATCTCCTTCGTCTTCGCGTCCACCCAGTTGCCCTTGTCGAACGCGATGCGGCCCGTCAACCACGCCAGCTCAATGCAGCCTTCCAGCGAGAACTCGCCGTACGACTCCATCTCCCAGCGCGTGCGCGAGTTGCCCCACGGACTCACCTCGCCGAAACCAGTCACCACAACAACTTGGCGCAGATCCAGCATGCCGCGCAGCAGCGCCTGCTTCGTCGACGCCGACAGTCCAGCCACACCACCCAGCTTCGGGAACGAGTTGCAGTAGTAGCTCGACATGTTTGCGCGAGGAGCAAACTTCTTCGAGCTCGGAGCAGCCTGCTTCTGCGTCGAAGGTAGAGCCAGCATCTTCTTGTCGCTCTCCAACGCGACATGAATAGATGCCTGAAGCTTCGCCTTCTTCATGATGTCGGCGCGAATGGCGTCAACCTGGTCCTTCAGGTCGCTAACCTGGGCCATGCCACCAGTGAGGTCTGCGATGATCGGTGACTTAGCCGCCCGCCTCACAACTTTAGGGTGCATCAATGCACTCAGGTTAAAACCCATTTCGGTCGTACTGAACGTGCGCATTCCCATCTTCTCCACGTCCACAGCAACCACATTGTTGCCAGACATGAGGCCCGTGCCACGGGTCCAACCGATAATGGCACCAACGATCGAAAGCTGGTCATCCCAGCCCTCCGAGTACCACTTGCTCATGAGACTCTCCACGCCCAGCTTCGACTCGGCGTACAGACCGTCGCCACCGAAGCTGCCGTGGTTCGGCGACATCGGGAGAACTACAAGCGCTGGACGCGTCGTGATGTCACGAGTCTTCTTCGCCGTAACGACCTCGCCCAGCAAACGCATCACGTTCGTCAGCATGACTCGGAGTGCCAACTCCGAGCGCGAGTCGATGTCCGTGATCGTGCGGCCCACCTCCGACAGAGCCGCGAACGGGATCAAGAAGTCCAGGTCCAGCTTGTGCACGTTGTAAATGTGCGCCACTAGGTTCTGCACGTCCACCTTAGAAGCCTGGTTGAACGGCAGCACGACGAGGCGGCTGCCACGACTGCCGTGCTGCTCGTAGATCTCGCGGAACAGCGCCGTTGTCTTCATGCTGAAGCTGCTCGTCGTCACAAACACCGTAGCGCCACCTTCCAACAGCGCCTTCACGATCTCGGCACCAATGGAGTTCTTGCCGCAACCCGTCAGCAAAGCAACCTTGCCGGCAAACGAGATACCCGTCGAGGCCATCTCGCGCATGCACGACAACAGCACGCAGGTCGACTCGACGTCGTACAGGCGGATCGTCGGGTCCACATCGGACGGCTTGCGGACGTGCACGTGCGGCAGCACGATCTTCTTCAGGTTCTCGTTCAGGCCATAGGACGAGCGAACAACCGGAGCCCATTTGGACTCTCGTTCGGCGCGTCGGTGAAGAGCGTCACGTATTGTATCGATCTTGGTGCCTGCAGATGATAGTCTGCTGGAACCATCATTTGAGGAGGAATCGTCATCCTCGCCGCTGTCAACCTCGTCACTATCAACGTCTTCGCTGGTCGTGCTTCCGTTGTCAGTTGGTGTCGCTTCAAACTCAGGTCCATTTGAGCTAGCATTTTTCCCACTTTTGAGAATAATCTTGTACTCCAGACCACGGGAAATCTCGTCGACGTAGCAAATAGCGTCGTGAACACCTTCACGAGGAACTTCGGCATACTCAAGCTTGCCATTCTCAAGAATGCTTAGCTCTGGCTGCGTCGGCTTCAAGCTCGGCATGCTCACAGGTTTCGAGTCCAACCACGCATCCATTTTCGTCACCATCTGCTTCAGTGCTTGGACCAACTCAGAGCAGTCCTCCTTCTCCGCACGCGATACCAAGAAGTGCAAGCATCTCAGAAGCTCCGGCGTAGCACGATTGCGAAGATGTGTGTTGGAAGCACTACTCAAATCCAGTTTCGATCTCGCGGGAGCGCCCTTCGCAGCAGCAGCAGCAGTGCGGTGGTACAGCTCCATCGCATCCTGAACAGCCCAGTTCCAGTAGCTGTCGTACTGACGCTCCTTCTTCGCATCGAACTTGCCAGCAATACCAGCACCGTAGAACTCGCCGTGCTCCGTCACCCACTGCGACACCGACGACTCCAGGTCCTCACGCAAGTCCACCTCCGTCTCGATCTTGCGGTGCCAGTCCAACTGGTCATCGCCCAGGTACGAGTTCAACGCTTCCACCTGGTTCGCGATCATCGACTTCAGACGCTTTTCGAAGTCACTCGGCAGCGAGCTCGACTGCATCGCCGGCTGGCCCATGGCTGGACCAGCCATCATACCGCCCAGCTTAGACAGGTACGGGATGTCAATGCCAGCGAACTTCGCGTAGTCGTCCACGACGCCATCCAGCCACTTCTTCGCCGTCGCATCGTCCGTCAGGCGCTGCTTCGGATTCTGCGTCAGGCCGTGCAGCAGCACGCTTTCGATGCGACCGCTCGGCAGGCAACGCTCGCTCGACAAGTACTCCTTGATGGCCGACAGACCGAAACCACCGGGCATCTTGCTCGCCAGCATCTTTGCGATCAGAGCGCTCGTCACCTTGCCGGGCGACGCGTAGTCGGGGAACTTGCCAGCAAGCTCGACCAGCTTCATCTCCGCCACATCATCCGGACCCGAGCCGAACTCCTTCTCCAGGTCGCCAACGATCTCGTTCTGCACCGCAGACTTACCAGCGGACAGCTCCTTGATCGTGGCCGTCTCAGGGACCTCCGTGAACGCCTTGCTGAACTTAGCCGCGAGCATCACCAGCAGAGCGTGCTTCGCCTCCACGGGCTTGTCAGCCACCGTAGGGATCGACACCGGAGCCGGGTTGAACGACATGCCCACGGCGCCAGGCGCAGCAGCCATCGTCGGGCGGGCCAGTGAAATGCCCGCGAACGAAGCGTAGCCATTCACGCTGTCATCCAGCCACTTCCGCGCGTCCGCATCGCTCTTGAAACGAGCCTGCGGCGCAAGAAGCAGCGAGTGCGCCAGGCCGCTCTCCATGCGGCCAGCTCCCAGACCCTTCTCGCCGCTCAGGTACTCCTTGATGCTCGACATCGTGAAGCCGCCGGGCATCTTGCTCGCCACCACCTTGTTGATCAGGCCGTTCGTCACCTTGCCCAGCGTGCTGTAGCCGGAGAACTTCGACGCCAGCTCCTTCAGCGGCACCTCGCCGGCACCCTCGGGGACGCCGCCACCGAATTCCTTCTCCAGGTCACCCAGGATTTCGTTCTGCACCGCAGACTTGCCGGCGCAAAGCGTCTTCACGTCCGTGTCTTCCTTGATATCGCCAAGGTCCTTGTTCAGGCGCACAGCAAGAAGCACACGCAGAACGTGCAGAGCAGCAACCGGCGCGTCTTCCGCAGCAGAAACCGACGCCGCAGGAGCGGGAGCAGGAGCAGCCTGCATCGGAGCCGCCGGCGCGACAACAACCGGAGCAGCAACCGGGGCCGGCGCCGCGGGAGCCGCCTCCGCCTTCGGAGCAGACGCAGCAGCAATCTTCGCAGCGGCGGCCGCGGCCTCAGCCGCAGCCTCGGCAGCCAGACCACGCGCGTACTCAGACGCAGAGATGTTCGACGTCTCCTCCTCGAAGTGGACGGCCTCGCGATCGCGCTGGTACCACAGAATCTCACGCGGCACGGACGGGAAGTCGCCAACCTGCAGAGTGCGCAGCGCCATGTTCGTCAACGTCGGAGCAGGGCCAATCTCCACGAAGCGGCGAACACCGCCCTCCGAGAACAGCAGCGCCTGCGTCTTGATCCACTGCACGGGCGACGCAAACTGGTACGCCAGCAGCTCCACCACCAGAAGATGCGCGAGCTGCGCCTTCGTCGTCAACTGCCACTGCATCGGGTTCAGCACCTCGGCCAGGTACGGGCTCTTCGTCGCCTCGTACACCTCCTCGAAGTACGAGCGCTCCAGCGAGAACGGAGTGGCCACCAGGTTCGGAATGTACCGGCTCACCAGAAGCGGCAGCTGGCGCTCCAGCACCTGCGGGTCGAACTTCGTGCGCAGCAGCGCGCGGAACGACGGCACACCGCCCAACAGCTCGCGCGAGTGGAACGGCACGTCAATACCAACCAGTGGGATCGTCGCCAGGCCTCGGGCCAGCGTGAACGGACGCCCGCTCTGCTCGCACTTCTCCTTGCGAGCGCGAGCCTGCGCCAGCGACTCTGCGATCACCTTCTCCACCTCCTCCGGAGCGGTCGACGTCACCGTCTTGAACGCAGACAACGCCAGCGACAGCGTCTCCAGGTTCACGTTCTCACCAGCAACCACGTACTGGCGCTGCTGGATGTTGAAATTCACCACCTGAAGGAGCTTCCCCGAAGCAGCCTCGATGCCGTCTACGACCTTGTACATGGCCTCCTCCGTGAAGTGGGGGCCAACACGAGTGGGGTTCGTGGCAACCATACCGTAGTCCGAGCGTCCCTCAGCGTCACGCTTCACAGCCTTCTGCATGATCATTCCACGCAGGAATACTAAATCCATGAGTGCTTCCACCGATAACGCTTCCGCGAAGGAGATCAAACCAGCATACTCGCCCAGGGAGTGGCCAGCAAAATAGGCATCATCAGGAATCAGCTGCGCCGCCTCAATCTCAGAGAACATTGCCTTCTCCAGAAGTACTAGTGCAGGCTGGCTGAACTGGGTCGCGAACAGCAAGCCTTCTCTTGCCGAAAAGCTGTAGCTCTCAGTCTCTTCATCAATCTCTGGTAAGAGTGGGGTCACCTCACCAGTGAGAGGGTGTTCGCATTTCAGGTTCATGTAATGTTCGCGAATCATGCAGCCCTTCTTACCGCCAAAGTGCACCGTTATGGACTTCGGGTTCTTGCGCACCATCTCCAGGATGGAGAAACCGAACGTGTTACGCAGGTGAACATCACCACGGTTCCAGATCTCGCGAGCAACCGAGGACTCCTGGTAGCGGTCCATGCCCATGTTCACCGCGGCAGAGCCCTGGCCAGTGAACACAAACGCCATCGGCGCCTGCTTCACCACAGCACGCGCGCTAACCACGCGCTCGCCGGAGCCGTTCACAACCTCCACCGACAGAACCTTCTTGCCGTTGTCGAGGCCGATGTGGCGCGCCTGCATGAACAGCTTGTCGCCCGGGTACACCATGCCGTCGAAGTTCACGTCGTAGTCCACGACGTTGCTGTCGAAACCCAGACCGAAGCTCTGGATGACCAGATCGCGCACCTTCGTCGCGGTCCACAGACCGTGCATAATCGGCTTGCCCTTCGGCAGGTGGCCCAGGATGGCGGCGTACTTCGAGCGGTGAATCGGGTTCAGATCGCGCGAAGCCACGGCGTACGCCAGCGCGTTCGCCGGCACGTTGATCTCCAGCGGCTTCTCCAGCATGTGCGAACCACCGTTCGCAAACATGCCACCGGCATTCGCGTCCGCCGGCTGCACCTGGCGCAGGAATGCCACCACGGGGCTCTCGTTCACCTCGGTGCTCTTGAACTCGACCGTGCCGATCTCCACCTTCGAGCCAGCCTCCTCACGGCACAGCACGCCCGACACCTCCACGGAGCTTAGCGAGTTGATCGACGCGTACTGCTTCTTCGTCATCAGCTCGAACGACAGGTGGTCACCGACGATCACCGAGGCCTCGGCAGCAAGCTTCAGCCACGACTTCGCCTTCAGGATCTCAACGTCCTCCTGACGCTTGGGCACGAAATCGTCCGTCGACTTGTCGATCGAGAACGTCGACTCAAAGTCATTGAACGAGCCGCGGATCAGGAACTCGCTGTGCAGCTCCACCAGCGGCTCCAGCACCTCCTCCATCTGCTCGTCCACCGTCTTGCGCGAGATGATGGCCACGCCGTGCACAATCTTGCCGCTGTCGATGATGCGCAGACTGCCGACGTTCGACGTGCTCACGATGTCGTCGCCAGGCAGGAACGTCGCGGACGCCTTGCGCGATGACAGCAGCTTGTACGAGTGCTTCAGGTGCACCAGGTCCAGCAGGTTGCCCTTCACCTCCTTCGTGAACACCGACTGGATCAGCGGACGCCACGACACGATCGTCGAGAAGTCGGCGGGAGCGCCCACCTCGTCCGCGCTGAGACCCAGCGCGGCACGGTACGCCACGATGTCCTCCTTCGTGATGCTGAAGTCGGCCGTGAAAGGAGACATCACGCTCTCCGCGCACGCAGCCTCGCACGACTCCTCTTCCTTGCCCTCGATGGCCACCCAGAAGCGGGCGTAGAACGCCTTCACCTTGTCGATGAAGCCGCTGCCCTCAGCGTGGATCGAGCACGACAGCTCAGGGTGGTGCTGGAACGTCATCTCCAGCGCCACGACGCCGGCCTTCAGCTCGGTCACCGCCGGGCGAACCTCGTTCACCACAACGGCAATCGCTGCGTCCTTCTTCGTGATCTCGATCACGGGGCCCGAAATGTCGATCGACCTGTCGAACACGCGAACGCCGGCGGCGTCGATCACGTACTTCTGGCCCACCTGGGGGACAAGAAGCTGGCGGACCGGATTCGCAAGCCACTTCTTCTCCTCCACCACGTGCGTCGACGAGATCAGCGCCTTCAGCCAGTCCTTGTCGCTCACGGACGCGGCGAGCGCCGCAAGCCATTCGTCAGCAGACGGAACGGCGCTCTCCTCCGTGGAGATCGACACCTCCACGCTGTCGTCGATCTCCGTGACCTCAACACCAGCGATGTCCACAGTCTGCTTGACGGCCGCAACCGGCGCGGCAGCAATCGCACCGCTCTCTTTCACAACGTTGATGAAGCCCGTGTTGATGCCTCCCAGGATGTCCGCCACGGGCTCGTTTACCACCGTGCTGTAGCGGACAGCCACGGGGCCCTGCAGGATGAACACGCGCTGCTCGTCGCACTCCGGCACCGCGTCCAAGTCCTCCGAGTACCACAGAGAGTCCTTCTTGAACCACGTCTTGAAGTCCGTGTCGATCGCAGGCACGAAGTTCACCGGCTTGCCACCCGTGCGACACAGCTCCAGGAAGAAGTCGCAGTCCGGCACCGACAGCAGCGTCGACACCGTCGCAGGGTACTTCGCAATGAACGCGCTCAGCGTTCCGCGCGGGTTCGACTTGAGCTCCGACTGGTCGAACAGCGCGCCAGAGCTCTCGCGGCGGAAACGCTCCTCCGTGCGCGTGATAAACTTGCTCACGCGCGAGAAGTACGTGTCGTGCACCCAGCGCTGCGGCTTGCCTTCCACCTCCACGTAGGTCAAGTCGACCAGGCGGGTCAACACGTCTCCGTACGACATCTCCTCCAGCTCCGCCGGGACAACCTCGCCCGTCTCGACGTTGCGCTTGCAGCCAAAGTACGGCTTCTGGTAGTCCGCGTTCAGGCGTGCGATGATGTCCTGCTTGTTCAGGCGGAGCGCCAGCTCCACCTGCTCGCGCGGGATCGAGAAGTACTTGTCGTCAAACTCCTTCCACAGCTGCGCGCAGCGGTTGGCCACCACGTGGATCGGCTCGCCCAGCTCCGACGTCACCGTGACAACGCCGCCCACGACGCCCGTGTAGCTCGTCTCCCACTCCAGCTCCGACTCGATACCAGGAGTGTCCACCAGCAGCTTCTTCACTGCCGGCGCGGTCGCAGCCTCCTTCGCGACCATCACGCGAGAGCCCATCAGGATACCATCCGCAGGCATCTTGTGTAGGTGGCCGCGCGCCAGACTCCACTCGCCCGTGAGGTACTGCTTCGAGTCCTCCCAGTTGCCGAAGCCAGAGCCCACCACCAGCAGCACGTTCGACACGCGACGGATGGCGGCGTACGTCTCCTCCATCGGCTGGTGGAAGTCCTCGAAGCTGTGGTGGCCACCAGCGCGGCCGCCAGTCCACTGCAGCATCACGGTCATCGATGGCATCGCCGCGGCAATCTCCAGCACCGCGTGGATACCGTCCACCGAACCGGGCTTGAAGCACACCACCTTGATGCCAACGGCCTCCAGCTGCGACATCATCTCAAGCGCACGCTCCTGCGTCGGGATACCGGCACCAATCGTGATGCTCTCGATAGGCACGCCGCTGCGGCGCATACGAAGCACCATCGGGAACTGGAAGCCCCACTGCTTCGCGTTCAGGTACAGCATATTGATCGCGATGCCGAGGCCAGGCTTGATCTTCGACACCAGCTCGTTCACCGCGTCCTCAAAGATGTTCGGGCGCGACAGACCACCCGCCGCAAGCTCGCCGTGGAAACCCGCGTTCTGGATAGCCGCAACGAGGTCGATACCTTCCAGGCTCGTCGTGGGCGTCATACCCGCGACCATGACGGGGGGCTTGTTCAGCGCGCGTGTGAATCTGTTGTAGAGCTTGCCCGACGCCGTCACCTGCGGGCCGAACTTCTTCGCCCACGTCGCCTCGGCCGGGGAGAAGGTCGGCGCAGCGTCGATGAACTGCTGCAGGCCGATGTGAGGGGCGTACTTCGTCGATGTGCTCATGACCGGGTGCTTGGCGGTCGCAATCACCACCTCAATGCCCAGACCTTCCGCGAATTTGTCGCTCAGCTTCGCCACACCGAGGTCGGGTCCAAACTCCAGCACGTGAGTCGCGCTCGAGTGGTGCTCCGCAATCTTTGCCCACGCCGCAGTCCAGTCCACGAGTTGCAGCAACTGCATGTTAATAAGTTCATCGACAACGTCGTCCACCGTCTGCAGGTTGGTCGCCTCCGCGTTCGTAGCGTACACGGGCACCTGCAGCTGGCTGCCCTTGATAGCGCACTTGACGCGCTCAACGTCCTGGACCAGCTTCGGCTTGGCCTCAGTCAGCAGCGGTGTGTGGAAAGGAGCCGACAGCGGCAAGAACGACAGCGAACCCGTGGGTTTCCGCTGCGAGTGCGGGATGCGCGTCTGGTTGGCGTCGGGCTTGGCGAACAGGCCTTCCAGCGCCTGCTTCAGCAGCGTCAGCGTCGCGGGGAAGCCCGTCACGTTCATCATGTCCGACGCGTTGATGAGCGACAGCTGCAGGTCGGGCGTCTTGGTGCGGCGCTTGGCCACCTCGATGGCCTTGAGCACGTGCTCTTTCTTGAGACCGCGCACGGCCAGCATCGGGCCGGCGTCCGCGATCTTCTTACCGTCCTGCTTGTACTGCGTCAGGAGCTGGTCGTACGCCTCCTGCGCGCGCAGTCCCTGCCAGAACATGTAGCGCAGGACGGAGACGCCGATCGCGACGAACTCCTCGGCCGTCTTGGCCGCAGAGAAGATGACGGCGCTCACCACGCCCTGGCTGTGGCCCACAGCCGTGGTGGAGCTCTTGACCACGCTCTCGTGGCTCACACCCGCCGTCTCGAGGAAGTTGAGGTAGTTGGCGCACTGCGTGAGCACCAGCAGCGGCATGCTGAAGTACACGCAGTCGAGCGCCAAGTCTGCGGGCGCGTCGCCGACCTCCAGGCTCTGCAGCCAGCTGTGCACGTCGATGGCCGCCTCGAAGGCGACGGAGGCCTTGGCCTCGTCGGTGCTGGACTCCTCCAGCAGCGCCTGCGCCGCGCTGTCGATGAACGCGCGCGCGGCGCTGGTCTTGGATGCAGCATAGAGCTTTTGCAGCTCGGTCCAGTAGGAGATGCCCTGGCCGCCGAACTCCGGGATGAAAGTGTACTTGCCCGCGTCCATTGCGCCTGCCAACGCGGACACGGACGTCGTCTCCTCCGTCGTCGAGGTAGTTGTGGTGGTGGTGGTCGTCGTCGTCGTCACGACCGTCTCCGACTGCTCGCCCGCCGCCGTGGTGGTTGTGGTTGTCGCCGTGTGGGTTTCCTCGCTCATGGTGATCTACTAGTGGTGTCGGCGAGAAGAGAGGGGGATGGGGGTGGCGTCCGTAGCTGCGTCTGGAGGCCCTTTTTGCCTTCTTCTTCTTCTTCCGAGCGCGGTGGTTTTCCTGCGCGTGCGCGTGCGGGTGCGGGCGAGTGAGCTGCGAAAGGGAAATGCTCCAGTGAGGGGGAGGCGGCTGAGCGCGCTGGGCCTGTCGATTCACCTTGTACTGACTATGATTCCTGGACCGCCATGCTGTGGAGACACCCAGGCACAACTGCGATCTGCTGACGCGCAAAACAGAGATGGCGCTGTTTTACTGGAGGAATCTATAGGAGCGAGGCTAGGGGTCGTGACGCGCTTCCGCCAAAGTGAAAGGGGGCCGTCGACGTCAGAGGTTATAGTTGCCTTTTGTATGGGAGACCGTCTCACCCCTGGCAGTGCCAGAGTGGCAGCAGGTGCTTCTCGCTCCTTCTTCTTCAACCCGAAGGTGCGCTGGGCGTAGCGGTGCCGGGCCCAGCGGCCCGAGGCAAGGGGACCGGCGGCGAAGATGGTCTGCCAAATGCTTGTCAGTGCCTGTGCGCCTAAGTGCCTGCCGCGGCGGGGTTCCGCTGCAACGTGTCTGACTGGCTTGCCGTTTAGGTAGCGAGCACCGAAGCGCTGACTGCCCGCCGAAAAACTGAGCCAAAAGCCAAAAGCGGGATATCCTACAAGTGATGCAGTGACGTCATGTGTAGCCATGTCCAAAAGCGGAAGACAATCGCGCTCGCGCCGAGCTACGCCTCTACGGCGGATGTATCGCCAAACGCTGGGCGGCAGTGCGCCTTTTGTCAGCCCCGTCGGACGGGAGCCCGTGCGTCATTTGCGGAGCCGCGTGACAGCGGAACCTGTGGCTGCGACTTGCAGCCCCACGCGCATTCTGGCGGTGTTTAGCCGAGCGATTTGCATGTGGCAGGCGCGCCGCCACCGCTGCCCCGACATTGCGATTCAAGACACCGCGCACGCACGAAGAAGTACTGTACTGCATCGGTAGAATCATCTCTTTGGCAGGCAGGCAGGCAGGCAGGCAGTGGCAACGGCAACCCCCAGATCGGTAAGGCAGAGGTGCTGCACACGGAACACCACGTCCCATCCCTTCCTTCCTTGCTAGCTTTCTTTGCTCGCCTCGGTCGCCAGCAGTATTCCGCGGAGCGTCCCTGCTTGATTGATTGCTGCGATTGCCCGCCGCTAGCCCGCTACTGTATTGGTGAGCGTATCCGCCACGCCGCGCTGCAAGAAAGCGGGAGGCGGGCGGACGCTGCGGAGCTCCGCGCAGTCCGGTGGCCATGCGCCGGAGCGAGTGGGCTCTTCATGCCAATCAATGGGGCTCGCCACGCACTTCGCGCTCCAACACGGCGATCCTGGCGAGCGTCGATTTAACGCGGATGGATACGTCACTCAATGTCGCACGAAGGATCCGCATCGATACAAGTGACCTTCGCGATACCGCCAGAGTGGGTATACACATGTATACATAACCGCGATTTTGTCAGCAAGTATAGATAAATGGAATTCGTCGTGCAAAGTGAACGAAACAAAAACTAGAAATATTTCTATGCTATTTCGATACTGTTTCTATCGGCAAGAGTCGCAGACTCTTGCACTCTTGCGCGCTTACTTGTACTCGGCAAGTAACGATGGAAGCTCTCGATGCTCGCGTTGAGCAAGTGCTGGGAAGTATCACCTCTGACAACACCAAGTACGTCTATCTACGAGCTTTATCTCGCTTCATAGAGTGGCTCTACGAGAATACGGAGGCGGATCGACGGCAAGTCCTGTTTACTAGTACGTTTCGTGAGCTGGGTGCAATTAATGAGGAGAGTATCGCGCAGTGGTTCTCTATCGTCCCTTTACGAAGCCCTGTCAATCTAAGTATATTAAGTACTATGGAGTGTATGCGCTACTTGACCTCGATGGAGCAGCGTGGTGTCACCGGAAAGTCGACTTTTGGAAATGTTCGCTCAGCGATAGTGTACCTTTACACTCAGACAGAAAGTCCTCGGCCGCATGACTTCGATCCTCAAATGAGGCGCTTTTTCAAGGGTCTGCACCACACTGTGACAAGAGTTGCTCAGAGCAGTAACGAGCGCATCTCGGAAGGAAAGGAGCCGTTCAGTTTTTCGATGTATCGATCGGTGGCTAAAGCAATGCTTCAATCTACCAGAAAACAGGATGCGTTCGGCCACACTTTCTTGCTCGTTTGTTGGAATCTCATGTGCCGCGCCAAAAGTACTGAATCGATACGGCACGCTCACCTTTCTTGGCACGAGGACTCCATCACGATTACTTTCGCTCATATGAAAAACGATCAAGACGGAAGTCGGCCTCGCGATCCCAGGCATGGGTACGCAAATCCAACCATGCCCGAAATCTGCCCGGTATTAGGACTTGGAGTGTATTTCGCTGTTTTTGGTTTCGCTCGCGATGGAAAACTTTTCCCTGGTGGTAATCAGTACAGGCGATTTCTCAAAGTATTGAAGTCTGTGCTTAGTGGAGAACTGATGCAGCGAACGTTAGCTGAGTTTGGATTAACGGCTGCTGATTTTGGTACGCACTCCGCGCGTAAAGGTGCTGCTACCTATGTTAGTAGCTGCTCTACTTCGGGTCCGTCAGCAGCGGCTATTTGCCTTCGGGCTGGTTGGACTTTTCCAGGTGTCCAGGACAAGTATGTTCGGTTTGAAGCCGCTGGTGACATGGTGGTCGGTCGGTATGTTGCGGGCCTTCCATTTGATTCTCCAAAATTTGCAGCGTTACCTCCATTTTTCGATGTGCAAAGTGATCAAGAAGCTGACAGACTGGAACTACGGCAGCGCATTGATGTCGCCATGAAAGCCGTTTTCCCCGGTGTTCCAGCCAGTCTGCGGATGATCTGTCAATTTGGTCTGGCGTCAATGCTGTTCCACAAGTCGTTCTTGCAGTAGTCACTGCCTACGAATCAGTTGCTGTTTGCTACTCCGCTATTCAGCACGCGTAATGAAGCGCAATTTGAGTGGCTGCGGCGTCGCGTAGTTTGTCGAAACTTTCAAGAGCACGATCCTATCAGTCCTTCGGGCATTCCACCACACATGGGGATAATGGTGGCGCTTACAGACTACAAGGAGAAAATTGATGGGATTAAAGAAGGACTGGTTGTTGATTTTGAGAAAGCTCTCAAACGGCACATTAACGGATCAGTTATGACCATGTAAGCGATGGAGACAACCTTCGCTGCGATATTGGCGCGGTCCAATTTGATGCGACCAAATCTACCCGCACCAGATCCAGAAGGCGAGCCCGCCGTGAATGCTACGGCAACGATGCACACCGAGCTATACACATGGGGTGGAGGCTTTCATCGAGTGCCAAGAGAGTTTGTGCTACCCCCAGGAACCGTTCGCGTTGTGTGGCAGCAATGGTGTGCTGGGCAACCGCCACTAAGGCAGCTATCAAAGCACGATATGGCTTCAAGACTACAAAAGATCCGGCTTGCAGAGCTTCAGCGGCTGATGCGCTTGGTTGAAGCACTTCTGACGAGTGATGAGGTCCTGCGAGCGCACAGCTCTCTCGATTCGGCTGGCCTTCTTTTTGAGCAAGTAAAGAATCGTTTACCGTTCTCATCGACGTCGAGTAAAGGAAGAGCGCGTAGACTTGACCAACTATCGTGGAGAACACGCGCCAGTGATATTGCAAGCCACAGCTCCAGCTAGACTAGCTACCATTACGTGGGTGAGTAGCGGTAAGCTTGCACAATACACATTTACTTCGAAGTAGTAGTGTTTCTACTTTCACACTGTGTACCAAATGTGCGGCACAATATGCTTCGTGCAAACTGCACGATGAATTCCACTACATCTTGCATTATGGACAGTTTCATTTGATTTTTGTATAGCTGGCATTTTTGCATTCGTGGAATTCGCCGGTCAATTGGCACCCCGAATTCTATACAAAGTGGCAGATTCGCACGGTGATTTCCGGAGAAGTGAGCATTTCCAAACGTCGTGCCAGTGCAAGTTTGTTTGGATTGCGCTGGACCCCGTCAATTAAGATGGTCGGGCCACGTTTATCTGTACACGAGAACACGAGATGAACTCACTTACGTGTGCACGTGGCTAAGAAAAGCAATAGTTGGATACCTTCGGTAGCAGGCTCCAGCTTCACGCGTGATCTCCAATACTAGCATCGGCATCCCTTTGTCATCACATACAACCCACCTACACCTATTTACCCTAACCTCACTAACAAGCTGAAACTCGAAATACACTTGGAGCAATGCAAGGCAAGCCTGCGCATCTATTTATCTAGCAGTAAAACTCTTCGTCGAAGTCGTCAGCTTGGCCTACTGCCTTATCAACGGCAAGTAGACAATAAGCTCAGTCGCCTGTTTGACTGGCGTTGTATCCGAGCTCTATTGCCCTTAGCTACACTTCTTCCTCGAACTCCGCAGCAATTTTAGCGAGGATCTGTCCTTACCGAGCGGTGGCAATACCATCGTCTGGGCTTATCGAAAAAAATTTCGCTCATAACAGGCTGTGACGACTCGTACTCATGGACTGGATTTCCTTCGGGTGTGCTTAATGAGGCAGTAGAGTGCAAAGTTACGCCCTCGCGCAAAGAGCGCGGGCACGAGACGGCGAGTCCTTCGGTACCATGTATTCTTATGATAGCAATATAGTAGATTACTTAATAGCCCTGTAGCCTGGATAACCCTCGAGTATGTTAATTGATGTGCAGCTCCTGGTCAGCTTGATGCCAGGAAATGTAGTCCTTGGCCATATCCACGATATTCGGTACACTGCCTACGGTAATTAGTCTCACCTAGACTATTTTTGATTAAATGGTTCATTGCTCTTAGACAATAAATAGTACTAGTATACCAGCATCCTCACGGCGAATTTTCGCCCCGGTTGCTAGAGGGGCATTGCTTCGTAAACTGTTGTATCTTAGCTTCTCAGCACCACCCCCAAGTATCCTATACACTCTCATACTTTTATCGAATTGGTTTCAAAAATATATGCACGAAGTACCGGGTTTGCATCAGATTTTATTAAAATGACCGGGCTTGGAGTTTATTATGGAAAATGGTATAGGCAGCACGGGGACCGATGCCACGAGCGAGCGCAGCGAGCACTGGTAGACAGCGCGCGTGTTCCCGACGTTGCACACATGCTGATCAACTAGAACTTGCATGTCCGAGTCATCCGTCGCCGCCATAAATGAAGACAGGAAAGAGGCTTGACGTAACAGCAAGGGATCTCGTGCCGCATCTGGTAGTGCCGTCGTAGCTTTCGACCTCTTTCAACCGTAAATCAATGTATAGTATTTTGCTTAGTCCTGGTTTCCATGCTACAGTAGTAAATAAACACTTTTCGAATCATTATAAGTGGCTTTGGCGTTGCCACCGTCGGGCGCTGAATCGATCGCAACAAATTTCCGGGTGGACATCGTTAAATATCCCCCACAGTACCAGGCTAAATCGTGCTCGAGCATTCAGCAAGCCAATATATCAGTAAAATTGTAACACTTAACAAACGCTAGTGTTAGGCGTTTGTGTGAACATGCAAGACAAAAAATTGGTGTCAGAATTGCACATTGCTACTATAAATTGCTCAGGAAATAGCATGGGATTTTGGTGAGCAACGACGTCTTACATCCTGCGCAAATGACAATACTTCGTCTATTTATCAAGGTTGTCAGAATAATATACCAAATGTCAGGGCAAAAAGAGAATTCTCCACGTTTTCTTCACAGCTACAGAGCATACATCCTGGCTATTGTCTCCGCTATATGGCACGTCTGGCCTAGTCACTGCTTTCTGTTTCATGCCAATCTTCGTACTCCGTTGCCCCCACTGCTGCAGAACTGTGTGTAGCAAGCGATTTATAGATTTCTTCAGTCAACGATTGCAGCAACTAATATGCCAACTAATTCGCTTCCGCATGAGTGGTTCGTAATAGTTAGCGGTAGCATAGTATAGCCTTTGGATTATGCCAGTTTTGCCAAGGATCTATCAGTGTACTGGTCGTAATAGTTAGCGGTAGCATAGTATAGCCTTTGGATTATACCAGTTTTGCCAAGGATCTATCAGTGTACTGACCGATACCTTGAATTAGGTTATCTCTGAATAACTTAATCCAAACGACTCTTCAGTACATTGTTTCGTACGTTAGCGGAGACTTTTTACGGAGCTGCCTGACCTCTCATATGTTTTTTACGGCGGGCTCCACTGTTATTTGCCTCCGATACCACATTTAACCAGAGTTCAGCCACCCCTTGAAAAGGGTTCCACGGTCCATGTGCATAAATCGTCGGTCGTCAACTCTTACCTTAAACTTCAACGATTATTAATAACGCAATCGTTTGTTTGCTGATACAACGGGGCGATCTCCGGTTCGATAAAAAGTTGACCTTAGTTTAATAACTTGTTATACCTTCGAACAAGGTAACATTTGAAGGGTCGCCTTTGGGCGCCGTTCAACATGAGTTCGTGTGTTCGTAAAAAGGGGTAAAATCAAAATCGCCCCCGGGCAGGCTACTGTATGATAGTTCATTTGCCCTACCCCATTCTCAATTGTAATACAGGGGTTCATAAATTGGAGTAAAAAGTACCTGTAAAAAGGGTAAAAAGTCTTTATGCACATTTCATTAAAGGGGGGCTATGCCCCAATAACCTAGACTATATTTTTGCTAAGACTACTTATGAAGCAACACACACGAAAGAGTCTTACTCGGAGTTTTCATCGACCGACTTACCTTCGAAGTGCTCGCGGTGTTTCGCGATAATATCTTGAAGATGCGGGTAGAGCTGGCCAGCTGACCAGGTACCATCGATTCCAAGTGAAAGTCCACATCGAATCATCGCCTTGCGCGCATAGGACATCCCAAAAATTTTGAAGGTTGACGGCTTCTGCAGCAAGCTGGAGGAAAAAGTTTTCCCCTGGATTTTGAACCACAAACAACAACAAAACTTGCAAAGGAGAAAAAGGTGTAATGGGTCAGTCGTGGTTGCCCGCATGAGGAGAGACTAATTACCGTAGGCATGTACCATGTATTCGCGACGTGTGCTTATCCACGCTAACATCTCGTCTGTTTATATTGTGCGGGCTCGCGCAAGGGCGACAAATGCCTCGACGGCTACACAGCAACGAACGATGAAAAACTACAGTACTAGTATTGGAGATCACGCGTGAAGCTGGAGCCTGCTACCGAAGGTATCCAACTATTGCTTTTCTTAGCCACGTGCACACGTAAGTGAGTTCATCTCGTGTTCTCGTGTACAGATAAACGTGGCCCGACCATCTTTATTGACGGGGTCCAGCGCAAGCAGGGACGGTGGCGCACGCTCCGCGGAATACTGGCGACCGAGGCGAGCAAAGAAAGCTAGCAAGGAAGGAAGGGATGGGACGTGGTGTTCCGTGTGCAGCACCTCTGCCTTACCGATCTGGGGGTTGCCGTTGCCACTGCCTGCCTGCCTGCCTGCCTGCCAAAGAGATGATTCTACCGATGCAGTACAGTACTTCTTCGTGCGTGCGCGGTGTCTTGAATCGCAATGTCGGGGCAGCGGTGGCGGCGCGCCTGCCACATGCAAATCGCTCGGCTAAACACCGCCAGAATGCGCGTGGGGCTGCAAGTCGCAGCCACAGGTTCCGCTGTCACGCGGCTCCGCAAATGACGCACGGGCTCCCGTCCGACGGGGCTGACAAAAGGCGCACTGCCGCCCAGCGTTTGGCGATACATCCGCCGTAGAGGCGTAGCTCGGCGCGAGCGCGATTGTCTTCCGCTTTTGGACATGGCTACACATGACGTCACTGCATCACTTGTAGGATATCCCGCTTTTGGCTTTTGGCTCAGTTTTTCGGCGGGCAGTCAGCGCTTCGGTGCTCGCTACCTAAACGGCAAGCCAGTCAGACACGTTGCAGCGGAACCCCGCCGCGGCAGGCACTTAGGCGCACAGGCACTGACAAGCATTTGGCAGACCATCTTCGCCGCCGGTCCCCTTGCCTCGGGCCGCTGGGCCCGGCACCGCTACGCCCAGCGCACCTTCGGGTTGAAGAAGAAGGAGCGAGAAGCACCTGCTGCCACTGGCACTGCCAGGGGTGAGACGGTCTCCGACGTCGACGGCCCCCTTTCACTTTTGGAGCTTACGCCATTTCTCAAGCAGCAACTTCACCTAAATGAAGGACAGAGCAATGGTTGACTGAAGCAGCTTGAGCTGTTGACCACGCTATGGATGGTGCACCGCGGACGTTCAAGCACTGAGACACCAAATAATACAGTAGCAGCACCACGTTTGGCGAACGTGCTGCTGTGGTTGTGGCTGCTGTTGCGGAGCAGTCTTCATTTCAACGAATATCTCGGCAAGATCTTCGCGGATAACTTTGCTGGTGCGGATCCGCGCTCGAGGTTTGTTTATTGGCGGTGCGGCTGCAAAAGACAGAAGTTTGAGAGCCTGGTTCATATTGAAGTTTCATTCATGAAGTATGAAACTTAAATTTTGTTTCATCCAATTGCAAATGTGTCAATAAGCTCCCTCCCCCTTCAAACCGTCGTTCAACCGCAGGAGCATGGAGAAGGACGAGCTGCTCAAGGGGCTGTCGCTCCACGAGAAGCTGGCGTACTTCTACTGCTCGTACGTGCATGAGGAGACTGTGGACCCTGAGGTGGACGGCGATGCTGCGCGCCGCTGGGAGAAGATCATGGTGTCTCGCCGCAAGTCGCGCGAGCGCGTGTGCACGCTGCTGAACCAGATGGAAAACACGTCGGCCGTGAACGTGCGCACGCTGGACAAGAGCTACCGCGCCAAGCGCGAGCTGCTGCTGCTCTCGGAGGGCACGCTGCGCTCGGCGGCGAGCAGCGGCGTGTCCTCGTCCGGGCGCGGCAGCGTCCTGGCGCAGGTGGAGATCGCTCGGGCGAACAATGAGCTGCTGCAGGAGTGCGGTGCCCTCTCGGTGTTCACGGAGCGACTGCAGCGCTCCATCCACGCGTTCCGCGGACTCAACTTCCAGCACTTGGACCTGGACCAGGTGGACGCGCTCATCACGGACCTGCAGCAAGACATGGTGCTCGTGTACCTGCTCATCGTCTTCAATGCGCACAAGAAGAACGCCGTGTTCGACCGCCAGCTCATGATGATCGGCATCATGGGGCCGTCGTACTCACTGGTATCCATCCTGGACTGCCTCAGCCAGCTGAACGTGCTGCCTGGCTTCCCAATCAAGAGGCTGCTGCTGCTCTTTCACGAGTGGTTCTCGGCCGTAATGGGCGACTTTGACGAGCTAAACGCGCTGAAACGACTGCGTCGCGAGCGGAGCGACATCGACCCGTCTATTCTGAAAGACGACGCTGAGGGAGTGCTGCACTGCAAGACGTTCAAGCCGTACTACGATACGATTCAGCTCGATTCGCAGGACCCATACTATCTGCAGAAGAAGAAGTTCGCGAAGAAGCGTGAGGCCATTCACAACAAGTATCTGCACAAGGCCAACTACGAGCTCAAGTGCCAACAGTCTAGCGAAGCTGACCTAGCGACGGGGCCCTTAGACGCTCTGGATGACGAGTGGGAAGAACGCGTGGAAACGCTATACCAGCTTTTCCTTCCCTGCATGCGCGACTACACTACGTTTCTTGGGAACCTCGTGACGCTATCTTGCGGCAGCGCGCTCAATGCGCGCGATAAGAAGACATTCTACTCCCGACGACCATCTGGAGCCGATCAATACGGCATGGCGGACTTCTCTGCTCCTGCAGGCGAGAACAGCAACGACAACTTATTTTGGAAGTGGATCCTACGCGAGAAGGCCATTGTCCTCGATGTGTCCAACCTGATCATTTTGTTGATCTACAAGCACTTCCGAGCCAGTCATGCGTGCAAGGCGGAGTACTTTATGCAGTTTTTCTTGGAGGCCAACGTGCTTGCGACGCTCACCAAATTCATGAACAAGGACATTGGCACGTACCTCCAGGTGTCCCGGCAAGAGTCAGATGAAGCGAAAACGGGATTTTACGCGCTTGAGAAGGAGCTGGAGAAGCGCACCATTCGCTTTGAGGAGGATATGAACGAGTACTCCATCCAGTCTACTCGGACAATCACCAGCATATTGAGGATTCTGCAAAAGCTGACCAAGAGAAAACCGAACATTATCAAGAATGCTCTATGCCGAGGACAAACAATTGTCTGGCTAAAGGTATGTTGGACTATGAGATGTGAGTTTAGCGTGGGTTGGTTCACTCTTACTGACAGTTTCATTCTTGTGTGTTTGTGCTAAACAGCGTGTGGTAGCTTTGCAAATCCCACTGCCGCGGTTGTACGCTTTGAAGCTGGTCAAGTCACAGGCAAAATATTTAGGCCATCAGGTTCGTGTTACCGCTTGTTTAGCGTTCAGATTGGTTTCACGCAAAGTCTAATCGTTACTTTGTTGTTACCGGACAGTGGGTGAAGAAGTATACGTGCTTTAGCCTGCTCACGGAGGTGTATCTGCACGTGCGACCGGAGCTTGATGACGATTGGTTGCACTACGAAGACGAAGACTTGAACAAGCCGCCGTCGCAGGATTCTGTGGAGAGGATCATTTTTGGCGAGATGCAAGCGTACCACCATAAACACTACTTCGACTCTCCATTCGGAGGTGGCAAGCCGCTTCCCGGAGGAGCTTCGCTAGTCTGCGAAGACCGCAAGGAGCTCAGCTCCGACTTGTTCATTGCAGATGGCGGACGCTTGACGAAAATGTACGGCGGCATTAAGCTAGACCCCATCAACTTCTGCAAGCAGTACGAGAAGTGGCTCGACGCGGAGAACCTCACTCATGATCCGAAGGCCGATGCGGCACCACTTCCCATCTCATTTCAGTGAGGAAAGTTAGTCACGACAGTACAGTAGATGATGCTTGTTCAAACGAAAACGGGACTTGTCTTCCACGCAAACATTGATTCCCATTATTTTCTGTTTTTCTTCTTGTACACAAATACTACTTACGTCTTGAAATGGCGAAGCAAGTGTTCACACTTACTTGCATGGTGCGCTCATTGAGCTGAGCGCTGTGTGGAGGAGATCTGGTAGACGAGCATCATAGTCGAGTACTTTGCGCGTCGGAAGCTGTCGAACTGGTAGTGGTGCTCTTCACAATTCTTTAGCATGTTCGGACGGCAGTCGAGGAACGGGCAAGACATCTCTGGCTCCTCTGTTTCGCTAATGCAGCAGGTCTCAGCAAAATTGGTCGGGGACACTTCAGTGAGTGCAGCATCCTGAACAGCAGCAGTAGCAGTAGCAGCGGCAACTGCTGGTGCTGCTGCTCCCTGGCACTTGGAGCAGTAGTACGTGTCTACGGCCGCTACACTGGCCACTTGCCAATAAGCAGCATTGACTATCAGCTGCTTGCAGGCGGCGCATGTCGGTTGTAAGGCGATGACAAACAACGATTCGCGGGCTGACTTCACCGACTCGCTGACTCGCTTGCGGAACTTTGCACTGCTCGCACTTGCAGTGTTAGCTTCCTTCCTCCCTCGCTTTGGAGGCGATGCGGCAACTCGCTCGGCTTCACTGGGCCAGTAGTCGCCGTCAAAATATGGAGGAAGCCGCGAGTCAAGGGTGTCTTCCAGGAGTTCAAATTCGCGGGCGTACAAATCGTCGCATGCAAAGACGACTCCCAACTCTTTCGCCTTTTTGGCCATGCTCAGGTACCACTGAAGAAGGCGCTCTTTGCCAGGGTTCTTTTGAAAAGAAGGATGGCACCAATAAATAAAATCACCCCCACGCGTGGTAGGGCATGCCCAGATATGCGCGTATTCGTACCCCTTGGCTTTGCAGGATGCCAGGTATGAAATGAGAATCTGGTGGAACAAACTCGTACGCACATGGCGCGGGCGCATGTACACCAGGCTATCGAGGTACGCAATGTACGTCCGATTGCGGTTGGCGGGCAACTGGCAGTGCTTGTCGTACTCCTGAACATACCTGCGTTAGCAAACACGAAATGGAAAAGTTAGGTTATCTGAGCCACGCAACCAGACATATATATCAATGTGAACCACTTACATAGAAAAGATGCAAACTTCGACCCCATTGATCATCTGGAATACAAAGATGACCTTTGAGGTGTAGTCGACGGTTTGGGGGTACTGTAAGGCAACAAAATCAGAGTTAGCTATTGAGCACGTTACTAAACCAACACGGTAAAAGTAGCTTACCTCTTGCGACTTCGATCGAAAGTTTTCTCGCACCACTGAGCTTACGTGGCACGCGCTTTTGATCGCAGACACCACTTTCACGACAATGGACTGCGCTGCATCATGTTCGCCGAGATTCTCCAGGTGCTGCTGCACCCACTTTTGCATAAAGCGCGACAAATGACACGACTGTAGATCTTGGCTCTTCACAAAGCTCGAGGCTGTGCTCGCATCCACGGCGTCTAAGTCTACTTGCGTCAAATAGTCGAACACTTTTTCTTCGATCTCATCGTCAAACCCGAGCGCTCGCGTGAAGTCTTTCGTGTACGGCCTGCGCTTCAAAGCGGGGCTATGAGATCGCAAGAAATCTTTCTCCACTTTCACAGGAAAATCCTCGACCGAGGTTTCAATCGGAGACATGCCCAACTCTTCGTTCTTCTCTTCAGCATCTAGCTCCTTGAGACGGCAGAGCGGACACGTATACATCACTTCTTCTTCTTCATCCGCGTTCTCACAGGCATTGAATAGTGCACAGATCTGATGCACCCAGCCGTTGCATTGGTCGCATTGCACCCACGGCTCCGTTAACTCGTCCAGAAATTTAGCTTTCAGCAAGGCGAGCTTCGACACGGTGTATTCTGTTGCAAATGGATCTGTTGCGCCGTTGTCTGAAGTCGAGGAAGGCGCTGCCTTGAGCGTCAGTGTCTTGGGCAGCGAACTGAAGCACTTGGAGCACCAATGATACTGTCCATCGGGCGTCTTGTAGTACATTGCATGCCGTTTAATCCGCTGGCGACACGCGCCTGAGCACACGACGAATGGTGGCTCAAAGTTGATGCACTTTTCGTTGCAGATGCCGCACACATTGTCAAGACAGAACGGGCACGAGTGCTCGTTGCGGCGCTTGGTCATCGCCTCCGCCTTGGCCTTGTACTTGACGAAGTCCGCCTCGAACTCCTTACGCAGCATCGCCGCTGCCTCGTGCACAATGTGCCCGGGCGGATTGAACAGACAAGCGTTGCTGAACACGAGGCGGATGTCCTCCGCGCACGCGTCGGCCGTGGGGTACTCGAGGTTGAGGCACTTGTTCTTGACCAGCGCCAAGTCCATCGGGTGCTTCACCACCTCCAAGTAGTGCGGAATGTTCCACACCACCGGGTCCACCCGCACGTTGAAGAAGCCGTGGTTACCTTTGTGGAACATGAGCTTGGACACGATGGCCAGCAGAGGCCGCAGGAACAGCTCGCGCCGCACGTCGCGCAGGTGCTGCCGGATCTGCTCGGCCGACGCGGCGTTCAGCGGCGACAGCGCCGCGCTGCGGTTGCGCACGACGGGGCGCCTCTGCCGGCGGATCACGGCGGCGTTGGGTTCAGCCTCCTCGGCATCAGCGTCGGCGTCCATATCCTCTGCATCGTCGTTACTCGCCGCCACGCCGTCGCCCTCCGCGCGCTTGGGCTTCTTCACGCATGGAGAGTCCGTGGGCGCGTCGTCCTGCGCGCGCTTGAGGCCGTGCGGCCTCGCCGTGGTGTCGGGCGGCTGCTCGGCGTGCGCAGCGGCGGCGGCGGCGCTGGACCCTGCAGGTTTCCCGCGCTCCCGCGGCAAAGCTGGTGTGTTCAAACCCATGCGGGCGGGTGCCACGAAGGAATGTTGGTTTTGTCTTGGTGTTTGTATACCGCGACGAGTTTTACGCCCGGGACCGCTCTGCTTCTTTGCTTCAATGGGTTGGCATCCAAAAAGTGAGGCCGGCAGGTGCGAAAAGGCGGGAGCTGGGCGCCCATACAGACGCTAAGTCAAAACCGCAAGAGAGAAACCGATTCTTCTCGAAGATCTCACTGTGCCGCGATTGGCTAAAAAGGCGCCGCAAGTGGACGAACCGATTCTCGTGCGTCTGACCTCATTTTTGTATGAAAACTTTTGCGTTTCCTGTGCGTCTGCGCGCACACGAATTCTTTTTGCCCGTGGCGACCTTTCAATACAAACTGCTGTTACGCTGGGAGATATGCAGAGTCATTACGAATTTGTGTGCGTCAAACGCACAGAAAAACTACTGTGAGCCTCGAAACTCAATACCACTCCATACTGATCGGAGCTTGCTTCGCTAGATAGAGATCTCTGGGGGTGCGCGCGGATAGTTGTGGGCTCTATATCAAGACGACCGAAAGTGTTTGCCGTGCATGACCACGTTCACAATTCCCAAAAGTTAATAAAGGGCAGACTGGTGGCATAGTGGGCTCCTGTTTGGACCCGGTACACCTTCGGACTTTACCCTGTGGTCCCAGCACTAAATTGCGTATTTACGGTACCGTCCCCGGAAACTGCCCCCAGCTGTCCCAGACCCGCGGGCCCGGGCCGGGGACCCGAGTATACTCGAGGCCAAGACGAAGTTCCCGAAAGCCGGAGCATGGCGACAGCATGACCCTGACATAGTGAAACCATATATGTAGCAGATCCCGAGGTACCCGTATGCTTAAGCGCGCCTGGCGACCACCCGCCGGGCGGAGCAACAATTCAGTCTATCTTTTCCCCTCAAGTGCGCACGTCGATCTCGACCAAGGACAACAAGGACAAAGGCCGCGGCTTCTGAGAACCGCGCTCATAGGCTCACCCCAGGTACAACTCTCTATCACATTTGCCAGGGTTTCCCCCGGGATCCCAGGCATTCCATATCTGTTCCCCCGGAGTGCGGTCTAGCCGGCACGGGTAAGAACAATTCATATTTCTCGGGTCTCGCCCCGAAAACTACTTGCGGCCGTCGCCGAGGGAGTCTTGCTCCGAAAGCCCCAGTGTATATTTAGTTGCGTATCCATCCCGCCCCGAAAACCAGGTAGCGTCCCCAGGCGATTGTTTGTATAGCTACTAACCCAGCGTACTGATAAGGTCGGGACTCCCAGGAGACCCTCAGTGGTTGACCTTCCCTCTGATCTAAACAACCGATTCGAAGGGGGTACACAAGGTGAGGTTACTGACCGAGTCCCAGGGCCCCTTGCTTTCCCATAGCGAGTAAAGGTCCCGGGAACTCACGGCCCCGGATAAATCCCTCGTCCGGGCGGGCCGTCTATCTACTAGGAGATTCGCTCTCTCTAGTTCCCTAGATTCTCTGTCTAGGAACGCAACCCGGGAACTGGCGGAGCGTCGAGGGCGAAAGCTCAAGGCGCTACATCACAACTGGTGCGCGTGCCCGGATCAGGGTGTTGCTTAACCACTTATCACATCTCTCACTATGTCTACAGAACCTACAGATACGCTATCGCCCCGGGGAATCCGGGGCACTGCCTCTCGCGGCAGTGCGAGAGGTCGAGCTGGACACGGAGGACGCCCGCGCCTTGAAGCTCCAAAATCGCGCCGCTTGGTTCTTCCTACCCCGACCGAAGAACCTCTAGCCCCGTCGAGCTTGACGATGCATCCAAGCTCCGGAAGTGCTGCCGACGCCGGATCGCGGATGGACGACGACCGAGCCGCGCGGAATGCCGCGGGACGAAGCGCGCTGGCGATTGCCGGCCCACGGACCGCGGCCCCGCCTGCTCCCTCCGGGGACGCGGGCACAAGACCGGTGGGGACGCTCACCACCCCGGCGGCGGGGCAACTCGCTGCCTTTGCGGCGGAGCCATCCGCCGCCCTGTCTGCTTCCTCCGGGAATGCAGACACCAACCCGGTGAGGACGCTCACCACCCACGCTAGCGTGCAAGCGCCGGCAAACCCAGCAGCCGCACCCGATGCACGAGCGCTGGTGCCTTGGGAACACCCTGGAGATCAAGCCTCGGGGACAACACAGCAGATGTATGAGCTTCACCCCGGAGTCGCGGCGGCCTTGGACGCTGTGCGCGGAGCTCCGCACGATGGAGTCCTCGTGGCGCAGACTCAGCTCTCACGACTACAGCAATGCGGGTACGCCGAAGCCCAAGTCGCGCGGTGGAGGTCCCGAGGCGCTAGAGTGATGTCACCTCCGGACCCGTACTACCCGGAGCGACGTCACTGGCCGATGCGGAACTGGCTGAGGGAAGCAAAAGAGACAATCCGGTATCTCCGCGAAGTCAATGTGTCTGGAGATCCCGAGCGATCCTGGGTTGCGAGCTTCCGGGGCGAATGCCTTTGCCTACCCGTCGTCTCCGACCACCAAGCATGGCTGATCGACTTCAACATCCTCTGGCCCGAAGATGGCTCACGGGACTACGTCTCGGTGATCGCCTTGTTGCAGACCATGCTCTCCGACGCCGGGTTCGCCTTCGTGAATTTGGTACCATCATGGGGACAGTCGCTGCATCCGGAGTTCTTCAGGCCTCGGGATGCGAGGTTCATCTCAGACGCACTGTTTCTCCGGCGGCTTCTGGTGAACGAGCAAGACGCCTGGGACCAGATCGCCCGGGAACGCAAGTTCAGTGTCCGGCGTGAAGACGTCCCGTTCCAAGTCCTGGACCCCGAAGCTGCAACCGCATTCCCGGTCGAAGATGATGGCGACGCGCTGACGCTGACGTCCGAAGAACAAGAGCTGCTGGGGATGGCTGTTGTGACCAGGCTTCGCTTGGCTCAAGTCCGCCCTCGGGAGTGGTCCGAGACAGACAGCAGCCGTCCCGAGCCCAAGCGTCGTCGTGGCAGTGTGGACGCCCTGATGTCGATCCCGTCGTGGCCTGGTTCCGACGAGGGTGCTAGAGTTTGGGGAGGTCCTCTACCTGATGTGGTCGGCTCCTCGAGCGTGGCGTCTGGAGATGCCCCCATGCTGACTCCCGACGAGAACATGTCGTCTGCGGGTGGGGGCTCCCAGGGCTCCCCGGGCTTTGGCCCCGCAGGAGCCACAGCCAATGTCTTCGTGGCAACGGCGGGCACTGGTGGCGAGGCTGCGCAGACGACGGAGCAGCCGACGGTGTACGTCCCGGTCGCCGCATACCCTCCGGACTTCGCGCGAGCGCCGTCGCCAGGGGCGAGCTCCCCGCTGCCCGCTAGGCTTCACGATCACGAGCTGGACGAAGGGTTGAAGTCAGAGGACCATGGAGCGGCAGCACGTCAGACGGCACGACAAGTCGACGCGACCGACGAGGAGACGATGACTCATCATCACGCCCTGCGCGAAGCGCAACGTCAAATCGTCGAGCTTCAAGCAGCCATGACAGCTCGAGATGAGCACGAACGTGCTCGGCTCCAAGACCTCGAGGAAGTGATGACGACCCGGATCCCGGAGCGCGACTTGAATCGTTCCGAGCGTAAGCAGCAGAAGTCGACGCAGCGCAAGCGCGAGATTGAGGACTCCAGACGTAAGGCTGCTGCGGCGACTGGGATTGCTACTCTCAAGGAACAACAGACCCGGGAACGGGACGACCTTCAGCACCAGTTCGAGAGGGCAGTTGCACAGGAGCGCGCAGCAGCTTTCCAGGAGGCGCAAGCCATTTCCAGGGACGCTGAGCGCATGCGCGACGAAGCAATCGCTGGAGCTGAGGCTGCCGCGGACCGTGTCAAGCAAGAAGAGGAACGCGCTCAGAAGGAACGTCATCATCGTGCCAAGAGGAACAAGCCCGGAGAGCGCTGGATCAGGAGCGCTTTGACGCACAGCAAGAGGAGATCCGGATAGATCGCGGCAGCCAACCGTCCACGAGGGCGCCACCCATCCCCTGAGTCCAGTGGATCGAGGTCTCGTCGCCAGCGACGTAGCCGCAACCGGGGCGATCAAGCAGCGGTCGGTGTGGCAGAGAGCGGTCCCCGGCGTGGAGCCGGTCCGGTCTCCGGAAGATCGGTCGGGATGGGTCCTCCAGTCCCTCCGACCTTTCCATCGCGACAAGTCGACCCGGTTGGCACATCTGAAAATCCCACTGCTGCACCACAAGTCGAGATGACGGCATCGCGGGCATCGGCCTCCGGGGTCGAAGCGAGACCACCGACGGCCAGTGCGAGTGAAACTCAACCTGCAGTCGTTAGACCTGCGTTCAGCTTCGGGTCTTCCAGCTCGTACGCCCAGAGAACTTCAGCGTTCGGACCGCAGCCAGCCCCAGGATACCAAGCGCCGACAGGGACGAGCGGCCCTGCTGTCGTCTCTTCGGCCGCTCCACTCTGGCAACATGCATCGGTGGCGCCGCCCGGGGTAGGCCAGTACCCGTGGTCATCAAGCAACCAAGCCTTGTTCCCAGCGGACACTAACCGCGGTGACACCACTACGTGGAACAGCAGTTTCTCGAGTATCGACGCGCAGCCAACATCCCAAGGTGAAACGTTCTCGTGGGGTCCTGGGGGTCCGGCCACCAGTGGTTTCGGAGGAGCGTACCCGGGACCAACCCAGGTTCCGGAGCACGGCATGATGACCTTTAGACCCTTCATACGACGCAGTCGATCCCTTCGATCCCTTGCTCCCGCTGGACAAACGTCGTCTGTCGTGGGACAAGTTCCAGTACACGGCTCTTATGGGGAGATGGCGCGAACAGGAGCGCGCACTCGACTCTACAGCCGATTGAGCCAAAACGAAGGAACCAAAGCCTGGGTCCAGCAGCTCCCAGCAACGATTCGACACAGTTGGACGGCGCTCTCGGACAAGTTCGCCAATGAATTTTGCCGATCCACAGAGTCTCCGGTCGAGCGGTACCTGCGAATGAAACAAGACTCCCGTGAGACTCCGAGAACCTTTTTGTGGAGATTGAACGCAGCCGCCGTCAAGGCTAACGTGGACTATCAGTCTCCTTCGGGACGTCGGCGTCACTTGAATCAGTTCCTGAAGAATCTACGGGACCGTGAACTCCAGGTAAACCTCCAGGGCGTTTGTACTCGACGGTAGACGAGTTGGAGGAGACTCTGCGTCAAGTGGAAGCGATGGAGCGTGGACTGCGCCGCCGACCCGCGAATGATGTGCAGTTTGGTCGGCACAAGCCGTCAGGGGCCAGCTCCGGGGCAGCCGCCCGCGGGACTTCCGGGGCCAAGGCTCCTGCCGCATCCTGACAGTTGCGCCCCAGAGCGATGACACGACTCCGACCCGACCGCTCCAGTGGGATGACGACGTCAACAGCGACTCCAGCTATCAGTACGATGACGAAGATGACAATGACGAAGTGAACTCGCTGAAGCAAGAAGACGTCTACCGGGCAGAGGGCCCTTGGAGAACTAATCTTCGAGACGAACGTCCCCGGGACCGTTCCCGGGGCCCTGACCCTAGGTCTCGAGGTACCTCGGGAGCGTCGTCACTCCAGTCGCCATGCGCCGAATGTGGACGTCCGGGACATGTCCGTGACGACTGTTGGAGGCTGATGAAGTGTGATCGATGCGGGGGGAAGCACCCGACCAACCTATGCTGCCACCGTAAGTGCGAGGCGTGTGGTCAACTGCATCCTGCGGGCCAGTGTGAGGTTCTAGCGACCATCAAGCGCTTGACCCAAAGGGGGAAGTTGCAGGGTGTGCCCGATGACGTGCTGCAGTGTCTACGCCAGGACGTTGCACCGCCGTTAAACAACTAGGCTCGCTGGGTAGGGACCCAGTACGCGACGAGCCTAAGTCCCGTAATAGCTACTGCGCTTATGCGTATGTTGGCCATAACGATCCACAATTATGTCAATTGCATCTACATCACCTCCCAAGACCGCTTCCGTCCACACGAGTCATGTGGCCCCAGAAGAAGATGAACTTTCGTACGAACTTCAGCCGGGGCAACGACGCGGATGGTGGGAGGAAAATTCCTGGGACGACAGCACCAGCTCTGTGGCGCTGGTCCGAGGATCCATCTTCCACTATCGTACCTTGCTCATGCTCGACTCCGGAGCATCCACCAGTATTCTCAGCCTAGATCTTGCGCGTAGATTGAAGCTGAAGGTGGAGCCCCGGGGTGAGTTATGGCTCAACGGTATCGATGGGGTCAAGACCAAGGTATCCAACAAGTGTCGTGTGAAGGTGACCCTAGGTCACCGAGTCGTGTACACTCTCGACATCTGGGTGGGCTACATCGGCCAAGGGATCGACTGTCTTCTTGGGATGAACTTCATGGTTGCTGCAGGTGAACGGTTGTGCTCCAACGAAGGAGAAGTCCTCCTCCCAGATGAAGAGCGTGTACTTCTCGTCGGCGGTCCACACCATGAACGCATGGGAACTGCCATCAGTGTGGCTGCCCACGAGGGTATGTGGTTAGCCCCCGGTGAGAGTCGCTATCTGCCTATCTCCCTGGAGAACCATGATACCGGGGAACTGGATGTGTGGGCAAGCCGCGGAGACCACTGGGTGACACTGATCATCTTCAGTACTCGCCAAATCTTTGTGGCTGCCCGCGTCGTGAACATCCCCAGAAAGCTGATCAATATCCTGCCTCATACGCGGGTAGCGACCCTGACGGAGACTGGTCGATTGCCCCTCAGGACGAATTTCGTTCGCCCGGGGTCGTTGCAGTACGAGGAGCGGGAATTCTTGGTTTACGAGAACACTCGGTCCCGGGCCGCGGAGCGTCGCCTAGCACGTGGCGTTGAGGAACGAGAACGCAATGCCCCACCTGCAGTCGTGCGCCGTTCGTATCCAACTCCCAAGACCATAATGAAGCGCCCTAAGAAGGCAGAGGCCCCGTCAGAAGCGGTGATGACGGCGCCCTTCCGTATCTGTGGCCGTACCTGAGTTCCCCGGCGAGGAGGAACTCCCAGGCCCTGGTGTGTCGACTGCTTCTCAAGCCCTACCGAGGACCACATCTGGGGTCGCTTCTACCGGCAACTGTGATACCGCTGATGACTGCGAGCTCCCAGAAGAGTCAGGGGGGCGCGTCGACCTCCAAGGTAGCTGCGGACCAAGAGCTGTCCCGGGTTTTCCCGGACACGGCCCCGGTCCCCCAGTTCCCTATGTTGGATCAGACTTTCGTCATGCTCGTGACGGCTGGGGAGCAGGTGGACGCGGACCCCGCTGTTTATTACCACCAAGGGCAGGACTTCGTCCTCCTGGACATGCTCAAGAATCAGCTGGCCTACCTTCCAGACCTGAGTGATCTGCGACCCGAGGCCAAAGTCGACGATGCCGTTGTCGGGGACCCCGGGGTGACCAGTCCCGCGGAGGAACACCACCTCCGGGAGATCCTGCAGCACCACAAGGTGATCTTCCTCGGAGACGGAAATGCACTCCCGCCTCCGGCCCGGGGGGTCGTCTGTGATCTCGACGTCGGCGACGCCAAGCCAATTGCCCAGCGGGCTCGTCGCATCCCCGGGGAGCTTCTGCCCAAAGTCTACGAACTGCTCAAGCGGCTCCTGGAAACGGGACTGATAGAGACCTCGCACGCTGAGTGGGCCTCTCCGATCGTCATCGTGATGAAGAAGAATGGCACGGACATTGGCTTGTGCATCGATTATCGAGCTGTGAACCAGCTCATCAAGCTGATGGACTACCCACTACCTCTGATTGACGAGCTGATGAGCAACTTCGCGGCGACGATGTGGTTCATGACCCTGGATATGGCTAGCAGGTTCTGGGCTGTCCCCATGACGGCTCGGGCAAAACCGATCTCCGCCTTCGTCTGTCCCTTGGGTCACTTCCAGTGACGACGTATGCCCTTCGGTCTGAAGAACGCGCCGCTCATCTATCAGCAGCTCCTGGACAATTGCCTCTGGGGTTTGTTCGCCTCTCCCCCGAACAAGAGCGCCAAGTCGACCCTGAAGTTTTGGAGTTTCTTGGTATTACGCTCAACGACCAAGCCGTGGGAATGGAAGCCCTCGAGCAAGCCCAGGTGTCCCAGGGTACGAAGCCCCGGGGGGCAGTGGTCTCCCGGACGAGTACGGATACCGTGTTTCACCAGAACCGTATTGCCCCGGAGCAAATGGGACCCGTCCTGTTCCGGAGTTCTTACATCGATGACATTATCTACGGAGCTCTGTCCTGGGACGACCTGTGCACAACCCTGGACGCTTTGTTGTACCGGTGGCGTTACTGGAACATCTCGGTGAGCCTCCCGAAGAGCGAGTTTGGCGTGAAGAAGTGCAAGTACCTGGGGCATGACATTAGCTCTGATGGCATCCGAACGTCGCCCAAGCTGGCTCAGAAGGTCCTAGACCTGCCGTTCCCGGGGACCCTCAAGGGGGTTCAATCCTTCCTGGGGAGTCTCAACTACTACAGCAAGTTCATCGAGGATCTACCCGTGATCGCAGCTGTGTTGTACGAGTTATCTGACGAGCAGCTTCGCGCGGGGCGAGACTTAGACAAGGCTAAACACGCGTTCAAGCTGCTGAAAGAGCGACTGGTCTCCACCCCACTGCTGCAGCACCCGGACCCTGGAAGACAGTACGTGATTATTCTGCATGCTAACAAGTGGGTGATCAGCGTAGTTCTGGGGCAGGATTACGACGGAATCATCCAACCTGTGCGCTTTGTAGGGCGAGTGCTCCAAGATGCGGAGCTGCGGTACCACCCTGAAGAGAAAGAAGTTCTCGCATTGCTCCGGGTCCTGAATACCTGCCATACCATGATCACGGGATGTAAGGTGAAACCGATTCGGGTGTATACGCGGTACTCCGTCCTCGGATGACTTTTCAAGTCGAAGACAGTAGACGGAAGGTGCTTGAAGTGGACCGTCGACCTGTCCCCCTGGGACCTGGATATTCGGCGCGTGGAGAAGGACGAAGACGGACTTGCTGCAATTCTGGGCGCGGGAATCACCCCCCGGGAGCAGCTGGATGAAATCGCCGAAGAACTCATCCCTTCCAAGGGGAGCCGGATCAAGACGCCGCCGGTCAGCCTCGAGATGCTGTCAAGTGACCACGTAGGTTTCCTCCTGAGTTTCGATGGAGCCGCCAAACGAGATGGGTCTGGGGGCGCAGCATGCATCCTCTGGGAATTACCGGCCTGGGAAGTCGTAGCAGCCGAAGGCCCCCTCCTGGAGAAGGCCACGGTGAATGAAGCCGAATACGCTGGGATCATCCGAGGAATGCTGCTTGCGAAGTCCCGAGGCGTTCAGGAACTGGTAGTTGTGGGGGACTCGCGGCTGGCTATTCAGCAGCTCCAGGGAGGCGTCGGATGCACTCAACCGCATCTCCAAAGCAGCTCCAAGAAGCAGAAGAGCTCCGAGAACAGTTCAAGTCCCTGCGTCTGGTCCGCGTGAAACGCGACTTCAACGCAGCCGCAGATTACATCTCCAAGCGTGTCCTCCAGGACCAGGCCTCGGTTGAAGTGACAGACCCCGGAGAGCTCTGAACCGGATACACGAGAAGCTGATGAAGGAACCCAAACCTCGGGAGAAGGCGCTAGTAGATGCGGTCTTTGTGGCCACGGCACGAGGCGTTGGAATATCCGACTCCGGGGACTCTGGACAGAGTGTGTATGTCACGACCAGATCAAGGGCGCGTCAAGATCATCAGCCTGGGGAACCCCATGAACCGGACGAGGACATACTGGAATCGGGAGGTGAAGAAGAGACCGCTGTCGAGGTCCGAGGGCGCCGAAGGTACCCGGTAGAAGTAGACCCCGGAGAGGCAAGAAGGGAGCGCTGGAGACGAATATGTGCGCACCAGGCCGCTGACCCGGACTTGGCCCCGCTGGAGAGCTTTCTCAGTGGCGAGACAGAGAAATTGTCCCTGAAGCAGACGGTTCATCTCGACAAGATCGCGGACCAGTTCGTGCTGGACAGCCAGGACACCTTGTTCTACGTGAGCAGGAATACCCCAGAGCGACCCCGGAACGAAGCGGACCGACTGAGACTTGTGGTGCCCCGGGACCTCCAAGAGGACATCGTGCATCATTGTCACTCAGACATCCAGGGAGGCCATCAAGGGATCATCCGGACCTATGAACGCCTGCGCCGAGAGTTTTACTGGATCGGAATGTACAAGGCAACGGAGAGGTTCATCAAGGAGTGCGTCGACTGTGTGACGGCGAAGGGTCTGCCCCGGAACCCGGGGCCGTCCCCGGGGAACATACTCGTTACACGGCCGTTCCAAGTCGTGTCCATGGACTTCGTGATCCCGCTGCCCAAAAACTACCCGGGGAAATGAAGCTCTGCTCCTGTTCCAGTGCGCTTTCTCGGGATTCATCATGTGCAAGGCCATGAAAGATACCTCGGCCTAGGATGTGGCTGAAGCCTACGATGAGCAGGTGTTTCGTCGTTTCGGCGCAAGTGAGATGATCCGTCACGACCAGGACCCTCGGTTCATGGCTCGCGTGTTCAAGTACTTCCGGGAAATGCTGGGAAGTCGGCAACGTGCGACCCTAGCGTATCGACCCCAGGCCAACGGTCAACAAGAGCGATCTGTGCAGACAGTGATCAGGAGTGTCCGGGCCTATGTGCAGACGGTCGACCAGAGTGACTGGGATGAACTCGCCTAGAAGCTCATGTGGGCTCTGAATACCTCGTACGACTTCACCAGGCTAGATACGCGATTCTACCTCGTCCGCGGGTGGGATGCCCGGATCCAGGAAGAGGAGAAATGACGCATCTTGCTACACAGCGCAAGGCGCCGCACGCTACGCACTGGATTGTTTTGGCGGGACATTCAAAATTCAAGCTGGGTGGGCTATTTCTACTCGGAGGAACGATCTGGCACCCCGGTTGTGAACCCCTGCCTATTCGAATAGAACCGAATTAAAGAGGGTATCTGGTAGTAGTGTGCCAAAGTTTAAGGAAAATGTTTGTATTGTGCTTTGCATCCAGCTTGACCTATTATTTAGTGCACTGATCAGTGTTCGTACTTGCGGTAAATCTTATATCCGGATCATGGTCAGGACATAGTTATGGTTTTCACGGAGCATACAAAACCTAGTCAAGAAGGAATTCTGCTTGCTCCAGCTAATCGTCCGGTGTTGGCGCAAAATGCTCCTTTCTAGCATTGTATTGACTGGTTGGAGAGCGGAGGCGATGGGCTCGAGCAGCTTCAAGGCAGGCCGCGGATAGCGCTCAGCTTTAGGTAAGTCGGAGCGCTCCGACTTACCTAAAGCTGAACGCTATCAGCTCGCTATGGATGTCGTTGACGCTGGTATGCGTGTTCGCGAGGCTGCTGAGCGTTACGGTCTCACTCGCGAAGCTCTCCGTCTACGCGCCTGAGGTTCTTCAAAATAGCCTGAAACGAAGAACCACTAGCCACAAAATTGTCAAGCGTGTCCCCAGAGGCGTCACGTTGCGTGCTGGTCGTTTTCACGATAGATCGCCCTTCCACACGATAGAGGCCCGAGCTCGCAGGATCGTACACAGTGTTTCGCACAAGCGTACGAACTCGCACTGGATATGGTGACACTCGTACCCGTTCCGGTGGCGTCCGCGCAGTTGCCGTCGTGGAGGTACGACTAACACCTTCGGAGGTGCTCGCATCTTGACCTGCCATCGTCGAAGAAGGAAGGAAGGAAGGAAGGTGACTGGCGGGATTCGCAGTTAATGGCATAATGTCAGAAACCATCATATATAGCATATGCTGTATTAGGGTCGGTCGATTGGCCGGCGATTGAGCCCGCCGATTCAAAGAACCACTGATGATAATAATGAGTAGAACCCACAATACCGGCGCGCTGAGGCTGAGCGCGCACGAGCAGAAGCCGATCACTCCCGACGTATTGATGAAGCTGAAGTCGAGATGGAGAAACGCTTGGGCGCTGTGCAGCGGACTATCCAGAACACCATCTTGGACCGAGAGCGAGACCACGAGGAGATGATATTGGCAGGAGGCTGTATCCTATTAGCACGAGCACCGAGCACTAAGGTCACGAGGATGTTTCGGCATCTATCTCAATGTTCCTAATTTAGTGTTGACGACACAAAATGTGTGCAGGCGCGCTCACAATATAACTCGCCGACTCCAATTCTCCCGCAGAAATCCCCAGCACAAACAGAAGCCTCTCGTCCGCCCTTCGACATACTTCTAACCCCCGCTGCCAGCAAGATAAAGTCACCGTCTCCCTCCCACCGACACCATCAGCAGGGCCAAGTCTCCGTTGTCCGTGTCCGCCGCTGCAGACAGCAGCAGCAGGAACAACTCGTCGCGCGTGCCCGCCGACAGCAAGAACCAGTCGTCGTCTCCGTGTCCACCACTTCAGACAGCAGCGAACAAGTCGCCGTCGCGCGTGTCCGCCGACAGCAGCAGGTGGAAGAACAAGTCACAGCCTGTAGTTGTTGCACCGAGTGGAAGGTTTCGTCGCCGCCGATTGCAGTGTCATCGTCACCGGTGCAGTAGCTCCAACAAGGCGTGCAGTAGATGAGATATCAGGTGTCCCCCGGCGACCGCGAGCACCGTAAGAAAATTGGAGACACTGTTCTCAACCAATGTGGAGCCTTCCCTGTCATCCAGAGACCAGTTTTGAGACTGGGGCGGACGCCAAACGTGCTGTGAATATGTTCGCTAGAGGATTTGGATATGCGCTTGTGGTAAAGTCAGTATCGCGCGACGCTCGAGGAGATCATCGCCGTGTAGTCATGGGATGCGACCGTCACGGCACACGCAGAGCATACGTTTCAGGTCCGTTCGCCGCCGAGTAAATGCAGGATCGCGGAGGTGCGGGTGCGATATGGAGTTGAATATTGTCCGGCGTGGAGATGTGATCTCTGGATCGGCTACGTGGAGGATTGAGCATCGAGACCGAGCGTTGTTACACAACCACGCACCGTCTACTCACCCGGCTGCCCACCCTGTACACCGGCGAGCGGCTCGCACTGACGCCGTTCGTGAAGCAATTACCGCGGATGCAGAAATTGGTGCTCATGCTGCGCAGACAATTGCTAGATTGAATCTAGTGGACGATGACAATCTCCTCCTGGACAGAGACGTATACAATGAACGACGTCGTGTGGTGAACGAACGCGTTGGGGGGGGGGGGCACTCACGCGAATGGAATATCTTTTAAGAGAACTGCAAAATGGTGAATACTTTGTGGAGCATGCACGGGACGATCAGAACCGTGTCACGCACCTGTGTTCCGCGTTTGGGCCTGCGTTGGAGATCTTCCGAGATAACTACGACGTAATTCAGCTCGATTGCACATACCGTACGAACAGGTTTGGTATTTCGTTGCTGAACATCATTGGAATCACTGGCTCGAACAGCACGGTCCACGTCGCGCAGGCGTTCATACGCAATGATCAGGGACCCGATTATGACTGGGCTTTGCGCCAGCTTCATGCTATGATGCTTCTAAATGGAATCCCTCACCCGCAGGTGTTCTTCAGTGGCCCTCATCAATGCGGTTGAAGCAAACTTCCCGGGGATCCCGCCTCTTTCGTGCTTGTGGCACGTGGTGAAAAACGTAGAGACACATGCACGAAGAACTACTTTCCGACAAGTTCGAGACGACGCCGCCGCGATGTCTGGTGCCGTCAAGTGGAAAGATTCAGACGGTCACCGCAGCTTCTGCGATGCAATCCTCCGAGTGATCAGGTCTACCGTGAAGAAGAATATGGCTTCCGAAAACGGGAGCTCTACATGCTATGTGAGGTGGAAGCAGCATACATAGAGGACGTATGGCTCAGCCTATGGAAGCGAAGGCTGGTGCGCTGCTGGACAAACAACGTTGTGCATTTTGGCCTACAAGCTACATCTCGCGTCGAGGGCTACCATGCAAAAATGAAGGCCTGGCTGGGCACGAGTCGAGATGACTTTCTCACAGTGCATTTCCGATTGCTCCACTGGTGAGTGCAGTCAGTGAATAAGTACTGGGCCAGTCGAACTCCCCCTGTGCGTACCTCAAATCCTCGAATTCCTAATAATCTGTCCTAAACAAAATCTCCTAAAATCTTGCCTAAAATCCGGTGAAAGACACATTCATAAACATCTTATATTCAGTATAGCTTGGCAGGACACTCGGGCGTTGGCTCTCGTCTGCGGACTTAGCGACGGGGCCGCGGGGGGCCCGCCCCTCTCTCGCTTCGCTCGGGGGGGCGCCACTACGCGGCCTGCCCCACCCCCTTGCCCCTTACGCTAAGTCCTCGTCTCGGCCAGGCGCGGTGTCTGAAAAAAAATATCGGGTTGCAGCGCTCGCCTTCGCTCGCTCGCGTGGACACGCCCCCGCCTAATCGGCGGGATGTTGGCGATCGGTGAATGCACCGAGCGAGTCTCGCGCTCGCATCCGCTCGCCCTCGCCCTAATGTTACTCACGGTACTTAATTTTCAAGCATCTTGTCCTAAAATCAGTCCTAAAAGTTGGGTGGTGCACTGAAACATATGTCGGATTTTAGGAAAAATCCTTAGGAATACGACGATTTTAGGTAGGTACAGGGTTCTCCCGGGCCAGTCGAGCAATTGATGCAACACGTACCCCGAACCGGCTTCATCAGCTACTCTACGACGCTGTGGTATCTGTTATCAGCTCGCACGCGCTCATACAGACCGACGACATCAGGCTATCAGAGTGGTTGGTACGACCGTGCTCAGGCGTCTACTGTACAACCCATGGCATTCCGTGCGCACATCAAGTTCACGCAGCAACAATAAGCGGAGAGAGGTTAAGGCCTCAATAATTTCACCCCACTGGTGGATAAACAGAGAGATGGCTCTGGTTGCGCCTCCAGCTCGCATTCTGGAGCCCGAATCGATAGTGGCTCGACGCTCACAGCGCCGCATCGAAAGGCGAGCGAGAAGGTGGGAGGTGGGGTACACGGCGATTGCCGTCACAGTTTGAGATGTTGATCACCGAGCCTCCAACAATGATGTAAACTAAACCGATATAATGTAGACTCCTTACATTGTTGGTGAAAAGAGCATATTGTGGATCTCATAGCAACCGGGTGGAATGTCGTAAACGAATCATTACTCGTTGTCGATCACAATAGGATTGTGCTGGGTACTTCAGGTGGCATACCACCGAGTCGCTCTCCACTGCCGCGAGGTGGTCCATCTTGTGCTGGCGGGGGTGCTGCCACTTCGCCACTGACAGACAGCTCATCGCGCACCGAACGTAAGTACGCTACTAAGGCGTCATGGACGTCCTCCACTTCCGTCGCGGGTACCTCCCCAGATACTAGACGGAAGGTGCGCAGTTTGCGCCACTTAGTATAGCCTTCAGCGTACAAATCCATGTGAGTGTCGGCGTAGCGTTTAACTAACCAAGGCACAAGTAAGTGTTCCCGTGTGTCGAGAAGCAGAGGGCTGTCACAACCAGTGGCCACGCGAAGCACACGAGCTAAGCGGTGACCGCGCGGGTCACCGGACACGTGAAGCGGGGAGTAGTACTCGATAGTAGTAATATATATAACACTACTAGCACGGTTTTTTTCTCACCCTATTCCCGCCCCTTCTAGACACCCCTAAAATAGGTGTAAAATACGTCTAATGCATATTTTACTACTTTTGGAAACAATAGAGCTCAATAATTTAGGTAACCCCCACCCAATCACCCAATCTCTTGTGCTACATCAATCAAAATTCTTTAGCATCAATTCGCGCCCAATCGCCCCAACTCTTGCGCTACAATAATTCAAATTCCATAGCGCCAAACCTCAACCAATCCTCCCATCTGTAGCAAATATCGTCGCGTCCAAACGCGATTTTATTTGAACTCCAACAAATCGCTCTTACAAAATATTGATGCACCGTCACAATGTGTACTGACTTAAGAGAAATATGCTACATTCATTACACACCACAATTTTGGTGACTCAATCAATAATTCACACTATTCACGCGTTGCTATCTTTACACACCACTATTTTAGTGGTACAATCAATAACAAAAAAATAGGTGTCTCAAATTATCAAAATGATTTGAACGTGAAGGATAAAAAGTTAAGAATATAATAGCAGGTAATCAATTATCTAGGAAAAACGTAGGACGTCTACCCAACGCTATATACCGGCTTATTATTGGCTAATTGTCAAAGCAGATTTACCAATGACATCCAAATTAACTGTGTGAGCGCTTGTGTGCTTCCCTAGCTAGCCGAAGCGTGGTACCGATAGACAACTCGGACACCCGGCCCTTCCTAGAAGAAGGCAAAAGCGGCAAATTGTCCATACCTACCCTAAAAATCTTGTCTGCCTGCTCCTCTGTCATCTTTGATGTGACTTCGCATCCAGCCTTTGCTGCCGTATCAACAATGCGTCTCACTAAGCTGGACCAGTCCGAAAGCACCTTACGCATGCTCTCCAGCGGCAGATCGTGCGCTCCCATGCGCTTCAGAGGTGGGTAACATCTCGCATTATCACCAAACCACCACAGCTTCCACGCCCCCAAAGCCCCGGTTTTGGGAAATTCAAACGTTTTCGGGAGCATGTGAAATTTGCCGTCGTAATAGTGAGCCACGTCCGAGCCGTTCGAAGCCGTGCGCGGTGGTTCCGATGCTTCCCGATCGCGTCCGATCCCGGCACGCTCTAGCAGAGCTGCGATGGTCGTTTCCAGTAGATCTTTAGTGATGTTGCCGGCTGCAACACCCTTGCTCTCGATTAGCGAGCTTATACCGTCAAGCAGAACCGGGGGCAAATTGTCGATCGATCTTTGAACTCCTTGAAGTTGCTTATAGAGCTCCACATGCGGCGGAATTCCAGTTGGCTGCATCCATGGTGATTCACCGCGAACTAAAACACCTTCTAGCGCTGCCATCATAGTTGGGTCTCTAAATACAGTCGTCGAGAGTAGCGGGTGTGAAGCTGGCGGTAGTTCTCGCAGGTAGACGGAGTGTATCACTAGCGATGCAATACACAGCTTCAGAACATCCACAAGGCTGCTGGTTTCACATAAAGATGGGTACATTTGACGGACACATGCTGCAACCGTCGGGTCCTCGTTGTCTCCAAAATGGGGCGGCGGCACAGCACATGACGGACTGTTCAGCGGGAGGCCAGCAACAACTCGTCCAAGGTACTGGTCACCCGCAGCTTCATAGCGTATGTAGCGATCTTGCACTCCTCCAAGAGCCCACCCAACTCGTAGACATACACTCGCAATCGATGGACCACCAGTAGAACCACTACCAGCAAATGTAGCAACACCTTTTCTAATCGAATGCGTCCCGTAGTGTGTTTGTTGCTTCAGCTCACCTATCAGCTGACGCAAGATGTTTCCAAAACGAGCTTTTTGCTCGGAACCAGGAAAGAGCGGTCCAGGCGATAAAGTAGGCCGACAAGCAAGGTACAATCCCAACGCTGTAATCCAGCACGTTCCGGGATGGTGGGGGTTGGCATACATGTAACGGGGGTCCTTTGGTCCGCTTGCTTCTTGGTTTATCTTTGACTTGTGCATCACACATCCGATGTTGTCATCGTGACTGCTTAAATGGTTCGTGCACAGTGTCTGTACCGACTCGGAGCGGCACATGAGGTTCCACTGTGTCGTAAGGAACATATGAGTGAAGCCGCCATCCTGACGGGCGAGCGTCTCTCTGCATAGATGACGATAAAGTGAGTATGGCAGTGGGTCCTTGCCAAACTCTCGCGCCGAACCCGCCTGAAACTTGGCAGCCTCCATGTGCTTCAGGCCTGAGAAGAAAGTCGCCAAACTATTACTGTATGCCGCTGGCAGGGGAATGGCTTTTCTATGACAGAGATCCTTGATTGCACTGCGATATCCACTAAGTGTACCCACACTGACACTCTTTCGCTTCTCCAACAAAAAAGCCTCGAAGTCGCTAGCCGTGAAATGCGCAAGATCAATTTGTCCATTGTAGTAAAAAAAATCTATTAGCTTGTTCTCCTTTTGTAGCCACAATTCACCTCGAGATAACTTTCAGGCTGCCCCGGTACGCGCGCTGTGTATTGTAAGACACACAAGCGTCTCGCACATCTTGTGCGGTGACCTCCCCAGTTTCAAAGCAACTGGTACCCCAACTGATGTTGTTGCTGCTGTCGAGCGTCGTCACGGTGTCACCGCTGGACTCACCTCCAGCCATCGTCGTGATCTCATGTCTGCTGCCGCCGCCGGCCGTCATCAAGTTGCTGGTGCTGCCCATACTGCCGGCCATCGTCATAGTGCTGGCGCGGCTCTCGTCGCTGGCCACCGTCGCCATCCTGGAACGGCTCTCGTCGCAGCCATCCATCGTGTTGCCGGCGCTGTTGGGGCCACCGCCCGTCGTCGAGTTGCCGGCACTGGTGGGGCCGCCACCCGTCGCCGAGTTGCCGGCGCTGGTGTCGCCGCCGCCCGTCGCCGAGTTGCCGCGCGTGGCCCTGCAGGACTCTCGCTTTGCCTTGTAGCTACGGCTTCGGGGGATTGGGGATGTCACGGCGGCACTAGCTGAGCTTCTGGTTCGCATCTCGGAGGGCGTGGGCGTCAGTGGGCGTTGATTCTTGGCTGGCTTTTGATTTGTGAGGTCATTCTCCGTGGCCCTTCAATTTTCGACCAATCGGATGCATAGTTTGCTCGTAGGAAGTATACGCTACGAAACTAGGTTCATTCGGCATTGACAGGACGCGTATAAAAAAGGCTGCGCAAGACTGCGTTGCCATTTATATTGTCATTGAAAATGCAGCTAATTTTCCTACGAGTTGATACAAAGTACTAGATATCGCCTACGATTCGACGACAATCATGTGTAACAGTACTAAGGGAAATGGTGAAAAGTGCCAATATGAACCTGATTTTGAATTCTGTCATATTTGAAAAGCATTACAAAACTGTACGAGGTATTATCCCTTTTGGTAAACATGTTGGACAAGAAGTTTTTGAAGCGGGTTATCATGACAGACCATATTTGAAATGGATGTCAGGTTCAAACTTTGTCAAATATAAATACCCCAAGTTGTTGATTGAGGTCGACAAAGTATTGTCCTTAACCTACTGGGAGCTTCAACAGACCTATATGTTCTCTCGCAATCAAACCGTTAACTGTTATTGCGGGGTAGAATACTTACGAAAAAATGAAAATGAACATAGACAAACGGATATAAGAACAATGGGGAGGAAAAGATTGCATGTGAATGTGGAGTTATATACACCGGTTTCTATCGCAAAATGCACTTGAAAACAGTCAACACCAAGCATGGTTATTAAGTCCAGATGAATTTGACAAAACAATCACTTGTTCGTGTGGTGGAATTTATACTCAACGGACTAAGGCCGAACACTCCCAAACGGAAAAGCACAAAACTGCTATAAAAGCAAAGGTAACATGTGAGTGTGGTTCAAGTACTACCCTTTTATGCTTTTAAAACTCATTATAAGACACTGAAACATAAAAGGTGGTTGGAAACTCAATAACTTGACCCATTTTTTTACTTCATAATATTTTTTTTGTTTTATCCTGATATATATCTGAATAAATATAGAGTATACCCGCCATATAATATTTTTATCATCGACCTCATATAGCAACATGAACTCGGACGAATATTCAGGTCTTCAGCGTCTAAAGATTCCTATCATTCCATGGGGTGCGGGTAAGTATCGTATCAAGATCCACAATCAACATGGAATCACTACGTTCATCTCGAATGTAAGGAGTATTAGGAACAGAAAGCTTATAGCCAAGTTTTACAAGCTATCTGAGAAGCGTATCAACACCGAACTAGATTACGAATACAAGAAACCTCGTTCGTACAAGTTTGAAGAGAACACTGTTATGGAGTCTCACGAATACGTTGGATTCCGTCAAGACGAAATCTTCGATAAGGTGAAGACGTTCCTGGAAGGGCTAACTCGCGCTGTTAAGATTAACATCCGTCTAGGTTTCAAGCTAATCGACAGAAGCAATGGGTTAGAGCGTGATTACTATCCGAGTACGAACACAGAAATCTGGCCGTGTACTGCTGTAGCCATTAGAGGATGTTAGCAAATTGGTATTTTACGAGTTGGGGACAAAGACACTCGACCACCGCTGTCTATGTTCCCGAACTCGTAAGAGGGGAGTCGTGTTAGTACGGAATCTCCCGAGAAACTCGTAGGATTTTTCACGAGACTACAAGCCTTCTGATTGGCTCGTTACTCTTGTAGCACCGCGACTCGAATCGAGTCGCGGTGGTTCGAGTCACTCGAACCACCAGTGCCCCCCCTGGTCTCGGCGAACTTGTTGCCTCCGCAGTCCTCCGCGCACTTGGTGGCCTTGGTCTCCTTGCTGTCCTCCGCGAACTCAAAGCCCTTGGTCCCCTCGCCGTCCTGCGCGCACTTGATCCCTCCGCCGTCCTTTCGCGCTCTTGGTCTTCTCGCCGCCCATTCGCGCTCTTGAGGCCTCTGTCGCCCTCTGTGGCCTTCGTCAACACGCCGTCCTTCGTGTCCTCGCCCCCTCGCTTTCCTCCACGCTATTGGTGTTCTCGCCCTGTGCATTCAGTCCATCGCTCCCTGCCGTGGGTTTCCTGGTCGTCCTCTCTCTCGTCTGGCTGGATAGGCGCACTGCCGTGCCCTCACACTGGGCGAGGAGAGAGGGCCAGTTTGCTGGCGATGACGAGCCATCACGCCTGCGCATGCCCGCACGCCACGCACGCGTAGCCGGGGGAGGGGGGGGGGGGGCGTAGCGCAGGTCACGGCGCAGGTACTGCACTCAGGGTCGCCGCAGGGTCGCCGCCCGCCCGCACTGAAATGGGAGAAGTGTCAATGTAGCCCTTTAGACCAATCATGGAATCTCATCATTTTCACCAATGATAGATCGTGTCGGCAGGTGTAGGCAGATGTCGGCACCGTCATGGTATGGATAAAGGCTAGCATGGGGAGAAACTTACGAGCTAAATTCCTGGTTTGGCTCGCGAAGAAATGGTCCAGCGGCTGTCAACTACAGTTGACATGCAGTCGCCAACTCACACTACCGAGTTACCGTAATACGGATCTTGACCTAGTTACGATAACACGGGTGGTCGTGACCGGGTTACGGTAATACGGGGCGGTGCAGACAAAGAACTGCACTGATAGTGTATGTTTCTCCCACGAAAATAGTTCTCGTGCTACTTTTAAACCGATAGCACTATTCACGGTCTCTGCAGGCAACCACTTTCGATCGGATGCTCGAGCACGCGGCGTTCTGGGACTTCATTCGAGCGAAAGGAAAAGCTGCGTCTGTGAGAGCATTTCCTGATAGCGATGGAAAAGACTCTGAGAGGGCGTTAAAGTGGCTTAAAGAGAAAACAGGTCGGTACTATCGCAATGCATGGGATCCCTTAGTGACGCTGAGAGGCAAGCATACTTTGAGGTACGTCTGGACCCATTGTTCTCGCTGCTTGAGGCGCCAAAAGGGGTCCGAGATGAGAGGATGGATCGCAGACCGTCTTTTATTCCTACGGTGTCTCCCCAGGTGATCGAAACGAGTCCAAGCCCTCAAGGGTAATTGGATGAAGACACCCCGGCCAAGATTTTGTCCTACAAACGAGGGCTACGTCGCGGCGGTTCGCAACGTCGAGTTACACAAGATCTCCAAACTTTGCAAGTCGTGTAGTGATGCTGAACAACTCCTCAATTCAATCTCGTCATTACTGGATTATCTTATCAGTGATGTAGGATGGAGTATACCAGGGGATTGCAGAAGCAATGTCGTCGCTGCTATAAGAAACACAGGAATGTCTATCGATGCTGCAGCGGCGGGCCATTTGATGACATGTGAATCGGAATATGCAGCCGCGGCGAGCAGCATTGCTGAAGATTTAGCTTGTGTGCGAAGTGATCTGCAAGACGTCGCAGTATCTGCACAATGCGATACAATGTTTGCCGATAAATTTCTCTCGCGAGATCACCACCTCAGTAAGCGCAAGATTTTTGCTGACCTCGGATCGCTGGATAAAGGAGATGCTCGTTTGTGCTCCAGTTCGGATTGCGCAGCAGGGGGCGTTAAAACCCCCAACAAAAACGAAGGCAAAAACTAAACGACGTCGTGCACGCACCAAGTCAAACTAGCATTCTCAGGAAGACCGGCGAGAATTAAAAGGACACACTTTTCGATAATATATGATTGCCTTAACCATTTATTGTAGGTAGAGAATGTTTATTGTGTTATTGCGGGGTTATGTGCCACCTTAACTGCGAATATATCAAGCACCGTCCATAAAACTTCCGGTACTCTTTGTGTTTGGTTGATAAGAATGTATGGCATCGATCAGAACCTGAAGCTAACAACCCGACTACCTAAGTGTAGCCCAAAGCATCACTGTTTTTCCTCAATGCGAAGAGGATTCGTAAGTTTATTTTGAATCTTGCTCAAAGACTGCAACCTCACCTAAACAAGCTCTACCTCAACGAACCATGTCGGATGCTGATTGCTACGAAGACCTTTATGCAATACCTCCACCTCCGGAGTGCATATATCCCAGTCAACTTGACGCCGAACGAGCCCTCCATACCTGGCCGAAGCAACACGGCTACAATGTATCGAAGCGGGATCCGGCTTATGTCAAGAATTCGCGAATTGTTCACACAGTACTACGAATGTGATCGGACGGGGACGTTGAAGAACACTGGCCGACTCTTGGAAAGCTAAAGGGTGCGCGTAAATCGCGGATCGAAACGAAGTGGCTGCACAACGAAGCTTAAGCTGTGTGTGATTGACAAGAATCGGGTTCGCGGTCATTGGTCTGTCGTTCATCACAAGAAGGGCAGTGCGTTACACAACCATCCTCCTTCTCAAGACGTTCGGATTCATGCGCAACATCGCCGGCGCGCTGCTGTGGAGCCATCCGGCGCCTCCGTGTCGACCCTTCAGCAATTGGTTCGCTCGCAAACAGCAGTGGGTGCTGCGGTGGCTTCCATCCACGCCTCGATCCTAGTTAACAACACGAACTCGATGGTAATCCCCAAGGATATCGCCAATGCCCGGAATGCGGCACGCCAAAAGGATATTGCGAGTAGAACTCCCATGGAACCATTGTTCGCCGAAAATTCACAGCCGCCGCTTCTTTTACCGCTATAGCGTAAACGGCGAAACAAACCAGATCCGGCATTTGTTTTGGGAGTATCCCGATACAACGGTGTTTTACAAACACCACTGTGATATTCTCATTCTGGACTGTTTATATAAAGCCAACCGGTACAACATTCCGCTCCTGAATATCATCGCCATGACGGGCCTCAATACGGCACTGACCGTTGCTCAATGCTGATTGCCTGAAGTCGAAGAAGACTTTGCATGGGTGCTCATAGTGCTCAAAGACTATCTCCGAGAGCACAACATTCCGCTTCCACGGTTCATCATAACCGACCGAGCGCAGGCATGCATAAACGCGCTGGGGTGGAAGCTTCCATCCGTTCCTTTTCTGATTTGTAGATGGCACATGAATCGCAATGTGTTGGGAAAAGCGCGACTGGTTTTGGGTCTAGTTCCTGTCGCAAATGCTGCCCCCCGCCAAGATCAGTATGAAAATACGTGGCAAACCGAGTCCTTCATGATGAGCTATTATGAAGCGGTGGATTCCGAAACCGAGCAGGAGTTTGAAGAGCATTGCAGTACTCTCAGATCTAAGAGTGAGGAACTTGCAAACGATCTGGACCGGCACTGGCGGAAATACAAGACTCACATTGTGCGTTGCTGGACCAAGCACTACCCCCATTTCGGATATCAAGCCACATCAGCCGTCAAGGGAACCCACGCAAAGTGCAAGCGATGGATTCAGTCGTCCCGAGGTGATCTATACACCGTATTCCAGAACCTTTTGCCATTGTGGGTATCGGTGACACGAGCCTTAAGATTGCTAGCCGAACGGAATGCTACGATCACTCCATACCGCCTCCAAGCCCCTCGGTACTCTCGCGTCGTACGTATAATTACGATTTCGGCCCTCAACGCCACAGATAAACTGTGGAAAGAAGCTCTGGCAATCATCCACAAACGCCACGCACGCACCGTTTGCTCCGGGTTATTTCGAAGATGCCATGGAAGACCCTGCCTTCACGAATTGATTACAATCATCGAATCCAACGGCCAGCTGAAGCTTAAACCAACGGATTTCGACAAACACTGGTGGGTTCGGCGAGATGACCCGGTAATACTGACACAACGTTTAGAAGAGCCGGCGGTTATCCCACGAAGTCATTGTACTCCTCTGGCCCAGCTAAGAAACAACATTTCATGCTCGGATTCATATCTAGGCTTCCACTTCTTCGTTAGCAACAACAAATACCTTAAATTAAAGCGCAGCGTCTGCTCGTCTCAGCGATATTATAAATAGCGTGTTAACAAGCGCGTAGCGCTAAATACCACGCTGTTTAATCAAGCGTCATTCACGTCAATGAGGTTTTATTGCACAACTTCGGATCAAGTTGGCGATATTAACAACAAAATATACCAGCAGATTCGCCAAAGTAGTGCGAAAACACTGAACGCAGCGCTGAATGCTAGCAGCGCGTTACAGGCAGAGTAGAGCCAGCCCGAAAATGAGGTTTTTCAGGCTGTTATATAGCTATTTCTTGGTGCACAAATAACCTAATTTAATTCGACCAATCGGGGTGAAGTACCGATTTAGGAGGTGAATTTTATTTAGTGTGTGCTACGATTTATTACGTCTCCTTTTAGATGGACTTCCCGGTGGAATACACCCCGCATCGCAAACTATGGAGCTAGGAATAAATCCGTTTTTGATGTGGAACTTACTCACACGCGGAAGCAGAAAGTTGTTGTCCCCGGAGTGCTTTACAATGCACTCCATCATCTTTTGTAGTGTAATAAAACTTTTAGCTAGCGTCCGGCTTGGAAGAAGCTCAAACGCTGCTATCACTACACCAATTAATGCATCTTTCTACAAATAAAACAGAATAGAAATCCATGTTCACATACCTGGTCATTTTGCGCGGATTGCAGAAACAATTTGTCGACTAGTAGCTTGGAATACTCGTCGGCTGTCATTGAAAAAAAAATTGTCTCCCACACACCGTCTAAACGGTTGACCGACGTTCTCTGAGCTTGCACACGCTCGACAATTGGCCAAATTCCGATTTTCCCATCGAAATATTTTCGTCGGAAGAAATCGTAGCGCGGTCTTGCGACTGCTGCTAAAAATATTACTTTGCCAATGCAACGTTTGTTAGCTGTTGTATGGTGGGGCAGCTCCTCGCTAGGGGACATGTAATAATGTGTTGAGCCCTTATACATATTAAACCATTTTCGTCAATATGTACGACATCATACATATCAACGAATCTTGGTTGTCGAAGGCCTATATGCAATAATATTAGACCCATTGAAGCAATAACATTGAACATCAGTTTATATTAATTAGGAATAAGTAGAAATAATAAAAACTAACCGCGGGGTGGAGTGACGTGCTTCAGCGCGAACTTGAGACGCTGTGTTTTGTGCTGTGGCGTTAGTCGTGGCTTCAAGCAGGAGAAGCGCCGACGCAACATGCCCATCTTGAGGTAGCGCTGGAGAGTGGTGCGAGGAACACCAACCGCAGCGGCCAGGCTCCGCTGAGTCTGCCGCAGCGGCAGCGGAACCGCCTCCACCTTCGCGACAATGCCCGGGTGCAGGACACCGCGCGGCCGGCGGTGCAGTGGCTCGAGCAACACCCCAGGGGTGCCACGCTGGTTCCATATGCGTGTAACGGTGTCTCGGTGGCACGAGAACTCGCATGACGCAGCCTTTTTGGCACCGCGAGGGAGCCTCCCGTTTAGGGCCTTGCCGGTGAGGTAGAGCAGGACAGCGAGCTTCTTCTCCTGGGGGTGGCTGCCCGTCTTGATGGCGTGCGGTGGGCTGTTGTCGGGGGCTGTTGGCGGGAACTTTGGAAGTGCCAACAGTTTAGTGGAGGGAACGACTCAATTTGCCGCGCCAAAGCCAATATAATCCAATAGTAATATTGACCAATCAAATGTTAGTGAGGTTAAATAAAAAACCTTTAGGTTGTTTCTTAGCTGGGTCAGAAGAGTAAGCGCTCAGCAAAGGATCACAGAGCTAATCACGGTGTTCATGGAACAGCTAGACATCTGATCCTCTCTGAGCGAGTCGACCGTAATCACCCAGCTAACCCACCAAGATGAAGTTTTCCGACGCCAACGCTAAGCTTCGACGGCGTACTTCCCTCTATTACCACACGACTACCTGATCTCAACACGGCAATCGACACACCAGCTCTGGAGGAAGACGTGAGCTTTATCGAGATCTATTTGCCGGCCCGGACTTGGGGATACGCCGGACAGCGACGGTATGAATAGCTGCATGCTAGTACTTATTTATTTGGCCGCAGTCATTCAAGTCATGATTTTGTTTGTGCAGTTAGCTGATCGCTTTAGGGTTTCACAGAAGCAAGGCTGTTACATGAACACGTATCAACGAACCATTTCCGGTATCGGCACAGCGCACTGGTGCCAAATCGTGCGAATTGACAGCGGTCGATAGAGTAGGGCCGTGTATCTTCTTCTTATGAAAGCAGGCTTTGGTATGAAACGCCCTCCTCTGTCTCCAACCACCCCGTTAGCAGCAGCCCGATTATCCCTCAGCGCCTCGCTTTGGTCGAGCTAAGGGCAGCGCCACGGAAGCGGTAGAGAACGGATATCAGGCGATCCTGTATGCTACAGTATTGAACTCAACGCGGTGACGGGGATGTCGGTCTTGTGCAGACGAGGGAGCGATGCATTATGAGCCTTGAAGAATATTATATTTTAATGGGTTTTCGAGCGGGGCTGTTCACTTACATCAATCTTCTGAATCTTAGATTGATATATGTAGACGAGGCATTAGGATTGGTCCCGTGTTACGGTAAGTCGGTAGGTACCGTGTTATTGATACGGTAACTCGGTAGGTCCCCTGTTACAGTAACTCGGTACCCGGTAGCGGCATAGGCTACCCGGAGCACTGCTCCGTGAGAGTACACAGGTCGTAGGGCAACAGCAACAATAGTGACTTTTCAAAAATTAATGAAAAGAGAGGGGGAAAAGGAGATGCAGGCATCAAGTGCTACGGTATGGAGGTAGCATTCGGGAGTGGTTGGGTTAAACAGCAATTTCCTTTCGTGTGCACGCAGTGGGATATAAAGTACAACGGAAGACTCTGGATTCACTGGTTGTCGTTTCCTGGTAGGGCTGGTACGACGGGCTTAAGTATTAGTTTTACTTTAACTTTTATAGTAAAACCTGCCTACCTCCGAAAAGCACCGATAGGTTTTACTGGGAAGTTGTTAAGGTTTAGGTCCAACGTCCGCTATGTCGACGAAGAACAACATTGCTTGTCATGTTTCCCTCTAAAAACTTGTAATGCTACCGCTCTTACCACCAAACCCTTAATATTAATAACAATGACGGAAAGAGATGTTGATAGCGACGACGATTACACTAAGGAAAATAAGGTTTTGCGGCACGATAGTGACCGCTGAGTCATTCGTCCTGTAGAAATTCCGGCGAGAGAAGTATCCACTTTAACTATTGGAGACACCGACTAATAAGAATAAAAGAAGTTTCTATGTGATGAACCTAAAAACATCATAATTCAACAAAAAAAGAATTAATGATGCGATTAGCATGTACAAAGCTATCGATGTAGGAATAAGAATACAAAAGCATATCAAAGCTCTTTCAAAAATGTTCTCCTCGTTATGATAATCCATCCACAGAAAACTGGGAATGTGCCTTGCATAGGAAAAATGAACACAAAAGAAACACGGATAATTACCAACGAAGCGTACTCGATTAATAAAAACTGGATTGTATTGGTTAAAACCAAGGTAAAACCAAAGACGTAAATGATTTTTCAAGAAACCAACAGGTTTTACCAGCCCTGTTTCTTGAAGAGCGAGTGCAAGCAAACTGCAGCAAAACTATCTGTTACTTTCTCACGTTACTTCTCGACATGCTCTTCTTGCACTCGAAAAGTTCACTGCAGATGTCCAAACTACCAAGACGCAGTTGATAAAGATAGACGTTTAGCAAACCTACTTCGCAGGAATGTTACGCGTAGTGAAATAAGCAATCCACAAGGGCAGAAGTAACATGTCTTAAATTTGCGATCATTTTTAAGCAGGTAGGTATTTGGTTTACTTGTACTGCATTTTTCTCGGGCATTCTTTCGACATGCACAGAGATTGGGGTAGTGAAATGCTCAAAACTACACGCAGCGGTGATAAGCACCACTTGATCCAGCAGCTGAGATAGATTTGAATAAAGTGAAAAACATTTCCACAACTGCAGGAACATGTTGATTAGCTGCCATGGCGATGCACTATATGTAGATAGCGTGCGTTAAAAGTCGAGTAATTAGTGCATGGGAGGTAGGTAACCTGAGCAAGGTGTAGCTGCCGATGCTGTAATAAACTGCGATGAGCTAGTTTGGAGACGGCATTAGAGCCGACACATTTAGGGATCCCACTTACTGGCTTGCGATGAGTCAGAATGCTGGTAACATCTATTAAGCTTAGTCCGTGTAACTAGTCATCATGTGGTCAGTGGTCAAAACTTCGCAAAAGGAGTGTCGTTTGCTGGTCTTACCGGTAGTTAGTCCACTCCCCGTTACATGTACTGTGTACATGTACTAAGCTTTACAACATTCGAAGCGCAACCCATCATACAACATGCAGATAATGTGTAACAGGGTTACACGCACAAGTGGCTACAGTTACTTGTAACTCTAACAGACACGACGTCTGTTAGAGGTTCGAAAGGCTTTATCGACCTTGGTGTGGACACACCAAAGGCTACATACATTTACGACCACCACGACGGGTGGTCCATAGAGACTTAGAATTCCTATTGGCTGAAAGCAGCATCTTTTAGCCAATGAGCGACATGCATAGCGTGGGAATTCTGCCAACCAGCCGTTGGCAGATTCCCAACTTAGAATATTACATTTAGAGGAAGTCAGAAACCATAAACCAAAAATAGCAGTTCTCGTTTTAACCCAAAAACATTATTTGGATCGTTTATTTAGATTAATCTATACTCGGAGGTCCGAGTATAATTAACTCTAATTTAAACCAAGCTACGCTTCCTCGTAGACGTGCGCACACGTGTAAGGTAAAGTAGTTGGTCAAAGTAGGCCCATTACATAATGTGTTAGCACGCACGAGATAGTGACAACCACCACCCAGCAGCAAAGTTTGCTTCAGCGGATGCGTATCATAAGCACTTCGTTTAATCGTGAAATCCTGGAAAAATACTTAACCCTTTTAATAAAGAGTAATAGCAACGTAGTTTTAGTGATAACCTTGGATTGTAGTACGAATCTAGCAAACAATCCCTGAACCGAGTTAACAACACTTTGTAGCTTTTAGTCGTAGTTGCTAAGAGTTAAACCGGTACTTACTTAAGTTAATAAATACCTGCTTTTGGAAATAAAAGTACCCAGTTTCAGTAAGTTACAGTAAAGCTCCGTCCAAGCACAGCTCTTCGACCTGTGAATTCGCTTGCCGGTTGACACTGGCATCTGCTATTCAGGACTTTCTCTTCGCGAGCCAAAACCAGGAATTTGGTTCGTTAGTTTCTCCCCTAGCATGCCGTGCATAACTGGTGTGCTACTGAGCGTTCGTATTGCTTGACGTTACATGAAGTGCTGGAGGTGCGGGCTTTCGCACAGTGCCTTTGTTTCCCTGTCATCGCGACAGTATCGCTTCCATATCAATCACTGTGATATTGCCGACCGAACTGGTGAGCATCTGCTTGTTGCATGACGCCCACCTTTGGCAGAAGTCACTCAGAGGAATTCCACCCAGACCCAGTACGCCATCATCCTCGCATCTGACAAGCCTGGCTGCTTAATTGATACAGTTCAAGATCGCTTCAACTTAGCGCGAATGCTTACCAAATCGGAGAGTATACACGTTAAGTCGTCGCGAATGAATATGAAGCCATCCAGATTCACCTTACGTTGGCGCGAGTTAATGTGAATCTTAACTGCTCCAGCTGTCTTAAATCCGCTCATAATAAATATAGGATAACGGCTTTGAGAATCTGATCCAGCATAATCCGTTTCGAGTGGCTGGTAGCCACTAACGCGTCCGGAATCAGATTTGGCTTCGGGCACACATCACACAACACCTCCAACATGAAGGAGCGCGCATGCGTGGAGCGGACGCTGCGGTAACGCATTGAGCTGCTCAAAACAATGGCGGTATAATCCTCGGTGGACTATCGAAGATGCAATGCGCGAGCTAGAAATCAAGGAGTCTATCCTTCGAGATTGGAAGCGGCGCTACTGGCATCAGCTGGACAAGATTGTTCCAGATGATTTCGTGTGGGCAAAGATGGCAAGGCCTAAGCGAAAAATGAAGTCGTATAAAGACAGGGTTTTGACGTATTTCGATAATTTACAGGAAAGCCCACAGCGTTTTAACTACTTGTTATTTTACTGCCAAGAGTTGGGTAAAGTCGTAGAGAACCTGGGTTGGGCAGCGACCACTACTGAGGAGGTATGAATAAATATGAAGCTGCTACAACTGGCGTCTGTCCAAATAACGTAGGCGAAGTTCCAAGGAGCAGAGCTGGGGTTGGAGATGACGATGCCGTTGAGGAAGAAAATGCACAGGCCGAGGCTAGCAGTGACAGCAGCGACAACGGCAACTGTTTGAGCGACGAATGTGATGACTCCGAGGATAGCAATTTTGAAGTTAAAGTTCGTGTTGCCAAGTCATCCCCCTCGAAAAAAGGTTTTAAGTGTCTCCAAGGGCGGTGTTCGATTGAAGTGATCTAACGGCGTGGACGATATATGGATAGTAGCCGAGGACGTGGACAGTCTGAAGCCATACCAGTTCTCGTCGGCGATGGCAATCGACTACTGCATCAACCGCTACATGGCGTGGGCCCGGGTAGCATGTACACGTGCGGGTCGACTTTCTGCACGACCATCGAGGATCCACGCGCTGCGCAAGATCCAGGCATAAAAGCTGAGCGCCGCAAGACTTTGAGCGAGATAATGGAGTGGAGTACCTACCCGTGCGTGCTGCTGCCTATTTGGGGGAACAAGCACTGAAGCTTCATCCTAATTGAGAATGCTTTTCGTGGTAGACATACAGGGCTGTTCCACGTGAACTCTCTAAAAGGAGTTCACAACAGCTTGCGTGTCTTTGATACCGTCAAGTGGTTATGTTCTAAGAGCAGCATAGACTCGCAGATAAGACAACATGTGAATGGCGCTATAGCGTGTTTAACACGCAGTCTCAACAGAGTAGCGTTGTTGACTGCAGGATCTATATTCCGCACTATATGGACTCGATGTCAAGGAACATTGTCGACCTTCAGCCCCAACCGGACGCGCGTCCACGTATGATCAAGGACAAGGTCGGTAAATAGCCCGTGGGGGGATTCAACAGGCGCCAAGCAGAGGAGAACCGGACAAGTCTGCTCGACACCATCCTTCGCGATATTAAGCCCGTCGATCTTCTATCTGCCTCGGTTTAAACAATAAGACTTTTATGAAATGTGTTTGCATTCACAATGAACGTTTTCATGCTCATGATGTTCCTGTTCAATCACACGATGGGTGTCATACTCCAAGATGCCGTGCTCAAGGGAGCCAAGCAACTGATCCTTCTCCCGGGTGACATGCTAGGCGCAAAGCGCGTGGGCGTGATTCTTCGCTCCTGGGCGCCGTGCTCTGTGCTACTGGGCGTCGTGTTTCAGGGCGCCGAGCTGCTCCTCCTCGTTCTGTGTGTGCCGTGCTCATGACCGCCGATCATCTGCTCCTTCTTCTCGGTGGTATGATAATGGACCGTGCTCATGTGCGCCGAGCTCTCCTGCGTGACGTTCTCCTGCTCGGGAGTTTTGATTATGGCAGTTCTTGTAGGTGCGCCCTACCCTACTCTTTTCAGAAGTGTCAGCTCCATATGTGCTGTATTTTGCTGGCTCCCTGATTTGCTTTTTGCAGGCGCCCCACTTGAATTTTGTCGGTGCACTTTTTACGCACCAGTTGCAGCACCTCATGTATAGCATTCATCACCGCACTTCTGTTTTGTCTTTTTCGAGTGAAACGCTTCAACTTGACAGTAGTAATAGGCTGACCATCTCACCGCGACAGCAGTGGGCTCAGACATCCTAGCTGTCTTCTACATGCTCGATCATGTATCCGTAGCTCATTAGTTTAAGCAAAGTGTCCCTCACACAGGCTTCTTGATGTTGGTGTCAGGTGCGAAGACATGGATAAAGATTCTGGGATCACAGAATGGCCAGGACGGACGTGCTCGTAGCAACAAATAGTCCAGCTTTTCGCAGGCGATCACGACGGGGTACGCCTCTTTTTCTATGACTATCCGATTTAATGTTTCCTGTTATCAACCTCTTCCGTGTTCCAAAGTGATACCATGAAATATGAGAAAATAAATATCTATCCAATGTATACAATACTTAAATTAGATTAAAAAACACTAATCAAAGCACTTTAGGAAAGTGTATACGGCGAAGCATATGAGAAAAGTTTACATTCCAGCACTTATTTTTCATACATAAAAGATAATATTCTTGTAAACTAGTTGTTATTGACATACATAAAATGTATAAATTACAAGTGCGGACTTATGGCATGCGTATACGTACTACAACGCGTTTTAACATATTTTTTTTGTGGTATAGCGGAAGAGGGTAAGGTCCAAACTAGTTCTAGCGTTTATAATCATGATTTAATTCGCTTAGTTAGAATATTTGGAGCATATCAATATTTATTAAGGCTCTGTATCACCAGTTTGTTTGCAATTAATTCAGTATCTTGTGCCTAAACTATATATTCTTTAGCGTTGTACAGATTAGTTTTATTTTAACTTAAAAGAACATTAAGAAATTATGCACTGTAAGATATGCAATTGGTCTATAGTGTACGGATGGCAACAGAGTGCGGAATTTTTACAGGGTACACTTTAGATACTGGGTACCCTACTTTTTCAAAAAAAACGAAATGAACGTTCGATTTGAAAATAACGGACCGCTTTGGAATTGTTTCAAAATAGGGGAAATCCTGTTTCGGGGCCGTATTTTTGAAATAATTCTGTTTCGGGGCCGTAATGATCAATTGAAGCGTTATTCATGAAACATACCGTGTTTTGTAAAATATACATAACGTATCCTGTAGCCAAAGTGTATCCTGTTGCCCATGTGTTACCAGTAACGTATCGTGTTTCCGAAGTGTTACCTATCCCACTCGTACTCTGTAGCCTACGTGTCGCCTGTAGCCTAAGTGTACCCTGCAGTCCATGTGTGGCTTAACGGAGATTGCGTAGCGCACGGAGCACACGGCGCTGAGTCTCCGGACTCTTGGGTCCGTCGTCAGCACCATCCACGTCGCCCGCTGAAGCCGGGGTCTCCATCTCAACATCTGCATCCTTGTCCGCTTCCTCGCGTTCATCCTCGTTCGCATCTTCCGCATCTTCCTCTTCATCCGACGAGGATTCTTCGATCGTTCGGTTAACGCGCTCCTGGCGGTCCTCAATTGGGGGGGCGAGCTCGCAGAAGCTCTTCAATTGACGCCATCCGCCCTTCCAGCCCCTGCAACCTCTCGTCCACCGCTTGCAGACGCGCCAGTATGGTACGCAGCTGCGCAACAAGATAGACGTTCGCACCTTCATCTTGGCCTTCAGGAAGTAGGCTTGCGTCGTCGAGCGCACGCTCGTAGCGGTCACGGTGGCTTACGTCGTAGCTCTCCCCCTCCTTCAGGTGCCGGGCGAAGTGCTGCTTGAACTTGGACGTTGTCAGCGTCTTGTTGCACTGAGGGAATGTGCAGATAACCCCTTTGCGTTTGTTCGTCATGGTTGTTTAGCTTGGGGGCTTGGCTTGGGATCTCGAATGATCGCAGCCACAGAGCCGGCTCTCCTGCTGCGATCCCGTCATCAAAGCTACCCGTGGTCGTCCGAAGAAGTTGAGAATGCGAAACCGTTCGGAGTATCTAAACAACGACTCGCCCGTTCATTGTAGCCGATGTTCCAAGCCAGGGCATAACGTCCGAACGTGCGAGCGGCGCGAAAAAGAACGGCTGAAGCGACAGAAATCTCGCGAGGACGCCAGACAGATTGTCGTTTGAGGTAGATGTATGGGAACACCACACATGGACTACAGGGTACACTTAGGCTACAGGCGACACGTAGGCTACAGAGTACGAGTGGGAGATAGGTAACACTTCGGAAACACGATACGTTACTGGTAACACATGGGCAACAGGATACACTTTGGCTACAGGATACGTTATGTATATTTTACAAAACACGGTGTGTTCCAAAAATAACGCTTCAATTGAACATTACGGTCCCGAAACAGAATTATTTCAAAAATACGGCCCCGAAACACAATCTCCCCTTTTTCATATTCTGATTTCGTCCTTTTCTTTCAAGTCTTTTGGTCGCCGGGCGAGCCGCAATGGTGGACGCGGACGTGTACTTTGGCGATGACTTCGGGCAGAAGATCGACCTGACGGTGCGCATCCGCGAGATCCTACGCAACTACCCAGGTGCGTCTCCCGCCCTCAGTCGCAGCTGCTGCGAAGAGGAGGGGATCTCATGCAACTGATCTTTCTTATGGGTTGTTCTTCTCCTTGTTGCGCCTTGTAGAGGGCACATCGATCTTCAAGGAGATGGTGCAGAACGCCGACGACGCTGGGGCCACTGAGGTGAACTTGTGTCTGGACTACCGCCAGCACGCCTCCACGGGGCTCGCGTACGAGAAGCTCGGGTCGTTTCAAGGTCGGGAGACGTCCTGCTACCTCTTGAGGGCTCCCCCAGGTGCCATTTGTACTGGTATTTGTATGCTGACTGGCAGCTACGGTATTGTTGGTGCTGCTGGTGTGTTCAGGTCCGTCGCTGTTGGTGCACAACAACGCCACGTTCACTGACGCCGACTTCCAGTCGATTCAGGTGAGTGCAGGAAACACTGCTGGGCTGGATATTCTGTTGTCGTAGGATACGCGCTTAGTGAGTGGCTGTAAACTGGATGCGCAGCGCATTGGAGACTCGTTGAAGAAAGACAACTCGAAGGGGTGGAAGACTGGGCGCTTCGGTGTCGGCTTTAACTCGGGTACGTCCCTGTTGAGGGATGGACATTTGTAAAGTGGCTCGAGCGATCGTTTTTCCAGCTAGTGCTAAAATGTTGTTGGTTCTTCTTGGCTCTCGTGCAGTGTATCACGTCACAGACCTACCGACGTTTGTCAGTGGCTCGCAGCTAGTCTTCTTCGACCCGCAGGTGCGACTCGCCTGGATATTGGCGATGCAGAAGAGATCCTGACACAGGCATTGTTATGTACACCGGCCTTATTCATCGTTATTTAGGCGTGTCATCTGCCGAACGTGAACCCAAGTAACCCAGGCAAAATGATCGACTACATTGCACATCCTGATTTGGTGAACAACTTTCCTGATCAAATTGCCCCATTCCGATGCTTCGGGTGCAACTTCTCTGAGCCTTTTTCGGTGGGGGAGCTGTCTTTACTATCGTACTGCACTGCTGAACCCTGGGCTAATTATTTGTTGTTTCGCTTTTGAAGGGGACGATTTTTCGCCTTGCACTTCGAACTGAAGATCAAGCTCAACGCAGCAAGCTCTCCAATCGTGCTCAAACGCCCGCCAAAATGGCGGAAATGCTGAAGGAGTTCGCAGATAGTTTACCGACTGTACTGCTGTTTCTGCGCAATGTGTGCAAAATATCGGTCTCGGAGTGGCGGGCTGGTGAAGAAGCCCCGACTGTTCTTCAGGAAGCATCGATCACGAACATGACAGAAGAAATTGAAGCGAAACGCTCGCTCCAGCACACTAGTCTAGGCTCCACTGGCCTTGCTTCCACGCAGCGCTTCTCGACCGATGGTATTGCTGCGTTGCTAGGAGTGCAACCCCAATCGCTGAACAACTACTAACATATTTCTCCACTAACTTTGCAGGTATAATCTGCGACTATCCGCTGAAGATTAAAGCTTCCGACTTTGCCGTCAGTCAGACGAAAGAGTACACGTATCTGATCATAAATCAGTTGGGTGGAGGAGGATGCACCAAGATAGCTTGCGACCCCGCTAATGCGAACCAGCGTCTAGTACCGTGGGGTGGGGTGGCTGTACTAAAGAGCACTGATGCAGCAAAATCCGCTATGACTGGCTTGGCGTTTTGCTTTTTGCCGTTGCCAACGCATACGTACTTGCCTGTGCACGTAAGTACCCACTCGCCTTCGGATAAAATTCTTGATATGACTTGTACTAACTGTGTCTCTATCATTTTCAGGTAAATGGGTACTTTGAGCTCTCTTCGAACCGCCGCGATATTTGGTTTGGAGACGGACTAAGTGGTGACGGCCTTCTTCGCGCCGAATGGAACATTGCCTTGCTTCGCGATGTCATCGCCCCGTGCTATGCTCGAGCGATCGTGCATTTAGCGGACACCCAAGAGATGAAGCCAGAACAGCACGCCCAATTGCTGCCTCAAGCACTGCCGCCGGCTCCCTGGGACTCGCTGACATACGCTTTTTTCTCGTTGATTCGCAGTAAACCTTGTTTGTACAGTGAGGTTGGAGGTGGCCGTTGGGTGTCTCCCATGGAGAGTATGATTGTTCGCAGCAGTTACTCGAGCTCGAAGCAGCTGGAGCAGCTGTTGATTGATGACGGTTTCCCTGTTGTCAGGAACCTGACTGAAGATCTTGAGCGTGTACTGTTGAGGACGGGGACAATACCGTCGTACGTTGAGCCTCAACGCTTGAGAGAAGCATACAAGACCAACAGTTCTTGCCATGCAGGCAATTGCAAAGCTGTCGAGTGCCTGTTGAGGTTTATATTGAGTGATTTGGAACCAGATCGACTAAATGCTCTCGTCGGAGTAAGGCTTCTGCCAGTCGCTGATGGAACTCTTCGAACGTTTGAAAGCCGCTCCAGTTTCGATCCCAACGAGCTCGAATACCTGAGTGCGATGGGATTTTCTCGCCAGCATGCCGTTTACGCACTTACAGTCGCAGGGAGTAATGGAGTGGAAACAGCTCTCAATTGGTTGCTTCAGAATCCGAATCCATCCATAGTGAACGAACAAGGAGCTAGTACCCCATTTTTCATCCCAACGCGTGAAGAATTGGAGTTGCTGAAGAAAGCGCGAGGTCATTTGGTGAATATTGAAGCAATCGATTCAAGCGGAATCGCACTACTTTCGTCTGAAGCTGCCTCAGTGGGCCTTAATGTGCAGAAGCTGGACTACCAAGGTTTTGAAGATATGCTGGCAGTGATATTACCTGATGCTTGGTTTGGAAAGTTGACAGTGTCTTGGGATGAAAAGGCAATCGAAGAGGGTGCACCAAACGAGGAATGGTTCCGACAACTTTGGAAATATATTGGCAAAAGTGACCATCTCGCTGCGTTTAAGGATAAGTGGCCGATTGTACCAACGTCGTCACACGCGTTGGCGCAGCTGACTGTGTCCGCAGGTGTGCTGAGTGCCGAGCTTATCCCTGATGGCTGTCTCCGGTGCTTGCAAAATTTGCAAGTGCGCCTACTCCTCCCAAACATATTTGCGTCTTTCCAGCCCAACCCGGACGTATGGCAGTACATTCATCAGCCTACTTCTGCTGGAGTGCTGTCGTGCATTGGAGCCATTCTAGGCACAGGGGGTATGTCGCTGCCAACCCGAGTGGAGAAGCTATTCGAACGTACCGACAAACGTGACCGGGATCAGTTATTGAAATTTTTAGTATCTGGAATGAATGAGGACGTTCGCGAGAGCCATAAACAGATCTGCTGCACTCTCCCAATATTTCAAGGGTTCCGAGCTGTTCGTGGCGTTGGAGATCGCGGTGTACAATGGGTGGATGATGATGACGCTGAAGCAATTTTCGAAAACAATGTATCCCCCTCGTTCGTATCGCTGGCAGAGATTAAGGAAAAACACCAAGAGCCGCGATTGTGTATGGGCATTGCCCCCAAACTCCTGGACGACAATTTTGTTTTTGTAAACGAAGGCGATTCCGCCCTAGTGGAATTTTTGACACGGATGGGCGTTCGACGGGTCTCCAAGGTGGAGTTTTTTGCGAAACATCTAATTCCTCGCTTTGATCGCATTGATCCAAAAGTGCGTGTAAGGTTTGTGTGTCAGCTACTGGCAGAATTAACGACGCTGCTAGGGCAAGATACCGACGGCACTCTGTCGAGCATCGTGGAGAGTGCGGCTATCTTCCCGACAATGACGGGAGATCTGAAGTCGATCGATGACCTGTATGACCCTGAAATTGACGAATTCATGGACATTATGGACGAGTCGTTTTTCCCGGCTCTTGAGCTTCAAGACCCTCAGCCACTTTCCGCATTGAGGTCAATAGGTCTGCAGCGTACACTGTCACGTCGGTCCATTTTGTCGCTGGCAGTCTCCTTGGAAGGTGATCAGATGAAAATAACGGCTGGTAGTGATGGAGCTATCGAAGAAACGGAGCTTGGCGAAATGTGCAACAAACTGCGCTCCCGGTCAGTCAAATTCTTCCAATATATAGACGCGCACATGGAACAACTGGTAACCCCAGCAACACGTCAACGGAAAGCGCAGAAGACAGCCAAGAAAAATAATAAGGGCATCCGCTTCTTGCGAAACTTTTTAGGCGATGATCGTTTGCGTGGGCTCGATACGATGCATGATGAGAGCATGCCAACACCTGAAGAGCTGGAGGGGCAAGTGATGGAACAAGCTGAAATTGACGATTTCAAGGCGAAGCTGGCGATTATTACGTGGATTCCTGTGTGTGAGGAAAAGCCGCACCGTGCTGCACCGTGGTACAAGCAAGGACAACGAATAGTTGTCGCATCACCGGAGCAGTCTCGGCCAACAAAGCATCTGTGGCTCTGCTCATCTCAATTCCACATTATGAAGTGTCCAGTACATTCAGAGGTCTTACGAGGCGTGCTAGGGTGGGATAAACGTCTACCGGTTGAGACGGTCGCTTTTCAGCTGAAGGAAATCTCACGACTGTTTGATGAACGTCAGACACAAACAGTGGGCGGTTCGAAAAGTGAGACCGATGGAGATACGCACGTGGTTTGGTCCGCAGTTTACAGCATATACCAGATCCTATCAACATTCTTCGAGACTGAGGGGGTAGATCGCCGCAATCAGGTGTTGACCATTCTTTCTGGAAACGGCAAGTATGTGTGGGTTGGAGACCGCTTTGTGTCGTCAAACCAGGTGGCAGCCGTAGCGGTTGTGAACGCGGAACCGTATTTGTATACGATTCCGAACGAGTTACTCCACTTCAGGCCATTCTTACGTGCGATTGGTGTTCGAGAGAGATTCGCCCTACCAGACTACGTACATGTTCTTGGAACAATATACAAGGAAGGCCAGGCTGATGCCTCTACAGATGATGATGATGATGAAAAGGCTGCTGCTCCTTTATCGAGTGACAGACTGGCAACGGTGATCGGTTTAATCCAGTTGATAAGTGACACACTCCAGCATCACTCCGACTACGAGTTGTTCGCTCCGAACCGAAACGGTGTTCTTGAGTTTGCGGCGAACTTAACGTATGACGACGCGCCATGGCTAGACAAGTGCGACTACGAGAACTCCTCAACGTCCACGCGATTTATTCATCCCAAGATTTCAAATGAAGTGGCTGCAAAAATCGGATCTCGCTCCTTGCGAAGCCAGCTGTTAAGTGAGAGTGGCCACGAGGCTATGTCGTTCGGCGGTGAAGGTGATGTGGAGGCGTTTGGTCAGACCGAAGCACTGACGAAGCGAATTGCGCATATACTTGAGCAGTATCCAGACGGACCGAATATTATCAGCGAGCTCATTCAAAACGCAGACGACGCAGGCGCTACTCGTGTGTGCGTTCTGTATAACAGCTGCACGTATGGAACTTCCTCACTTCTAAGTCCCGCCATGGCAAAGTGGCAAGGACCGTCACTGTATTGTGTACGTATCCGTTGTCGTTGGGTGTTGAATTTCGTATTCTTACGGTGATGTTATGTGTGCCAGTACAATGATGCTGAGTTCAGCGACGGAGATTTTATCCATCTAGCTCGCATTGGCCAAGCCAGCAAGCTTCAACGGGCGGCCACTACAGGACGATTTGGACTGGGATTCAATTCGGTCTACCACTTTACGGACTTGCCTTCAATTGTATCGGCCAAATCTATCGGTACGTTTAGACCTGGCTCATACTCTGATGGCAAACATGTTTATTAACGACTGCTGGTTCTTTTGATATGTAGTGATGTTCGATCCGCATGCAACGCACCTGCCTGGCATTTCAGCTGCAAACCCGGGTATCAAGATTCGTTTCGCTAACGCGAACATCGTGAGGCAGTTTCCCGATCAGTTTGCACCTTTCAAGAACGTGTTTGGGTGCGACTTAGAGCACCATTACAATGGCACCTTGTTTCGATTCCCGCTTCGTAGCAGCGCTCTGGCAGAAAGCAGCGAAATCAAACGCCGAGGTTATTCTCACAACGAGATCGTGGATTTGTTCAAGAGCTTCCAGACATCGATCATCGACACAATGCTGTTCCTTCGCAACGTTCGAAAAGTGGACGTGTACCTCCAATCGGATGCTGACCAGCCCCCAGTGCTTCTTTACGGGGCTGAAGTGCCGGAAGAGGATCGTGGCGAGGCGTGGCGAAAGATTGATCGGTTCATGAGAAATGACGAGGTACCCGGAACCATGCCACGAACGACTGAATTATCTGCCAAGAGAGATTTTTACGCGCGCTTGAGATCAACGCCGGCAGAAGAACTGCCGTCCGTGACTCAGGTTCTCCACATCCGTCGACAACAGCAGAAACAACTCGAAGAATCGTACCGCCTTTTCGGTGGGGAAATTGACAATGTGGTGGATGAAAGGTTGGTGGAGTCGAAGGACGATCATATGGAAACGACTACCGAAAAATACTTGGTTTGCAACCAGATCGGGGGTGGGAAAGCACGTGAGATGGCTTGTGCTGCTGAAAACGAGTCCCTCAAGCTTATTCCTTGGGTCGGAATTGCCGGTCGTATTAATGGAGTAGCGACGGAAGGAAGGGCATTTTGCTTTTTGCCTCTCCCAGTTCGTGTTGGTTTGCCGGTCCACATCAATGGATACTTTGAGCTGTCCTCGAACCGACGTGATATTTGGCATGGTGACGATATGACCGGTGATGGAAAGCTCCGCTCGGAATGGAATGCTAGTCTCTTGGTGGATGCAGTTGCTCCTGCTTATCTAACATTCCTGTTGGAAGCAAAAGCGATGTGTGAGGTAGACTCATCTCAGTATTTGTCATTTTTCCCGACAAAGCTACCTGCGAGCCCATGGGATGTCATTGCTCTCGAGCTCTTTCGGATCATGAAGAACCGCCCAGTGTTCTTCTCGTCAATCAGGCAATCGGAGGACAATGCGTCCTCAGAGCCTACAAGGAAATCCGTCACCCCAGGTGCTTCGGTTTTAGTGAACGACAGCCTCGCCGACTGGAAAGCACTAGAAACTGCGCTGGGAACGGCTTCGTTAGCAACAGTGCTGCTGCCAGTAGCACTGCGCAACTTATTGATTGAGCTTGACGCTGTCTATGGAGCCATGACGCCCCGATTTTTTCGACAGCTAACTCGGCAGGGAAACTTCCTGCCAAAGCTTGATCAAGATGTCCTCAAGCGAGTTATTCAGTTCTGCATATCGGATTGTCACGGACAGTTAGACCCCTCGGCTGTTCGAGCTCTCAACCAACTGCCGCTATTGCCTCTGAAAGACGGGAAGTTTGGAACCATTTGTTTCGCTGAAAACCTGAGCGGTGATACCGATCCAAGAACACAGCAACTGACCTACTTTTTCGGGAATGCAATGGAAGAACAACTCCTGGATGAGTTCCCGCACCGTGTGGTGCGCAAGGAGTTCAAATCGGTCTTTGACCAAGTTCCTTTGGTGTACGAAAATTCGAATCTCAATCTGGTGGATCTCGCAGCTATCCTAGATACTTTCTTGCCTCACATTCTAGGTCGCTGTTGGAGAAATGTCCAAGAAGGCATATTTACTCTCGAGTCGACTTCTCTGGATATGGCGCTCCAATCAAAAACGTACTGGATACGACAGCTATGGGCGTATGTTGAGACTCAGTTATCAACGATTGAGCAGCTACCCCAAGTCTTCATGAAGTGGCCGCTGGTTCCCATCGTCTGCGACGACGGAAATCGCTGGGTTTGCCTTTCTGCAAACGTTAGTCTCGTTCTCCCTCATTCCGAAGCAGCTCCAGTGGTGCCAGAGTTACTTCGTCAACTACAGCAAGCCCTCGGGAAAGTCGGAATTTATATGGTTGATACGTCGTACGTCAGCGGCGAGAAGATTGTGCAGTGGTTACTAGCACACAAGCACGCGTTTAAGTTGAGCTCAAATGGCGTGCTGGCAGCCTTGAGTCGCTATCAGTTCCGCCACGAGAGGCAAAGCTTCGACGAAATATTTGCTGCAACGACAGCAGCCGAGCGACAGGTGTTGTGTGGCTTCTTCTCTCACAACTCATTTGATGCGGTGGCAAACGATTACCAGCCTATATTATTCGAGCTGCCAATATTTCCAGTGCACGCGAGACCGGTTGTAAAAGTGACGGAGGCTCAGCTCACTCCAGATGTGAATTTCGTGAGTTTAAGGCGAGGTGGCTATGTACCTGATGAAGATGCTGATCCCAGGATTCTTGACGAGTCATTTTTTCGGGTTGAGAAGGACGTGACGAGAAGGTTCGTACGAGATTGCGGGCTCGAGGAATGGAGCAACACAAAAGTTTTGCTGGATCATGTTTTTCCTCAGTTGTCGAGATTGGAAGCTCAAGACAGTGACTTGGTAGATTCTGTGTTGGTCAGCGCGCTAGAGATGCTTCCGTTCCACCAGCGCAATGATTCACGATTCCGGGAAGTTATCAGAACCCATGCTGTTATCCCATCCAGAAAACGGGTTTTTCGGGCAGTGAACCAGCTTCATGATCCTACTGTGAGTGCTCTAAGTGAATTAGTGGGCGAGAACAGTCTTCCTGCCCAAGCGTTTTCAACCCAACCGATCGTTGAGATTCTGCGCACTCTGGGGCTTCGCACGGGGTTATCGTGCCATGCAGTGTTGGAAAGTGCACGTTCTATCGAAGCAATGTCGGAAGAAGATAGCGAAGATTCCGCTGGCTTAGCACTACTCAAGGCACACAGCTTGCTGACGATTGTCAACGAGCGCTTCGATGATATGATGTCGGGGTCAACATCAGGTGACGACCTCCAGCAGGAAGATGATGGTGAAAGTCGGCGAGCTTTACAGGATATTGTGGCAGACTTATCCGAAGTGCAGTGGTTGCCCGTCCGTCTCGAAGCACCAGACCCTGCCATGCCGTGGAAAAGTTTAGTTGAAAGGGGTAGCAATCGCTTCTCAAGCGCTTCGAACATGAGGCCACTCAAGGACGCGGTACGTACACTTTTTTGTTTCCTTCAGCAGATATGAACACCTCACTAATATTCTCATCCGATGCATGCATGGTTGACAGTGGTTTTGTTCGTCCACGATGGATATCCTTGACGGCGAGTTGACATCGGAGCAACTCATCGCTGCCTTTGGGTGGAAAGAGCAAGTCGACTCGTTGGTGATAGCAAAACAGCTCGAGGCAATTGGTATGAAATGGGAAGCCCATCGCCACAAAGTTCACACTGGAGAAGTGGTGCCGTCGAAGACTTCGAGTTGGCGTTTCCCTTTATCGGAAGTACACGAGATGTACGAGGAGCTTGAAGGTCATCGACTGTCAAATGAGGAGGGCTGGACGGCGTCTCCAGTGTATCGCAAACTCGCGAATGCAATGTGGGTTTGGACAGGCAACAGGTTTGCATATCCGTGTCAAATCGCTGTAGAGGCCGACGCTAGCCTGGAGCCTTTGCTGTATTGCTGCCCAAGTGAGCACATCATCCCGCGATCACTTCTTGCTTCCTTTGGTCTGAAAGAAAAGTTTACTACTGTCGATTATCTGGAGGCTATCATGAGGCTCCCACGACACAAAGTTCTGGACGAGATGCAAGTTACGGCATGCATAAAAATATATGGCATTGTCGGGGAGGACACGTCGTCATTGGAGACGGCTCTCAACTCGTTTGCGGCGCAGGAGATGGTATTACTCGACCACTCGAATCGGCTAATCCCAGCTCTTCAGCTGACCTTTGACGACATGGAATGGAACGAATCGCGAGAAGTTCGGCGAGGAGCGACGTTTGTATCGAAGAGAGTGCCGAAGGATGTAGCACGCATATTGGGTGCTGTGTCGTTGCACTCGAAACTCGCGCAGACATCGGTAACTAGCCGTCGTGTTGTGTGCCCACCTGCCGCTGCGCTGCAGAATGTGCTTCCTCCTCGAGCAGAATGGTATCGTGCGTTCCTCTGGGAGACAATTCTTGCAGCTGAGCGATTTGGAGGCTCTCAAGTGGACTTCTTTTTGGATAATCGTCACCACTCGTCGCAGCGCGTGATTCAGCCGTCGCTCCAACCTCTGCAGGATGAAGCCCTGTGTATCCACATTCACGATATGGTGCTGAGCGAAGACGACGTCAACAACTTGTTCCACGGGGAGTCTTCGCGGGCAGGACTGCTGTGCGGATTCCTCGTGTCAGATTGTATGCAGATTCTCAGTGGAGATGGCTTCTACATTTTAGATCCAACCGGGTGTTATCTCTCCTCTTCTGCGGGAGCTGTTGCAGTCTCGGCGTCATCGTCAGGGCGACCAAAAAGCATCGGGCGACGATACGAGGTACTGGGTCAAGATTTTGTTCGGTATCCGGATCAGTTGCTGCCTTTTACAACTCTTCCTGCATGCCCAAGCAATGTTTCTCGAGGAACACAAAGTACGATGATTCGATTTCCCTGGCGGAAAACGGGGTCAGCTGTGTCGTCCTATGTGTTGGATACCAGAAAAGCCGACAAACTAGTGTCTTATCTCAAGTCGCAGCTGTACCAGACGTTGATTTTCACGGAGTCAGTCCACCGCATCTCGGTGTGGAGCGTGGGTAAGGAGTCCGAGTTTGCGTCTCACTGCCATGGCGAGGTATGTCTCGACTCGCCCGATGCCACGTTACGGAAACGCAACATGACTCGTCAAAACCAGGAGTGGAAGAAAAAATTCTCGCTGCAAAGTTTTTTCAAGAGTCCTGTCATCCCTGAGAACCAAATGGAGTTCGTGGTTAACCTGGAGTTGGAAAACCGCCAATACCGAGACACATGGTTGTTCGCGGATAACATCGGGTTGGGAAGGAGTCGTGACCTGGCGTGCAGCCCAGTGCATGAAATGCTTCATTCCACTCCTTACGTCAGTGTTGCGTGCCATATCTTTCGTGACGGCAGCCCAGCTCCCCGACTACGCGGACACGTCTACAAGATTGTAGATACTCACCAGCAAGTGGGACTTCCCGTCCATATCAATGGTTGTTTCAAGAAGTCCATAAAGGACAAACAGCTCACGTTGACAGCGTCTTCAAACCAAATCAGCAGAGAAGGAGCTGCTACTGGCGCAAGTGGAAGTGAGCAACAGGTTGCAGCTGGGTGGAATCGTATTCTGTTAGAAGATGGAGCCTCAGGTGCCTACATCAAGCTACTCCTGGTAGCAAAACGGCGCTATGAAAACTCTTTCCCGAAGTCGCTCTATAACATCTGGCCAACGCTTCAAAAGGTAAGTTCCAGGCCATTGGATTGTCATATTTCCCTTTTTGAACGCTAACGACCGTTTCTTGTGCTTCAGCGAGGGGAAAAACAAGAGTTGGGAGCTCTGGTGCAGGCTCATACATTCCATTCCATCGGCGCGCGGGAGTTGTTTTTGTGTACCGACGGTAACTTTCGTGCTTTGGGAAGTGGCTATCAGCTTGATTTACGCGGCATGAACATTCAGGTAATACCCTGACGGATGCTGGGTCTTATCATGTTGAGATCAAGGTATTGATGTTGGTTTGACGTGTGCGTATGCAGGTGTCATCGTTTGCTCAGCTCCACTTCCCAGCGTTTGATGCCCCAACAAGAATTCTTCAAGATTGCTCACGTCTTCTGCCGTCGCGCATGTATGCCGTCACACCAAAGGTTATGCGACGCTTCTTGAGAAGTGTGAGCAGTTCTGAGGTTCACTCAGATATCTGTCTGTCCCTGTTGGAGTATTGTTTGAGCGACTTGCCGTCCCCCTTGCCTAGTGACATGGACCCTGTCTGGACCGAATTCCATGGGCTCTCTTTGTTGCCACTGGAAGACGGAAGTATTGGCGTGCTTCGAGTGAATCAACGTCGCACAAGCTACGTGCTAGCTTCATTCAACCAGATCGAGCTGCTTCGCCCGCTTGGCCATTTATTTGTGTCATTAGCCGCCTCACGTCGACTGGCTAAGTATTTCTCGGACACTCGCTTTACAAGCGTTTTTGGGCTGACGTCTTTCTCGATTAAGACCCTTTCGGACAACATTGAACGAGTGCTGCCGTCATCCTGGAAGAGCCAAGCCATTGTTGAGTGGGATCCAAGCTCGCCTATTGAGATCGACGAGCTGTGGCTGTATCGTTTCTGGCAAGTTGTGCATTTCGAGCGTCGATCATTGGGTTATTTTGCTTCCTGGCCGCTTATTCCCGTGAAAGGTTCGCGACTGGTTTCTTGCGGCAGAATGGACATGGCTGTTTGCGTTTGGGACGGCTCGGCAGATAGTGACGTATCCTCGCGACTTGCGGAGTCGTTTCAGGCTTCTGCAATGCAGCAAGAGCGAAAAATGGCCGAGTTTGACGCCGAACGTAAAAGGCTGATGGAGTTAACTTCAGCAAAGTTTCAAAAGGAAGAAGAAGAAGCCGACGATATATACTCTGACGAGGAAGTTGATGGTGACAAGGAATCAGATGAGGAAGAGGGTGGTGACGAAGAAGCTGAAGCTGAGTCTGATGGCTTGTCTGGCGAAGCCGAGGAAACAGCATTATCGGTTCAATTGGAAGACATCCCATCCCCTGCACTGCCGAACGACGAGTACTCAACGAACCTCGAAAGTTTGTCGGATGGTGATCGCGATGCTGTTGGAGAGGTGCTCTCACCTCACTCCATTTCGTTGGCCTTGGATAATCTCAGTGATGAAGACGCAGATGGTGCTGAAACTGCAGAAATTAGTGAAGGGTTTGCCGTGCCAGTTTATCCTGTCGAAGACGAATCCCACGAGTTTTGCAGTCGCGAGACGCTTCATAGCGTTCTGTCCGACTTGAATATCTCAATGATGGAACTCGCGTATCTTAGTGGCCAAGAGAGCGACATTGTCCCGCGTAGTGTTGATTTGGGTTTGACTGTTCTAGACGGGATTTTTGCTTCGGACTGGGAGGCATTACGCTGGGGAGAACTCAGCGAGGACAATGCAGTGCTGATCGCTGAGTTTTTCAGTCACAATGGAGACACCAATGGAGGCTACAACCGCATGCAAATCGAAAGACTGAAACGGTTGCCAATTTTCGTGAACATTGGAAACGTTCCTTGTGCCATTCACGGCGAGCAAGATTTCTTCCTCATCCCACCAGGCCTCAACCTGACGGACATGCCATTGCCACCCAATGCCCAGCAGCGTTTCCTCAAGAGCAATCCCCGTTTGAATGCGTTCTACAAGGAACTTGGTGTGGAGGAAATGAGCGACAGCAAACTCTTGATCTACGTGCTGCCGATGTACAATGAGATGCTGGAATCTCAACAAGACCAGATACTACAAATCCTCCTTCAAAAGTGGCAATCGTTGCGCGGTAGTGCCGAGCTGACAGCTCTACTGCGGACATCACCGTTGTTCCGCAGTGAAGAGGGTGAAAGAGGAAGCTATTTCCCTGCCAGCGTCTACTGTGATCCGCGCAACAGTGTTCTCGCTGCAATTTATGAAGGCGTTCCCGGTAAATTTCCTGCTCAGCGCTATAGGACGACCGAATGGCTCGAGTTGATGACCGAGATCGGACTGCAAGCTGAAGTGACTGTCGAGATTTTTGTGGAGTGCGCTCAACGCATTGATGGCCAGTGCTCAGGCAAACAAGTGCTGATCTCTGAGGATGAACACCTGATCACAACACTGCACCAATACTTCGTGCAAAACTTTGACAAATTTGATCGATCACGGTCATTTTTCGACAGAATTGCACCGCTAGCTTTCGTCCCAGCCACGGTGTACGAAGCAGCAAGTACGCCCGACAACTTGAGTGGAGCTAGTCAGGATTTCTCGGAGAGACAACGAGGGCAATTTACACCGCGCTCTGTTGTGCGAAAGTATTCCGAGTGTGCCACCCCTGAAGATCAGGCACTTGTGTACTCGACGATGCCGATTCTAGCCAACGCGGCCCTACCTCCACGCGTTCTTTACAGTCGGCTGGGAATTCAGTCGCCGCCCCCGCAGGACCAAGTCGTAGCGCATTTGCTGTCAATTACGAATGGCGACCGCGCAGTGTCATCAAGGTCGTTGGATTGGCAGTTCTTCTTACCGATGGTCGAAGTTTTCCAAGCGATCTTCAAGTTTCTGCAGGAGCACTGGAGCGAGTTGAGCAGGGAAACACAGCAACGACTCACAACAGCAGCAGTCATCCCAGTTGGATCAACTCTCGTCAAGGGTTCCCGTCTGTTCTTCCATTTAGGCGAAAATTTATCGCCACTGATGTTTGAGGTACCTCGCGCTTTCGGCGCGTACGACGCGCTGTTCCGACACATGGGCTCGAAAGAAGTACCTGAAGTGATCGACTACATACGTTTGCTGCGTGATCTGAACGAAGAATGTTGTGGCCATCCGCTGAACTTGAACGAGCTGATCGCATCGGCACGCGCAGTCGACCTCCTCGCTACTGCCATTAGCGAATCCAGCCATCGACTCTCGCTCGAAGAGAAAAATGCCATCTTCCTTCCATCAAGCACGGCAGTCATGCAGTCGATGCTCCTGATGGCGTACAACGATTCGGCTGCGTTGTGCTCTAGTATCGACCTCACGGAGCTGCACGTTGTGCACCCTCGGATCAGTACAAGGTGTTGCAAGATATTGGGCGTGCCTGGGCTTACAAGTGTCGTGACCGAAGAGCTAGATGGAGAGGGGAATCCGACCGAGATGATTGCGCGCGACGACGTCGCGCACTTTAACAGCGTGTTGGCCTCGCAGCAGTTTGCGGACGGGCTACGGAAAATCATCACAGCCCAGCAGCAGAAGGCGTCGTCCAACGATGCGTTTGGGTTCATCCCTGACTTTGAAGACCTGAACCAACGCATCGTGAACTTGGCGACGTACGAAGTGGATTGCGTGACGGAGCTGCACTCGCGGTTCATTGCGAAGCTCGATTTCCCCGCTCGTCGAATCGACGTTACCAAGACCGCGCGCCAGGGAAGCCTGTCGTTCTTGGACCAGACGCGGAGGCGCATCTACATTGCCAAGCGCACGCTCGAAGCTCGTTCGGAGATGGGAATGCGGGCGAGCCATTTGGTGGCCAGATGCATCAACCAGCTCCTCGGTGGCGTGCTGCAGGATTGCTCCGTCCTTGAGTCTATATTGACGTGTGACGAAGTTGAGATTCCTCGCGTGCTGCAGCTGCTTGATATCTACGAAGACCCCGTGCTAATCGTCGAGAAACTTCGCGGGGTACTAGGCCAGCCGCTGTCCGAGGTGGACTGCGCTAATGTCGAGCTGGCTCCGTTGCGCTCGTGTTTACCTGGAGAGCTTGTGGCGGTGGAGGACGAAAGCGGGACGCTTTGCTTCGGCAAAATCTTGCGGGAGCAGCCCAGCGACGTCGCGGGTGTGAGTCAGTTTGAAGTCAAGGTGACCAGCTCATCGACTCGGTCGCTACTTGCTACCCAATTGTACTTCTTCCGGTCGGCTCGCATTGGAACCAGCAGTGGGGGTCACACCGCGACTAGCGAGCATCCAGCAGAGGGCACTGTCGTGCCCAGCCACTCGGGCAACATTGCGTTGCCAGCATCGGTGGTGGCCGTCGCGTCGGAGTCGCAGGATGGAGCAATTGCGTCCGGCTTTTCGCAGGTGAAGGCTCCTACGTCCGCGGTCTCTAAATCGAACGTCTTGTCGGCGGTCAACGATCTATTGTCGCGCCTGAATGTGACGCTAGACACGAATTTTGAAGACCTGATGGCCGAGAATCTGCGCCTGCAGCGTCGGCTGGAGGTGGCGGAGGCGGGGCGACGTGCAGCTGCCGCACAGATCGATGCCGCCATTCGCGAGAAGAAGGAGGTGCAGGACTCGCTCGTGTGCGCCGTGTGCCTGGAGAGCAAGGTGAACCGCGTCCTGATCCCGTGCGGCCACATCTACTGCGCGTCCTGCGTCGAGCAGCTGCCGCGCCCGTCGTGCCCCATTTGCCGCCAGAACATCGTCTCCAGCTCCGTCTTCCACGTGCCGTCCTAGACAAGCATGGAGCTGCATTTTGCATATCAAGAATACATGTATCCATCTCTATCATCAAAGAGCTCCACATGTGTATCCATCTCTTTTTTCTTGTCCTGTGATTGGCTGGTTCTGGTTGAAGAAGAACTCTACAGCCAGTGTCATCGGTGCCGATCCGCATGGTCAAGAACCAGAGAGAATCTCAAGCAGGCAGTTGGCATGATGCGCGCGTCGCTCCTGGCCGCGGACGATGCGGGCGACTCGCCCACTTCCTGCAGCGCGCGCGTGCACAGCCCCTCGTTCTCTAGCTACAGTAGTCAGCCCAGACCCGAAGATCCGCTGGGCGTCGGCGCGGTGCCTCTGCTTGCCCCGGGACTCGGCCTGCAGTCGATCTACGCGAGTCCGCGTCGACTCGACGCGTCTAGGGGCGAGCAGCTCCCGGCTCTGATCGAGGAGCGGCTGCGCGACCTGCTGGGCGAGCCGCTGTCCGACGTGGACCGCGCCTGTGTGCAGCTGATGCCGCTGCGCTCGTGTCTCCCGGGGGAGATCGTGGCTGTGGAGGACAGCCACGGCGTCCTGCGCTACGGCAAGGTGAAGGACGAGGGGGGTCCAACCAGCGGCGGCGAAGTGAAGGTGCAGGTGACCAAGAGCTGCATCAGGTGGTACGCAGTGTCCCAGATCTACTACTTCCAGTCGGTTGGGGCCAGGAAGGACGGCAAGGAGGCCGGCACCGCGTGGAATGGCTACAGTACTCAAGGGACCACACACAAGAAGCTGACTGAGGAAGGAGGGTCCTCGACTGTCGGCGTGATTGCAGAGGTGAACGCACTACTGGCGCGTCTTAACATGTCGCTGAGCACCAGCTACGAGGAGCTGCTAGCCGAGATGCTGCGGCTGCAACATCGTGCGACGTTGGCGGAGGAAGATCGACGAGCGGCGCTCAAGCAGGCCGAGCAAGCTCTGAGCGAGAAGAGAGACGCCGAGAAGGCGCTGGTGTGTGTCGTGTGTCTCGTCAACTCGGTGGATCGAGTGCTCATTCCATGTGGACACAGCTACTGCGCGGCGTGTGTGAAGCGACTCCACCGACACTCCTGCCCCGTGTGCCGGCAGGAGATTGCGGATAGTACAGTCTTTAGAATCTCGTGACGGCATGCAGTGACTGTGTATCGCATAGCGTAGGCTCGAGCTTGTAGGTACATGTGGTAGTTGTGTTGCTGGATATTCCTTGTCAGTGGCAGCCCATCAAAACATCCATCAGCAGTGTTCATTCTCCGATTTGCTGCGTGTTGAGCAAGTGTCGTTATGACCAGGAGGGAGAAGGAGGAAGTCGCGCTGTGGCGCGCTGCCAAAAGCTGCAACGCCAAGAAGCTCCAGCAGCTCGTGCGCAAAGAGTCCGTCGACGATGTGCAAGCTCTGCTCGATCAGCCGCACCCCGTCAAGGGCACGACTCCGCTGATGGTCGCTGCGACGAAGAACCATGGAGGTGAGACCGTCCGCGCATTGATCCAGCTCGGCGCAGACCTTGACGCTACGGACAGGGGCAAGCACCGGAACACGGCGCTGCACTACGCGGCGTACAACAACCGGATCGGGCAACTGGAGCTGCTGCTGGACGCCGGCGCCAACCCGTTCACGTTGAACGGAAAGGGGCACACGGCGCTGGATGTGGCGAGGCTTCGTGGACGGAAGGAGACGGCTGCAGCGCTGGCCTCCAGACTGCAAGTGCACAGTGGCTGGCTGTACCTGCGCTCCAAGTCGCTGCTGGGGTTCTGGAAGCGACGCTGGTGTGTGTTGCTGTCGTGCAACTCCAAGCGCACGACGTCGGAGCTTTGCATCTTCAGCGGGCCAGATAAGGCGCACCCGGAGGCGGTCATTTGGCAGGACAGCTTGGCTGATACCACACACTGCTCGACGTTCTCGGATGGTAAGGCGAACGGGTTCAGACTGGACACGAAGGTGATCTACCAGCGACTGTTTTCGCGACGGTACAGTCGATACGTGTCTTCGGGGCGAACGCATGTCCACAAGGCGAACTTGGAGCCACGAGAGTACGTCTTCGCCTGTGACACGGAGACGAGTCGTGACGCGTGGATGCGAGCGCTTGGAAGTCGAGGAGGCGAGTGCAATGGCACGTCAATCAGCTCTACCTATGTGGGCTCGCCACACAGAGCGAGTGTTAGCTCTGGTGCTGCCTCAATGGATGCTACACCGATCCCACGCGTTAAACGCTCGGTTCGTTTCGATACATCTGCTCACACTGACAAGGAGGGGTCGTTGGTAACCCCGGAGCCAGCCCAACCCATCGAAACCAGGACGCGAGCATCAGCGCCAACTTTCATCGCGGACGACAATGGATTCGTCTGGGGTGATATGCAGCCACAGCAGGTTGAGCCCACTGACGAAGTATTCCCCCTGGCGACTGTGATCACCATCAGCGGCGACCCAAACGAGCCTCAACCTCTTCTGCACGATAGGTGCATCGTGTGCGCTGAAAATCGCCGCGACTCGGTTTGCATCCCGTGTGGGCATGTTGCTGGCTGCTACGACTGCATGCGCGCTGTCACGCAGGAATGTTCATCGTGCCCGGTTTGCCGCGCTCACGTCGACGGCGTGGTTAGGATCCAGGACTGATGGTTGTAAGTCCACTTCGTATTACTCTAGTTTGTTTGGCGTAAATTAATCTTCGTAATGGTAAACATGGTTGCTCCACGCTGGAGCGGAGAAGCACCTCCTGGTGGTATTTCAAATCCCAGTTTGAGTTGACCGGAGAGTTGACTACGGTAGCTTTTCCTGGTCAAACCAAGAAACACAACACCGGATCAAGCTGGCCACCATAACTTGAGCCGATCTCAAGGTTCGCAGAAAATGCTATCAACGCTCTACCGAAGCGAAAGCAGTGAGGCCTGAACTACGACCGCAAGTCCCGGGTTGCAGCGCACCCGTTTCCGCGACGCAAATGCTTGACGCTATGAGGTCAAAGCACCCACCACTTGTGCGACAAAACACAAGAAAGACGACATGGCTTCAACTTTCGACTAAAAGTTGGCTTTACTGGAAACATTTCAGCCACATTGCTCTCTCGTGGCACAAGTTCTGCATCGGTTGAGCTCACCGATAGCAAGGGCTCAGTTCGAATTTGTCACCGTACCCGATACTTCGACCAAGCGCCAAGACCCGATCGATCGCCATGACTCGAGCGGAGTGCGTCGCGGTGTGGAAGGCCGCCAGGGATGGCGACGACGCCACGCTGCAGCACATGCTGGTCGACTCTCCGGACGACTTGGGGCCCAACCTCGTCAACTGGAAACATCACCGCAAAGGCACTACCCCACTCATGGTCGCTGCAGAGAGCAAGCGTGGCGAGGCTGCAGTGCGCAAACTCATCGCTGCAGGTGCTCAGGTCAACGCAGAGGACGACACGAAACTGCAAAACACGGCGCTGCATTATGCGGCAATGTCTAACCGCGACTCGCTGGTCATTGACGCTCTACTGGAAGCTGGGGCAGATGCATTCGCACTCAACCGCAAGGGGCTCTCACCGCTGGATCTTGCGCGCCAGTACCGTCGGGTCGAGGTCGCTGGAGCTCTCATGGAGCACATGAAAGTCCATAGTGGCTGGCTGTTCTTGCGTAGCAAGCTCCGCTGGAAGAAGCGCTGGGGAGTGGTGGTGGCCTGTAACAAGCAACGCACGTCCAAAGAGCTGTGCATCTTCCACAAGCCAGGAGAGCTGCGACCCGATGCTGTGCTGCTCGTCGATGAGGCTGCGCGTGCGTCGCCCTTCCCATCCAGCGACAGCTTTTGCTGGCTCAAACGTGACAACGCCTTCATCTTCGACAAACCAGTCTTGTGCCAGCGTGCGAAGCGACAGAAGCTTACGCGTTCTCCCATCTGCAGGAAGACCATGAGCCAAGAAGACGTACAAACGCGGGACCTTGTCTTCGCAGCCGACAGTCTCCATAACCTCGAGCGCTGGAAGGAGGTTCTGCAGAGCTCCAACTTTTATTCCCGCGACAGAGGAGTTCCTCTCGTCGACATGCCGCCTTTCGACGCACCGCACGGCGAGCTCTACTACTGGCCGCACGAACTCGTCCAGAACGTACGATCATCAGTGTTGCGGCAGCAAGAGCAGCAGCAGGATGAGGGCAGCCCATTGTTTCGACGTCTTGGCCGCGCACTTGAGCACCAAGAGCCCGATCCGGCACACCACCACGAGGAGGACGAAGAGCCGCTTGAAGACATGTTGAGAGACCTCCAGGGATCGAACACCGCAGACGGAAGAACGCCTGCGCGAGTGCACTTTGCATCTTCGGAGCCACAGAAGACCGTCGAGATCGTTCCACCAGCCCAACAGGCTCCGCCAACCCAAAACAATAGCAGCGATGACAATGTTGTCGCTGCTTCTTCACCGCAGCAGACTTCGGAATCGAATCAAGACGCAGAGGCACAGCAGGATGAAGATCTGTGCGGATTGTGCTGCTCGCAGCGACGGAATGCAGTCTGCGCGCCGTGTGGACACCGAGCTGGGTGTCACGCATGTCTGCGGACGGTGATGCATACGTCACACGCCTGCCCATTCTGCCGTGCTCGAGTCCGCTCCGTCATGCGCGTGTACGACTAGAGTTGGCTCTGGCTCACGTCTACAAGCAGCGAAACAGGCAACTTGTCCCCAGCTTTGACATGCAAGACTATCCCCCGTGAAACCTGGTATCTTTTCAGCTTTCAGAGACGAAAACTATCAGTAATTAAAGACAATTTTACATCCTGCAATATCTAAACCTTCTACGCACGTCGACGCTCTCTGTTAAGCCAACCCGTCCTTGTCACTCATGCAATTCCTCTTTACACCGCCGCCGCCCACCACCACCGCGATGTTCAGCCTGGACGCGCCGCTGGCGCCGGCCATCGACGCGTTCGTCGACCCGGAGAACGACGACGCCGCGCAGAAGACGGGGCTCAACACCGTCGTCATGCAGGTGCACCGCAGCGTGAGCATGGAGACGCTCATCCAGGCGCTGGGCGCGTACCTCACCAGCGGCGACGACAAGGTGCGCTCGCGCGCGACGCTGCTGCTGGCCGAGGTGCTCACGCGCCTGCCGGAGCTGCAGCTGGCGCCCAGCGCCGTGCAGCTGCTCATGACCTTCTTCGCCGACCGCCTGGCCGACTTCCCCAGCGCCTCGGCGTGTCTGCGCGCGCTGCTGGCGCTTGAGACGCACCACGCCGCGCAGGTCTCGTCGCCGCGCACCACCGTGGCGCTCGTGCTCAAGCTCGGCAGCACGCTGCACATCCCGCAGCTGGGCCAGGCCATGCGCAAGATGTGCTTCGACCTCATGCAGCTCGCGCTGGCGCAGTCCTCGGTCGTGGAGCTGCTGCTGGACTCGGTGCCCGCCAGCAAAGACGCCCAGGACGCCAGCGTGGACGACGCCGAGCAGAGCGAGGACCTCGGCCGCCAGTTTGCGCAGACCTTCCTGAGCGCCATGGAGGGCGAGAAGGACCCGCGCAACCTGCTGCTCTGCATGCAGGTGGCACGCACGCTGCTGGCCAAGCTCGAGCCCGTGTTCTCGCGCAGCGACGCGCTGCTGCAGCAGTACTTCGACGTCGTGTCCTGCTACTTCCCCATCATCTTCACGCCGCCGCCCAACGACCCGTACGGAATCACGTCGGAAGGACTGATCCTGTCGCTGCGCCACGCATTCGCGGCGTCGGACCTGCTGGCCCCTCTCGTGCTGCCGTTCTTGCTCAAGAAGCTCGCGTCGACGGTGGTGGAAGCCAAGCTGGACGCGCTGCAGACGCTGGTCTTTTGCGGCGAGCGCTACTCTGTGAACGCGCTCCTGCTGCAGATGCACGCCGTAGCCACTGCGTTGTATGACGAGGTGCTTGACGGCGAGAAGCAGGAGGTGATCACCGAAGCTCGCCAAGCCATCTCGCGGTTCTCTGGAGTTGTTGCGCGTGCCAAGGCTCAGGACACGCCCGGTGCAGCGTATGCCTGGAGCAAGTTCGTGGTGGAGCTCACCGCCCGCGCTGCGAGTGAGCTGCGTGAAAATGCCGCCGACTCGATGGTGAGCGTGTCGGCGGGTCAGGTGTTGGCGGCTCTGGGACACGATTCTTCGATGAGTCTCGCGCATGTGCTCAAGATTGCGGTGCCTCTGCTGGTCGAGCAGCTTGAGAATGAAAGTTCGGGGAGTGAAAGCGTGCCGTCGAAGTGTGAAGCTGCGCTTGCGCGTATTTTGCTGCTTGTGGACACGATTGACCGAGAAATCGACCAGTCTGGCCAAGCACAACCGATGCGTCCGCACGCCCCAGCGCTTATTGACGCCCTGGTGAATTTCCTCAGCGCTGACCACGATAACCAAGCCAACCCCAGCAGCAGCCCTACTGCACGCTGTGTGGCAGTGCAGGCGCTGTGCCATCTTCTTACCTTCCCGCCGTCGCCCATTGTGGCACCCGCACAAGTCAAGGCCCTTATCAATTTGTTCACCCGCCTGCTTCTTCTTGACCCTGCAGCCGAGGTGCGCTCCGCTTGTCTCCAAAGCCTGAAGGAGATTTCGACTGTGTCTACGTCTTCAGTGTCTGCGATCAGTGGTGGGGAGGGTCCTGCTACTGGTGGCTACGCCGTCTTCGTGGTGGAGATTTCGCTGGCGCGTCTCATGGCTGCGGTGAATGAAGGCAGCGATCACGAAGATGACGATGAGGACGAAGGTACTGGTGTGGCTGCCGTTCTGGCTGCCTCGAACCGCAGTTTTGACGCGTTCTTCGAGGAAGCTTTGCTGGCGATCACGGAGCTCTGCCGCGAGTCGTCTATTTTCCAGGCGACAATTTTCCTCCTGATCGATCTCTGTGTGGAGAAGGGCGATAGCGAGCAGGGCGCTATCGGTTTCTGTGAAGCAGACGGTGATGTTACCCGTCAGCGCCACGTCGACTGCCTTCTCGATGCAGTGGCGAAGATCGTTGAGATCAACGCTGGCGACCGTACCAGCATGGAGTTCTGCGTGCAGGAGTCTTCGTCTGCTTCGATTGTCTTCCGTCTGCTCACAGCGGTCGAGACGTCGGCAGCTCGTGCAAGTGCTTCTGCAAATGCCGATCAACATGGTCTCGTGGACGATGCTAAGTTGGCTGCTTGCGTCCGGATCTTCCGCGCCGTGATGCAAAACGTGTCTCCTGCTACTCAACAGCGGTTGGTGGATGCCGTGGTGCCTGCGTTCTTGCGTACGAATCCGTCCGAGCCAGCGAGCTTGCAGCTTGTGCCGCTTTTTGCTGCAGTTATCAACTCTGCTGCTCGTGATGTGACGCTGCCCGAAACATCGCTGGTGATTAACAGACTGCTCGAGCTTGCTCAGTCCGGGGCAACTACGGTGCCTGAGGCTTCACCCCGTCAGCTCCAGGCTGTGTACGCTGAAGCTGCGCTCTCCGCGGCCAAGTCACTGGCGTCCATCGTGAACAAGATGCCGGATGGAGCCGAGTTCGATGCTCTCATTGACTTGCTTCTTACTCAAAAGCTGGCGGTTGTGATCAGTAACTCCGCAGAGGCGTTTGCTGTGCGCGTGGCAGCGCTGCAAATCTACGCTTGGATTGCGAAGGCGTTGGTCATTCGAGGCCACAAGGACCACACACCAGTGTGCCTGCGCTTCCTCTGCAATTTCCTGACGCCAGGAAGCCAAACTGCTGACGGCGATGTCAGCATGGACCAAGAAGGTGACGACGAGCAAGCGTCTGCGCTGCGTATGGAAGTTGCCAAGAGCTTCAAGCTACTCGTCTCGGAATACCCGGACGTGCTGAACCGCAAGTGTGGCGCGTTCATTACGGTGAGTTATGCGTGTTGGTACTGGTAGTTTTGGGCTAGATCTCACTGACAGCGTATGTGTATGTCTTTCTCCAGTTCCTGTACCGCCAGCGCATGTTTGACATGGTGTTCCCGGTGCTGCTAGAGTTTATCCGTGCGCACATTGGCGAGGAGAAGAGTGTGGCAGCTCTTGTAGCATTTGCTCAAGTGATCGCACACTCGCCAAAGGCGGTCTATCTGCCTCACTTGGCCCAAATCTTCCCCCTCATGGTGCAGGCTCTCAACACGGACGACCGTGAGCTAGGTAGCGCAGCCATCCAGACTTTCAAGCCGCTGCTCCTCGAATCTGTGGAGAGCGCCAAGCCGTTCCTCAAGGACGTGTTCCCGGGTCTCCTCAAGCAAGCGCAGTTCGGGTACGTCACAATATTTGCCTGCGGTGTTTGTGGTCTGCGCATGATCTGACGATTGTGTGTGTATACTTGTTGCAGGCCTGGCGCGAAGGACCGGCATGCTGCGCTTGAGTGCCTGGCCAAGCTGGCTACGATCCCGTACGAACTTGTGCACCCGTACAAAGATATCGTGCTGCGGAAACTCTTGCTGGTGCTTGACGATCGCAAGCGCCTGGTACGTCACATGGCCGTTCGGGTGCGCAACCAATGGAGCATCTTGTAGAGCTACACCAATAGGCCTGCTTCAGCAATTAAGCCAAAACAAAATGCACAGTATTGCACCATCGTGCCGGGCATCCAACGTACAATTTCTATGCCAGCCAAGGTTCAAGCCCTGCATGCTTTCGTCCAGTCTATCTTCAACATGCTGCTTGCTCGCACTCAGACGGTGTTGAGGTCCTTCTCCTTGGCTTCCAGCAGCTTGCCGATCTCCGCGATGGCATCGTCGGTGACCTTCTGGATGCGCTCCTTCTGCAGCTCAACGTCATCTTCCGAGATGGTGTCCTTGAGCTTCTTGGCGTGGTTCATAGCATCCTGTCGCACGCGACGCACGTGCTGCCGAGCCTGCTCCGCCTGCTTCTTGGTGGCCTTCAACAGCTCAGCGCGCGTCTCCTTGGACATCCTACGCAAAGCAATCAGTTCACCAGCCACAGCTGCATCACATCACACCACATCAACAGCGGCCACCTACTTGGGGTAGGTGATCTCGAGCGAGCTCACGTCCTCGCGCACAGAGTAGACGGGGTTCATGGCCTCAATGGCCTTCTTCACGTCCTGCATGAGCTGTTGCATCCATCATCTCCAGTCAGCACCGTCGTCTCCTCTCCTTACCACGGCAGTGCAACGTACCGACGGGTCGTACACCGTCACGCTGAGCGCGTGCGTGCCCACCACAGCCACCTGCGCCACCTGCGCGAGCGGCACGTGCTGGCCGTACGCCTGGACGTGCAGCTCGTCGAAGATGCCGGCGTCGGCGCGGCCTGGCCGCATCTGGCTCAGCGCGCGCGTGAAGTTGACGACTGCGCCGTTCATGTTCTTCTTGGCCTTCTCCAGCGCCCTGGCGGCGCCTCCGTCCTCCTCGTCACCCGCGTCGTAGTCGTCGTCGTCGCTGTCATCGGCAACCGGAGCGGGAGCGCTGGCCTTGCCCTTGCCGCCCTTATTCTTCTTGGCCTTGGCGAACGACCGCGTCTGCAGCTGGATGGCAGCCGCGCCCAGAGACGGAGACGCCCACGCAGCAGCCGCGGCAGGAGCCAGCGGCCGAGCGGCAGCAGCAGAGGCGAGGCGCACAGCGCGGCGACCGAAGCAGCGGAGAGCCATCGTCAGCCTCTCGTGCAGTTTTTGAAAAGTGGCGAAGAGCTCCAGTAGATAGATGCGATTGGAGCACACAATACCCTTCACATTACATATCCTTTTCAATATGTATGCATCTATTTTAACTCACTATTAATAAACACCTTCTATATTTATTATCCCTTGTATTACCAGCTCACCTTGTAAATCCGTTTAGAGAGGCATTTCGTCGAAAGCTTGCCAAAGTGTCATTTAGCTCAAGATGCCGCGGCCACCCGCCGTCGCCAAGCGCTACTCGCTGTTCCAGCGCGCCGTGCGCGTGGTGCAGACGTCGGTCCGACGCGCCGACCGCTGGGCGGCGACGCGCGTGCCGGGTTTGCCCAACCCGCCGGAGATGGAGGAGCAGCTGCGCAAGCCTCGCTTCGTGGACCTGTGGGAGTTCTCGCTGGCCGACCACCGCCGCATCTTCCGCGAGGTGTGGCAGGAGTACAAGGCGTCGTTCGAGGGCCCGTCCGAGGAGGAGATGGAGCGCAGCAAGCAGGAGGTCAAGCGCGCGGTGCAGGCGGTGCGCGGCCAGGTGTCGTCCACCGCCAGCGAGAACCTGTCCTTCATCGACAAGAGTCTGGAGGGCACCAAGGCCCACGACAACATCCACGCGCTCGGGGAGCAGGGGGCCGAGAACGTCAAGTTCCTGGCCGAGAAGGTCAAGCACGTGGCCGAGGGCGTGGACACGGACGCCGTGGCGAGCCACGCCAAGCAGGTCGTGGACGACACTCGCAGCAAGGACGACGTGGCCACGACGCTCAAGAAGAACGTGGACGAGCTGCGCCACCTCGCCAAGGAGGGGAGGGACGCGGCGCTGCGGCTCGACAAGAAGGACGTCGAGACGTTCAAGACCAGCGCCCAGTCGTGGTTCGCGGACAAGCTGCTGGTGGGGCAGTCGGTGCTCATGGCGTTCATTGAAGGGTACCGCGAGGGCAAGGAGCTGGAGCTGGAGCGCGAGGACGCTCTGCTCATCACGTTCGCCAAGCAAGCCGCGGAGGACCACAAGGACATTCTGGAGAACCAGCTCAAGAAGATCATGGACCAGCAGCGCGAGAAGCAACGTCAGGAACAAGAGGAGGCGGCAGCCAAGGCGGCTGCAGAGGAGGCTGGAGGCTTGGAGGCAACGGAGAAGTCTACTGGATATGATGGTGGATCTACGAAGGCAGAAAGTAAAGAGTCGCCGGAGTTAGAAGGCACGGCAAATGAAGCAACAACAGATGAGAAGCCGGCCACGACACAGGAAGATCCCAAGCAGAGGTAGTTCCGACCTCACGCGACTAGATTCCAAAGCAGCATTTTGGGCGCTTGTTTGATAAGCGATGAAGCTGGTGACTCCGAGATAAAGGTAAATATATTCGTAGCGAAGAGTGAAGAGTCCTCTTGGAGGGTCGGCTGCAGTTTTGAGCTCTTGTTGTGATCCAGCAGGACGTGGAGATGCCGCAGAAGGAGGAGCTCGTGCGTCTGGAGAAGGTGCAGTTCGCAGAGGATGACGACGATGATGATACGTTCCAGTACGAGGCGGTGGACGACGGGGCTCTTGGACTGGGCGACGATGACAACGACGACGATGACGAGGAGGATTTCGCCGCGGTGCTTCGGAACCTCAATCGATCCACGATAGCCACGGGCCAAGACGCGACAGCATCAGCAACGTCATTGCCTACTGTGGAGGGAGGTGGGGGAGGCACTTACGATGAAGTAAATGCAGAGCGCAGCATTTCCGGCAGTCCCCAGCAATCGACCATGGCCCGTGTCCACACGCAAGTGCGGCCGTCAGTGGTAGACGACTTCATCCGGAATTTCCTCATCAAGTTGGGACTTACCCGTACGCTGGACATGTTCAACCATGAATGGTACGAGTTTATTGCTAAGGGAAAACTGCGCGAGGACGACGTCGGTGTGGTGCCCGACATCTACGTGCGCAACCAAGCGCTAGACGAGCAAGTGAAGGAGTTGAGGCGCCAGCTGGATGACACCCGGAAGATCACGGAGAAAGCGAAGGGCACGTGGGATAAATTCCGTCACCAGCGCGACGTCCACAAAATGCACCACCAACGCGTGTTACAGGAGAAGGAGGCGCTGTCGGTCAAGATCCGCAAGCTTGAACGTCATGTCGCGTCGTACGAGCCGCTACTCCAGGAACTGAAAGCCAAGTACGAGAACTCCATGAAGGAGAAGATGCTCATGCGTCTGGAGCGTGATCGACAAGTGGCCAGGGCTGAAGCACTGGAGTCGCAGATGAAAGCGCTTGCAGGTGCATCGACAGCCACTTCCGCGTTTGCTTCAGGTGGAAGAGGCAAAGATGTGGCCGCAGTCGCTCCTCTCGGCTCAAATACTTCAGCGACCCACAGCGCACCTTCGTCCTCTTCCTCGAAAACATCGTCAAGCGGAACGAAAAAGAAAAGCAGCAAGTCAAAGAGCGACGTTCCCGACACGAAGCTTCCTAGTCCTGATGCGGCGAATCCATTCGTCGACAAGCGCTTTGAGCCTGTCAACCCCGAACGTGTTGAGATGGTTCGCAGTTGCCCAGCACACGGGAACTCCGTGGCTGCAGTGGCTTTCCACCCCAAGAATCCCATCGTAGCGACCGTCTCGGACGACGAGACTTGGAAGCTCTGGTCTGCTCCTGCTGGTGAGCTTATCATGAGTGGCGAAGGCCATCGGAGCTGGCTCGCTGGCGTTGCTTTCCACCCGAGAGGAGCTCACGTGGCCACATCGTCCGGAGACAACACAGTCAAGCTCTGGGATTTTGTAGGAGCTGCGTGCTCACTCACGCTAGCTGATCACTCTCACCCCGTTTGGGAGAGTGCCTTCCATCACGACGGCGACTTCCTAGTCAGCGCATCCATGGACCATACCTGCAAACTCTGGGACCTGCACTCGGGTCGTTGCCGCCGAACCTTTCGCGGCCATGTCGACTCGGTCAACAGCGTGTGCTTCCAGCCGTTCTCGACGAATATCTGCACTGGGTCAGGGGACAAGACTGTCTCCATTTGGGACCTGCGCTCCGGCCTGTGCGTGCAGACCTTCTACGGACACCAGAACGCATGCAACAGCGTTGCCTTTGCACTTGCAGGAGACACCATCGCCTCTTGTGACGCCGATGGATTCGTCAAAGTCTGGGACGTGCGCATGGTAGCTGAAAGGAGCTCACTCGATGGCGGCCAGCACCCACTCAACAGCGTGGCCTTTGATCGTAGCGGCAAGATCCTTGCGGCTGCTAGTGACGACGGTAGCATCAAGCTCTTCAGCATGAAGATGGAGACACTGGCGACTGAGCTTAAGGGCCACGAGGGACCGGTCCAGGTGCGTTGCGGCATTCTGAGTGCATTTCTATTCATATTTGCAGGTGGCCGAGCGGCTCCCTTACCTTGTCGTTTGTGCTGCTTACACTGGCGCCCTGTCCTGTTACATATCTATCTGTTTGGCAGTCTGTCAAGTTCGACCCGAATGGCCGCTTCTTGGCGTCATCCAGCTCCGACTGCACCTTCCGCCTTTGGTCGACGTCATAAGAGCCACGGAAGAAGACAAGCCGCCAGTCTGCCCATTAGTCTTGCACGCCAGCCTGCTGGTTCTGCTGTCTTCATCACCATCCTCTTCTTCATAATAAAGCTTGGTCGCAGCTACAGTACACCACGTTCATAGTATCCACGGTGTGAACCCAGACCGTTGCCGCCTTGGTCGTGCGCGCAGTAAGTGGAGGGCAATTAAAGACTCCGGAGCCTCTCCTTCTTGCCACCGAACTCTGCGTTGAGCGCGAGGCGGTAGTAGGTGACTTGCCAGTACGCGCAGAGGAAGACTGACCAGAAGAGCGAGAACAGTCTCCACAGCACGTTCGGGAACACGTTCCAAGTGCTGAACGAAACCACGAAGAGCTCGGAAGCCACAATCATCGCCACATAGAGCCAAAAGCGCGTCACGTAAAGCACAGGGGGCATCGACACCTCCTGGTGCGGATCCCAGAAGTTGGAGATCACGCAGGCGAAGTAGATGTGCAGGAACACGTTCATGAAGATCATGAGTCCGTAGCCGTAGTTGACAGGAGCCAGCGGGTGCACACGCGCAGGAGCGAGACGGAACGCGAACACCACGAGCGCCATTCGGAACGCCATGAACGCGTACCGCGCCTGCTTACTGTTGCGCATGGCCAGATCCGTGCATCGCTGCTGAATCTGACGCATAGGCATCGTGATCTTGAGCGCGTAAAGTGCAGCTGTCAGCAGGGCCAGCGAGCTGAAGAACCCCAGGAGCGTCCTCACAGCCTCCTCCGCTCCGTAATGCTCCTGCGAGGCGGGCAACGTCGCGCGGATATCATGCCAGACCGCATGCAAGTCCATGAAAAAGCCTGCCCACCAATACCACGGCTTCAGCACGGGAGCCATGGGGTATCCAACCGTAAGCGCCGGAATGCCTCTGGCCGACTCCACCACCACCTTGACGGGGCTGATCGGCGACGTCATCGATGCGAAGTGCCGCAAGTAGAAGAGTTTCCAGTGGTACTGCTCGTAGAAGTACTTGTGATTGATGTTGTACCCCACGGGCAGTCGCATGCCCTTGGGTTCCGGCTCGGATTTCTTCAAGCTTTCGAGCTCCGCCCCCGTGTACGGCGACTTCATGGGCGTGAAGAGCTTGGACTTCCGCAGCATCTTACTGTACATGGAGGACAGGAAGCCCTGGTCCGCCCCGTCGAAGCTCTCCAGATGGCCCAGAGCGTTGAGCAGCCGCTGGTACTCCGTGGCCGAGGGCGTGACCACCAGCAAGCCCGTGTGGAAGTGGCACGGGTTCATGAACACGGCGCAGAACTCCCCGCAGAGGAAGAGCTCGTCCGCGTTGCGGATCAGCACGTTGTCGGCGTCCAGGTACACGACGCGCTCGTACTCGAGTAGGTTCCACACGTGCAGCTTGTTGAGCGTGTAGATGAAGTTCTTGTTGGTCAGCGTGCCCCCCAGGAAGGGGTTGTTGATGTTGGTCACGTCCAGCACGCGGCAGCCCATGGAGCGGAACAGCGCCTTGCTCCGCTCCGAGACCGAGTCGGACGCCAGCACCACCAGGTCGTACGGAGAGCCCGTCATCTTGATCGAGTGCATGAGCACCTGCACGCCCAGCACGTACTCGGCGTCGCGGCTCGTGCCTTCGTAGTGCACCGTCACGTAGGCGAAGCGGCTGGTGGGCGGGTCCTGGTCCTGCGCAGCGACGGCAAGCGCCTCCACGGAGGCGCTTGCCGCGGCCTGCGCGCTCGCCCACAGCGACAGCAGCAGCACCAGCGCGCGCGCCAAGAGGGACATGGTGATGGATGAGGGCCGAGAAATGCTGCCAAGAGGGGAGCCCAATGTGTACTGATCCGCATTACTGATATCGGTTATTGTATATAGTCGTTTCAACCAATCACAGTCATTATTATCAGCGGGTAGGGTATTTTGCTGCACGATCGGAGCCATTTCATGCGGTTAACTATGATAAACCCCCGAATGTAGCCATCTGCAGTCCTGCCTGGCGGCCAGTGGTTCGCCTTGCATCTCTTCACTCGCTTGCTGGGCTCCATTGATTGGCATTGCTCCACCGCCGACGCAGGAAGGAAGGACCCCCCCGACGCGATGGACCCGTTCACGGAGCTGCGCAAGCACGCGGGCGGCGCGCACCCGCAGAAGGCCAAGCTGAATGTGGTGCTGGCCGCCATCTGCGACGTCATCTACGAGCGCCGTGGCAGCGGCGACCGCTCGTCGCCCATCTCGCCCACCGAGTACTTCGCCGCGCTCATGACGGCGCTGGACGCCGCCTCGGACTCGCACCGGCAGGAGGTCGCGCAGCTGCTGTCCATGGTGCTGCCGGACGTGCCGGACGCCGTGCTGCGCGGCAAGTTCGCGGCCGTGGCCAAGTGCCTCACCACCGTGCTGCAGGAGGCCGGAGACGACGCCGCGCTGCTGCGCTCGGCCAGCGCGTGTCTGGCGCTGGCGCTCATGGCGCAGGAGCCGTCGGCCACGGCCTGGGCGCGCCCCGAGCTGCTGCGCAGCTTCCAGTTGCTGCTGACGCTCGCCATGGACACGCGCCCCAAGGTGCGCAAGGCCGGCCACAAGTGGACCATGGACATCCTGGAGCTCCACACCGCCAAGGGCTGCGACGCCCTCTCCACACACATCGCCAGCTTTGCCGAGAACGTCTTCGCCAGCTCGGGCAAGGACGGCAAGGACGACCAGCGCCTGGTGCTGCTCGTCGCCTTTCTCAAGCTGGCGCTGCCGCTGCTGCAACGCAAGGTCGTGGCCTCGCTCGTTTCGGCCCTCGCCAAGTTCCTGGATGCCAACTCCAAGACGCTGCGTCTTGTCACGTACGAGGCGCTGGACGCGCTGAGCGCTGCGCCCGAGTCGCAGCTGACGGCGGACGCGCTTCGCAAGCTGGTGATCGCTGTGCTGGACGCTCAAAGCAGTGGATCTCTGGAGGCCCAGGGCGGACCCGTCGCCATCTACGCTGTTCGCATTCCCTCTCAGTCTCTCGTGCGTCTTGCCGCTGTTAACACCGAGGCGGCTCGCGAGCTGCTGCCTCGTGTGGTGAGCGCTATCTGCTCCCACATTTCCACTGAGAACGACCGCACCCAGCGTCAGGCTACTCGCTCGCTGCTGGATGTCCTGAAGGCTACGCTGACCCCCGAAGTTTTGGAGACGGAAGGCACGTTCGAGGACGTCGCCCGCGTGCTCGCCTCGCTGCAGAGTCTCACATCGCTGCGCTTCCAGAGCGCTTGGAACCACGTCTTCCCCCTGATCGCTGAGCTTTTCCGCTTCTACGGAGCCGCCAGTCGCCCCGCGCTAGAGCCCATTCTCGTTACGTGCTGCGAGCTGCACGAGGCCGCCGACCAGCTTCCGCAGCAGCAGCAGGGAGGTAAGAGCGCCAAGGCCCTTTCGGACCTGTTCGCTCTTGCTGCGGGTGCTGCCGTTGAGGCTCTGGGCCCGCGTGCCTTCCTCGAGATTGTTCCTATTGACCACCCCACCGAGGTTGTGAGCGAGCAGCGTGCCTGGCTGCTGCCTGTTTTCCGTGATGCGCTGCGCGCTGCCCAGCGCGGCGGTGAGCTTGCTTTCTTCGCGGACGTCGTGCTGCCCATGGCTCGTGCTTGCGAGGCTGGTGCGCGTGAGCCGAGTGTCACCCCGTTGCAGGCCAAGAAGCTACAGACCCGCGCTATCCAGCTCTGGTCGCTTTTCCCGAGTGTGTGTGCCCGTGCCGTGGACATCGTCACCCACTTCAAGAAGATCGCCAAGGTTCTCGCGAGCGCGATGGCTGACAAGCGCTATCCTGAGCTGCGCCTTGCCGTCTGCCAGGGTCTCCAGGCTCTCGTGAAGCGCACGCGTGCGCTGCAGAAGTCGGTTGCTCGCCGTTACCACCGCGAGAATGACGACGCCGAGCTTGAAGATGCTGAGGAGGAGGCTGAAGAGGAGGAAGATGAAATGGAGCAACTGGACGAGGCGAAGCTGGCGCGTGACCGTGCTGCTCTGGCCAAGTTTTCGGGTCGCTACGTGCCGCTGCTGCTGTCGTTCGTGGAGGAACTGGACCCGGAGAAGGACACTGAACGTGCTCAGGTGCTGCTGGATACGCTGGAGGGCTTTGCGTCGCTTGCTGAAGCCGAGCTAATCGGCACGACTTTCAAGAAGGTGATGCAGAAGCTGCTTGAGGCGACGACGGAGGCTAAGAAGGTTGAGGCCGAAGGTGCTGGCAGTCATTCCAAGCGCGCGACCAAGCTCCGACAGACGTCCCATGCTCAGATGGCTCTTGCATTGGCCCTCTTGGCTCACGTGGACGACTCGAATGTGGCGCTGCTGTACCGTGTGATCAAGCCCTACTTGCTCGACGATGCCGATGCTGCGATGCAGAAGCGCTCGTACGCCGCTTTGGTGGCCATTTGCGACTCGCACCCTAAGTTTTTGTCCGAGGAGTCCCAGCTGCAGGACCTGACCCGTGCTATCTGCGAGTCGCTTCTCACTTGCTCGGTTCCGGCCAAGAAAATGCGTCTGCGTGTGCTCGCCCACCTGATCCGCGCGCTGCAGGCTCAGCCTGCTACCGATGGTCTGGCCGAGAAGGAACTTGTTCCTAACCTCGTGGGTGAGATTATGCTTTGTACTAAGGAGGCTAACGGCAAGGCTCGCGAGGCCGCGTTCGAGTTGCTGGTGGCTATGGTTATGCTGCTCCGCGCGCGCGACCCGCAAAACGGATTGATGGAGTTCATTCAGATGGTCCTCGGTGGTCTGGCTGCTCGCACACCTCACATGCGTAGCGCTGCCGTCATTTGCCTGAGTCGTCTGGTATTCGAGTTCGGTCGTGAGGACCCTTCCATTGCTCAGGCCATGCCGGCGCTGCTCAAGACCGTTCTCATGCTGCTGCACGAGAAGGCGCGCGAGGTGATCAAGAGCGTCATCGGCTTCATGAAGCTGGGTATTGCTGTCCTGCCTAAGGAGCAGCTGGAGCAGTTCCTCCCCGACATCATTAATGGTCTGCTGGTGTGGATCGGTGAGAGCAAGAACCGTTTCCGCGCAAAGACCCGTATTATCCTTATCAAGTTGTGCCGCAAGTTCGGCTACGAGCACGTCGCTGCTCTCGTGCCCGAGGAGGACCGTGCGCTGATTCGCCACATTAAGAAGACCAAGGAGCGCGAGGACAAGAAGAAGTCGGAGCTGGCGGCTGAGGCTGCGGAGCGCCGTGCTGCCAAGAAGAACCGTGACGCGTTCGAGGAGTTCATGGCTGACTCGGACGACGAAGGTGACGACGATGAGGCGGCGGTCATGCAGGTGTTGAAGCGCAAGAAGGATCTGCACAAGAAGAACAAGGGTGGCAAGGTCATCCGCGAGGACGAAGACGACATCATGGATTTCCTGGACGACAACGCTGCGGTCAAGAACATTTTCTCGGCGCAGAAGGGTGGCCACGATGACGATGAGAGCGATGACGAGTTCCAGATGACCAAGGATGGCCGCATGATCATTCCTGGCGGTGAGGACGACGACATGGAGGGCGGAAGCGACAGTGACGACGAGGACAAGATCAAGCAGGATGTCGCCTCGCAGCTGCAGCGTATGGGGCTGCACAACAACAGCAAAAACGACAAGAACGGCCGGGCGAAGCGCAAACGCGGTGACGAGGATGTCAGCAGCGGACGTGAGTACCGTGCGAAGAAGGCCAGCGGTGACATCAAGAAGAAGGGCAAGCTGGAGCCGTACGCTTACATTCCTTTGGACCCCAAGCTTATGGCCAAGCGCAACAAGCGCGAGGCTGTGACTCGCTATGGCAACGTTGGAAAGAGGCGGGGCAAGAAATAAGCCTCGTCACTAGCAAGGCGTAGGTACTGTAGACATCATACAGCTAGACCCGAGAGCAGGGTGCGTGACTGAATATCCAATTTCTCGTAAGACTTTGCATTTTAACCCTCCAAGAAGTTGCCTTGTATTAATAGTAGCTGTACGATTTGCATGTTCAATCAAAGGTACTGTGTACACTATATTACTTTCGTCCGAATCAGGAAACCGCCTTGATATCTTCTCCGCCAAGGTTGTTCTCATGTGAATCACATGATGCGGTCGCTGCTCAGCTTAACAGAAATTGATGGTACTAACAGAAACGAAGATCTCATCGGTAGGACACTTGGCAATTTGAAAAAGATGCCATTGTGGAGTCGCCACAGAGCGCGAATTACCTGCCGCTGACCCAAAAAGAACTTCCCGATCACTCTTCAGTCAGGGCCCCCATTCAGACAAACAAAAGACTTGCGAGTAAAATCGCTACCGAAACACGAAGCCAAATTTCCAAACAAACAACGCAATGATGGATTTCATGAGTTCCTTCTGCTCAGCTTTTTGCCTCATTGGCGAACGTAATGGTACATGGGAGCGAGCTGCTTACGGCATCGATTCCTCGGGGCGCTTGATGATCACCGTCTTGTGCTCCAGGTAGTTGCGCAGGCCCAGCTCGCCATTCTCGCGGCCGATGCCAGAGTCCTTGAAGCCACCGAACGGAGTGTTCGAGTCGAACACGTCGTAGCAGTTCACGTACACCGTGCCCGTGCGGATGCCGTTGGAGATCTTGATGGCGTTGTCGATGTTGCTGGTCACCACACCAGCGCCCAGGCCGTAGACGGAGTCGTTGGCGCGAGCAATGACCTCGTCGATGGTCTTGAACTTGAGGATGGACATGACGGGGCCGAAGATCTCCTCACGAGCGATGGTCATGTCATCCGTGACGTCGGCGAACACGGTGGGCTCAATGAACCAGCCCTTGTTGCCGTGGCGCTTGCCACCAGCAAGGAGTCTGGCACCTTCCTTCTTGCCCTCCTCAATGTAACCAAGGATCTTCTCGAACTGAGTCTCATCGATCTGCGAGCCCTGGTCCGTCTTGGGGTCGAACGGGTCGCCGACCACGCGAGCATTCGCGGCCTCCACCGTGCGCTTGACGAACTCGTCGTAGATGCCCTCCTGCACGTACACACGCGTGCCGGCAATGCAGCACTGGCCCTGGTTCATGAACAGGCCCAGCTGCGACTGCTGGATGGCGAGGTCGATGTCAGCATCGTCGAGGATGATGTTGGCGGACTTGCCACCGAGTTCCAGCGTCACACGCTTGAGGTTGCTCACGTGCGAAGTGCGCATAATCTGGTAGCCCACCTCGGTAGAGCCCGTGAAGGCGACCTTGTCGACGTTCGGGTGCTGGGCCAGGTGGCGACCGGCCTCGGCACCAACACCCGGCACAATGTTCACCACACCCTTGGGGAAGCCAGCCTCCACGATCAGCTCACCCACACGCAGAGCCGACAGCGGGGTCTGTTCAGCGGGTTTCAGCACGATGGTGTTGCCAGCAGCGAGAGCGGGGCCCAACTTCCACGCCATCATGAGCAGCGGGAAGTTCCACGGGATGATCTGAGCGCACACGCCGACGGGCTCAGCCTTGGTGTAGCAGAGGTAGGGGCCCGAGATGGGGATGACGGATCCGTGGATCTTGTCGGGCCAGCCGGCGTAGTAGCGGAGGGTCTTGATCACGAGGCCGAGGTCGGCGGCTTTCGCGACCGAGCACGGCTTGCCGTTGTCCAGAGCTTCCAGCGCCGCGAGCTCGTCGATGTTCTCCTCGATGAGCTCGGCGAGGCGGTAGATGAGCTTGCCGCGGTCCTCAGCGGACATGGTGCGCCACGGGCCCTCGAAGGCCGCACGAGCGGCTGCCACGGCCGCGTCAATGTCGGCGGTGCCGCCCTCCGCGACATCGGCGATCTTCTCCTCGGTGGCGGGGTTGAACGTCTCGAAGGTCTTGCCCTTGATGGCCGGCACGAACTCGCCGTCGATTAGCAGGTTGGTCTGCTTCACAGGGACCTTCGCCGAGAAGTGGCGGGTCAGCAGCAGCGGCGAGGCCTTGGCGGCGGTCGCGGCGGACTTGACGGCGAAGGCGCTGGCCTGGACGCGGGGCACTTGGCGGAGGATGTGGCGCTGCATGGCTCGGTGGTTGTTGCGCTGGGTGACTTGCTCGGGGCGAGGCAAATTGCAGAATGAGGACAGTGCTGGTGCTTTGGCCATGATGCCTTTGTCCATCATATCCGCCAGGAGTGCTTGTGCACCTGGCCACGTCAGGCCATACGGCGTTTCGGGTGAAATAAGTTCTAAACAAACTATTTAATGTTACAGCGTTGAGATATTAGGATTTGTAAAGGTGTGCGAATTAGGGAATATGAAATAGCAGGTCATCGGTTTTGTCAGTTGAAGCGGAATCGTAACGGACCGCCAGTCTCATCAGCAAAAACGCAAGAAACGCCGCTTGAACTTCAACGCAAATAAAAGAGGCTTGGGCTTGCGGCTTGCGGCTTGCGGCTTTTTCAGGGCGCGGCGACTCGCCGGCGAGCCTGAGTCCGTGCCAACTTTGCTCGCGTCTGCGGCGGGGGTGTCGTCTGCTGGGGACCTGACGATGAGCAGGTTGACCAACAAACTGCAGACGCGTCGCGCGTCTGTTCCGTGGACCATATAGTGTGCGGTACACCGAAGATACTTTTGCGTACTGTATTGTATTTCTGCTTGGTCGTTTCGGTGCCGGCGGTCGCCTTAACATGGCTTCAACGGCTCGAACTCCGTGTGCCTTGCGTTTCCTTGGCATCTTGCTCCACCCCGTCAAAGTGTGTCGTCCATCTGCTAGGCATGCCATCGGTGCGTCCGCAAAAGCGAGTTCTGGTCGAGCCCTTGGCTGCTCAAATCCCAGGTGACGGTGCGTTCTTGCGTGTCCTCCGATTGAAAGCCGTCTGCAAAAGCTGGTTAGGAACAGCTGTGCCAAGTTGAAGCCATTGCCAATTTGGATCGCCATCATTTTCGACTTCAAATGTATCCTTGTATGTTGGGAATTCTAGTTGCAATGAAAGGCTTTTAGTTTACAGGTTGCAATAGAGTTAGCAGGTAATCATTGACTACGCTAGCCAGATTTGGTGTTTATACGAGCCCACCAGTTGTTAAAGCACAAACGTCACTAGCTCAAACTTTTGATGTGCATGAATAACAATGAACAAAAACAATTACAGCATCGAGTCTTCCGGACGCTTGATGATCACCGTCTTGTGCTCCAGGTAGTTGCGCAGGCCCAGCTCGCCATTCTCGCGGCCGATGCCAGAGTCCTTGAAGCCACCGAACGGAGTGTTCGAGTCGAACACGTCGTAGCAGTTCACGTACACCGTGCCCGTGCGGATGCCGTTGGAGATCTTGATGGCGTTGTCGATGTTGCTGGTCACCACGCCGCCACCGAGGCCGTACTCGGAGTCGTTGGCGCGAGCAATGACCTCGTCGATGGTCTTGAACTTGAGGATGGACATGACGGGGCCGAAGATCTCCTCACGAGCGATGGTCATGTCATCCGTGACGTCGGCGAACACGGTGGGCTCAATGAACCAGCCCTTGTCTCCCTTGCGGTGGCCGCCGGCCACAAGACGAGCACCCTCCTTCTTGCCCTCCTCAATGTAACCAAGGATCTTCTCGAACTGAGTCTCATCGATCTGCGAGCCCTGGTCCGTCTTGGGGTCGAACGGGTCGCCGACCACGCGAGCATTCGCGGCCTCCACCGTGCGCTTGACGAACTCGTCGTAGATGCCCTCCTGGACGAACACGCGCGTGCCCGAAATGCAGCACTGGCCCTGGTTCATGAACAGACCCAGCTGCGATTGCTTGATGGCGAGGTCGATGTCCGCGTCGTCGAGAATAATGTTGGCCGACTTGCCACCGAGCTCAAGCGTGACGCGCTTGAGGTTGCTCACGTGCGACGTACGCATGATCTGGTACCCGACTTCCGTCGATCCGGTAAATGCGACCTTGTCAACCTTGGGGTGCTGGGCCAGGTGGCGACCAGCGCTGGCGCCCACTCCCGGCACAATGTTCACCACACCCTTGGGGAAGCCAGCCTCCACGATCAGCTCACCCACACGCAGAGCCGAGAGGGCCGTTTGTTCAGCAGGCTTCAACACGACCGTGTTACCGGCAGCGAGAGCGGGGCCCAACTTCCACGCCATCATGAGCAGCGGGAAGTTCCACGGGATGATCTGAGCGCACACGCCGACGGGCTCAGCCTTGGTGTAGCAGAGGTAGGGGCCCGAGATGGGGATGACGGATCCGTGGATCTTGTCGGGCCAACCGGCGTAGTAGCGGAGGGTCTTGAGCACAAGCTGCAGGTCGTTCTCCTTCGCAACGTGGAACGGCTTGCCGTTGTCGAGCGCTTCAAGCGCGGCGATTTCGTCGATGTTCTCTTCAATGAGATCCGCCAGCTTGTAGAGGAGCTTGCCGCGGTCTTCGGCCGACATCGTGCGCCACGGACCCTCGAACGCATCGCGGGCAGCAGCAACGGCGGCGTCGATGTCTGCGTTGACGGCCTCCGATACGTCGGCGATCTTCTCCTCCGTGGCCGGATTGAACGTCTCGAAGGTGCGACCGCTGGACGAAGGCACGAACTGTCCGTTGATCAGCAGATTGGTCTGCTTGACCGGCACCTTGGATGAATACTGGCGGGTCAGTGCGACAGGCGAGACCTTGACAGTCGTCGCGACAGTGGCTCGGGCGAAGGCGTTGGCCTGAACGCGCGGCAGGTTACGCAGGATGTGGCGCTGCATGGTATTTGTGTTTCGGGGTCACTTGGTGTGGAAGTGTCGACGAAAGCGCAAAAAGCGGAGTGAGCGTAGTGGACCGCCCGCTCGCTGAGCGTTTGTCTCCTCAATTCACCAGACTGCAATCTCGACTTGCAGTCTTGGTGGATTGCGGACGTCCCCGGCGAGGCTCTCAGCCGATCTGCTTGGGCTGAGGCAAAGCACCGGCATCCGACGGTAAGGTAAAGCTTGACACGTGCTGTGCGCAATCCCGTGATACAAGTGCAAGGTGCAAGATTCCATGTCCATAAGCAGGCAGGGCAGGCATGTAGCTGCCAAAGAAGGCGGCATATTTCTCGCAGGTGTCCGTCCAGGCGGTGAAGCGACCGAAACACAACCCCATACATGTACAGGCGGCACGATTTGCATGTTGAAGCGCTTTAGGTAGACGTGCCCATCAATTTAAACGCAAGCGAGTGCCCCCAGGAGGTTCGACTTGTCGACGAAAAACACGTGCGAAAAATGGGCTGCACGAGGATCTCCGAAAAGCTGACATCAGCAGACCGCTTCCCCAAGCACCATTAAATTGCTGCCGGGAATGCCCAAAGTGTATCAAAATCGTACCCAACGGCCAACGAGTTCCCTCCGAAGTGTTACAGCACGCCCCCCGGAGACCCCAGTCGTCAATTACGTACGTGTGCGTCTAGGTCGTTGGTGCTTGGGGTCCAGACCCCATTGCTGCTTGGTGTCTCCTGATCGTTTCAAATGCCCCAGGAGTGTCAATTGGCTGCACGTTGTTGTGATCTCGTCAACCAATCCAGTAGAAGAGCCCAGCGCATTGTGCAGGACCTGGCAAGAGAGGCAACATGTTTTGGTGCTCTGTGGCAGGAACTGTAGCGGCTGCCTGCCGGATAAAAAATGCCAGATCCCAGCTGCGGTCCATGAGCATGACGCAAGCTGAGCGGCAAGACGGAACGCAAGACGGCAGGCAAGAACCCCGCAACATGTACTTCGAAGTACAGTATATCATGTGTGCATGCTTCGCGTCTACACAAGCAGCTTACTGTACAGTGCTGCTCTTCAGTATCTGCATACATGCACTGCTTTGGAGGTTTGTAGATCGCAGCGCCAACACACGCACAGACTTTGGGCACTTCCTCGACGATCAAGCGCCGAGCGGCAACACCTCTCTACGCTCGTCCGCACCGCCTGCGTCACTTTGCGTCTCGGGTGATTAAAGTGGAACGTGGGACAGCGAGTGAAGTCTGAAGTTCAATTTCTGAAGCATCTGTTGGATCGGATTTTCAAATATGACCGCCGCCAGATGTGGCGGACGGACCAGCGTCGGTATTGCATATTGTAGTGTTGCAGTGCATCGGGTTCTGGAATGTGGACGAGAGTTTACAGCATGATCACGTCGTCAGTTGAACGACCGCCGGAAGTCGGCGATCTTTCGTCGGGAATTCAAACCCATCTGACATATTTGCATAGGGAAAAGGAATCTGGCCACCGAGTTTACACTTTTGGTGGGGCCCATTGCTCGCGCTCTACTTCAACTCCTCCGGCAGCCACGCTTCAAGTTAGATCTGCTTGAATCTTGCGGCACGAAGTGTGAAGTGACGGCACGGGGCAGTGCAGTGCACCGTGCACGCCTCCTGCTACTGGGATGTTGCAGCGCGTGCCGGCGGTGAGGTGCGTGCAAGCTTGTGCGCAGCACATCGATTTCTGAGCGCTATCGTGATGCACTAGAAAGCGGGTTCCCATCGCTTCGGTTTGTTAGGGTGCGGGTTTAGTGGTTCTTGTACTTTTCTATTGGGAGCTTTTGAGCTCCATATCCCTGTTTAAACCTATTGGTGTGAAGTGCGTTACGAACTTATTGACGATAATTTCGCATTGGTTTGCAATATTTTACGTACAATTCGACCGTATGTGCTGTTATTAGCCCTCATCAACATGCATGTACGGTAAGTCGTTTCAATGGCATTAGTAGATAAAAATGTAATGGGCACGAACGTAAGCTCTCTACAGTATTGCCTAGACTAGCGCTACCAGACCTACCTACTTGAAAAACTCCTATTGCATAATACCGGAAGGAGGTGGATCAGGCTAATCTATTTAACTTACGGTTTGCAAGATTGTCTGGAATGTTTTAAGTCAGGTGAGCAGCGCCGGAGCCGATGGTGGTCTCAGTGGCTGAGGGTGGCTCGCCTCAGAACGAGGTGCCTTTTTAGGGTCCTGCTGGAATAGTCCCAAACAGAGTAATAAACGCGTTCCTTGTACTATGGTCCGCGGATTCCGCCGTTCTCGTTTCGCTAATGCTCGGAGTTGATGTAGTCCAGCCGCTTGAAATGCAGCAACACTGCTTTCAATCGTGATTTTACTACCTTGGTGCACTACGGTACTCGAATCATGAATCATGGTCGCGGATATATAATTTATATATCCGCACCCTAACAAACCGAAGCGATGGGAACCCGCTTTCTAGTGCATCACGATAGCGCTCAGAAATCGATGTGCTGCGCACAAGCTTGCACGCACCTCACCGCCGGCACGCGCTGCAACATCCCAGTAGCAGGAGGCGTGCACGGTGCACTGCACTGCCCCGTGCCGTCACTTCACACTTCGTGCCGCAAGATTCAAGCAGATCTAACTTGAAGCGTGGCTGCCGGAGGAGTTGAAGTAGAGCGCGAGCAATGGGCCCCACCAAAAGTGTAAACTCGGTGGCCAGATTCCTTTTCCCTATGCAAATATGTCAGATGGGTTTGAATTCCCGACGAAAGATCGCCGACTTCCGGCGGTCGTTCAACTGACGACGTGATCATGCTGTAAACTCTCGTCCACATTCCAGAACCCGATGCACTGCAACACTACAATATGCAATACCGACGCTGGTCCGTCCGCCACATCTGGCGGCGGTCATATTTGAAAATCCGATCCAACAGATGCTTCAGAAATTGAACTTCAGACTTCACTCGCTGTCCCACGTTCCACTTTAATCACCCGAGACGCAAAGTGACGCAGGCGGTGCGGACGAGCGTAGAGAGGTGTTGCCGCTCGGCGCTTGGTCCACGTTCTCCTTGCCCAGCTCCTTGCGAAACTGCAGAGCCTCCTCGCGGTCGGCCACCTCGATGGGGGACATCTTCTTGTCGATGGCCACCTGGTGCAGCACCATCTTGTTCTTCGGGTCGTACCCGTCGAACAGCTCAGGCTCAACGATGCGGATGCCCGAGTGTTTCAGGATGTCCTCCTCGTAACGCGGCTTCACCTGGTGGTCCGGCACGATCTCCTTCGTCTTCGCGTCCACCCAGTTGCCCTTGTCGAACGCGATGCGGCCCGTCAACCACGCCAGCTCAATGCAGCCTTCCAGCGAGAACTCGCCGTACGACTCCATCTCCCAGCGCGTGCGCGAGTTGCCCCACGGACTCACCTCGCCGAAACCAGTCACCACAACAACTTGGCGCAGATCCAGCATGCCGCGCAGCAGCGCCTGCTTCGTCGACGCCGACAGTCCAGCCACACCACCCAGCTTCGGGAACGAGTTGCAGTAGTAGCTCGACATGTTTGCGCGAGGAGCAAACTTCTTCGAGCTCGGAGCAGCCTGCTTCTGCGTCGAAGGTAGAGCCAGCATCTTCTTGTCGCTCTCCAGCGCGGCATGAATAGACGCCTGAAGCTTCGCCTTCTTCATGATGTCGGCGCGAATGGCATCAACCTGGTCCTTCAGGTCGCTAACCTGGGCCATGCCTCCAGTGAGGTCCGCAAAGATCGGCGATTCGGCTGCGCGGTCGACAATGCTTGGGTGCATCAGTGCACTCAGGTTGAAGCCCATTTCGGTCGTACTGAACGTGCGCATTCCCATCTTCTCCACGCCCGCAGCAACCACATTGTTGCCAGACATGAGGCCCGTGCCACGGGTCCAACCGATAATGGCACCAACGATCGAAAGCTGGTCATCCCAGCCCTCCGAGTACCACTTGCCCATGAGACTCTCCACGCCCAGCTTCGACTCGGCATACAGACCGTCACCACCGAAGCTACCGTGGTTCGGCGACATCGGAAGGATCACCAGCGCAGGGCGAGTCGTAATGTCACGAGCCTTCTTCGCCGTAACGACCTCTCCCAGCAAACGCATCGTGTTTGTCAGCATGATGCGGTGAGCCAACTCCGAGCGCGAGTCGATGTCCGTGATCGTGCGGCCCACCTCCGACAGTGCCGCGAACGGAATCACGAAGTCCAGGTCCAGCTTGTGCACGTTGTAAATGTGCGCCACTAGGTTCTGCACGTCCACCTTAGAAGCCTGGTTGAACGGCAGCACGATGAGGCGGCTGCCGCGGCTGCCGTGCTGCTCGTAGATTTCGCGGAACAGCGCCGTTGTCTTCATGCTGAAGCTGCTCGTCGTCACGAACACCGTAGCGCCACCTTCCAACAGCGCCTTCGCGATCTCGGCACCAATGGAGTTCTTGCCGCAACCCGTCAGCAAAGCAACCTTGCCGGCAAACGAGATACCCGTCGAGGCCATCTCACGCATGCACGACAGCAGCACGCAGGTCGACTCGACGTCGTACAGGCGGATCGTCGGGTCCACATCGGACGGCTTGCGGACGTGCACGTGCGGCAGCACGATCTTCTTCAGGTTCTCGTTCAGGCCGTAGCGCAACGAGGACGAGCGAGCGACCAGGGACTTCTCAGACTCCCTCTTGGCGCGCTTGCGAAGAGTGTCACGCAGTGCAGTCAGCTTGGCACCTTCCGCAGTAGCTACCTTCTTGGTTTTAGAAGACTGCTTGTCGGCCACAGATGCAGCCTCCTCATCTTCATCCTCCTCGTCGTCGTCGTCGTCGCTGTCCGGCTCATCGCTGCTCATGCTACCGTTGTCGTTCAAGGTTGACTCAAATCCGACAGCACTGGTCATGCCCGCCGTAACATCAGTGCCAGCAACCTTTCCGGTCTCGATGGCGTCGTTGTACTCCAGTCCACGAGCCACCTCGTCGACATAGTTGATGGAATCGGCCACACCTTCACGAGGAACCTCAGCATACTCCAGCTCACCGTTCTCTAGAATGCGAAGCTGGGGCTGCGTCGGCTTAAAGATCTGCATGTTGACGGGGTTTGTGTTCAGCCACTCCTCCACTTGCTCCACCAGCAGCTGGACGGCCTGGGCCAATTCCGGGCTGCTCTCCTCCTCGGCACGAGACACGAAGAACTGCGTGCACTGAAGAAGCTCAGGTGTAGCACGATTGCACAGGTAGGGCTTGAACCACTCGAGGGGCGGAAGAGCAGACTCATCGGTAATCGTATCGACATTCTTGTTGATGAAACGCGTCATCGCCTCAAAGTGAGTGTTCAGACCTTCGTTCACAGCCAGCTTGGGGCTGACAGCAACGCCCTTCGCAGCAGCCGCAGTGCGGTAGTACAGCTCCATCGCATCCTGAACAGCCCAGTTCCAGTAGCTGTCGTACTGACGCTCCTTCTTCGCATCGAACTTGCCAGCAATACCAGCACCGTAGAACTCGCCGTGCTCCGTCACCCACAGCGACACCGACGACTCCAGGTCCTCACGCAAGTCCACCTCCGTCTCGATCTTGCGGTGCCAGTCCAACTGGTCATCGCCCAGGTACGAGTTCAACGCTTCCACCTGGTTCGCGATCATCGACTTCAGACGCTTTTCGAAGTCACTCGGCAGCGAGCTCGACTGCATCGCCGGCTGGCCCATGGCTGGACCAGCCATCATACCGCCCAGCTTAGACAGGTACGGGATGTCAATGCCAGCGAACTTCGCGTAGTCGTCCACGACGCCATCCAGCCACTTCTTCGCCGTCGCATCGTCCGTCAGGCGCTGCTTCGGATTCTGCGTCAGGCCGTGCAGCAGCACGCTTTCGATGCGACCGCTCGGCAGGCAACGCTCGCTCGACAAGTACTCCTTGATGGCCGACAGACCGAAACCACCGGGCATCTTGCTCGCCAGCATCTTTGCGATCAGAGCGCTCGTCACCTTGCCGGGCGACGCGTAGTCGGGGAACTTGCCAGCAAGCTCGACCAGCTTCATCTCCGCCACATCATCCGGACCCGAGCCGAACTCCTTCTCCAGGTCGCCAACGATCTCGTTCTGCACCGCAGACTTACCAGCGGACAGCTCCTTGATCGTGGCCGTCTCAGGGACCTCCGTGAACGCCTTGCTGAACTTAGCCGCGAGCATCACCAGCAGAGCGTGCTTCGCCTCCACGGGCTTGTCAGCCACCGTAGGGATCGACACCGGAGCCGGGTTGAACGACATGCCCACGGCGCCAGGCGCAGCAGCCATCGTCGGGCGGGCCAGTGAAATGCCCGCGAACGAAGCGTAGCCATTCACGCTGTCATCCAGCCACTTCCGCGCGTCCGCATCGCTCTTGAAACGAGCCTGCGGCGCAAGAAGCAGCGAGTGCGCCAGGACGCTCTCCATGCGGCCAGCTCCCAGACCCTTCTCGCCGCTCAGGTACTCCTTGATGCTCGACATCGTGAAGCCGCCGGGCATCTTGCTCGCCACCACCTTGTTGATCAGGCCGTTCGTCACCTTGCCCAGCGTGCTGTAGCCGGAGAACTTCGACGCCAGCTCCTTCAGCGGCACCTCGCCGGCACCCTCGGGGACGCCGCCACCGAATTCCTTCTCCAGGTCACCCAGGATTTCGTTCTGCACCGCAGACTTGCCGGCGCAAAGCGTCTTCACGTCCGTGTCTTCCTTGATATCGCCAAGGTCCTTGTTCAGGCGCACAGCAAGAAGCACACGCAGAACGTGCAGAGCAGCAACCGGCGCGTCTTCCGCAGCAGAAACCGACGCCGCAGGAGCGGGAGCAGGAGCAGCCTGCACCGGAGCCGCCGGCGCGACAACAACCGGAGCAGCAACCGGGGCCGGCGCCGCGGGAGCCGCCTCCGCCTTCGGAGCAGACGCAGCAGCAATCTTCGCAGCGGCGGCCGCGGCCTCAGCCGCAGCCTCGGCAGCCAGACCACGCGCGTACTCAGACGCAGAGATGTTCGACGTCTCCTCCTCGAAGTGGACGGCCTCGCGATCGCGCTGGTACCACAGAATCTCACGCGGCACGGACGGGAAGTCGCCAACCTGCAGAGTGCGCAGCGCCATGTTCGTCAACGTCGGAGCAGGGCCAATCTCCACGAAGCGGCGAACACCGCCCTCCGAGAACAGCAGCGCCTGCGTCTTGATCCACTGCACGGGCGACGCAAACTGGTACGCCAGCAGCTCCACCACCAGAAGATGCGCGAGCTGCGCCTTCGTCGTCAACTGCCACTGCATCGGGTCCAGCACCTCGGCCAGGTACGGGCTCTTCGTCGCCTCGTACACCTCCTCGAAGTACGAGCGCTCCAGCGAGAACGGAGTGGCCACCAGGTTCGGAATGTACCGGTTCACCAGAAGCGGCAGCTGGCGCTCCAGCACCTGCGGGTCGAACTTCGTGCGCAGCAGCGCGCGGAACGACGGCACACCGCCCAACAGCTCGCGCGAGTGGAACGGCACGTCAATACCAACCAGTGGGATCGTCGCCAGGCCTCGGGCCAGCGTGAACGGACGCCCGCTCTGCTCGCACTTCTCCTTGCGAGCGCGAGCCTGCGCCAGCGACTCTGCGATCACCTTCTCCACCTCCTCCGGAGCGGTCGACGTCACCGTCTTGAACGCAGACAACGCCAGCGACAGCGTCTCCAGGTTCACGTTCTCACCAGCAACCACGTACTGGCGCTGCTGGATGTTGAAATTCACCACCTGAAGGAGCTTCCCCGAAGCAGCCTCGATGCCGTCTACGACCTTGTACATGGCCTCCTCCGTGAAGTGGGGGCCAACACGAGTGGGGTTCGTGGCAACCATACCGTAGTCCGAGCGTCCCTCAGCGTCACGCTTCACAGCCTTCTGCATGATCAAGCCACGGAGAAACACAACCTCGACGACGTCTTCAACAGCCAGGGCACCAGCAAAAGAGCTGAGGCCGGCGTACTCACCAAGAGAGTGACCAGCGAAGTGAGCATCGTCGGGAATCAACTGTGCGGCCTCAATCTCAGAGAACATTGCCTTCTCCAGCAGCACCAGCGCAGGCTGGCTGAACTGGGTCGCGAACAGCAGACCTTCAGGGGCGGAGAAGCTGAAGCTCTGCGTGCGGGCGTTGATCTCCGGCAGCAACGGAGCAACTTCGCCAGTAACAGGGTCCTCACAGGTCAAGCTCATGTACTTTTCACGAATCTTGCGGCCCTTCTTACCGCCAAAGTGCACCGTAATGGACTTCGGGTTCTTGCGCACCATCTCCAGGATGGAGAAACCGAACGTGTTACGCAGGTGAACATCACCACGGTTCCAGATCTCGCGAGCAACCGAGGACTCCTGGTAGCGGTCCATGCCCATGTTCACCGCGGCAGAGCCCTGGCCAGTGAACACAAACGCCATCGGCGCCTGCTTCACCACAGCACGCGCGCTAACCACGCGCTCGCCGGAGCCGTTCACAACCTCCACCGACAGAACCTTCTTGCCGTTGTCGAGGCCGATGTGGCGCGCCTGCATGAACAGCTTGTCGCCCGGGTACACCATGCCGTCGAAGTTCACGTCGTAGTCCACGACGTTGCTGTCGAAACCCAGACCGAAGCTCTGGATGACCAGATCGCGCACCTTCGTCGCGGTCCACAGACCGTGCATAATCGGCTTGCCCTTCGGCAGGTGGCCCAGGATGGCGGCGTACTTCGAGCGGTGAATCGGGTTCAGATCGCGCGAAGCCACGGCGTACGCCAGCGCGTTCGCCGGCACGTTGATCTCCAGCGGCTTCTCCAGCATGTGCGAACCACCGTTCGCAAACATGCCACCGGCATTCGCGTCCGCCGGCTGCACCTGGCGCAGGAATGCCACCACGGGGCTCTCGTTCACCTCGGTGCTCTTGAACTCGACCGTGCCGATCTCCACCTTCGAGCCAGCCTCCTCACGGCACAGCACGCCCGACACCTCCACGGAGCTTAGCGAGTTGATCGACGCGTACTGCTTCTTCGTCATCAGCTCGAACGACAGGTGGTCACCGACGATCACCGAGGCCTCGGCAGCAAGCTTCAGCCACGACTTCGCCTTCAGGATCTCAACGTCCTCCTGACGCTTGGGCACGAAATCGTCCGTCGACTTGTCGATCGAGAACGTCGACTCAAAGTCATTGAACGAGCCGCGGATCAGGAACTCGCTGTGCAGCTCCACCAGCGGCTCCAGCACCTCCTCCATCTGCTCGTCCACCGTCTTGCGCGAGATGATGGCCACGCCGTGCACAATCTTGCCGCTGTCGATGATGCGCAGACTGCCGACGTTCGACGTGCTCACGATGTCGTCGCCAGGCAGGAACGTCGCGGACGCCTTGCGCGATGACAGCAGCTTGTACGAGTGCTTCAGGTGCACCAGGTCCAGCAGGTTGCCCTTCACCTCCTTCGTGAACACCGACTGGATCAGCGGACGCCACGACACGATCGTCGAGAAGTCGGCGGGAGCGCCCACCTCGTCCGCGCTGAGACCCAGCGCGGCACGGTACGCCACGATGTCCTCCTTCGTGATGCTGAAGTCGGCCGTGAAAGGAGACATCACGCTCTCCGCGCACGCAGCCTCGCACGACTCCTCTTCCTTGCCCTCGATGGCCACCCAGAAGCGGGCGTAGAACGCCTTCACCTTGTCGATGAAGCCGCTGCCCTCAGCGTGGATCGAGCACGACAGCTCAGGGTGGTGCTGGAACGTCATCTCCAGCGCCACGACGCCGGCCTTCAGCTCGGTCACCGCCGGGCGAACCTCGTTCACCACAACGGCAATCGCTGCGTCCTTCTTCGTGATCTCGATCACGGGGCCCGAAATGTCGATCGACCTGTCGAACACGCGAACGCCGGCGGCGTCGATCACGTACTTCTGGCCCACCTGGGGGACAAGAAGCTGGCGGACCGGATTCGCAAGCCACTTCTTCTCCTCCACCACGTGCGTCGACGAGATCAGCGCCTTCAGCCAGTCCTTGTCGCTCACGGACGCGGCGAGCGCCGCAAGCCATTCGTCAGCAGACGGAACGGCGCTCTCCTCCGTGGAGATCGACACCTCCACGCTGTCGTCGATCTCCGTGACCTCAACACCAGCGATGTCCACAGTCTGCTTGACGGCCGCAACCGGCGCGGCAGCAATCGCACCGCTCTCTTTCACAACGTTGATGAAGCCCGTGTTGATGCCTCCCAGGATGTCCGCCACGGGCTCGTTTACCACCGTGCTGTAGCGGACAGCCACGGGGCCCTGCAGGATGAACACGCGCTGCTCGTCGCACTCCGGCACCGCGTCCAAGTCCTCCGAGTACCACAGAGAGTCCTTCTTGAACCACGTCTTGAAGTCCGTGTCGATCGCAGGCACGAAGTTCACCGGCTTGCCACCCGTGCGACACAGCTCCAGGAAGAAGTCGCAGTCCGGCACCGACAGCAGCGTCGACACCGTCGCAGGGTACTTCGCAATGAACGCGCTCAGCGTTCCGCGCGGGTTCGACTTGAGCTCCGACTGGTCGAACAGCGCGCCAGAGCTCTCGCGGCGGAAACGCTCCTCCGTGCGCGTGATAAACTTGCTCACGCGCGAGAAGTACGTGTCGTGCACCCAGCGCTGCGGCTTGCCTTCCACCTCCACGTAGGTCAAGTCGACCAGGCGGGTCAACACGTCTCCGTACGACATCTCCTCCAGCTCCGCCGGGACAACCTCGCCCGTCTCGACGTTGCGCTTGCAGCCAAAGTACGGCTTCTGGTAGTCCGCGTTCAGGCGTGCGATGATGTCCTGCTTGTTCAGGCGGAGCGCCAGCTCCACCTGCTCGCGCGGGATCGAGAAGTACTTGTCGTCAAACTCCTTCCACAGCTGCGCGCAGCGGTTGGCCACCACGTGGATCGGCTCGCCCAGCTCCGACGTCACCGTGACAACGCCGCCCACGACGCCCGTGTAGCTCGTCTCCCACTCCAGCTCCGACTCGATACCAGGAGTGTCCACCAGCAGCTTCTTCACTGCCGGCGCGGTCGCAGCCTCCTTCGCGACCATCACGCGAGAGCCCATCAGGATACCATCCGCAGGCATCTTGTGTAGGTGGCCGCGCGCCAGACTCCACTCGCCCGTGAGGTACTGCTTCGAGTCCTCCCAGTTGCCGAAGCCAGAGCCCACCACCAGCAGCACGTTCGACACGCGACGGATGGCGGCGTACGTCTCCTCCATCGGCTGGTGGAAGTCCTCGAAGCTGTGGTGGCCACCAGCGCGGCCGCCAGTCCACTGCAGCATCACGGTCATCGATGGCATCGCCGCGGCAATCTCCAGCACCGCGTGGATACCGTCCACCGAACCGGGCTTGAAGCACACCACCTTGATGCCAACGGCCTCCAGCTGCGACATCATCTCAAGCGCACGCTCCTGCGTCGGGATACCGGCACCAATCGTGATGCTCTCGATAGGCACGCCGCTGCGGCGCATACGAAGCACCATCGGGAACTGGAAGCCCCACTGCTTCGCGTTCAGGTACAGCATATTGATCGCGATGCCGAGGCCAGGCTTGATCTTCGACACCAGCTCGTTCACCGCGTCCTCAAAGATGTTCGGGCGCGACAGACCACCCGCCGCAAGCTCGCCGTGGAAACCCGCGTTCTGGATAGCCGCAACGAGGTCGATACCTTCCAGGCTCGTCGTGGGCGTCATACCCGCGACCATGACGGGGGGCTTGTTCAGCGCGCGTGTGAATCTGTTGTAGAGCTTGCCCGACGCCGTCACCTGCGGGCCGAACTTCTTCGCCCACGTCGCCTCGGCCGGGGAGAAGGTCGGCGCAGCGTCGATGAACTGCTGCAGGCCGATGTGAGGGGCGTACTTCGTCGATGTGCTCATGACCGGGTGCTTGGCGGTCGCAATCACCACCTCAATGCCCAGACCTTCCGCGAATTTGTCGCTCAGCTTCGCCACACCGAGGTCGGGTCCAAACTCCAGCACGTGAGTCGCGCTCGAGTGGTGCTCCGCAATCTTTGCCCACGCCGCAGTCCAGTCCACGAGTTGCAGCAACTGCATGTTAATAAGTTCATCGACAACGTCGTCCACCGTCTGCAGGTTGGTCGCCTCCGCGTTCGTAGCGTACACGGGCACCTGCAGCTGGCTGCCCTTGATAGCGCACTTGACGCGCTCAACGTCCTGGACCAGCTTCGGCTTGGCCTCAGTCAGCAGCGGTGTGTGGAAAGGAGCCGACAGCGGCAAGAACGACAGCGAACCCGTGGGTTTCCGCTGCGAGTGCGGGATGCGCGTCTGGTTGGCGTCGGGCTTGGCGAACAGGCCTTCCAGCGCCTGCTTCAGCAGCGTCAGCGTCGCGGGGAAGCCCGTCACGTTCATCATGTCCGACGCGTTGATGAGCGACAGCTGCAGGTCGGGCGTCTTGGTGCGGCGCTTGGCCACCTCGATGGCCTTGAGCACGTGCTCTTTCTTGAGACCGCGCACGGCCAGCATCGGGCCGGCGTCCGCGATCTTCTTACCGTCCTGCTTGTACTGCGTCAGGAGCTGGTCGTACGCCTCCTGCGCGCGCAGTCCCTGCCAGAACATGTAGCGCAGGACGGAGACGCCGATCGCGACGAACTCCTCGGCCGTCTTGGCCGCAGAGAAGATGACGGCGCTCACCACGCCCTGGCTGTGGCCCACAGCCGTGGTGGAGCTCTTGACCACGCTCTCGTGGCTCACACCCGCCGTCTCGAGGAAGTTGAGGTAGTTGGCGCACTGCGTGAGCACCAGCAGCGGCATGCTGAAGTACACGCAGTCGAGCGCCAAGTCTGCGGGCGCGTCGCCGACCTCCAGGCTCTGCAGCCAGCTGTGCACGTCGATGGCCGCCTCGAAGGCGACGGAGGCCTTGGCCTCGTCGGTGCTGGACTCCTCCAGCAGCGCCTGCGCCGCGCTGTCGATGAACGCGCACGCGGCGCTGGTCTTGGATGCAGCATAGAGCTTTTGCAGCTCGGTCCAGTAGGAGATGCCTTGGCCGCCGAACTCCGGGATGAATTTATACTTGCCAGCGCTAACGGCGGCGGCCACCTTGGTCACTGGAGTTGCAGTGGCCGTAGTCGGCGTGGATGTTGAGGATGACGTGGTGGTCACCACTCTCCTGGTGCGCTTGCCCGCCTTGGTCGTCCTGGTGACGATGGTCTTCTTGGTCTGTTTAGGGCTGGTCATGGTCACGCGTGACTTCTTCTTGGCTTGGACGGACCGAGGACGGAGACCAGGACTGTAGATCCGGCGACGCTGCTGCTGCTGCTTCAGCGCCGGCGGCAAATTGGATTGTGATCCCGTCAGCTCGGCGCCAAGCGCGCGGAGAGCTGCTGGTCTTCAACGACGGTCATGCCATGCCATGCCGCGCCGTGCCGCGCTTGCTGAGGGCCGGCCCTCAGCAAGCCCGGTCGCCTCGGCGGCTCGTCTTCCGCTGCTAGGCACGCACAGCGCCATCTGGGTGACGCGGGTCTTGCCAATTCGTTGCATTGGCCGCTACGCTCGCGACCGCAGTCCTGCGCTTTGCGCGCCGTCGCGTGAGCTCCCCGCGAGTACTGTGCCAACGCAAGCGGGGGATCACCCAGGCCGGGAGCGAGACAGGACGCGCGGGTGGCTCACGCGCTGTCGACGACCTGAGCAGCGCGCAACGCTGGCCAGCTAAGGATCTTCTGAGCCGTGAGATTGGCCCGCCTCGAGGTATCCATCAGAGCGGGCGGGCGGTAGCGTTGCACCCATCGGGTCAGGTGCCCAACCCGCTGTTGTTATTTTGCGATGGGAAAGCAGGGAAATGGCAAGCTTGAAAATGCAAACCTGAGTGTTTTTGCATATGTGTTGGGCATGAGCGTACACGCAAGGCGGCGATTAGTGTGTTCGCGCGGGAACGAGTCCCATTGAGCGTGGTATGAACGAAGCTGAGGAAGCGCGCTGGCTGTAGAGTTGTTTTTTAGAGGGAAAAAAGTGATATTAACGTTAATATCAGTTAATCACAAAATTGCGCGCAGTTATTAATAATTAAAAGGCAAGATTTGGCTGAACCCATTTGAGGCAGCTATTCTGTATTTACAGCCATGCACTCAATTCTCAAAGGAGGACTCTATCAGGCAAGCGTAAGCCCCGCGAGGACCTGACGCAGAACCAGCGCGCCAAGGGCTATCGTCTTCGGTGCAGACGTACGTCGGCGCCGCGGCCTTACGACGCCTCTGATCCCGACGTGGACGCCGCCCCCTCGATCCTGACCTGGACGACGACGACTCTACCATCTGCGGCTAGCGCCATCTTCGCGCAGTACCCGTTGCACTACGTGTTGTCCCCCCCCCAAGGCACGGAGTTGGCCGAGATGAAGGAGGTGGGGCTGAGATCTGTGGATGGCCAGACCGAAGGACCGTGCTTGGGGCACCGCCGCCGTGGGCACAGCGACTGTGCCAAGGTGATCATCAGCGCCACGCGTGAACGCTACGTGGAGATGCTACTAGTCTGGTTTGGACAGTGCATTCTCGCCCGTGCTGGACATCGCGCTCTCGTGGCGGCGTCAGCACGCTCTAACAGTGCTGAACATGCTGTTTGGTACGCTGCTGCTGCTGCTGAAAGATTTCTCGCTACTCATGCTGGCCTACGGGGCGGCGGCTGTGCATCGTCATGTGCTGCGACTTCTTCCCGCTCCTGGTCGGCGTGGAGATGCCCATCCGATCGCTCTCGCAGTGCCTGCTGCGCGGCGGCCACAATGTCATCCTGCTCACGTATGCCGTTCCCGGACCCAAGGTCAGAGTGGGCCCGACGGCGCCGCCAACACCCCACTCAGCGCGCGGATGGGCGTTACATGACAAGCTGTACTACCTGCCGGTGATGCGCTTGCTGGACATCGTGACGTACATGACGTTCGTAGGCCACTTGGCGCTGTTCCGGGCCATCCGCGTCCGCGAGCAGGTGCGGATCGTGCATGGCCACCAGGCCACGTCCACCCTCATGCACGAGTGTCTGCTGTAGACCAAAGCGCTGGACCTGGGCGTCAAGACCGTGTACACGGATCACTCGCTCTTCGGCTTCGTGGACGCTGCCAGCGTCCTTCTCAACAAGATCATAAATTTCCTCGTGTTCTCGGTGAACACGGCCATCGGAATCTCGCACACGTGTCGCTAGAACCTCGTGCTGCGTGCGTCATTGCGCGAGGGGCTCGAGAGTGGGTTTACACGGCTGCTGCTCGAGGAGATGCTGGAGAAGCACCGACGGCACTACTGCGTGACGCTCTACGGCGCCGTGCCCGGCTTCAAAGTGCGCGACGTACTGTGTCAAGACCACATCTTCCTCAACCGACAGCTCGCTGGCCAAGAGAGCCTCTACTTCACGATTCTGGAAGCTGCGAAATACGAGCTTTCCGTGGTAAGTACGCACGTGGGCGTAGTGTGGGAAGTGCTACCCCCCTGACGTGGTGCAGTTCACAGCGGACATCACGCCTGAGGCGCTCGCGGAGGCGGCGCTGGCCGCGGAGCTTCGACTGGCGGGCGTGGATCGACAGGACTTCCAACGCGCTTGAAATGCAGCTCGTGCCATTCCCCGATTTGCGTCGTGATGGCGACTCCACTGTACGACCGCGTGACGGTCGGTTCCGACCTCATTGGCAGTGCGGCTGCCTACGACGCCACGAAAGAAGGCAAGTGCGAGCTGCTGCTGGAGCATTTATGAGCTGATGCATGACAAGGGCTCGAGCCACGGTACCAATCGCACCTTCCGCGTGGCCTTCCCCAACGACACGGACACAGAGCTGTATCTGACGTCGCTGCAGCTGTGCTGTGCGATCGAGAAGAGGTGTCTTCGCGTTCGGCCGGCTGGACGGCCTCGTCCTCCTTGAGAGGACTTTGAAGAAGTGCAAGGTGCCGTTCGAGTCGCGGACTGGCGCTCAAGTGAATCAACGCTTCTTGGCTTCTCATTGCCCGACAACAGCCACGCGGTGTACAACGCACGGACGGGGGTGCTCAATTCGCTGTTGTAAATGGCCACGACGCAGACGTTGCTGGGCGCGAGTATTCGTAAACGCAGAAGAAGGTGTGTGCCCTGCCCGACACCTCGCTACTCCATCGTCTGCAGCTGTATCATGGAATCGGCTCAGTATGGGGGGTGTTGGCTTGCGTCATTGCTGTGGATTACATTTGAAATCTTAATCGAGAATAGCACTCTACATGTGATATCGGTGTGTGTTCGCAAAGCGTGTGTTATATTGTGAACGTTAGTGCGCCTTACGCTCAGAAGCAAAGCGTTTATTGTTGTGAAGGCAAGGACTAAAGAAATCGATTACTGCGAAATGTCCACACTCACGACTACGTCCAAGAGATACTCGAACCCCATGTCGTTAATGTCAAACAGAGAATCTTCAGCTTCTTGCTCGTCACTGTCGCTGTCACTGTCGCTATCGAGCTCTATCGGCCGACGAGAAGTCTTGTACAATGGCAGTCGAGTTGGTTTCGCATCTCCGTTGTTCGTGTAGATGAACGACAACTTCTCGACTGTTGCGACCTTGAGGCGGTTTCGAAGCTTGCTGTATGTAAATCCTTGCACACTCCACAGGCGCTCACTTGCTGCAGACGAAGTCGGGATGCTCAAAATTTTCTCTGCGAACTTGTGAAGAACAGGAAATTGGTCGTCGAGTGTCCACCAGTCCAGTGGTGAGTCCTCACTAGCAGCCTCCCTCTGAGCAGCAGTCCAGTTCTTCTTCGTCTTTACAAAAGATAGCAGCGATGCGCGAAACTGAGCTGAGCTCACGTCGGGTGGGAGGCCAAAACGCTCGGCAAGCTTTACAGCGGAGCGTACCGCCTTACGAAGCGGACTGTCTTGAGGGTCGGGTATAGCTTCGTTGATAGGGTAGCTTCCGTCAGAACTGTCTCCGCTCGATCCGACACCACCACTGCCGTCAAGGCTACCGCTCGGTAAGTTAAAGATGTCCTTGGACGGATCCAGCAGGTATGCTACCGTCGTGGAATCGGACGGTGGACGAATGAAGTCCCATCGACTAGCAATCAGCTTGCGAATTTCATCTTGAACGGAGCTGCCGGCTAAAGCTGCGATACCTTCAGTGAACTCTGGCGCCTGATACAGCCGAAGAAACTCGTGCAGGATCATTGAGTTCGAACAAGCATCCGTCTCCAGGACAGCTAGTGCTCGTGTAACCGGTTTCGTCAGCCGAACGACAACCTTCGCCTTGATCCAAAACTGCTTATCGTTGACAATACCTTGAACTTCGTCCAGCTTCACCTGACTCTCTTTGTCCGTGTAGTGCTTCATAAGCTCCGAGTCCGCCAAAGCTGCCGTCAGCGTTGTCTTGTTGCGAACGACGCTCTTGATGCATTTTTCTTGAGCGTACCATCTCGTTGACACAGGGACCGCTAACTCGCCTGCCCTTCTGGCTTTTTGTAGCTGGCGCCGGTAACGCCGAACTTGATCGAGCAGCAGGTGTCTAGCGCGCACAAATTGACGATCTTGATGGCCTTCTTCAGCACGTCTCCAAACAACTTGATCTTGAAGATATCCTTCAGGAGGAGCAGGTTCATGGCGTGAGCCGAGCATCCGTTGAAGACCACGTTTGGGTGCTTAGCTTCAACCAGTCGGCCAGCCTTTTTCATGTTGGCTGCGTTGTTCGACACAATGGCGGAGACTTTGCCAGCGCCGGCCACACCTTCTACCTCAGCAATGACTCGCAGAAGCTCCGATGCCATGTAGTCCCCCGTGTGTGCCTCAGAACCCGTAGTACCCGGTGACCACATCATTGGACGCATGGCGGGTGACCACAACACGTAGTTCACGATACTCTCGCGGTTTACGTTGGACCAGCCGTCAGTGATGATAACCAGAAGCGTTTGCTTTGAAAGAAGCTCAGCCAGGTTGGCCTTCTCCAGTTCATAGGCTTTAACGAGCAGGGTGGTCGCTAGCGCCTGCCGGGTTGGGAGCTTCAACGCAGGAGTCAGACGCTTAAACAGCTTGCGCATGTACGCATTCTCGATCGCGCGGAACGGGATTCCAGCAGTGTAGAAGACCATCGCGATGTCCAGATGAATGCTTGATTCCTCCTCCTTGCTGAGTACGATTGGCGAATTTGTTGCTGGAGAGCCACTGTAGCGCTTGTGCGGCGGCTCTTCGACGGCGAAAACATCCCAGGCCTTGCCTTACGCTTCTTCTGCGCGTCGTACGTTGCCCAGGTGGCCTTCGTTGTCGCTGGGGCTCTGGAGCAGAAGCGGATTTGTGGATAGAGTTGACGGCCGGGCTGGGCATTCATGATCAATGCACCGCAGTGACGGCACGACACATCGCGGTGGGGCTTCGTCGGCTTGGACTTCGGGACGACGACATCGAACTCGCCCCATACAGGGTCGTCCTTGCGGCCCATCGGAGTCGCGGCCCAGTTGTAGAGGACTTGTGTAGCCCGTAGGAAGTTGACTTGTGAAGCAAAGACTTGCGGGGATTTCGAGACGTGCTGCGCGCAGCGTACGAGTAAGGAGAAGATGGTGGATATGGTCGAGCAACCTAAAGTCTACACTGTATGCCCTTGGCAGCATTCCCCTGCACTCAGTCAGACAGCGCGGGAAACCTTAAGCGCGTCCCACATCGAGGTATTCGAAGCGCTTAAAAGTGGAGTGTGTGAAGGTCAACTTCAAGGGGATAAGTACCTCGATAATTACGAAAGTGACCGCACCATTTTTCCTCTCGCAGAAAATAATTAACGTATTTAACGTTAAAAACATTGTTTGCAATCATAGCTATTAACTCATTTTTAGCAGCATAACAACTCTAGCTGGCTGTATTGGCGGCGGTCTCCGCCTGATCCGGGGATGCCACAACTACAACTACTGTCACTGTAGTACAGTGTTGCAGTTTGTTTGGGGAAAACGTCAAAAGGTGTATGAATTTGAAACGTTTTGTCAAAAGCGGTTAACATGTGTCAATAGGCGTATGTCGGGGTTATCAGTATCGACAGTAAGTGTATGAAAGGTAACTCGTGTCACAACGTGTATGAAAGCTCACACGCCAAAGTCACAACATGTATGCCAATGCAAATGAATGGCTAGGACTCCGATGAAAACGGGTTCAGGCTCAAACCCGGCAAAACCCGGAGTTCTGTGGGCTTCTGCATGTCTTACAAATTCTGATTCACGGCTTTTAAGCCGTCAGTAGCGGATATTCCGACTGAGGGACAGCAATGAGTGTCGACGCAGATGACATCAGCGACGACGGCGAATCAAGTGATGTCGAGACTCTAAGCATCGGGATGACATTCGAATCGGGCACAGATGCGCTACATGCCGTTCAAGACTATGCGCTTGCTCACGGGAAGGCGGTCAAGGTCAAGCAACGCAGCGGAATGCATCGGTTGATTGGCTGTACTGCGGAAGGCTGTACGTTTTGGGTTAAAGTCTACCGGAAGCGGCGGGCTGATAAGACGTACGGGCCGTGGTACATATCGTCCATGAACACGGAGCATGTAAACTGTGTGTCCAGCGCCAACCCAACCAGGCGCCAGATTGCCGAGCTCCCAACTTTCGAAAGCGCGGTTAGAGCTGACTACACCATCTCAGCACCAGCGTTGGCAGAGCAGGTTCAGCACAGAGACGGCATTTCTCTTCAGAAGAAACGAAGAACTCTCTACCGAGCCCGCGAAGCTGTTCATGAACTTAGTTCGAAGAATCTTGCTCGATCGTACGAGAAAATACCCAGCTACCTGGCGCAATTTGCTGCACGGAATCCCGGAAGCGTCGCCGTGGCCGAACGAGACCAGCAAGGCCATTTCAAGCGAGCAATCATTGTTGTGAAGGTATTCGCCGACGCTGTTGCCGCACGCCAAACCGTTCTTGGCGTCGACTGTAGCCACTCCAAGTGCCCAGCATACGGCGGTATGCAAATGCACCTGGTTGGACGTGACGGGAACCTTCGGAACTTGACGTTTGCGTTTGGACTGGTGGAGGCAGAAGATGTGGAGAACTATACGTGGTTTTTTCTCGATGTTGAAGCAGAATGGGTACGACTTCACGGAGGTTCCTATGTTCTGTGATCGCAGTAGAGCTCTAATATCTGTTGCTCTCGAGATGGGACTCAATCTCAAGTACTGCACCCTTCACATCATCCGGAATCTACTCGCTCGTTTTCGTAAGTTCACGCACGGGCACAAGAAGCTGATATGGGCCTTGCAAAGCGCGGAGACGGAACCCCTCTACTCAAGTCGCCTGGCGTGGATTGGCCTGGAGTTGGGCCCAGACGTCGAAACGTACCTGTCTGATATTCCAACCGTTCGTTGGTGCGTCTACGCAAACGTTGGAGTTGTGCCATTGTACGGATGGCGAACGTCGAACTTCGTGGAGAGTGTGTTTGGCTCTCAATTGGTCAAAGGAATGCGTCGTTTGCACCCTTCTGGATTTCTGCAAGCAATGTGTGGTAGCTTCGTCGACGAATGTTTCCAGCGCTCCCAAAACGCTGATTCCTGGGGCGAGAAGAAGCTTGTGCTGACCCCTTCCGCCGAGAAGTTGCACTGTAAACAAAGCTCGAAGATTGGGCAATACGCTGTTCAACAAGCCTCACCTGAAGTGTACTACGTGCACGCTACGGATGCTGTAGTACGTATCCGGCGCCGGGTGAACCTGCAAGATCGAACGTGCACGTGCGCTCGCATGGATCAGATGGGAATGCCTTGTCGACACCTCATCGCTGTGCTTGAAGTTCTGGTAAGTTGTCGGAAGTTTTTTCTTACTTCCAGCCATGCTACAAGGTTTCAACATACCAGGATACATTTAAGGAGCGCGCGGTCTTTATTCCCATTGAGACGGAAGTTACTTGTGACGCGGGGTGGCTGCCAGCTCGACACATTAAGAAACCAGGTCGCCCTAGAACCAAACGCATCCGGAGCAGTGGCGAAGAAGGCGGCGGAACCTCTCAGCGCTGCTCGCAATGCCACCAAAGAGGTCATAACAAGCGCTCGTGCACTGAGCAACTCGACGATTAGAAAATTCAAAGTAACGTCCCTCAGTCGCTATTGAACCTTAATGACGTCAGGTTTGCTCCTTACATGATCGCTGCATACATTGCCACATTCCTCCACTCCGCAATTTTGAATGAAGTCCCTCAGTCGCTATTAAACCTTTATTGAACCATTCTTGCTTCCTACACGATCTATATGCAATTTGCTACATTTATAAACTCCGCAAATTTTGAATGGAGTCCCTCAGCCGCTATTAAGCCTTAATCAAGTGAAGCTTGCTTGCTTCATAATCTATAAGCAATTTGCTACAACCTACCACTCCGCAAATTTTAAAAGAAGGCTTTCTCGTTAATTAGATCGGACCTTCATTCATCCAAGAAATTTGAACTTATGCATTCGTTGACTGTGTATCCTGTCCAACTAGTCCGAAGTCCCAACTAGTCCGAAGTCATACCGGTAGCAACCGTGCCATTTCCGTCTTCGCTGAGCTCCTCGTCAGACCCACCACGACAATCTTCGGAACCACACAAACATGTAAACCAGAGCTCATCCCCGTAGTCAACAGTAACTTCGGACCCCGCACCAATGTCTTCCATCGCCACCACCACGACCGTAACGAAGCGTCGATTCTGGACTTCATAGAATTTGCAGTTTGCTTCGCACGAATGGTTCATGAACCGTGCGGTGTTCCCTTTGTCGCGGGCCTCGATCCACAATTTTTGTCTGCGAGTCGAACGTGTCTCGAGCCCAATTGTATAGTCGCTGATTCGCTTTTTGTCCTTGCTGTAGTCGTGTGTGGTGAGAACGCCTGCACTATAGCATCCTCAAAGATTTTCTCGGTCGTAAAAACAGAATATCCAACATCCCCGCTGGCCAATCGCAGCCCGTCCAGAGTCCGCAGACGATTGCCGCAGTATTTGCCGTTCAGACAATTGTTTCGGGCGCAGAAAATGCTAGTTACAGCATTGGGGCATGTGTCGGGCCGACAAATGAACTCGCAACCGCACCAATCCATCGATCCCAAATCTGGAACAGCAATTTTGCATGGATTTTGTGTGTGTGCGTGATCTCCTCAACTTGCTCTGGCCAGGGAACAGCATCAGCTTCTATATACAGGTGCGGTGTAACCGTATCAGGACTTGGCTCGGTACTTAGCGTGATTTTGAATTTTCCTCTGGCTCTGATTCCATATCTCCCTCGTAGGCATCATTGTCACCAAAATGATCCTGCACCTCGCCATCATCCGTTTTCTTCTTTCCCACCACCGCTGTGAGCGGTCCGTCCAAGGACGACCGTATGTCTGCATCTTCTATTTTGTCCACTAGACTGTCGTCCTCGTTGGGGCTGTTGTCGCTGTCATTACTCGATAAATCGATGCAAATAACTTCTGGGCTGATAGGCGAGCGTGGAGCTTCATCCGCGACGGTTCTGGTATTTTCGACGAGCGCAGCATTCGATAGACGCCTCTCTTCAGCTCCAAACAATTCACCGCTGCATGTCTCCGAGTCGCTAGAACTCGATAACCTCTGGTGGTAAAAGTGGTGAACCACTCTGGTCAACATGACCCACACCAACGCTGTTTGTAAGCTCGTTTCGTGTATTCGTACCGATGGTACTAGCACTAAGCTCCATTTCTTGCTTGTCATCATCACTGGTGCCGTCCAAAACGATGACATGCAGAACCGGAGATCTAGCACAGGAGGTAGGAGGATCTGGACCATTACACCTATCTGCTCCGCGCGGTTCACTGTCCTCTTCTTCATTGGTCAGGTCGACCAAATCTGCCATGGCGCGAAGCGCCTCATCCTCATGGCGAGACTCCGCCACTGTCTTGCCCACCCGCGATATAAATGGCCCTGAGTAGCATGCACCCTTGGAGAAGGTCTTGTACTTGCTCAAAGGCGCGACTTTTATCACGCCACAACGGTACGCTCGAGCCGAGTCACGCACAGGAGCTCGCTGTCGCATGTGGTGCCTTTTGCGCGACTTCGCCTTGAAGTAGCCTGTCTTAGTAGTGCGCGCGACGTGCGAACGACGCTCGTGCTGCGCGTACGTCGGTGGGGCTCGCTTCCCAGACACCCGAGTCATAGCCGCTCGTCTCTCAGTCGGATGATGTGGGAATGAGATGTGCTTTTAGTCCGAATGGTTCCTAACGGGTCGGGTCTCAGTGGTATTACACCGGGTTTCGACCCGGTTGCACTGGCTATCAACTAAACAAGTGTCAGTACGTGCATGTCGTTCAAACGTGACCAGGCAAGCGTTGCTGGCGCTGTGAGGCACCGCTTCTGACAAACGTTTCCCCAACGCATACACCTTTTGACGTTTTCCCGTTTGTTTGCCCAGCAACGCAGCTACGAATCCTTTCGTATTCGCTAGCACGAAGTCCAATATGGTGCCCATGCTCGGTGTGAAAGCTAAAGCTTGGTGAGATGGGAAAGAAGGATCACGTGCGATAACTTAGCGTAGTTTGGGACAAAGTTCATACTCCCGCGAGTCGACATTTTGTTATCATCTGTGAAGGTGCATTCGGTAGGATGCGTGCATGAAGACAGCAGAGCAAAGCTCCCAAGCCTCTTATTAACCGCCTCAAGCAGTTGTTTGATAAGGTTTAGATTCTGTGCCTTGCAGATACGGGCTGCAACAGCACGAGACCTTGGTGGTTGCTGCCACAAAAATCATAAAGGCGAGCTTGCTTCAGACGAGGGTTTGAGCGAATTACACAAGATTCAACGGCTCATGCTGCTGTACTTGTAAACGAGATGTTGATCATCTCTCACCATCAACTTCAGTCAGCCCTCAGTCACGGTGGCTCGAAGCGTGATACTGTAATACATGTAATGTCGTGCTCGCTGGTGGTAAGGTGGAAAGGCACATGCATCCCGAAGCAACATAGCAAAGCTCCAATATCTTGATGCCAACTTCATTAGAGCTGATGTAGCGTCCTTAAGCGCAATTTTTTTTTAAATAGGAATTTGTTACCATATGACGCATGCAGCCAAACACGCAGCCACGCCGACATTGCAGGACCCACCCCGTGCCACCCGCTACAGAGAGGGATCCATAGTTGCAATCCAGCCGCGCAGCCGCTGATCCCCAAAATGACAAAATGACAACGACACGTCTTGCTCTCAAGCCGAACTTTGAGACAAAAGCCGCAATGCAAGGTCAACTCTCAGGGAAGATCGGTGAAAACTTTCAAGAACCCGCGCATGTTGTCCTTTCGTCTCCGCTACAGTAGTATTCGATGCCATCGAATCGATGATGCCGACGATACAGAACTCTGCCTGAATACCGAACGCCTGATATATATAAGGGCTCTAGGTTTATAAAGTGATCTCAGCGTTACCAGAGAATAGGATGTACTGAATTAGTTAATCTTAGACGGGATTTGACGCTTGCTTAGTTAATCAAACCCGAGTAAAGCAAACCTTGCTGTGGTGTTCCAAGTGAAGCGCAGTGCTGAGTTGTTTCAGCGCTGGCCTTCGACCAAGCGTGTTCGAACCACATCAGTGCGGTTAGTAGCTCAACTTTGTACTACTCGTAGAGGGCTTAGCGGGTAGTGCGCAAATGTGAAAGTGGAATCGTAAATACAGAGAAGATCGCACAGACAATCAAAAGGGCGCCAATTTTCAAACTGCACAGCTTAGTACTTTTAGCCAAACAAAGGTATCCTGGATTTTTACATCAGTACCTTTTGCCCATCTCCGTTCGTCCTGTTGTTGGACCTTGAAGTATTATTTATATGAGGTTATGTATTGTATACCCGTTCGGTATTGAGGCAGATTTCTGTACCAAGTCAACGAAGGCAGGAAGTTTGCATGATTCGGAACACAAGCTTTCAATGATAATGCAAAGGGATGCAATTCCTGTTCTACAAAGTTAATTACGCAGCGGTATATACAGCATGAAACATGCAATAGTGCAATATGAAAACTACCTATGTCACGAGGGCTTACTCCTGCTGGAAGCTGGCAACAGCCTGGGACACCGCGAAGTCGCCCGAGTGGCTGATCGACACGCTCAGCTTCGACAAGCTCAGACGGTTGAACACCTGCAGCGGGTAGCCCGACAGCAGCACGGACGGAGCGCCTGACGCCGTCATGAAGATCTCGATCTCGCGCAGCGGGGCGCCAGCTCCCTTCCACAGGTTCGGCTCCGTCGGCGAAGAGCTCGAGATGGCCTTGATCACAGCCTCCTTGGCGGCCCAGCGACCCGCGAAGCTCGCGGCCGGGTGCGGCGCGCTGTAGCAGTACGCCATCTCCTGGTCCGTGAAGTTGCGGCGGATGAAGTCCTCGCGGCCATTCAGGTTCTCGAACGTGGCCACCGGCTCCACGTCCACACCCATGCCCATGTTCTTGGACGCCAGACCCAGGTCGGTCGCCGCTTGGTTGATGGCAGTCAATAGCGTCGACGACGAGTCGGCCGAGTGCGTCTCCGTGGTCTTCTTCGAGGCCGCCGCCGCCGCTTCCGCAGCAGCCTTCGCCTTCTTCGCGCGCTTCTCCGCGCGCTGGCGGCGGTTCTCCTCCGCAGTGAGCGAGTCCGCGCCGCCAAAACGCCACGTCTTGGACGTCGCGTCGTACTCCGCGCGGGCCGTCGGGTCCAGGTACACGTTGCTCTCCTGCGCCGACGAGTACGGCGCCTCGTTCTTCACCTGGATGTGCGCCTGCTTGCCCGTGATCACGCCCTGCACGTGCGTGTTCATCTTGATCAGACGCTGCTCGCGACGAGCAGAGTAGTGCTGGAACTCCTCAGCACCCAGCGTCGACAGCAAGTAGTCCGGGTGCACCAGCACCACCTCGCCACCGGCCTGGCCGAAGCCGAAACTCTTCATCAGCACAGCCTTGATGCCCACCGTCTGGTAGCTACGGTTCGGGTACACGAGGTGGTCGTACTTGCGCAGCGTCGCGCACGTGTTGTCCAGCTGACGGTTGCCCGGGATCAAGCCCGTGTTCAGCACCTGCAGCAGGCCGTTCAGCATCCACGCAGCAGCGGCACCCTTCGGGTGGCCCGTCAGGTTCTTCTGGCAGATCACCGGAAGCGGGTTGCCCGCAGAGCGGCCCAAGTGAGCCATCTGCTTGTGCGTCACCTCGCTCTCGTTCTTGTCGTTGGCCTTGGTACCCGTGCCGTGGAAGCTAGCAGCGCCCAGGTCGTCGATATCCAGGTTCCACACGTTCAGCGCACCGCGAAGAGGAGCAATGTCCGTGCGGCCATGGTAGAAACCTTCTCCCCACATTGCCTGAGCGGCCTGCACCTTGCGCACCTTCATCTCATCCAGGAACGCCACACGAGACTCGTCCCCGTCGATCAACGCCTTCTCACGCGCATACCACTTCTCAATGCTCTCCAGCTCGTCGTCGAACTGACGGCGACGGAACTCCACGTCCAGCAGCGGGGAAGGCTTCGAGTTGTCCGACGTAGCCTCGCGCGCCGTCGTCAGAATGCCCTGACCAGGAGCCGGCACAGAGCGGCCGTTCTTGTCCGTTGCCGTATTCGTCAGCGCCACAATACCATAGATCGGCAGACCCATTTCAAGCGCGAGCTGGGCATCCATCAGCAGCTGAATACCAGCGCCATGGCTCTCCATGAAGCCACCACGCGTCGTCGAGCACGGACGGCACATTTCCTTGGGCTCACGACCCATTCCAGTCTCCTTCACCGAGTCACTCGTCGCCTTCATCTGCGCGAACTCGAACGCACCCTCCTCACCGAAATCGTCGTATCCACCAACGATGCAAATGCGAGCCTTGCCGCTCTTGATCGTCTCCGCACCGATGTCCACAGACTCAGCAGCCGTGGCACAGGCACCCACTGGGGTCTTGATCGGGCCAGAAGAACTCAAGAGCAGCATGTTCACCCATGCCGGAGGCGTGTTGATGAAGCACTCCTGCAGAGCGTCACTCGGAGCCGGCTTGCCAAGAAGGCGGTTCTTGTAGATCTGCGTGAATGCTCGCATACCACCCATTCCACCACCGGACGTGTTACCGACTTCCGACACGTGCACGTACTGGTAGAACTCGTACGGGTCTGTCACACCAGCAGCAACAAACGCGTCCATCGTCGATGCCAGCACGTACAGCGTAATAGGGTCCACGGCATCGGCAAGGTCCTTTGACAAACCAAGACGCTCCGCGCTCCAGCCCGTCGGGATCTGGCCAGCAACGAAGCGGTCGAAGTTGAGCGCACGAGGAATGTTCAGCACAGAACCCTTGCGCAGGCGAATCATCCACGCGCCGGACGCGTTCTGGAACACGTCCACGTTCTCCTTGCCCAGCTCCTTGCGAAACTGCAGAGCCTCCTCGCGGTCGGCCACCTCGATGGGGGACATCTTCTTGTCGATGGCCACCTGGTGCAGCACCATCTTGTTCTTCGGGTCGTACCCGTCGAACAGCTCAGGCTCAACGATGCGGATGCCCGAGTGTTTCAGGATGTCCTCCTCGTAACGCGGCTTCACCTGGTGGTCCGGCACGATCTCTGAACAGACCCCGCTGTCGGCTCTGCGTGTGGGTGAGCTGATCGTGGAGGCTGGCTTCCCCAAGGGTGTGGTGAACATTGTGCCGGGTGTTGGTGCCGAGGCCGGTCGCCACCTGGCCCAGCACCCGAACGTCGACAAGGTCGCCTTCACGGGCTCTACCGAGGTGGGCTACCAGATTATGCGCACTTCGCACGTGAGCAACCTCAAGCGTGTGACGCTGGAACTCGGTGGCAAGTCCGCCAACATCATCCTCGACGATGCTGACATCGACCTCGCCATCCAGCAGTCGCAGCTGGGCCTGTTCATGAACCAGGGCCAGTGCTGCATTGCCGGCACGCGTGTGTACGTGCAGGAGGGCATCTACGACGAGTTCGTCAAGCGCACGGTGGAGGCCGCGAATGCTCGCGTGGTCGGCGACCCGTTCGACCCCAAGACGGACCAGGGCTCGCAGATCGATGAGACTCAGTTCGAGAAGATCCTTGGTTACATTGAGGAGGGCAAGAAGGAAGGTGCCAGACTCCTTGCTGGTGGCAAGCGCCACGGCAACAAGGGCTGGTTCATTGAGCCCACCGTGTTCGCCGACGTCACGGATGACATGACCATCGCTCGTGAGGAGATCTTCGGCCCCGTCATGTCCATCCTCAAGTTCAAGACCATCGACGAGGTCATTGCTCGCGCCAACGACTCCGTCTACGGCCTGGGCGCTGGTGTGGTGACCAGCAACATCGACAACGCCATCAAGATCTCCAACGGCATCCGCACGGGCACGGTGTACGTGAACTGCTACGACGTGTTCGACTCGAACACTCCGTTCGGTGGCTTCAAGGACTCTGGCATCGGCCGCGAGAATGGCGAGCTGGGCCTGCGCAACTACCTGGAGCACAAGACGGTGATCATCAAGCGCCCCGAGGAATCGATGCCCTAGGCAGTGTGCATTTGATGTCTCTAGTAACAGTAACGTTAGCAGCTTTCTAATGGGAAAGCCACACTCGCGTCCGAATACACGTACGCATTGAAGTCTTTCCGACAGTGTTCTGATAGATAAATGGAAGGAACATCGGTAGTAAGTACACATGTACATGTACTAGCTGCTATCCTGGGTAAGGGTTAATATTGTTCTCACATGAAAAGCAATGATAACGCTGAAATACGGGGTGCCTCGACTCGAGGTTACGCTCCGTAAGGGGTGGCTGGTGCTGGTTCTCGGTCTGGGAGCGAAGGGGTAGGCAGGCGAACTACTCGGTTTTGACTCTGTCTGCTTTTTGTCCAAAATGAAAAAAACATAGGCACTTTACTCAAAACCCGAGAACCACCTCGGCGATTGAGTTCTCGGGTTCTTGGAGAATTGGCTAGGTTTTGTTCATTTTGGACAAAAAGCAGACAGTCAATACCGAGTAGTTCGCCTACCCCTTCGCTCACCGGGCCGAGAACCAGCACCAGCCAGCCTGACCAGCCCTAACGTAAAATGACTTGAATAAAGAAGCCCTGATAGAAGTCCGTTTGGATATTATTAAATAATTTAATTCAGACCCGGACTAAAAATAATAAAACTAACAAAAACTTACAAAGTCGTGCTGTGCACGAAGAAGCTCTGAAATTTCGCCTGTGAAGTCCAAACTTTTAATTTCAATGTGCTTTCTTGATGCAACTCAAGGTTTCCCCAGCTTTAGGTACTCGCCATTTTCTGGCAAAAAATCGATTATGCTTGTGGCGTTCGTCACTTGCTGACATATTGACTACAGCTAACCATGAAATAGGTTATGACTTCAAATTAAATGTAAACGATATCTTCACCAGCCAATACTTAAGTATGAAGGAGAGCGCAAGTTTTTTCGGCATTGAGTTGAAACACGCTGTCCAGTTGCTCTCCATTGAAGCTTTCAATGAGCAATTACTGCTTCAGGTCTTCATCGAAATCCTGCGTCTTTGAAACCAAAACAGACTGTCAACTGCTTGTAAAACATCAACTTGAGTCGTCGGCCTCGTACGAGTGGCAAATGTGCAACAGCGGCGGCGCCGTGCCCAGAATAAGCGGCGTGACGGGGTACCCCCCTTCATGGTGTTCACGACACCAGTGTAGTCGTCCGCCTTGCTGCCCAGCGCCAGATTGTCAAAGGTGTACGTGGGTTCGAACTCGTAATTCTTGGTGCCGAGCGGCGTGTGTCTCCTCAGTCTGCGTTTCTCCTCGCCCTCCCCAAGTCGGCGATGGTGGCAGCTCCCCCTCTTCATGAACTAATCCACAGACTGGAACAGTGGGAGCGCCACGGCCCGCAGCTCGTCCGAGTTGTCGCTGCTGTACCCCGAGCTGCCGAATCTGAAGCTCACGCGGCCCACAACCCTGTAATAACCACCGCTACGTTGCACGTGAACACGCCGGGCACGCTGCCCGCCGGCAGCTTCTCGCTTACGTTGACGGGTTCGCGCGGCGCCCTGTTGAAGCCATCTGCACCTGAATCCAGAACATGTGGCACTTGCCGGCGATCTGCGCCGCGTAGCTCGAGCTGCGTGCAACGAGGAAGAGCGTGCGCTCTGCCAGCGCCTCAAAGGCGATGGGTGTGCGCGAGTTCATATCCATGTCCTCGCGCTGGCGGCGCTGCAACTCCTCGTCGTCGTCTTCGTTGTGCTGGTTCTGATCCTGGTTGCGCTCTTGCTCGGGCGGTGACGCGGCCAGCAGCTCGTAGTCGCCCTCAGCGGGCGTGCCGTCCTCCAGAGCGGGCAGCTCCTGCTCCGGCATGTCTGCACCGAGCTGCCTACGCGATTGAGGCCATGCAGCGTCGCCGTGGTGTCTGCAATGGCAGCGGAAGGGGCTGCTCGGCGAATGAAGATCGGGTTGCGTCCCATGGGATAAATTGAGACCTATTAATTAGAAAAACCCACGCAATAAATTACCGTTTTAATTACTTACATTCGCATGTAGCGCGAAGATGGACGCGTCGCCGACAGGGTCAACATTAACGTGGGTGATTCATATAGACTAGAGGTATACGATATTAGGAGTTTTTCATAATGCAGTGGCTCAACAACTGTTTACTTTGTAGACTTATGTATAATATTTTCGGACAACCAGACCCTTTAAATTGCGATGGCTGTGTTTTTTAACAAAACAATATTATGAAGTTTGAGAAATGGGTGACCCGACCCGCCAGCTAATGAAGCATTCGAGCAAAGAGGTTGATGCTATACTCTAATATATCAAAATGGCGCGGAAAGTGGTAACACCGGTAGACTCTGAAATAAATTTCAGAGAACTCACGAAATAAATACCCCTTGTATGGTTCACGAAGTCTCTTGAAGACACAACATTTGCTGTTGCTCAGCGTAGTAACTAAAGCAATAGGTACTCTCCGAGTACAATGATGTTATTTTCTTAATAGAAGCCAAAATTTGGATTATATTTTATCTAATACAGAACGGATTGGCCGGTGTGGGAGAAGAAGTCGAACAAGACGAGCTTTATAGAAAGTTGGGCTACTTTCTATGATTACCGAGATGATCAATACAAAGTAAATATTACGGTAATAACGGAGTGCATTTTGTTGTTTGTTCTTGTTTTTCTTTTTTGGTACAAACGAAAATGAACAGTATTGCTTAAAATTTGTATTATTGTCAGGTAATATCCGTGAAATATAGTTTGCAATACATGTACATACTAGCTATCCAACCTTTGCAATTCTTGCATCTAAATCACAGGTGCATGAAATCTAATTCATGTGCTGCTAAGCAACAGTAGCCACTGCCAAGGTTGCTGGCCATTGGTCATCATGACCATGGGACCTGAGCAGCGATGCATCAGGTCCAGCACCTTCGTGCAATACTTCGTGAGTGGCTGCACCATGCAGCCACTACTGTAACAGGGTTACACGCACAAGTGGCTACAGTCACTTGTAACTCTAACAGACACACCAAAGGCTACATACATTTAAAACCACCACGACGGGTGGTCCATAGAGATTTAGGATTGGAGAGCTTCCCACTCTGGGCCCGACAGGTGGGGACAGTCAGCGCGTGCAACGTGAGTTGCAGGCGTAGTGTGGCTTTCCATGGACACCTCCGTATCCATGGGAAGGTTCTCAGCTCCGCGTTCGTGCGGTGACGTAAGAACTCAGGTAGTCGGTCGTTGGACGGACTACAAAGTGCTACCAGGTGTAATGGGCCTACTTTGGCTCACTACTTTAGCTTACACGTGTGCGCGTGTATGTGAGGAAGCGTAGCTAGTTTAACTTAGAGTTAATTATACTCGGGCCTCCGAGTATAGATTAATCTAAATAAACGATCCAAATAATGTTTTTGGGTTAAAATGAGAACTGCTATTTTTGTTTTATGTTTCTGACTTCCTCTAAATGTAATATTCTAAGATAGGAATCTGCCAACGGCTGGTTGGCAGAATTCCAATGCTATGCATGTCGCTCATTGGCTAAGAGATGCTACTCTCAGCCAATAGGAACGACTGTCAACAGTCATTGGTGAGGCGGCTGTAGCTACGATGCTGCGTACGCTAACGCCGACAGAGCAACATGGTGTTGCTCTGGGATTCATCATGAGGGAGCAGCGAGATGCTGCTTCGTCTACCACGGTGTCGTCGGGGACGACACCGCGCGCGCAATCGTAGCTGTCGCGACCGAAGCGCACGAGAGTGCGCTTCTCCCAATCGATGACCGGATCATGCCGTGCAAGCCACGGCATGCCCAACACAATGTCAAACTTATCGTCCAGATCCAGGACGATAAAGGTCTCGACAAACTCTTGATCTTCATACGTGGAGCGCACGCGTACCATGCGCTTCTCGGTCTTCACGACGGCATGTAATCGTAAGATACCAGGTGGGTAGCCGAGTAAACCGGAGTCCGTTAATTTTGTTCTACTCGCCTTTTTGTTTAGCCCAAGCTTCTAGGCTGTAGCTTGAGTGGTGGCCACATTTGTGAGGGGAAATGTATTTATTTCAAATTTAGGCTTCTTTCTTTTTAAATAGAACCCTCTTGGTTCAATTACACCATTTGGGGATTAGATATAAGAAATATTGTGAAAACCGAACACTATGTCCTATTTTTTTGCAAATCGATCGATTTGGGTATTTATTAAGCGGCTGAGACTTTGTTTTGTTATGATGCTACTCCGATTTGGCGTTCCCCAGCCCTGTTCATATACCGTGGACTGCCGTCGATTTATATTCAAATCACGTCGAATCCCCATGTGACACGGGGCATTATGAGGGTAGCTCGTTTATATGAACGGTGCCCCATGTCAACGTGGACGGCGAACTCGACGCTACCGTATACATGAAACACCCGATGGGTACATGCAATATGTGTCTGCGTCTGAACTATTCACGGGGCTGAAATTTGGCACGAGTGGCTGCTTATACCCTTGCTCTAGCCCGCTGCACGATGCAGTGCACCTCTGCGGCCTTTTATATAGCTCAGGAAGCTAGGCTCTCATTAGCATTTGATAGGGATTTGCACATGGACGGTTTACGACCAACGCTACGATTTAGGATTTGGCGTACAGACGAAACCCCCCAGTAGTGACACCTGGTTCTTTGAATACCCCGGTCAATTCGATCGCTGCAATTGCCACTTAATAAGTCCACCAATCGAATGCACTGAGAATTGTTAATCTGCAGGAAGATCAGCATCCCATCACCATCCCGCTCATGCCCATGTACGCTCTATACGTATAGTGAGCGAGCCCCCCCCCTCCTCCTCCTGCTCCCCCCCGTCCTGCTCTCTCATGTGTATGTCTATCGCTAGCAGGTTAATACACGGACTGGTACAGGCGGCTTTGACAGAGAGAGATAGCGGGCCAGAACTGCGCAGAACGGCAGTCGGTGTCTCAGACTAAGCGAGGGCTGGGAGACTACGCAAAGGCTGCACGTATACTGAGCGTCGGGGGGAGTGTCTGAGACTGCGCGATGACTGGGAGACGCGCTCAGGCGCTGCTCAGCGCCTGGGCGTCTGCTCCGAGGTTAACGTACACGAAGCTGGAACTGCCGGACCATGCAGCGTTTGCGTGAGGTGACAGGTGCGTTAGTGCTATCGCTATAGCTACGATGGGGGGAGGGGGGTTCTTAAATGTATTACTGCCTATCCTTTAGACCAGGACGTGACGCTCCGAGATGTCCACAACATGATTTCAAAAATGCTTGAAGAGCGCCGCGCAAGCGAAAGGGTCCGCCCAGGACCTACGGCTGGATAGATTGCGCTAGGCTACACGGACGTGGTGAAGTGTTGAGACCAGGGATACCAAGAACATCAAGGGTTGACGCGGTGGCGCTTCCTCGAGATGTATACGTGGGCGCAGAGCCTTATTCAAGCTGTTCAGGGTGACGCTCGTATCGTATAATACACACGTGTACGTTCCTGATAGTCTGTGTACCTGTAGATAACGACAGGGTACCTATTGGTGTGTGTGTGTCTGTAGATACCGTACGGGTACCTTTAGGTACTATGCATACTCGATTGATGTATCTACAGGCACTTTAAGAATGGTATGCGTACTCGCCTTTTCAGGGTCGATTTGACCGTGTGTGAGGCAGTTGGATGCCTGGCCAACTGAGAGAAGATCATAACTGAGCGCTTCGGTGCGTCGTTAAATAGAAGTTGACAATACGCGGGTTTTACGTTGTCATGGCAATGCTGCAAGTCTACCCTCTCTCCATTAGTGTAACGTGCAGTTTGTAGAGTAGCACAGTATTGTCAGGTTTATAACGTGGTCTAGTAGGCACGTCAATGTTGCTAGCGCAACTCTACACCCGATTGGCGCGACCTAGTCCTCAACAACTCCCGTACTAGCAGTCGACAAGGTGATCATACTGTTTCTTGGTCAATACGAGATTCGCCAAGTGTTTTTTACATTCGAACGACCGTTGCCACCACTTCATATTTCCTGCAACATTCGTGTAACATAGAGCTCTTGAAGCATTCAGAGCCACACAACGAAATCTCTACATTTGGTGAAATTTATGAAATCTATTTGAATAGAATACCCCTCTTTTTTAACCTCGGTACCAATATTACCTGACTCAGTGCCATTTGGTACCTAGAGACAGACGAGTGCCTGCAGGTTCTGTACCCATGTACCTCGATGGCCCGGTTATGTGCTTCCCACTCAGTGCCTTTTTCAACGATCTTACATCTTTCCACCCAGCGTCACAAGTCCAAGCAACCGATGCCCGCCACGAACACCTCTCGCCGTTGCCGCCTGACCATCGAGCAGAAGCTCGTCATCTGCACCTACGCGAAGAAGGCCCGCGCAAAAGAGAGCCTGACCGACGTCGCGGAGTGGGCGACACGCACCTTGAAGCTGAAGACCCCTCTCTCTCGCCAAGGTGCTGCCCTCATTGTCAAGCGGGAGGCGCATTGGGTTGCTACGGCCGAGTCGCACCGTGGTCGGAAGCAGGTGGTCTCTCTGCGACACCGCAAGACCGACGACATCATCATGAAGGAGATCAACGACATGGAAGGAACTGTCGAAGCCGTCACAGGCGATGTGATCAGAGTCGCTGCTATACGTTCCAAGGCGTACGGCGATATCTGTGTCCTCAAACTATCCAACGGATGACTGTACAAACTGCAGCAGCGCAACGGAATCTCGCAGAAGCGGAAGCACGGCGAAGCTGCCTCTGTAGACGACGACGCCGTCGAAGAGGGAAGGAAGAAGATACGCAAGCTCACCGACGCCTATCCTCGCTCTGAAATCTACAACTTCGACGAGACCGCTTTCTTCTTTCGCCAAGACGCAAAGACGACGCTCACACAAAAGAAGGCGGTCTCTGGACGCAAAGACCCAAAGAACCGAATCACGCTTGCGCTGGCCGTGAACGCCGACGGCCCCGACAAGCTGCCGCCGCTATACATCGGCTCCGCTGCTGTTCTGCGCCCGTTGCAAGGGCGTGATGTGCGTGCTGAGCTTGGCGTTATCTACAAGCACAGCCCGAAGGCATGGATGACTACGTCGATCTTCTTGGAGTGGTTGGGCGAGGTCAACCACCAGATGTGGCTCAAAGACCGCAAGATTCTGCTGCTGGTGGACAATGTAAGCTCGCATGTCCAGCCAGAGGTGTCGTTTAGCAACATCAGACTTGCGTTCTTGCCAAAAAACACAACGTCCCGCTTGCAGCCACTCGACCAAGGGATTATTCGCTCGGTGAAAAGCAAGTACTCCAAAAAGAAGGTGATGGATAGCGTCGAGCGCTATTACGATGACCGTGATCAGATTAAAGTCGACCTTTACACTGCTCTGAAATGGAGCAAGGAGGCCTTTGACGGGGTCACTTCGAAAACTATAACCAATTGCTGGAAGCACGCCGGTATTCTCTCAGACAGAAGCAGGATCTCTTCTCTACTTAACTAAATATCAGTACATTGCATGCGGCGGATTTTGTCGTGCGTGGCTTCCTCTCTAATCCTATCGGAAACCCGGTGCCACTACTGGGGGGTTCGTCTGTACCCCTTTTTATATATTTTCTACCCCACCTAATCAAGCTGATCTGGTCTGGACATCTTTGCCGGTTTTCACAATAGTGGGTCTCAGTTCTGGCAGCAGCAAGATAGCGCTCTCCGAAAACCCTCCAAATTTCTCCCAATCAGAGACGGAACGAACTGAGACCCCCTTTGCAGTTCGGCAGCAGCAAGATGCCTCATGCGTGGTCTTCTTGCTCATGTAGCCTATTGCTCAACTACATAGTGCTCTCATACATATATACATGTTATAGGTGCCCAGCAGCGTGCTGCGGCAAGCTGTCACATGCTTTCGATGCGAGGACTCACTGCTACGGGGTCGGTGGAGGTCAGATTGAGCCCGCGGCGGTCGATCCGCTCAACCCCAGCAGCCCCATGCTATCTGATCTAACGAAAGCACCTGTGGAGGACTCATATACGTCGGGGGAACGTCGGCTCCCGCTGGCGTCGCTCCTGGGGCGGTCCGGCAATAGGTGGGATCCATCTTGCTGCTGCCGGCGCTATACTGCACCAAAATCGTGGCAGTACCGCATTTCGCATGTAGAGAAACACACCCATGTCATAGGTTTAGGTTAATTACTGCACTCGAGCCTACAAACAATGTAAAACCCCAAAACTGGGTCACGCGATCATTTCGTACACAAAAATGGCAAGATGGTTGTATGTATGCGGATGGCGCGGAGCGATCTCCTCTAGAATGGCGCTTAAGCTAGCAACAAGTCTAGGCGCCATCTACAACTATGTTGCACAGGAACCACACCACTAAACCAATTATCTACAGCGTTGCTTCTTCTACTACCATCGCTGCAGCAGCCGTGTTGTGCGCTCTCTCGAGCTTGCGCGTTGTGGTTTAACCTCGTGCTCCCCATATCCCGCACTCAGGCGCGCCTCAACTGGGCCCACACCAGGCGAGGCTACTAACTATCACTCCGACGAGGCGTATGCCTCCAAGCGCGCGGGGAGGGGGCAGCGCGACGTTGGCGAGCGGTGCGCAGCTCTTCCCCTCTGCCTTCGCGCGCTTGGAACTGGTGGCTCAATGTGATTGCAAAACTACCCAAATTAGGGGTGTATCTCTCACTTGTGTCGAGCATTCGTAAGACAGTTTGACGACAAATCAAATGTAGCAATTTCATTGGTTAATATTGCATTATGTAGTCTCGAGTGTTGCTGCATCTCGGCTCGTAGATTGGACTGATTTATCTGTGTGCGCATTTTGCCCCCTTTACTAGAGGCAGCGCACTTGAAAAATGCCCCTTGAAATGTCCGGGCCTTTGATCCTGACGCCATGCACTAACCTCCTGCTAGAAGATTTAAATATACTTGCCAGGAATGTAAGGACATCATAGCACAGTTATCATGCGACCGTTTGTTCCCGTAGTGGAGCAATGTTTCTTCGCTTTACAGGGGTGAACGACTGTTGTCGTTCACCCCACCACGCCAACTCTCCTTTCTACAGTAAAGTACTAACACTACGTAGAATATGGAGATTCGGATAGAGCGCGCATACGCAAACCAGTCTACGCTGTAGCATCGACAAAAAGCATGGCTGCAGGCAGTGGCTTAGTTGCAGGAGATACCGAGTAACTCGCCGATGCCGAAGGTCGAGCCCAGCAGCGATATGGCGCGCGCCGAGCGCCCGCGCAGCAGTGTGGAGCTTCTCCGCACCTCAGCGTCGTAGGTATGAGATTTAGGTATTATCGCGGTTGCAGAGTACGTGGTTGCATTTTGTTGCCGGACTGTAATGATTAGGTAAGAGGGGGTTGGAGGATCTCGGGAAGCCCACTGGCAACACCGTTCTCTGGCTGCCACGCCTTCACAACTACTATGATGTACGCTCAAGCATAACATTTACTACATTAAAATGTACATGTAGTACCGTTACGAGCTATTTGTCCCTCTTAGTTTACGTCTGCCAACTTCATCGTACCTCCGTGCCCTACAACGGCTGCACCTCTGAGTGGAACAGCTCCACGGACTGCATGCACGCGTTCGTGCAGTCATTATGCCGATATTTAAGCTTGCTGCCAGCGGCCAACTACAGGCATGTGTGAACAAGAGGCTACTTACCCTACCGCACCATACAACTGCATCGTTTCGGCGCTCAAAGTTGCCACCGCGTCCGCGGCAACGATGCCGCTGTGACCTGAACACTTTTGGCCAATTGTATGGCGCAAACTAGTGTCCGACAAACTGTCTTATGTTTTGACAGACAATATGCAATGTAGCCACTGGTATACAAAAACCAAGATGTAGTCAAAACGCGTTGATCGGAAAACGTAAGACGCGTTGTCTTATGATAGGCATTCTGGGGCTAAGTATCGTCTTACGAAAGAGCATGAATCTACATGCGATCCCACGGACTTTTCTCTCGCATCTCTGATTGGTCTAAATAAAGGTGTATCTCTTAAACCGCTGTAGCGCGAAATGCGGTATGGAAAGGGGTCGGCAGCAAGATAGCAACCGAGTTTTAACCAATCACAGCTCATATCCTTCAAGATTTGTAAGAGCGCTATCTTGCTGCTGCCAGAACTGAGACCCACAAATAGTAGTCCGGGTATTATTCGGTGAAACTAATATATTAGTAAAATAATTATACACAACAATAATTGATGGAAACCAATTATTGTTAGCCTTCAATCAATTACATGTATTGGATTTAGCTTTTTTTGTGTCGTTGCATTCGGGAATCTCAATACTTAAATCACGTATATCCAGCCCGTCCCCGCCAGAACCGCGGGTTCCATTCATACTGAAATTCAACAGACCCATTCCGCTCCGCATCCTTCTCTCCCGAACTTCGACTCAGAAATCTGCGAAGCCGCGCGAGAGCTCCAGCCGACGCCCACTCCGCAGTCTTCCTGCCGCCCTCCGCCCGCGCCCCATGTCGGTTATGAACCTCAGCCGCGAGCAGCAGAACGAGCTCCTCTTCGTGGGGTTCAACCAGGACAGCGGTGCGTCCCCTGCGTGTCCTCTCTGCGTCGTTATTCTCCATGTTAGATCCCTCCCCCGTCCGCGAGCTCTGACGCGCCTCCTGCCGCCTCTTACGCCTCTATCCAGGCTGCTTCGCCTGCGGTACCGACTCCGGCTTCAAGATCTTCAACTGCGACCCGTTCAAGGAGACGTTCCACCGAGGTCCGAGCGCTCTAGAAGCCAGCAACCAGGTGAAGGCTTAACTACTGCGCTGCACAGGCTAACCTCACTTGTCTTTTGCTATTACGGCAGACTTCTCTAATGGCGGCATCGGCATCGTGGAGATGCTCTTCCGCTGCAACATCCTGGCCATCGTCGGCGGCGGGCGCAATCCGAGATACCCTCCTAACAAGGTGACGCCGCTTGTGGATCGAAAGACCGCTGAGCAATTGTGAGCTGACGATATATGTGGGTTTTTACACGACTAGGTTATGATCTGGGACGACCACCAGAGCCGCAACATTGGAGAGCTGAGCTTCCGCAGTGAGGTGAAGGCGGTGAAGCTCCGTCGCGACCGGTACGAGTGACTAGTGGTTCGATGGAGATTTTCTTCAGTATTTTTTACCGAAATTTTTTGTGGCCGTGTAGTGTGGTGGTGGTGCTGCAGAACAAGATCTACGTTTACAACTTCTGTGAGTCTATGGTGATTCTTAGTGCAGTGCTGGACTTATTCTGACTTCTAGGATTTATTGTGCAGCGGATCTGAAGCTGGTGGACCACATCGAGACGATTGCCAACCCCAAGGGCCTGTGCGCGCTGTGCCCAAATCCGTCCAACACAGTGCTGGCTTGCCCAGGCGTGACGCGCGGCACCGTGCGCATTGAGCTGTATGATCTCAGAAAGACTACGCTCATCACCGCCCACGAAGCAGAGCTGTCGCAGGTGAGGGTTCTGTCAGTGAGGCCCGTGGTTACTGCTGCTGGAAGTACTGATCGAAATCGTGTTATTGCAGATCTGCCTGAACCTTGATGGCACGCGTCTAGCAACGGCGTCAGACAAGGGCACGCTCATTCGTATTTTCGACACACAGAGTGGTCAGATCACGCAGGAGTTGCGGTGAGTGTAGCATTGGATTCATGATCAATGCGCTGGAAGCTGTTATGCTGACGTGGATATATTTTCGTAGCCGTGGAGCGGATCGCGCGGAAATCTACAGCATTTGCTTCAGTCCTACCGCGCCTTTGCTCGCCTGCTCAAGTGACAAGGGCACGGTGCACGTCTTTTCGCTTACGGCCGAGGGTTCTGGCCACAGCTTCTCGTCCGACCCGACCACGATGGGAAATGTTCCGTCTCAAAGTGCCCCGTCGCACTTTTCGGCGGGAAGTGCTCCTCGTAGCGGCGATGATGACGGTACTGAAAACTCCAAGTCCAGGTACGTATCCATGTGCTACTCAACTTATGCTGCATTCACAGTCTAACATTTTTGCTGCAATCGCTGTGTGTAGCTTGTCGTTCATGCGGGGATTGCTCCCTAAGTACTTCAGCTCTGAGTGGAGCTTCGCTCAGTTCCGTGTACCGGAGACCCGGACGATTTGCGCTTTCGGGACGGAGAAGAACACCATCGTCGGTAGGTTCTGCGTCATCCTAAATTGTTTGGAAGTGTGAGTATGTAAACTGACACGGTCATCTGGGTGTGTCATAGTTGTGGGCGCCGACGGATCATTCTACAAGGCTGTCTTCGATGCCAACGGCGAATGTCAGAACACTTCTTACTCCAAGTTCATTCAGTCCGACGAGGATGAATAGACACGCCAACCCTGACATCGCTCTGCTATCCTCAGTTCAAGATACCTGCCATCTTTGTATGAAGGAGTTGCATCGGGCGTCGGGTCACACAGCAGGCGCTGTTGACCATGCTTGTATCATCTTTATTGCGATTGCTTTCCGTTGCCAGTTTGATCAGCTTTTCAGGTTATCAAATGTGAGGTCGGGTTTAACAACTTCAGGCGAAACAGTCTCATTATTGTTGGCATTCTTCTACCGATGGGGGAAAAAAGTGAGGACTTGTGTGATGTTCGACTCGCCTCGAAATTAGTCTCCATGAATAGAGTACTTCTCGCGAACAACGCTTGGGTCGTACTGCATGCAAGGAGTGATGTAAGCGCACACACGCATTATAAACACAACACTGGAAAAGCCCACTTACCACTTCCCATCGACTGGCGGGGAAGATGTGTTTGTTCTTCTCGTACCAATGACGGTCGACAACTTTGCCTGGGTGAGACTACAGAGACCAAAACACAAATTAGACCCAAGGCTGTGATCCGAACTGATAGATCAGTAAAAACGCACCTCGTCCTTCTCAACACGTCGGTCCTGCACAAGACGGACGTCGTCGTGCACGTCGAAGTGGAAAAGAGGGCCACTTTTTCCACGCGCCTTGGTCACGATTAAATCGTAGAAAGAGTAGTGCTAAAGGTGCAACAACAAAGAAAACGTTAGCACCTCCTTATTTCCTGGCCAGAACAAATAAGAAGCTTACGTGGGGGATGATGAGGTCTTCCTTGATGTAGATCAAATTTTCGGCCCCGACACCACGCAACTCGGCGAACTCAGTCACTAACTGCTGCTTAACAAGCCCCAGGTACTTGCCAATTGTAGTCTTTTTTGGGACCTACCACAGCAAAAGCAATGTTAAGAAAGATCAGAACATGTCACCAGAACGACTTACAATTCGAAAAGTACACGTACCGTAATCTCCCGTCGGTGACCAGAGCCATCCCAGTAACTGTAGGTCACAGCGACGTTCTCATCTGCAGACACAATAGGCACATTAACGCTCAGATCTCAGCAATGGATGCGATATCTCAGCATAGCGGAGATACGCACTTTTGATTCGCTCTTGCTCCGCTTCCCACTCCTCCTTCAGCCGCTGGCGCTCGCGAGCTTCTTCCTTCTCACGTTCCTTATCCGGCAAGAAATCCGTCTCCACATTAGGGTTTTTGATGCTCTTCTTTACACGCTTGGGCTTCATAGTCAGCTCTTCGTCCGCTTCATCCTCTCCGCCGTCCATATCGAACGATAGCGGTCCCATCTTCTTGGCTTTTCGTTTCTTCTTCTTCTTCGGCTCATTCTGCTTCTCTTCCGATCTATCACCAACAGTACCGACAGCCACAACACATCAAATATCTATACAAATCCAAACAACGAGGGATAACAGCTCTCACTGCAGGTCGACTGGGGCACTCTTGCGGTTCTGCAGGTCCTCGCGCTTCTTCCGGAACTCCTCAGCCGTCACCAGCCCCACCGTTTGACGCTGCACCCGCAAAGTTATCACTTAGCATAATGTAATAACGAAGATTCATAGCAAAACCCATGAGCTGCCTGGCTGAATCAATCAAAGCAACGCACCTTGAACTCGCTCTCGTCGTCGTCCTGGTGCGACTGGAAGTTGGCGTCGATGCGTGTCCCTCGGCGGTTCGTCTTCTCGATATCCTGGCGCTTGGCCTCGTACTCCTGCTTCTGCTTCTCGCGCTGCTTGGTCAGCTTGGCCGCGCGCGACCCAGCCACGTTGCCCTCCACCGTGTGCGCGCCCGACGACCCATAGCGCTCGATGCCCGTCATGATCACCCAGCAGCCCAAGCTAATGGAGCTGTTCGGCCGCGCTGGTACATTTGCGTTCGATTAAGTACGAGTTAGTTGGTACATGTTTCCACTAAGTACGATACGATTACAGTATTGACTTTTTGAACCGAGGCAGGGAAGAAGTTCAGGATGCTGCGCAGACTCAAGGCCTCGTCGGACGCGTACGTGGCGTGGGCCCCGCTCCTCACAGCGCCTTCTACCTGCAACACTCGTGTCCACGTAGTCGTTTAACGCATTGTCGTACCATTTGTTTCGCCCTTTGCGTTGAATCTGCAGTTCGCAGCCGTCGCCGAACGCGGCGCCGGACGACGCGCAAACTGCCAGCGAGCAGGGCGTGAGCGATGGCCCCATGTCGTCTCTGCAGAAGTACCGGTCGCAGACCATGAAGGACTACGGACTCATGATCGAGTACAAGCACTTGCGCCAGCACGTGCCCAGCGGCATCTACGTGCTGCCGAGCTTCGACCACTCGCGCATCTGGTACGGCGCCATCTTCATCCACGCCGGACTCTATCGCAACGGAATCTTCAAGTTCACCATCTTCCTGCCGGAGAGGTAAGTACAAACGCTGTTAGTGCCATTGAGGTAGTCGTATTACGAGGCTGACTGTGCTTGTTTGTTGGCAGCTACAATGGCCCGGGCACGTATCCTCGCATTGTGTTCAACACCAAGATTTTCCACCCGTATGTGTACGAGGACACGAAGGAGCTGGACTTGAAGCCCAAGTTCCCGGAATGGGACCCGGAGCTGCACTACATGGTGGCCGTGCTCACCTACCTCAAGGGTATCTTCTACATGAAGGACTTCCCCGATTTGGCAACGGTGGCGAACGGCGTTGCGCTGGATATGTACGTCGATAATCGTTGTTTATGTGGGAGTAGACCTGTTTAGTGCAGTGCACGAAAGTCCCCACAAATGCACTAAAGTACTTTAGTGCACTTTTGGGGCACCTGCACACAACTGATGCTGGAGATTAGAGCGTGCACTAAAGTACTTTAGTGCATTTGTGGGGACTTTCGTGCACTGCACTAAACAGGTCTATGTGGGAGTGATGTATGTGCTTATGGTTTTTCGTTGGTGTCCCGTTACTGGTAAGCAGGTTTCGCCACGACCCGGAGAACTACGTAAACAAAGTGGAGGAATGCGTGGACGAATCGCTCACGAACGTCTACAACAACGAGCAGGGGTCCACGATCCGATTCACGAAGCACAATCCCGCCCACGACAATCTGCGGCAGGAGCTCTTTGCTCAGTTGGATGCCACACCGGTAAGCGATTACCCAACTATTGCACCTGAACATGTTCGAGGTCGCCTGATTCATTAACCTTTGAACGGTTGCATCAATGTAGCCCGCCGCACCACAAACACTAGAGGAGAAGATGGCTGCTCCTCCGTCGACACGGTCGCTGTCCATCGTAACGGCAGCCGCAGCGGAAGGAGCTTCTGGCCAAGCCACTGCTGCTGCACCTGCAGATGAGCCCATGCCAGACACGTTTGAGGAGTAATAGGGAACGTTGCCTAATGTAGCTACAGAGTGTCAACCATGTTAGGAAGCTTGCCCCACCGTGATGTTGAGCCTATGCTGTCATGTTGAAGCCCAAAGCACCTTATCCTGTCCTGCACGGTCTCACCTAAAATATGACGTTTAACGCAAACGCAACATTCTTACCCTGATTTTGCAACTCTATCTTCATCGTTCGAAACCCGGTTGCTTGTTCAGGGTGTAAATTCAAAAAAGGAAACTTCCCATTGCGTGATTTTGCACACCGGACAAGCTCAAGCTCACATGCCCGCCGCGCCCATGTCGAGCGACGCCGGCCTGGGCTCCAAGGAGGACGACGCGCGCCTGAACGAGCGCATCTCCAAGGCGCGCTCGGAGCTGTCGGAGCTGCACAAGATCATGGTCAAGGACGACCGCGACCGCCTGTTCCGCGAGAGCGACGGGCCCGCAATGCGCACTCGCAGCCGCACGACCGGCGGCAGCGGCTCTGCAGCCCTCAAGGACGCCTCGCTGCGGCCCGCGCCGCTGGACACGGACTTCCACACGCCGCAGCCGCTGCGCAGTGCGTCGGGCGAGCGGCTCATGCAGCTGTCGCGTGGTGAGGACTCTGGCCGCTCGGACCGCATGCGTCTAGCGGAGCTCTCGGACGAGCAGCTCAAGTGGCCGGCCGCAGAGGCGGAAGCAGCAGTCCAACGCCCGGGTAGAGCAAGGATGAGCCCCAAGGGTAGAGTGCGAGCCACCACCACCCCACGTCGCACAACGGCCAAGGATCTGAGAGACTACTCCACGGACTTCGTGCAGCAGGCGCTGAATTTTGACAACGTCACGGATAACGACGATACAGGAGCTGCGTCTCCGTCACCGCCGAGATCGGGAAGTATGAGGCGGCTTGGAGAAGATGTGGAACGCAATTTTGAGCAGGAGCATGCCGGTGAGTTCGGCGAAGGCAGGACGCAACAAGATCTGCACACGTACGTGCGGCAGATGGAGGAGACTATCGCGCAGCTCGTGCAGCAGAAGGACGAGTTACTGAGGAACCAGGCCGAGTTTGACAAGCAGGCCAGTGGCATCTTCCCGTCCTTGGAGAATCTGAACCATCAGCTGTCACAGATCGTGCAGGGCAAGCTGCTGCACTCGGGGCAGTCGCAGAACAACGACGACGTCGTGAATCTGCATGAAGACATGCTGGACGAGCTGCGCGTTCAACGAGAGCAGTTGAGCGAGTTGGAGGCGGATAGCAAACGCCGCAAATACGACGCGGAATTGCAGGAACAGGACCGCGCGATTGAGATCTCGCAGATAAAAGCTGACATTATCAGCATTGTCACGAGTGGGAAAATGCGCGACGAGCGTGCCGAGTTGTTAGCAGACTCCATCAAGAAGCAGCAGCAGGAGCTCCAAGAGGCCGTTAAGAATATGGTGCAGCGGTACCAATTGCTGGATAAACGCATCAACCAGCTCCAGACACCCATGACCCAACCTCGACTTGTGGTACGTTTGCCTAAGCTTTCTTATTGCTTAGCATTTGACTGACAATGGCAATCTGTGTCTATCAAATGTCTAGGGACGCAAGTCGCAACGGAACACGCTTCTCTTCATCATCGCAATGTTGCTGGGAATTATTTCCGTAGCGCTCGGGCTCTTCGTCATGAGTAGTGGAGACTGCGGCGTGATGGAGCGATGCCACCCGCTCATATAGTTAGTATTTCATCCATTCCCTAGGTTTCCTCATTTTTAACAAGCTGACGAAGTAGACAGCTGCAGTCCTGATCTTGATGATAGCGTGAATGCGCTTGGATTATCAAAGAGTCAATGGCTTCGTCATTTCCTTAGATTCGCCCGCAAGAGTTCAAAGCCAAAAGAAAGTGAAAGGCTCTATCCCTGCTTCACCTTGAAGATGCGGATACCGAGAATTGTGGCGAGCTCCGTCGACAAAAAGTAGATCATGTGCACGTAAGCAGAGAGCGAGATCACGAAGAAAAGCTCAACCACTGAGCTTTCGTGACCCTGAGCAGCATAGAGAACGATCGATTTAGCAAACTCTTACTCACTACCATAAAATTGCTGGCAGCAGCGGGACGAACTTACCCAGGGCACTATACCAGCCACCAGCAGGAAGGAGACCGCAAGTTGGATTAGGAAAGTCTTGCGCAGCAGCCAGTACGGCTCTTCACACATGTGCGAAAGCATCATGTGCATCACCATCTACAAAGCAATCGAAAAAGAATTGATGTTAGAACGAATGCCTACAGTGAAACAACCCCGCAGAGAATACCATACCTTCGCGAATACGAGCCCCACAGTCCAGATAAGGAGACGTGGGTGGTCCGTAAACACATCCGACGGCGACCAAAGAACCCAAAGCGCAGACAGGATGACGAGCGCAATGAAAGGAGTGATGCCAAACAGAGCCGCTGCGCCATCCTTCGCCTTGCTTTCCATAGATCGGATCGCGACCACCGCTGAGCAAGACAGTAAAATACCACAAAAAGGTTAGATTTCTCGAAAACATCATGCCAAACGTACAGGAATATCAAACACGTACCACTGAAGAAGCACTGGCCGAGGCCACTGATGATAGTGACCAAGACGAACACGTGGTTGTTGTTGAGCTGCGGGAAGATGATGTTTGGCTGAGTCCAGATCGCAGGGCCCACAATGGCCGTGCCAAAGTAGATCGAGTACATGATCAGCAAGCCTTCGTTGGGTCCGTTAATGACCGGGAGCGCCAGAGTGCCCGTGTAGTACTCCTCCCACGTAGCCATGAAGAACACCATCGCCGGCGCCAAGAAAGTCAACAACGACTAGTAAAGCAACGCGACACACCTCGTCAGTACGAACACCTCGACTACTCTCCCATAGAAACTATCACCGCCACACTCACCCAGTACGTCGGCCCCAGCATGACAGTGGACGCAAAAGTGCACGCACTGACAACCACATTCAGTGCATCACAGCCGTGGTCGAACAGGAGTCCGAGCGGCGACGAGTTGCCCGTCTTGCGAGCCTGCTTGCCGTCTGCCACGTCCAAGATCTGGTAGAACAGCAGCGAGAAGCCCGCGTTCGCGTAGACCCATCGCGGCGTCTCCTCCACCATATTGGGCGAGTACCTGCAGGTCAGTTCAACAGCATGTGGAGTCAGGAAGTCAGTGCACAGAGTCTCCAGCATCTCTATCTCTATGTAGAGGGCACGTACCAGAGCATGATGACGTGCGACAGGACCACGAGCGACAGCGCCCCGATAGTGATGGCGTTGGGCGCCAGTCGCGGCGACAGCACGTTGTCCACGAGCCACTGGGCCGCCGGAGAGATGACGTGGTTGTACAGCAGAGACGCGTCGCTGCCGCTGTAGCGGTAGGCCAGGATGTGCTTCACGCCCTCCTCGGTCACGTAGCGGTACGACTGCGCGCTGGGCTGCGCGTCGGGCTGGGCTTCATGCTGAGGCTGCGGCTGATCCTTGGGCGCCTCACTTCCGGTGGGGGTCGGGGCGGGTGACGCAGCGGCGGCGGCAGCAGCGGCGGACCTCGTGAGCACCATAGTGGATGGATATCGCTAACGCAACTGTGCGGGAAAACCATGGCTACATTGATTCGGTGACGGGAATGTGATTGGTGGTAATGCCACCGAATTGTGCGTGGTGCACACAATAGATCTTGAAGCGACAGCAATGTGCGGCGCGAATGACGCGGTGTGTCTGCATGGAGACTGCGTCGTGGAAGCAGAGGATGGAGCCGCGTATGAGCGTTGTCGGTGCTACGCAATGTACGACGGCGTACAGTGCAGCTTCAGGAGGGAGCTGCTGTACTGGGAGCTGCCGCTGGCAATCGCGATGATGCTCGTCTTGCTGGGCGTCGGAGCGTTCGTGACTGGCAGGGCAATCGAGTGGCTGCGATTTCCACAGGCCAAGCAGGACACCTTTGCATTCCCGAGAAGGTGGGAGAATTTGACGGGGAAGTCATTCGGGGCTCGTTTACTGCGAGGCAAGTGGAGTGGGCCGACTCGCAAGGGGCTGCCGACCAAACCGGCTAGGCACCACATCATTGAGAATATCTTCGTTGTCATTGCAACATTCATGGAGCTCGTACAGTGGGTGCAACTGACAGCACTGTCGTTTTTGCCTGTGGTGCCCTGGCCCAAATCAAGTCGAGGCGTCGCTGAAATACTGCGGCTTTCGCTACTGTACCCTCTGTGGAGCCATCTTGAACCAAGTGAGTTCCCGAGATTTATGCTGTACCTGTCGCTTGGGTTTGTGCCTGGAGTTTTGCTGTTTTCGTTCATCCTCGGCGCGAAGAGATTTCCGTTATTCAAGCCGCAGCCGAAGAATTCACCTGCTGAAGGCCTCTGCACTCTGGTGCTGCGACTGTACTGTGAATGGCTCGCGTTACCGATGATGATCGGGCTGCTACTTCCACTGGAGTGTGGTATCATCGGATACCGCAAAACGGAAGGGTCTGGCATGACGCTGCCTACATTGGATAGCTCGTGTTTCACTTTTCTACAGGGCGGCTTCGTCGCCGCCGGCAGCTTCATGCTGTTAGTGTTCTGCATCACAAGTTCTGTCATCGCGATTCAGCTGAACTGTGAGGCGTCTCCACCTGAACCAACGCTTTGGACGCACGTACGCTATACTCGCGTTGCACAAGTGTTAAAAGCACCCTTGGCCATGGTACTATCTGAGTCTTGTCAAAATTTCTTTCGTCGATTGGGGCCGGCACGTCTGACTATCGTGTGCTTCATTCCGTAGAGTGTTATAGGATCCGTCAACGCCAACGCACTGCTACTTACTGCGAGCTGCATCTCGACCTCGTAAGTTATCCTGGATGATTGAGTGCGAGTGTGGGTGATGCTTCACTAATCTAAAGCGTGTACAGACTAACGCTTGGCATTATGAACGCGAAGATGAGGCCCTGTATGCTTTCATTGGTGGGAAGTCATGTGTGGGCAAGCCATGGCGCAAGTGAAAATAATCTCATTTTATTTTTTTGCTACAATGTTGAGCAGGTCAATGGGCTTCGTATGGCTGGTGCCATAATGGCGCTCTGGACCAGCTTAGTAGCACTAGCTGTCTCTGTCAATGATGATCCCGGTGCAAGCATCATGTATGAGGTAAGGCTATCAATATTGGTCGCCACACACGAGATAAATCGACCCACCTCTCTGTGTACATGTTGTGCAGGTTTGGTCGCTGGGCGCTATCGCAATTTCGGCAATCTCACTACCCGGTTTGATTCTCTATCATACTGAAGACTTTTGGCACCGTCTCGCCTCCGCTGCGAAGGAGGCCGGGTCTTCGTTACTTGCTCGGGCCACAAAAGACGCCAAAGGCCCCACAAGTGGCAAAGTAGCTGATAGTACCCCTCTCGTTGCTGCTCCTGCCAAGACACCGACAACGAAAGTGGCAGCGATTGGCTTCCGCGCTGGCCTCCCCAAAATCGCGCCTGGTAGGCGATCCAGCGCAGCGGAGAAGCTGCGCAGCCGATCCAAACGCGGGAAGTTATTAGCTGGCACAGCAGAGAAACCAGAGGTCAAGTGATGCAGGTGCTCATCACGAGAACTGCGTTCCCTGGATTTACTAAGTTTGGCGACACACATTTCTACGCCAGCATGCGGCAACGTGGCAGATACATCGACTGCCTACAGCTCGGTGGGGCCACGGCAATGCTCATACACGCCTCGGTCGACTACCGTCGAGACTCTGGCGCTAGGATAATAATGATGCCTGCGGTGTCGTGAAGAGGAACCATAAACGACCGCCGCGCACGCGCATGCCGACGATCGATGGACGCACAAGCAGGTGGCGATCTCTTCGATCGGAGCGGCGCCATTTGGCAGAGGACGCGGCGCCATGGCCGCGCTCAGCGACTCGCAGCTGGAGGCGAGCAGTAGCGTTGCACCTGCTGGGGCACTTTCGCGCCGCTGATTACGGGCCGCGGCCGACCTGGAACATGTCTCGGCCTCGGGAAGTCGGACTTCGCGTCCTACGCGGGTTCGCGTCCTACATGCCCACGAGTCTGCGGCGCTGGCGGTGGCGGCGCTTAGTGTGGGTGGTTGCTCAGCGGCAGCTCGCCCCGCTTGCCGTGTTGCCGCCGGTGTGTATCCATGCTGGCTGGCCGAGGTACGTGGCAGCTCGCCACCCCATCTCATGCTAGCCAGCCGTGTCCTTAGCGTCGAGATTTTGGAATGGGTAAATCGGAGTGCGGAAGCAGACAGCAACAGCGTCCCAAGGCCTCGGCGTCACAGTGCGAGCGAGGAAGACCCGCGCCGAGAGAACATAACACGTCTATCAAACTGCACGCCGAAGTTACAGCATGCAGCAAGTTGGCGCCGACAACTATGCTGGCGATGCTTGAAACCGCAACAGGACGCTCGGGCACTTCAATCCAGTTGTCGCCGCGCCATTGGGCGGGGCCTGGAAGGGGCAAGGACACGCTCGCGCTCGGAGCGCCCATCGACGGGGCCGGAGCCACGGAGCCCGGCAAGCCCCGAAGCGGGGGCGACCAGACCCCGCGGCCCGAAATGCCGGACATCTCCGCCGCCGCTGCGCGAAATGCAGACAGCGATTGTGGGACAGAGAATTCAGCGACCACCAGGCCGTCATCACGCTCGCAGCAGATCGGGCTTCGCAATTTCGCAAATGCGTATTACGCGGAACCAGGCTAGGCTGCACTCGCAGGGCCATTTGCTGGTCAAAATCAAACAAGCTAAAGTTCAAGATCTAGGCAATGGGCTGGGGCTGGTTGCAGCGAGCACTAACGGGTGTGAAACCTAGCAAGAAGCTCCTCGCGCTGCTCAGTCTTCCGGCGGCAGTAATGTCGACTGAATATCGCTAGTGGCGCTGAAGCCAGCGGCGATGCTGGCTTCAAAAAACACGATATACACCTGCAGCGGCAGCGGTGCTACTGCTGCAAATACAGCTAAGGCCACACGTGTAAGTCCATCTAGGCAGCGCTGGCGCTGATGGCGTCCTGCGTAGAGCTGTCGAAGAGCTAGCTCGCCAGACACTTGGATAACTCGGCGGTGAATCCTCTTTTGCACTCGGATCAACATTTTTCGACTCGGATTTAAAATTCGAGTCGGCATACTGAAACCACATGACGACGCTAAATCGGGGTGAAACCCCCGTTTTGCATGTCAAGTTAGTGACCGTATATGCGACACGTCCTGGGAACAGAAGGTGAAACTCGAGGCGAGGGCCTCGAACCCCCGCCGCCGCCTGCCGCCAGACCTCATTTCACGATTACGGCGGGACCGAGCAGCTACTCGTGGGAGCGCGTCGTTGCAATGCCGAGTGTGGACACCAAGCCGAGCGAGGAGATGTACGGCACGACCATCGACGTGGCCAAGGGCGTCAAGCACCGCGCGGGCTCGCGCTCCAACTCGCCCACGAGCAGCGGCGATGAGCAGTCGGACACGATGAAGCTCGCGCCCAAGTCGTCGTCGCCCCTGGCCTCGTCCTCGGGCTCCTTCTCCAAGCAGCCCAAGATGAAGCAGCAGCAGGAGAGCGTGCTGGAGCGCTACCAGAAGGCCACGTGTACCAAGATGTACGACGTGGAGGAGCTCATCGACTACTACTGGCACCGGCGACTGGCCGCCGTGCCCGCCGTGATCGTGAGCTACCTGCCCTTCATCATCACGCCCAACCAGATCACGATCTTCGGGCTCTTCCTCGGCTGGGCCTCGGCGCTGTGCCTCTACGACTCGGAGTTCCACTACCCGCTGGCCTGGGAGCCCTCGAACTCGCTGCTGGCGGCCGCGCTCTTTATGTTCACGTGGATCGTCTCGGACTGCACGGACGGACAGGTCGCGCGCCTCTGCAAGCGCGGCACGCGCACGGGCCGCATCCTGGACGGCGTCGTGGACGGCCTCGTCATCGCCCCCAACTTCTGGATCATGGGCACCGTCATGCAGCACCATTACGGCGGCAGCGTCATGTACTTCCACCTGGGCTTCTGGGCCGGCATGTCGCTCTGGCTGCACGCCATCATCTACGACAAGATCAAGAACGTGTACATGGAGAACGCCCTCCCGCAGTCCGAGTGCGACGGTGAAACCGTCGCCAGCGTGCGCGCCGAGTACCGTGCCGCGCGCAAGCAGTCGGCCTGCGCGCTGGACACTATCCTGCTGGGCATCTACTCGGTTTACCTGACCGTGCAGGCCTCCTTCACGTCGGACGCTGCGTCGCAGGCCGAGCTCGACCGCCAGGCTCTGCTGGCATCATGCACCAGCGAGTACCACGAGGCGTACCGCCAGAAGTTCGGCGGCCTCGTGCGCGTGGCCTCGTTCCTGGGCATCAGCGCGCACATCACGGCTGTGTACCTGGCGTACTTCCTGGCCATCTTCGACTGGGACGTCATCTTCTACATGCAGTTCTACCCGCTCGTGCTGCTCAACATCGTGCTCATCGGCGTCCTCATCCAGTACCAGCGCACCGGTATGGCCACGTTCACGCCCAAGGACGCCGCTTTCTAAGCGTTCTACGTACGGTACGATAGTGCCGAGCGTTTTTGGCTGGCCATTTATGATCAGAGCAGAGCCCCCTGCGGAGGATCCACTATAGGAGTCAAGCTAGCGAGTAGCGATGTAGATATCGATCCTAGCACACTGCAAGCCCCCAAACATGTATGCTTACACTTATCACTGAGACCGAGTTCGCTCCGAGGTATAGTTAGTTCATTTGGAAGAAGTACATTCATCAAAGGCGGTCTACGACTAAGTTCTTGCTTCGGCCGCAAGCACGCATCACCGCTTACCCATACTGAAGAGCACCGGGAAGTTCATCCTGCTCGGGATGGCGATCGAGAAGAACAGCAGGAAGACAAGCCCCAGCGCCTGCACGAAGTACAGCAGACTCTGGTCGAACGGGAACGCCTGCTCGAAGTAACCCAGCAGAGCGAACAGCGCCGGAGAAGCGGCGCTGGCGATGAAGTGGGCCACGTACCGAACACGTTGCGCTGCGCGATGCACAGCTAGCCGCCGATCGACGGCAATGGAGTTGTCCAGCAGCTGCATGATACCGTGCGAGGCCACACCAGCCACAAGCTGCTTCACGATAAGCACACCAACCACCATGAACCACGAGAAGGGCAGTTCGTCCACCTTGAACAGATCGATGAGCGGGAAGCAGCCTAGAATGGGGACTTGGAGCAGCAGACCAACGCGCAGCGTGGCCAGAGGCGTCATCACGTTCCGCGAAGAAGAGCAGATAGCAGCCGACATGATCTGACCCACGAGAACAGCAAGGGACAGCGAGGCAAACGTTCCAGCCACCGTGAGAGTGATAGACGACACCGTAGATCTCGCCGATGGCGGCTCAGCGTGAACGCTACCGCCAAGAGTGATCGGGTTCTGCTTGAAAAACCACAGCGGCAGCATCTCGTCGAAGCTGAGCTGCACCATTGACCAGAAGAAGAAGACGAGCAGCACCAGACACGCCAGCGGCTCACGCGTGATCGCCAGCTCAGGCATCGGCGTGTCTGCCACTTTGGGGGAAGGCCGAGTCGGCTTTACAGGCTTCTTCTCGAGCGGCTGGTACGTCCCAGAGTTGGCAGCACTGCTACGGGCCACAGCCTCCGTCTTTGGCGACGGGGTAGATTGCGAGTGAACCACCACGGACACTACAGGTTCTTGGTCCTCTAGGTCCTCGACACCCTGCAGTCCATACTCCGAGCAGTCAAAAAAGGCCTCTTCGTCACTACCTTCATCGCTCATGGTCGAACGGATGCTGCTGGCGCGTGAACGGCTGACAGCTGTGTGCCGCGAGCGCGGGGTGGCTACAATTTCGAGTGTGCGCTCCAAAGATGCAGTTGTTCGCTTGAGCAGGTCGTCCAGTGAGCGCTCTTGAGCACTCTTGCCGATCTCAACGCCGTTGCGTCCGCCATAACGCTGAGGCAGACTGTCAACGCCGATAAGTGCAATCAAATCTTGCGTGGCCGTCTCCTTCGCCAGGAACGACACCTTGTCCGCTGTGCGCTTAGCGAGATGAGGGCGAATACTTGTCATAACTTGTGAGAACCACACAGGGGAATTCAGGACTGCTAGAGCATGTAGACGCTCAGGCAGCTCGCGCTGCAGCGTTTTCACTACAGCACAGACACTGTCCACTGCACGAGCGTCGGCATCACGGAGCGAGAGGCCGTCCAGGTCAACCACATACACGATCTTCTGGGTCGGCGTGCGCAGCAGCGTCTCCTGTGCGAAGGCCAAGAAGAAGCGGTAGTGGTTACGAAGGTCCGCAGTCGTGAAGCCAGCAGCGTTGAGCTTGTCCATCTTGACACGCCCCACGAAATCCCATACGACCAGGTGTCCATCTGAAGTGTAGCCGTGGAAGTAGTGGGGCAGAATGCCGCGAATCAGTCGGAAGTGAGGCTGCGGAGTCGCCAACAGCTTGATCGTCGCCAACTTTGCCGGCGAGTTCATCGCCTTCTTGATGCCCAAGCTCACGGCAGTTCGACTAAAGGTTTCCTCGAACGCCGACTTGACGTGGGCCACAGTGGTGGCCATGGGGCTTCCGCTTTCACTGCTGCTCGTGCTGCTCGTGTTCAAACTCGTGGACGACCGTGGCGACGACTGCGTGTCAATCTGGATCTGCGGCATGAAGTTCAAAAAGTCGTCGTCCTCTTCGGCGAGCTGCGTGTACGACGTTCGGCTCCGCAGATGCAGAGCCACCAGCATCACCATGACGGCGATCCACGCGAGGATCGACACGAAGCAGAACGGGTAGAAGTACAGCGACGAGTCTCTCACGACCGGGTCCTCGTTGGCGCTCCGCGGTAGTTTGACGCCGAGCGTGATGAACGCGAACGTGCAGATAGCTCCGATGCCCACTCCCAGCGTCCTGGTCACGAGCGCCAGCTTGGTCTGTCGGTTGCCGCAGATGTTGTCGATCTCAATGAGCGCCACGGGCACCACGCCGCTGCTGAGTCCCGTCGCGAAGCGCACGAGGGACATGGCCACCAAGCTCTTGCACAGCAGCAGACTGAAGAAGCCCGCGCCAGTCACGGCCAGTCCCCACAGAATCACGCCCTTGCTGCTCTTCAGCGAGCGCGCCAAGTTGATCCAGAAGCCGCAGCTCAGCGCGTGGCCCAAGAAGCCCGAGCCGGACACGATGGCTGTGTAGAAGCCCAGGCGGTGGAAAGACGTCTCCGGGTAGAAATGCAGCGTCAGCATGGGCCCCAGCACCAGCACCACGGTCTGTGCGATGTACTCGATCATGGCGCAGGCCATGAGGAACAGCATGCGGGCGTTGACGCCTCCGCAGCAGCCGAAACACGCCATGGCCGTCGACTTCTTCGATTTCTGCGTCGATCTGGGGGGCTACAGCGCTTGAGATGGCACCAATCGGTGGCACTGATGAAGCTCCTTCGGGACGGGTTGGAGCACGCGAGAATTTCCTAGCGGGAGGGCACGCAGACGACCGCGGAGGGGAGGCGGGAGGGCGCCGCTTGCTGTCCAAGTGAGCGCGAAGTGGTCAGCAGGTCTTATCAACTGGGAGAGGTCGTGGTGTCATCTGATTGGATGAAAAGGTTTTGTGTTCGGTTCAACTCGATGTTGAAGCCAAAATGATACAAACGCACTACAAGCTGCAGCAGCCCCTGCCTAAGCCTAATAGACCTTTAGAATGGAGCGCACGGGTGCGCGGCACATCGGACAGGCCTTGGACGTGTGCATGATGGTCTTGAGGCAGCCCGCACAGCCGGCCTGGTGGCCGCACGGCGTGCAAATGGCGTTCCTGCGCGCCACGTCGCAGATGCCGCACAGGTCAGGCTGCGAGTCGCCGGACTGGGGCTGCTGAGCTTGAGAAGGCTGCGATCGCTCTTCTTGCTCTTCGTTCACTTCATCGTCGTCATCATCGTTGTTGTTTCCTTCGTCTTGTGGTTCCTGGTTCGAGCTCTCCTGCGGCTGCGATGCTTGTGACCCGTCGTCGGTCACTAAGAGGACGCCCGTCGCAAACTCGGGCCCCGCAGTGTCAAGCACGCTGCCGCTGACGATGCTGACACTGGAGTTCGTCTGCTGGCCGTCAATATACGGTGATTGTGCAGCCAACGGCACCTCGACGTACTTCACTGGGTGCTGGGGCGTGGAATGGACTCGGTTGGGCTCGCGGCTGTCGACGACCCTGGACATATCAGGCCGTCGCACGGGCGTAGGTCGCCTTTGGAAGTTAGGCGGCAGCTCACTGACGGAATCCTCGTTGCCGGGCTCTGGAGCTCGTGCCGGTGCTTGCGATGGATCCGGTGCTGGTTGACGTGGGGCGTCCTGGACTCCGTCTGCCTGGCGCTGCTCGAATGTGGCCCGGAGACGCTGATAGAGAGGGTCGTTGGCTTCTTCTTGCTGCTGCTCCTGCTCCCTCAAGATCGAAGAGCGGAGGTTCTCCACCAGCTCGTGCGGCCAGTAGTACAGCTCGCCATTCTGCGTCTCGAACAGCGACGTCCTGTACAGTGACGATCGGCTCTCGCGCGAGTAGAAGTTGGAGCTCTGCAGCACGCGGCGCCACTGGGCGAGGTTGTTCAAGCTGTCGGCAGCGAAGACAAAGTGGAGGGTCTGGACGTCGTCCAGACTCATCGTCTTCCGGCATATCGGCGAGCGGGTGAACTTCTGTCTCTTTACGCGGTGGCACATGACGGGTTTGTCGAAGACGAACGCGTTGTCACGCTGGAGCCACGAGTAGCTGTCCGTGGACGGAAAACGTGCCATCCGAGCAGCCTCGTCCACGAGCATAACCATATCCGGGCGTAGATCTCCCGGGCGACGGAAGATGCAGAGCTCCGTGGACGTGCGCTGCTTGTTGCAGGCAAGCACGACAGCCCAGCGCTTTTTCCAGCGGAACTTCCCGCGCAGATACAGCCAGCCAGCGTGCACCTTCATGTGCTCGAGGAGAACTGCGCCAACCACTTTGCGACCGTTCTGGCGGGCGATGTCGAGAGGGGTGAAGCCCTTGCGATTGACAGCAAAGGCATCGGCCCCTGCCTCCAGCAGCGTCTCAGTTGTCAGCGAGTCTCGGTTCGTCATCGCGGCATAGTGCAGCGCCGTGTTCTTCAGCCTGGTATCATCAACGTCGTTCACATCCGCTCCCGCAGCGATGAGCTTGGCCACCACCGGCTCGCCGCATCTGCAATTAGCGGCCTCCATGAGCGGCGTGGTGCCTTTGCGATGGTGCTTGAAGTTGACGAGGTTGCGCGCCACGGCATCGGACTCCTCGATCTGCTCTTGGACTTTGACTTCGTCGCCAGCCCTGGAAAGCTTCCAGAGCAAGAGGAAGTCGTTGCGGGGAATGGGCATTGAAGATGGATGCGCAAGATGATGATGAGAACTGATGGCTGTCAAGCGAATTTGAAACTGAGGACCGGCGGCGCATGTGTGTTTGTGGTGATGGAGACGCTGTGAGACGAAGTGCTCGTGCAATGTTGGACGCTGGAGACAGCCATTTCGAGCGGATACATTTTGTGACAAGCAACTTCAACTTGGATACTAATTTTGAGCAAATGTATCCGTTTGGGAACACCCAGCACTGCTGGCTTGCATTGAAGCGCATCACACCACAGGAACATGCTGTGCGATCGCGCTCGCGAGTACGGCATCAGGAATTTCCTGAGGAAACCACACGTGGCGGGAGACCTGCCGCAAACGGTTCGCGATCGAGTCGCTGCTATCGACAGTAGCCTGCAACCAGCGGCCACCAACCTGCTTCGGGGCTTGACAATTCGTACGATCTCCATCTACCGGCACGCACGATACGATATGCAGTGTTCGTCGCGTTCTGACCGAAGCGGGGGGGGCATGAGCTGCTTCACGTTGTACGCAGTTTACAATCTTGTTGTAATAGCTTAACACTTCGAAAACAAGTAGTAGACTCGAATTAGCATGTCGAGTCCCGTTAGATGTGCATTGCTTTCCACCTTGCGTTGACACAGGCCGGGGTTAGTTCATTGCATACCAGCTTGATATGACCGCCTTCAATGTTTGCATTGACATCGCACAACAATGTTCTGCTGTACATTAGTGCCCACGCAAGCAAAAACTTACAGGCAACGTTGAAACGAAACACACAGATCATTTAGTTGTGACGAAATCACATTCATTTATAACATGCTCTCGACTTGTGAAACTAACTGCTTCAAGCTACACTTGTACTCGTAACTAATTAGTTTCCACCGCGAAGGCGAAGCACCAGGTGGAGAGTCGACTCCTTCTGGATGTTGTAGTCGCTCAGCGTGCGGCCGTCCTCGAGCTGCTTGCCGGCGAAGATCAGACGCTGCTGGTCAGGCGGGATGCCCTCCTTGTCCTGGATCTTTTGCTTGACGTTGTCGATCGAGTCCGACGGCTCCACGTCCAGCGTGATCGTCTTGCCAGTCAGGGTCTTCACGAAGATCTGCATGCCACCACGCAGACGCAGCACCAGGTGGAGAGTCGACTCCTTCTGGATGTTGTAGTCGCTCAGCGTGCGGCCGTCCTCGAGCTGCTTGCCGGCGAAGATCAGACGCTGCTGGTCAGGCGGGATGCCCTCCTTGTCCTGGATCTTTTGCTTGACGTTGTCGATCGAGTCCGACGGCTCCACGTCCAGCGTGATCGTCTTGCCAGTCAGGGTCTTCACGAAGATCTGCATGCCACCACGCAGACGCAGCACCAGGTGGAGAGTCGACTCCTTCTGGATGTTGTAGTCGCTCAGCGTGCGGCCGTCCTCGAGCTGCTTGCCGGCGAAGATCAGACGCTGCTGGTCAGGCGGGATGCCCTCCTTGTCCTGGATCTTTTGCTTGACGTTGTCGATCGAGTCCGACGGCTCCACGTCCAGCGTGATCGTCTTGCCAGTCAGGGTCTTCACGAAGATCTGCATCTTCTTGGGGTGTGTCTTGTGTTGGGGTCTTGGTTGTTGAGCTCAGGAAGCAAATTGCAGAATGAGGAAAGGCACCAGCCTCGAGGTAAAGTCAACCCAGCGCCGCCGTCTGCGACGTGTGCGCGCGTCGTTTCCCGTCCAAAAATAGTCTCGAAACTTCCCTTCCCGTTCCAGACCCCCAACGGCATACAAAACGACTGTTGCGGATTTCGCAGAAAAGATTTCTGATCCTGGTGGCCTACACTCTCGATGCGACAAAGGGCGCAATCAATCCCGGACAACACCATCCGAGGCTGACGTCGACATGTTGCACGGAGCTGCTGTGCTTGCTTGTGCGAGTGAATGCATCCGTCGGCACCGCCGCGGGAAGATAATGTCTCCCAAACAGAGCCACGGCGACTCCATCCATCAACGTAGCGCTGGCGAGCGCTGCTGCTGCTCATGGCGAATTTGGGCCAGCCTCTGCAGGGCATGTCCTACTTTTTGGCGAGCGGGCGCGGCCCCGCTTGCAGCATGACCTTCTTGGTGCTCTCGTCTCTTCAGCTGGTATGAAGTGCAGCTGGAGGAAGCTTGAGCACCTGCATGCTCACACATGTTGTGGCAGCTGGTTTCAGCTTCACCTTTAGCCCTGTTGAAGCCTCCGTCGCGAAAGAGGCAAGATCAAAGCGGTCCTGGCACGTGGCGCCGATAGATAGTGCAAGGTTCGCTTCAAAATGGCAAACATGCAAAAAACACAGCGGCATTTCTGCTCATGTATTCACTTCGTCACATCACACAGCAGAGGCTTTTACAGGTCGGGCAGGTCGTCCATCTGAGGCTGGCTGGGCGTCACGGTCTTGGTGGTGAAGTACACGAATCCTTGCAGCGTGGCGACCAGCAGGTTGTATAGCACGATAAACTTGGTCCAGCCGGCGTACTCGTACGTCTGCGCGCACAATACAGCAAAGAACAGAATTGTTGCTGCGCGGCCAATGTAGTTGCCCAGGAAGGGCAGGTACATCTCCACGCTCACGCCGTTCACCACGGACTTGAGGTCGTACAGAATGATCGCTGCACCTACAAGTCACGACGCAAATGCCAACAAACAGCCATTAGTCCACATCGCAGCTCGAAATGATCTCGACTGCAGAGCACGTACCGAATGCCATGGTGTACAAGCCCAGTGAGACTGCAACACCGTATCGCAAGCACACAAACCACACGATTAGAGTCTTCACAGCATCACAACGCCCGCACTAGAAGCCTTACCGGCTGCATATGTGAAGTGGATGAGCATGCCGAAGCCCTGGATGATGGTGAAGGCGGCGGCGAGCGTGTACATGCCGCTGAAGACAATGTCCACCGTGATGCCCTGGTCGCCATCATTCTCTTCGCCCTGGCCTCCGCCCCATCCGGCGCCAGCGCCGCCGCCGTAGCCCTGAGGCTGGTACTGGGGCACTGCGTACGGATGCACGTTCGGCGCTGCATACGGCAGCTTCTGCTGCTGTTGCTGCGGACGGATCCCCTGGCCTCTCGGTGCCTCCTCCTTCTCCTCTTCGGCGCCGGCGTCCATCGGCGGATTGCGCATCATGCGGTTGGCGCCGGCACTTCCTGGCCGCGGAGGCGCGACGTCCTCCTGCGGGTCCACGAGCGGCTGCTTCAGCTCTTCGTCCGGGAGGTCCATGGCGTCTGGTTAGGCGCTAGTGAACGGGGATCCTTCTTTGACAAGTGATTGCGACTTTTCTTCTTGACGTTTTAAGTGCAAATTAGCCTAATACGTAGTAATTAGTGCTAAATCCTACGACGACGACTTCAACATGTCTTTCTGGACAATTAGCCAGCGCTTCCTCACTTGGACGATGAATCGATGCCTATGGAGATTTGTGACCGTTAGTTCAGCCTGCATGATCCCATCCAAGTCAGACTACACACGGCTTACCGTTGAGCTGCTCAAGTGCGAGCATGAGGGACTGCGTTCCGAGGCGACCGTGGCCTTGAGCCTTGACGGCAACGTAGAGCTGGTTGGCAAGGGCGAGCCCAGGCAGCGACAGGTTCATCCTGGTTGAACAAAACAATAAAGGTCAGCATGCGTTTCGCATCAACCGACCGGTCGAACCGAGTAACAAGACCGTGTCCTCACCGCTCGGCCTCCTTCAGTGCAATGCCCATATCCTTGACAAAGTGCTCCACGAAGAAGCCAGGGTCGAAGTTGCGCTTAGCAATTCGAGGTCCGAGGTTACTGATGGACCAGGAGCCTGCGGCGCCCGCACTCACAGCACGGATAGCCTCCTCCACGTCGAGGCCGCTCTTCCGCGCGTACAGAAGGCCTTCGACAACGCCGATCATGTTGGTGGCGATGAGGATCTGGTTCACCATCTTGGTGTGCTGACCGGCGCCCGCGCCGCCCATGTGGCGAATGTTCTTGCCCATGATTTCGAACAATGGCATTGTCGACTCCACGGTGTTGGCATCTCCACCGACCATGATCGAGAGCGTTCCCTCACGGGCGCCGACGTCGCCGCCCGACACGGGGGCATCCAGACTCGAGACACCCTTCTGCTTGGCAGCCTCGTAGATCTCCTTGGCCAGCGAGGGTTCGCTGGTGGTCATGTCGACAATGACACCACCCGACTTGATGGAGGACAGCACACCCCACTCGGGGTCCAGGAACACCTTGCGCACGTCGCTCGGGTAGCCCACGATGCCGAACACGATGTCTGCAACGACAACCTCCAGGGTCAGCACCGAGCTATTGAAACGTGAGTACCAGTAGCCATGGTAACTCACCGGAAACTTTGGCCACCTCAGCAGGGGAGCTGGCGACCTGCGCGCCCTGCTCCTTGAGACCCTCGCACTTGGACAGCGTGCGGTTGTACACCGTCACCTCATAGCCGTGCTTCTACTCCGCCGCAACAGCCAACCCAAGTCAGCCGACCGATCCCTTCCTCTTCGCGAGTGCATGCTCAACGTACCAGGATGTGGCCGACCATGCTGGCACCCATGACGCCCGTTCCAATCCATCCAACTCTGCATATCCAATACATCGAGAGCGTTTAACAGCCCGCCCCTTCTAGCATGTCAAGTACGCAACGAGCACAGTCGTACTTCGGCTTCACAGCGACTACCATCGTCTTCTTCTTCGTTGAGATCTTCCGGCGCGAGCGCTTAATGAAAAGTGGGGATTGAAAAGCATGTCATTCCTGCTTGGTCCGTCATTGGCCGAAATGCCATCGTAGCCTGTTGAACAACGGAGCGGCCCACGTCACTTCAACGAGTGCAGTCTCCTCTACGCAAAGCTTGGCAAGTGGCTTGCTGATGTGTGGATCGAGGACGTGGAGCTTTGCGGTTGGCCTACATCCCAACATTGAGAGCGGAAAAGGTGCTGGCAAGCTCCAGTCGCGAGTGATGACTTGGCCAACGTGCATTGAAGTCAAGCAAAATGGCGCATCGTGTCGGATTGCGATTTATAGTGACCAGTCAATTTGATACGGAGACAAAGTGCAAACGACATCTCTTGCTGGTAAGAAGTGAAGCCGTGCGGGCGGCGGTACTATCTCGTGCTTCCGGGCAGCACAGGACCAGTCGCTTGCTCTTTGGTCGAATGGCAGGATGATGCGGACAGATTTCTACACCACCTCCACGTCGTTGGCTTTCTCCGGATAAATACCTGCAGCAGCGCATCGAACGTTAGCAATTCCAATTCACAACTTTGGTAGTGTTCAACACCTGATTCGCACCATTTAACTGTTCCAATGCAAGCATCAGTGCTTGCGTTCCCGAACGGCCGTGTCCTTGAGCCTGCACCAACGCAACGATTCGTTATCAGTTGGTCAATTCAGACAGAATGATGTTGCACGTAAAGCCCAATGTACCTTTACAGCAATGTACAATTGATGCGCCAGCGAAAGCCCAGGGAGTGATAGGTTCATCCTGCCATAGCACGTCATTTAAAACGGTATACTTCAGTCATGAGTAGCAACTACAGTGAAACACACGACATACCTCTCCGCTTCCTTCAAAGCGATGCCCATGTCCTTGAGGAAATGATCCACGAAGAAACCAGGATCAAAATCACGCTTGACGATGCGAGGTCCCATGTTGCTGATCGACCACGAACCAGCCGCGCCAGCACTCACGGCTCGAATAGCTTCATCCATGTCGAGGCCACTTTTCTTCGCGTATAGAAGACCTTCTACGACGCCAATCATGTTCGTGGCAATCAGGATCTGGTTCATCATTTTCGTGTGCTGCCCTGCACCAGCGGGTCCCATGTGGCGAACGGTCTTGCCCATAACGCTCAGAAATGGCATCGTTACGTAAACCGAATCCATATCACCGCCAACCATGATAGACAGCGTTGCGTCACGAGCGCCAACGTCGCCTCCAGATACTGGAGCATCCAGCGTCGACACACCTTTATCTTTGGCGATGTCATAGATCTTCTTGGCCAACGCAGGCTCGCTAGTCGTCATATCGACGATGATACCGCCAGCTTTCATTCGAGAAAGCAAGCCCGAGTCCGGATCAAGCACCACCGATTTCACGTCGCTTGGGTAGCCAACCATGATGAACACGATGTCTGTCGATCGAGCAGAACATCAGGCGGTTAGTTGATAGCAAAATGATAACGCGCTGACAAGGTTGCTTACCAGAATTCTGGGCTACTTCAGCAGGGGAACCAGCCACCCTCGCTCCCTTTTCCCGTAACCCCTCGCATTTTGAGAGCGTTCGGTTATACACAGTGACTTCGTAGCCGTGGTTCTTTAGAATAAAACAAGATGAGCACACAATAAAACATTCTGCTGCTAGCAATGCAGTTTAGGACGTACCATCAAATGCCCACACATACTAGCACCCATGATTCCTGTTCCAATCCAGCCAACACTGTCCGAACGAGCAATCACGTAAGTAAATGCATCACTAGGTTAAGAAAACAAAATCGTACACGCGTACCGAATTTTGACTCGGGAAGGCGTAATGAGGTCGAGCGTCTGGGCTTGAAACAGCGCTACAACATCACAATCACCACCCGTCAGTAATTAAACCACATCAAAGCCCACGCTGTCTGCGCAGGGCACATTTTGTCAATCGGGCAGCATCGTACGGTTCGTCTTCAAGGTCGGGTCCTCCAGATCCGGATGCACGGGTGTAGCGATCTGCTGTTCTACAGGTGGAACCGTCGCGGCAGGAGGAGACGCAACAACGTGCTCTTCCTTCGCTCGGCTCGGAGGGTTTGGCACGACCAGCTCGTCGTCGATCACAACGCGGCTTTCCGAATACGACTTGAACAGGTGCTCGCTCAGACGATGGTTGTGTTTGTTAATCTGTGCCACAACACGGACCACATACTTGCTCCTGCCCTGTCCCTCCGGATCATTCGGTTTGCGCTCCGAAATGCAAGCTCGAATCATCGCGGGGCATCCCATGTAGCGATAGTGCTGCCTCGGTCGCTTTCCCTTTCCGCGAGGCTTCGTCTTGACTCCGTGCGTGCACAGGTAGAGCTTCTTCACAAACCCGACGCTCTCGTCAATGGGTTCCTTCAGGCTGTTCCTCTTGGCAGCCCGAGAGTTGACTGCTTTAGCGGAGTCCGACGTCCGCAGTCGCATCGGCTGGTGCGTGGCCTCGCAGTACTCCTCCATGGCCTGGTGGAACTCCTCCCACGAGTCGAAGCACTGCTCCATGCCCACGCACTGCACAAGCGCCTGCTCCTCCTCAGCCATAGGCAGCAGGCGGTTTGGGTCCTCTTGGGTCTCCTCTTCCTCGTGCTCCTCGTGCAGCTCTGCGTCGGCCTCGCGCTTGCCCAGAATCGTGAAGGCCGCCGGTGACTGCTGCTGCAGCGTCATGGCCTCGCTCACGCTCGCTTGGGCCTCTGCAATGGCGCTCGCATCGGTGTCAGGTGCGATCGCGTTCAAGCTTTCAGTATCGTCCTTCGAGGGCGTCGAGAAGTCCGCGCTGCCGTCGGCGCGGCGGCGCTCCTTGCTCGACTCCATCGGCTCGAAAAATGGGGGCAAATTTGAGTTGTCGCAAATTTAGGCGCGGGAGTCACAAATCAACCTACAAGACCAAATCTTGTAGGTTAGCTCAAGCCGTTTTTAGGTTGCAACCTGTAAGTTCTCACTGCTCGCTGCTGATTGGCGAAAAAATGTTTTTGCGCTTCCAGAGGCAACAAAACCGACATGGCTGACGGGAACTACAGCCTGCGCAGCCGTCGATCCCGGCGCTCGGCGTCGACGTCTTCGGAGGACTCGGAGGACTTGGAGCCATTTCCGAGACGCAGCACTCGACACTACGGCGACTATACGCCAGAGCCCGTGCAGCGTACGCTGGAGCTGCGCTCTGGAGACCTGGAGGACGACGACGAAGAAGATGAGGACAGCGACTTTGAGGAGCTGGACGACTACCGCGGCACAGTGTACCGCAGCACGACGTACCGTCCTCCGCAGGTAGACGCAGGAGATGTGAACGAACCTGAGAGCGTCCACGAAGAGGAGGAAGAGGAGGACGTAGACGAGCACGAGCACGAGACGTCGGGGCCTGACGTGCGACGCTCCGAGCTCAAGCGACGAGCGGCGGGGGCTGCCGCTTACTTCAAGCAGCCGCAGAACGCTGGTGGACTGTGGCAGAAGATTACAAGCTCCAAGGTCGTGAAGACGACGCTCAAGCTGCTACGGCGACTGTGGCGCTTCGTGCTGCGCAACTCGTTCATGGCGGTGAATGTGCTGTGGCTGCTCGCGCCGCTCTGCTGCTTCGTGATTGCAATTACAGTCCCGCAGTACTTGACGACGGCGATCCAGTATGTGGACGTGCTGTCGTCCAAGGTGATTGGGGTTCGAGGAACTGCGGATGCTGGCTTGGAGAAGGGAGCGATGCGGTCACTCGTGCAGGAGATCGTTGACGTGAAGCTCGTGGGGATGAACGAAGAGATTGGAGTGTTGCGGCAGACTGTACAGACTCAGGAGCGTGAGATCGAGGCACTGAAACTCCTTCATGACACGTTGCGTCATTCCCATGATGAAGCTCAGCAAAAGTTCAGCCTAGCAGAATCTGACAGTGCTATCACCGTCCACATTGAGAAAGTTGTTGCCAAGCACACGGATGAACTGGTCAGTGCTTGCTATGTTGCTGATTTATGATGGTGGTGGACACTTACGCTTACGGTTGTGCATGTTCCGTAACGTTCGTTAGTGGGAGAAATTCATGGACACCACTGCGCGCCTACAGCAAGATGTTCGCATCGCAACGAAGCAACAGTCGGTGCTCTCATCGGTAGTGAAAGAGCAGGAAGAAAAGATGGACGTACGTTTGATTCATGTATTTCCCTGCACTGACGTTGGGTCATCAACTGACCATTTCTTGTTGCTCTGCACTTTGGATAGTCCGTGGAAAACATCGTGAAGAAGACAGTTGAAGCGACCGCAGATGCTGCCGATGATCATGCACGTGAGCGTGACATGCAGAGAGAATTCATCGCCTGGCGTGACTCATTTGAGCGCGATCTGAAGTCCGAGATGAAGAGTAAAGTACAGGACATCGAGGACCGGATGTCCAAGGTGCTGCAGGAAGAGAAGCAGGCACTTTCGTCGAGTGCAGACGCTCTCCGCGGTCTGGATGCCACTGATCCAGGGATCCTCCGCGTGATTGAGGTAGCGGTCCAGGCTGTTGAGATCAAGAAAACGGGGCGAGTAGACCACGCCGCTCTTGCCAATGGTGCCTCTGTTATTCACTCGGAACGGTACGTCATCCTTATGCCGGAGCGCACCCGGGCGGATACTGATTGCTTGTTTTCACACGTTTCATTTACAGTGACCTACTCTACCAGGAGAGCTCGTCACCGGTGCAGCTCTTGACTCAGCTTTTTGGACTGTACAACGTTGGGGATGATGGTAGATTTACGTCTCCTTCATTCCGCCACGCTCCAGCTCCATTCCTGGGACAGTTGTTGTCATCGGGCGAAATTCCTTGGTGGCTATCACGCCATAACGGCCGTCCAGAAACTGCCCTATCGGTATGTGATGGCATTGCTGCCCTAAATCCCTTCCTCGATTCTCATTTTTGCGCTTACTTTGTGTAGGAAACAATGGAAATGGGTAGTTGCTGGGGCATTTCGGGTTCATCGGGTCGTCTATCGGTGAAGTTTGCTCAACAAATTGTTGCAGACGCCATCACCATCGATCACATCCCGGCCCAAATCGCCTCTGACTTTTCCTCTGCTCCGAACGAGTTCCGCGTTCTGGTACGTGGATCTTAATGCAAGTTATCCTTATCGTCGATATGCCACTAATCCTCACTTGCCTTGTAGGGTATATCGGGCCATCCGCTGCGTGAGACTGTTGAATTTGTTCCCTTTGGAAACTTTTCATACGCCAGCAACGGACCTGCCAGCCAGACCTTCAAGCTGACGTCGCCTCTGGTGCGTACTCTTGAAAGTCTTGTGTATGTGTACCTTATAGATCGTGGCTAACGGTGACACGTTATGCGCAAGCAGAGTCAGCGTTCAGCAATCGATGGCATCACCCTAGAGGTGCTGTCAAACCATGGCAACCCCGAGTATACGTGCCTGTATCGCTTTCGGGTGCATGGTCAACCTGCTTGACTTAAGCAACGAAGTACAGATAAGATACTCAGCACCAGCATCTGAATCAACGCAATTTATTCTATGAAATCGTGGCGTATTTGGATGCTGCACGCAACAGCGTCTGCTTTTCCCCCATTCGGATGTGCAGGCACGATCGAAGCCACGGTGCCATTTGCTGCTCGTTTCCACGCAGGAACACGTCGTCCTCCTACCGAGAACACATCAGGGCGACGGTTAAATGCCAAAGCGAATCGACCCAGCAACCAAAGATGCCGGCTTACCTCGAATGATGACGTGTGTTGCTTTAGTCGAGATGCCAGCACCTTGCCAACTTCAGACCGAACTTTGTGCGTCAACGACGAAGGAAGCCTCAGCGAACTGGTCGCAGCTTCCGGAGACCCCTGCGACGCTGCTTGTCTAAAGATCTCGTTCAGCTCTTCAGGTGTAGCGAGCATAACTTCCAACCAGTGCTTAGCGTTTTGGGCAAGGCTCCCATCGTTCTGAAATCTCAGGCTGTTGAGAGCTGGCATGGCTGACTGACTTCCAGTCGCCGAGAAAAGCAAGTCGCGCTTTTGGGCGAAAGCCGGGTCTGCTTCATTTGGTTGTTGCAGTGCTGCAGGCATCGGAAGATTGACGACATCGTACGGATTGTTTGGCATCGTAAATCCGTAGTTGCGGAGCAAGCGGAGGTTTCCGTGGCTGCCGTAGTTGATGAAGAGCTGTTCACCAGGTTCATATGATCTCGTAGTATGAATCGTGAAACCCTTCTGCATATCAAAGTCCTGAACGCATTCATCACTATCCAACGCATGACGGCAATTGTCAGAACTGGATACCGATACTAAACAGCACGCACACAATCAAATCGAAGACCATACCCGTTACCAGCGTGGTTGAACCAGTCGAAGAAAGGAATGAGCGCAAATGGCTGATTCTGGCCAGAAGTAGCGCGCGACATCAAGATCGAGATGGCCCAGAAGAACGCTTCTGCGTTCACAAACTGGTTGTTGGCCCCAAACAAGTGCTTGTAAACTTGGGAGTAAAACCGCGCTCTGCAATGACAACACCAGCCACATACTCATAGCATCTCAGCACCCTGGTCACCAGTGGTGGTGACTCACCACCCAACAGCTTCATCATCCTACGTACCCATGCTGCATCGCTCGCCGCGCCTCCTCGCAGCCTTGCAGCTCTTCAAACTGCTTGTCATCCCAGTACAGCGGCAGATCCACGTATCGAGGCAAGGCGTTGACGTACAACTCGTCCAGAGGCGGAGTGTTCATGCTCGCCATGGCCATCAGTGACGTCTCAGGGTTCTCCGAGTGGGGGAAGTTCACCAGCATATGCACCCCAAGCACCAGCGCGCTTGGCACAAAGGACGATCCCTCTCTCAGTACTCTGCTGGACGCCAGTAGCTGGTTCAATTGGTTTAGGAAGCCCGGGGCCTTTTGCTGCGCAGTCTCCAGCGCATGCTCGGCCGAGAACGGATACCACACGTCTTCGCCGGCCTGGAACACCAGCGTGTCCTTCGGGATGTGCTCGCGCGCCACGACCCCCACGCCCATGCCGGGTATCGAGCGAGCCTCGATGGCGCTGGAGACGACACCGCCGCGGGTGCGGCGCACAGCGTCCGCGACGCGCTTGAGAGCCACCTCCATCGTCGAAATGTACGGGATAGATCTGCTTGTAGCACGTCACAGATAATGATGTGGTTCACTCCAATTACATAAATTCTGGTCGGCTTAAACTGTCCGATACGCAATCAAAACAACGCATAGCGAGACACTTGTCCGGACAGTGGGTCTAGTGTTTTGATGCGCATTTTCGTTGGTGGCCATAATTCAATCGACGTTCTCGGATTGGTACATTCACAGCGCGTGACCATGGCGGAGCAGGCGACGGCGGAGCAGGTCAAGTCCATGGAGGAGCTGGTGTCGTTCCTGTCGCACCCGCGGCCGGAGCTGCGCAAGTCGGCGTCCAGTCTGCTCATCAACATGACGGCGTCGGACCAAGGCATGTTCCAGCTGCTGCAGCTCAAGAAGTTTGACGTGGTGCAGGCGCTTTGCCGCGTCGTGAGCGACATGCGCCCCATTGCGGAGGACGCCATCAAGGCGCTCATCAACCTCACGGCCGCCAACCCGGGCGCCTGCGAGCGCGCGCTCAAGTACGACCTGCTGAACCGCGTCATGACCCAAGTGGAGGACGAGGAGTGGCGCCTGACCGACTACTCCATGATGCTGCTGGCCAATGTGACCACGACGCCCGAGGGCGCCAAGGCGCTTCTCGGCTACGACGAGAAATCCACGCACGGTACGATCGCGGTGCGTGAGAGGAAGATCCGCAAGCTCACCAACTCGTTCCTGGAAGGCGAGCCCGAGCCCGATGGAGTGGACAGCTCCTCAGGCGAACCCAAGTGGGACGACGAGTACCAGTACGTGGCGAACATTCTGGCCAACATCAGCCAGCTGGAGCAGGGCCGCGACTTTCTGCTCAAGATGCGTCAGAGCACGTCGCTGGCCGGTGCGCTTCTGCCGCAGCTCAAGTCGCCCAACGTCGTGCGTCGACGAGGTGTCACTGCTGCGCTCAAGAACCTGTGCTTCGACACGGACAACCACTTCTACCTGTATGACCAGCTGGACGTTCCTACGCACATGATGGTCTTGCTGGCTGGACCTGAGGAGCTGGATGAGGATGACAAGATTGGCATGAACCCGGTCGTGTACAGCCAGGGCGACAAGAAGAAGCGCGAGCACGACCGACTGGTGCGCCTTGCGGCTGTGGACTGCTTGCTGCTGCTGTGCACGACCCGCAATGGCCGTAAGGAGCTGCGTCGCAAGAAGGTGTACCCGATCATTCGTAACGCGCACTTGGAGGAGCCCGACGAGGAAATCGGCGACCAGATCTACAAGCTTGTGGATTTCCTGATCCGTGACGAAGATGGCGAGGAGCCCGACTGGAATGAAATCCGTGCCAAGTCGTTCGCTCCCGACCAGGAGACCAAAACGGGTGAAGACGGAGAGGTGGTGCATCCGCCGGCTCCTGCCGCTCCGGTTAAAGCGATCGAGGCCAAGAAGGAGCCTGAGCCCGAGACGAAGGCGGAGGCCAAGGTCGAGGCGAAGGTTGAATCAAAGCCAAAGGAGGTCGAGAGAAAGCCTGTCACGGCGTCTTCCTTCCTTCCCCACAGTGGCGAGGACGAGGAAGTGTCTGCTGACATTGCTGATGAACTCGCGAACGAGATCTCCGCTCTGGACGTCAGCAGTGACGAAGAGGACGAGGAGGAAGATGCTCTTGGCGTGGACTAAACCGAGGGACAACATTGTAGTCTCGGGATGCATTCGAATGTCATAGATCACTTTACTCATGTACTGTACCATGTCTACGTTCTCATAAAGCTGTGTGTGTTTATAATTTTGTAACATGCTCTGCCTAGATACAGCTGCACGATTGCGAGTGTCTGAACATAATAAAGTATATGGATGGATTCGACAGGTTACTGCCTCGGCTGCATGATGGACGCTCGCTTCAATCTCAATGGGTTTGACGAAGTCATGGCGCTCTTGTACAATCAGCTTCATATTTTGTCAACGGCGTGGGCGGTCACTGCGGCTTCACTGGCAAGAATACATAGAATACATGCTCCAGAGCATGTTAGGCGCTCTTTCCGAACACGAGCGGCTCAGCAGCCACGGCCATGAAGCGCTCCTTGCTAAACTTTCGCCGGGCAGCACTGAGCTTGGACATCTTGCCCACGTTGTTTTGAGTGTTCCACAGAATCTCCTTAAGATCCTCGATGCAAGGCTCCAAGGTGCTTTCACTGTAGGACGAGTGATGCTCCAGAGTCGACGACTAGAGTTTACATTGGGAGGAACAACGTTAGTCAAAGCCATAACATCAATGCCTATCAAACTGCAACGTACCCAGGCAGGCGTATCCCTCATCTGAGTTCGAGCGATGTGAACTGCTGACGCGGCGATCGTGGACGGCGGGTACTTGATCAATTTGTACTCTTGTAGGCTGCGATCCACGACGTAGTGAGCGAAGTGCTCCACGCGATCATCACACGTACGAGAGGCCTTGAGGAATCGCTTCATGAACTGGAAAGCCGTCGGAAACGTGACCCGGTAGCCGATCGTGACCAGCATCTTGGCCTCCATCTGGAAAACTTCTTCGCGAGAGTAAGCGTTGTCTGTAATCTTCACAAAGTCTTCAGCTTCCGGCGGGTAAATCTCTTCGTACTTCGAGGCGATGAACATCGCCGCCACTCCAACAAGCTGGAGACGCTGGCGCTTAACCGAGAGGTTCTTCTCCAAGTACTGGTCGATCAGGAGAACGGCAATGTGCAGCGTCTGCGGCAGAAGGCCGTACTTGTAGTGAACATCGACCAACCAATCCACGAGAATAGCACGCATCTTCGACGTGATGTCCGACTGGCGTGCCATGTACGAGCTGCTGGTCTTGCGCTTCATCTGCAGAAAAAATCGCACCTGGTCAGCACTACTCAGGAGATACCCAGCTTTCGAAAGCAACGACTTACCTCAACCTCCAACTGGTACTTCGTGATGTCCTCCGCGTATTGCCAGCACGCAGTTGGGTCGTTCTTGTCCTCCGAGTCGATGTCGTGGTCTTTCGCTTCATGTTTCGTCGGGACGATGTCCACCATCGGAGAGGTCTTATCCATGAGCCCCATCGAATCAAGCTTGGTCGCGACGGGTGTCGTGGCGGGAAGCGGGCGACTCATGCGGCTGATAATCGACGAGCTGTGCGTGCTCAGCGACGAAGTGGTGCTGCTCGCTCGGCTGCTGAGGTTGACGTTGCTGAAGTTCCTCTTGCTAGCGTTGGCGTTGCTGACAACTCGACTGCCGGCATTGACGTTGCTGAGGCTGCGCTTGCTGGCGATGACCTTCTTCTTGGCTAGAGCTCCAGCGTTGGCGACCGAGGAGCTCATGGAGCTCATACTTTCCTTCTTAATCTGCAGCGCCAGCAACACAAAACACACCGTCATTATTCATTTCCTGCCATTGCATCTGATAGTCCTCACAGCTCAGAACGTACGTTGATCCTGTTCGTCACATCACCAAGAGCTGTGCGTCTTGTGGCCACGCCACCGAGACCTGTGCGTCGATTGGTCACATCCCCGAGGGCAGTGCGGCGGGCGCCAGTGATGATGGTGCTGGTCTCCGTCTTGAGGAGTTTTTGGCGCTTTTCGGCATTGCCAGCGTCCTGCAGAATCTGGCGCTGCGAGGCACAAACCACCACACACAATTGAGTCTATATGGCCCGCACTACGGCGTCCGTTGGCGTTTAGAGCAGCGCCGCACCTTTCCGGGGCGAGAGGCGTGTAGATCCGCCGGCATCTCGTTCTCATTGTTGATGCGGGCGCTCCTGCGGACGAACGACATGGCTGGCGGCGTGTGCGTGTGCGTGTGAGTGTGGGGCTGCGACGGAGCGGAAACTAGCGCGTGCTATAGACAGGATACGCGCGGCGGCGGTGGCGAGGTGCAGCGAGCGGAGTAGGCTCGAGGTGCGGCGTCAAGCTCCGTGGGTCTGGCGCTCGCGTCCGTTTCCGGTTTGATTGGGGGAAAATGCAATGCGGCTTCTGAAAGGAGTGGCGACACGATTGACTTGGATTCAGTATGCAGAGTTGCAGCCAATGAGAGGCCGCTCATTTCAAAATTCAAACTTGTACCGGTACGTTCCGGTTGACAGTAAGGTAACAGTGACAGTTAGGTAACAGCTGAAAATGCCTGAAAACTGAAAAATGCTTCAAAAATTTTGAGCATTTAATGCTTCAACGCCGAATTGCTTCAACGTCGACCTGCTTCACAGGCGAGTGAGAGATCGGAGGCACGCGTCCGCGGAGTGCCTGTGCGCGGTGTGACATTAAGGCAGAGTGCATCGGTTATCTTGCTGAGATCTGTGCATAAAGTAATAAGCCGTTTCCTGTTAGCGCACCGTCCTCGGTGTTCGCGCAAGTACAGGCGGATTCCAAGCATGGAGAGAGCGTTTTCAATGGAGTCTCTGAGCTCTGCAACTATTATTCTTGTGTACTTTTGGTGCGTCTTGGCCGCACTGGGTTTGAACGAAAGCTTTGGCTGCGCGGGGTCAGAATGAAAGCTGTGTGGTTTGGATTCCCATAAGACCTCCCATGTAAGCAGGTATCAGTGCGCTTCCCCAGCGCAACTATGAATTCTGGTTCAAGTTGTGCAACAGTAATTTGTATGTGAACAGACATGCATACACGGTTAGCGCTACGCATGTATGGCAGCAGCGAAATCAAATGCTGCTGCGAGCTCAAGGGTTGGTCAGAACAGCTAAAATCGCCTACCAAACTGGAAATTGTGTGAACGATCCATCCAGTCCGTCTGCAAGCTGCGGGTAACTAAAAACGCCGCCAGCCCTGAGGCCCGCTGTGAGCAACAACAACAATTACTCGGCGAAATGACGTATCTTAGCGCGACCTTGGATATGTAAAGTTGAAACGAAAATTTCGTCCACATGATGATTATTGTAAGCCTGCAAGAAGGAGAGCAGTCGCCGCACACACCAGTAAGGCGAGGTAGTAGAGCCGTTTTTGCTGGCGGTGTGGACAAGCAGGCGAACGTTGAAGTGGTCCACAGCTCCGACAGGCTGCCTAATAACAAGTACAAGTAAAACCTACGAATCCACCAGCAGCGAAAAGGCGCCAGGATCAAAGTAACCAAAACTTGAGCGCTGCCAACAGCGAACACAGCTCAGCTCGAGTGTTTTCGACGAGCCTACCGGCCTGACCTGCTGAATGCGAGCCGCCGGTCTAACCCGGTGATGCGCCCGATCTGACCAATCGGAGTCGAGAATTCGGGCAGATAAAGGGCAACTTCAAGGCCAAGGAGGCGTTAGGCCGGGGGCCGCCTAGGCGTTTCGCGCGAGCAGGCCAGCCCACGCTCACAACGTAATTCGCCCGCTCCTCGGATCTTCCCCTCCCCCTCCCCCAGAAAGACCTCAAACCATGAGCGCCACGGGCATCAAGATTGCCCCCATGAAGAAAGTGTCGACGCTCGGCAAGCGCAAGAAATCCATTGACGGTGCGCCGCCACCTGCCCTTCTCCCTCTCGCTCTCCTCTTGCTAAACACACAACTGACGCTTGCGCTTGCGTGCGCTACGAACAGCCGACGACGTGAAGAAGATCGACAAGAAGGACGAGTTCGACCCCAACCAGTTCTACGTGTCGCTGACCTCGCACGCCGAGCAGTTCGGCGTCGAGCCTGTGCGCATCCGGGTATGCCTAGCATCACACCGCTACAGCGCAATAGACATAGTCCTAACCTTTCTGCCGTCGTTCTGCGTGTTGCCGAGCAGTGGGGACAGAAGGAACCTGATGTCCGCGGCCCGATCATCGGAACGAACCGCCACCACAAGTACCGCAACGCCATCGGCGCCCACGGCGGCTCGTACTGCATCTACCGCGGTCTGGCCGTGGCCTCGGGCGCCATTGCCAAGAACTCGGTGCCCGACCTGAGCCAGACCACGCCGGCCGCCAAGATCGGCCCCCACCCGTCGTGGTCGGACCCGGAGAAGATCGTCACCATCGACCCCTTCGGAGCCTGCGTGGTGGAGGCCTTCCCCGAGCACTTCCAGAAGGGATACGACGTTCGCCCCACCATTGCCATCACCAAGGCCCACATGGACTTCCCGGAGATCCACGAGGCGGTGCGTCTTGGTCGACTCAAGCCCGACGGCAAAATCCTCAAGAACTCGTCGCAGCTTGTCATCACCAAGGCTGCTATCGACCCGGTGTGGTACCTCCCTGGAGTGGCCAAGCGCTTCAACACGACCGAGGCCAACCTGCGCCAGCAGATCTTCCAGGAGACCAACGGCATGTACCCGGAGCTGGTGACGAGAAACGACCTGAAGGTGTTCCTGCCGCCGATCGGAGGGTACGCGTGCTCATTGTTGATAATATGTTGATGTTAGTGTGTGGAGTCTAACGAGTTGTGCTGCTGTTGATTGACAGTCTGACGATCTACATCTTCGGATCCGTTGAGGCCATCTCGGACCCCACGAAGAAGCTGGCGGTGCGTGTCCACGATGAATGCAACGGCTCAGACGTGTTTGGGTCGGATATTTGCACGTGCCGCCCGTATCTCGCCCACGGCATTGAGGTTTGCGTACAAACGGCCCAGGAGGGAGGGTAAGCTTTACCCGCGGAGTACTCAGTTTTGTCGGGAAGATGTGAATGCTGACTCTGTCCTTGTTGCTATGTGCTATTAGAACTGGTATCATTGTGTACTTCCGCAAGGAAGGCCGCGCTCTTGGCGAGGTGACCAAGTACTTGGTGTACAACCTGCGCAAGCGCCAAGAGGGGGGTGACAGCGCAGAAGAGTACTTCAACTGCACTCAAACTGTGGCTGGCATCCAAGATGTGCGCTTCCAGGCACTGATGCCGGATGCTCTGCACTGGCTCGGTATCACCAAGATCGACAAATTCGTGTCGATGAGCGACATGAAGTACGACGCGATCGTGAAGTCGGCAAGTCTCATGCTTCAGTCGGTGTGCTGATGTGTCCGTCTGTGAACTAACTTGGCTCTCCTCCCACAGGGTATTGAAATCGTGGAGCGCATTCCTATCCCGGAGGAGCTGGTGCCGAAGGACGCCCAGGTGGAGATCACCGCCAAGGTGTTCGCCGGCTACAACGGCGGTGATGTGTACAAGGTAGACGAGGAGAAGCTCAAGCAGGTCAAGGGCCGCGACGACAACGCGTACGAGAACGAAGAATGAGCGCGTTCCCCATCGGATACAGCACCATGGAAGCATTTACTCCACTTCCAGGAAGCTCACCGGCACACTCCACTACATGCAGCCGCACAAGTAAGGATTAAATCAGAGACTTCAACTTGGTTTTAGTCAACACAAAAAATTGAGCCGCCTTAACTTATGTATACATTGTGTAGCACGACCAAATTTTTGATTTCCAAGATTCGCAGATCCGCTCATCACTTTGCCGAAGAAGAGGAGGGAGCGAAGGCCGCAGCCTGCCCCGACGAGAGCGCCATGATCCAGTCCATGTTCATCATGACCACCACCGGGTACTGCAGTAACTCTCTCATTGCCACCTTCGACCTGGTTGCTAACGCCGTGCATGGCTTCTATGCAGTGAGGTGATCATCGAGAAGCACTGGCGCGGCCTCACGAGCCGCAACGTGTGCGACTTCTTCATGGAGGAGGTCAACAAGTACCGCGAGCGCGAGGACGTGCCGCCCATCATCACCACCAGCAAGTACTACCTGGTCAGCGTCTTCCGCGACGATCTGTTCGTGCTCGCAGTCGTCACCAACGAGGTCCGCATGCCGAGAGCCTTCTGGCTGTGGATATCCCTCCCTCCTCTGAGCATTTCTGATCTCTCCTCTGTGCGTCTGTGCCATTAGATCTCCCCGCTGTTCGTGATCGAGTTTCTGCACCGAGTGCTCGCGGTCTTCCGCGACTACTTCGGCAACTTCGACGAGAACTCGATGAAGGACAACTTCTCCACAGTCTACCAGCTGCTGGAGGAGATGCTGGACAATGGGTACCCGCTGACTACCGAGCCCAACGCGCTCAAGGCAATGGTGGCCCCGCCCTCTACGGCGAACCGCATCGCCGCGATGGTGTCGGGCAAGTCCCGAGTGAGCAACACGCTGCCCGACGGCGCCATCTCCAACATCCCGTGGCGCAAGAGCGGCGTGCGCTACACGCAGAACGAGATCTACTTCGACATTGTGGAGGAGATCGACGCCATCATCGACGTGTCCGGGCGCATGATCTCGTGCGAGGTGAACGGCGTCATCCACAGCAACAGTCGCCTGTCGGGCGTGCCGGATCTTACCATGGTGTTCACGGACCCTTCGGTGATCGACGACTGCTCGTTCCACCCGTGTGTGCGGTACTCGCGATACGAGCGTGAGCGCGTGATCTCGTTCGTGCCGCCTGATGGACAGTTCGAGCTCATGCAGTACCGCGTGCAGGTGCAAGAGCTCGTGCCACCCGTGTACTGCCAGCCTCAGATCACGTACAACGAGAAGGGCGGAGGCACTCTAGACCTGGTCATCGGCACGCGCGGCATGCCCACGCTGAACTCGAATGCCAAGAAGAACCTTCAGGTGGAAGACGTGACCGTGGAGGTGACGTTCCCCAAGAGCGTCCGCACAGTGGACGTGAACACAGAGCACGGCACTTGCCTGTTCGACGAGGCGACCAAGACAGTCAAGTGGAACGTGGGCAAGCTCGGCAAAAAGGTGCTGAACCCGTCGCTGCGTGGCAACATCATCCTCCACCAGAGCGCTGCCGTGCCGGACGAGAAGCCCGTTGTGCTGCTCGGTTTCAAGGTGCCCATGTCGACCGTCTCCGGGCTGAACGTTGAAACGCTGCTGATCACCAACGAAAAGTACAAGCCCTACAAGGGCGTGCGAACGATGACCAAGGCTGGCCGCTTCCAGATCCGGACGTAAACGGTAGGCAGTACCCTGTGGAGGTGGAGGTTGTGCAACGCATAGCGTTTGTCTTAGTTGCCGATTGAATAGATAGCGTTGTCATGCAAGCGTCAAGGGTCTACTTCACCTGTGTGTTCAGGTGTGTTGGTGTTGCCACTTCAGTACAAGCTTCAACGTGAGAGCTCAAGACCACAGCAGATCCACGGGCACCATTCGTATTGTACCCAGCTGCATTTTGTGTGAGACGGGCTCGGGCATATTCAGCATGACGTTGTAGCTCATTTTGAGCATTTGGTCGTTTCGTTCTCTGCTTCCTGTCGGTTCATGAGAGAACGAGGGTCACTTAAAAAAGCCCAGCAATGCGCCGCAAGACCTCCACCTCAGGAACGCTGCAGCAAGATGACTGCGGGGCCGTGTCGGCGATCTCGTTCGACGCGGCCATGGAGACGACGTCCTCCGAGCACGACCTGAGCCCGCAGACCAAGTACTGCATCGATATCGACCTCACTCTCACGCCCATGGAGCGCAGTGAGCTCAGCACTTCCAATTCTCCCAGCAAATTCTTCTGCCGATTCGATCCTGTTGCCAGGAAGGGAAGGCTGCTGATGCTGCTGTTCGACCGCCAAGGTAACTCGACGCTCCAAGAGATGAGTCGGATGGACGTGCTACGAATGACACAGGAAGCGGCAAGGCTTCAAGACGAGTCACCTGCCAAGGTATCGTCCTTTCGGCAGCCAGGGAAGACGAGTCCAAGACGTCGTCGATCAGGTCTACAGCAGGTCCAAGCGCCTGTAGACGGTGGCCACCCACCAGGCTGTGACGTCCAGGTACGTTTGGCTACGGGTTACTGCTCGCTAGTTAATTGTTTATCTGACTTGAGGATGATATTTTTCAGCGCGTTCATACGCGAGATATTCGCAGGATGGAGAACACGTTCTCGGTATCCAACGAGCCGTCGATCATCATTCGCAAGCAAGCGATCTTCTTCAGCGCTGGTACGACTCGATGGAACATTTACCATTCCAATTGAATATTGCTAACAATGTTTATGTTGTTGTGGATGTGTTCGTAGATCCGCTGCGAGCTATTGTGCTCCGAGACGCTTGCTTGGTCTACGTGCCGGATGGAGCCGATAGCTTGATCTCCATGCTCAAGCAGGACTTCCTCACCAACGCGCGAGACAATGCCGAATCCCCATTCGAGTTCAGGTACGTGGTTGCGGTGCAAAGCAATATAGGGCGGGTTGGACTAACGGTTTTTGGGATGAACAACAGAGCGTTGGAGGCATTGCTATCAACACTTGCGCGCTACTTCCGAGCCCAATACGACCAGCTTTCGTCAGTTATCGTTGCTGATCTTGAGCACCTCGTTCAAGGAAATTTAGACTCGCGAGAGCTTGAAAGACTGCGTGAATTCAAGAACACCATGAACGAGTTCGAATCGCAAGTGGACGGCGTACGCCGCGTTCTCATGGAGTTGCTTGACAACGAGGAGGATCTCCGGCTTTTGTACCTCACGAAACTTTCCGAAGAGCCGGATCTCCTCGCTGATCTGTGGAGCTTCGACTCGGAGGAAGCTGAAGTGCTGATTGAGAACTACTTGCAGGACATTTTCTCCACTCGAACGACGGCTGAGCTGCTACAGCACCGAATCGCTAACACGGAAAGCCTCGTGACGCTGAAGCTCGACTCGAAGCGAAACTATTTGCTGCGCGTGCAGCTCATCTTCTCGCTCGTGTCGATCAACATTTCCGTCGGAACGCTGGTCTCTGGTGTGTTCGGCATGAATCTGGTTTCGGGTCTGGCAGACAAAGCAGGCTGGTTCGCAGGTGTTGTCATCTTCACCATAGTCTTCTTCATCGGTGCCACTTGGGCTGGAATAGTATTCTTCAAGCGAAAGGGGGTCATGCTAAAGTAAAAAAGCAAACCAACCTCAATTACATGAAATTGCTTACGTTGCGAAGACAACCTGTTTTTGATATGAATGCGTTAAGTAAATTAACCCACGCGTTGACTGTTGTGGGTTAGAAACTACTGCGACAGTCCATTGACCGTCTCATGCATGCCACCTTTCTCGCAGATCTTTTCATTCCTCAAAAACACACCAGAGGCCACACACACCTATGGTACATGGCCTACAAGACCGTGCGTCAACCTTATCGCTAGAGGAGATGGAGACAGCAACTTCTTCGAGTCCTATTGCGAAATACTACACCAATCTCGATGAAGGTCGTGGAGAACCAAGTGAAGCCAGCGGTGCCAACTCTCCAAGACACTTCTTCTGCCGGTTCGACCCTGTCACCAAGAAGGACAGGCTGCTGATGTTGATGTTCGACAGTCAAGGCAACTCGACGCTGAATGAGATGAGTCGGCTGGACGTGCTGCGTGTGACCCAGGAAGCTGCGAGGGTTCCTCGGGAGGCGGAGAGCTTCTCAGCATTCGGTAAACCGCTCCATGTGAGTCCACTACAGCCAAGCCAACCAAGTGCTGCTGATAGCGGCACTTCAGTGTGTGATGTTCAGGTGAGAGTGAGATACTCAAGAGTGTTGGGATGCTCAACGCTGTGAAACGCTAACTTTTCTCCCAGCCTGTGCACGCTAGAGACATTCGTAGGATGGAGAATGCGTTCTCGACCACCAATGAGCCGTCAATTGTCATCCGAAAGCAAGCGATCTTCTTCAGCGCAGGTAACAGCAAGTTGATATACTGCAAGCCGAAAGCTGGCAGTTTTGCTAACTTTATGTCTCTGTAAACATTAGATCCACTACGCGCAATTGTACTGCGGGATCTGTGTCTTGTATACGTTCCCGATGGAGCTGACAGCTTGCTATCCATGCTTAAGCATGACTTCGCCTCAAACGACCGCGATGGTGCTGGTTCCCCCTACGAGTTCAGGTTCGTTCGTAACAGAATCAATCGATGTCTACATACTAACTTTGTGCGTGAATATTCTGTGCAGAGCCCTGGAGGCACTGTTGGCCACACTCGCGCGGTACTTTCGTGTCCAATACGACCAAATCTACCCCGATATTGTTGCCGAGCTCGAGCATCTTGTTCGAGGAAACCTGGACACGCGAGAACTGGAAAGACTACGGGAATTCAAGAACACGATGAACGAGTTCGAGTCACAAGTCGAGGGCGTCCGTCGAGTGCTCATGGAGCTGCTGGACAACGAAGAAGATCTCCATTTACTGTATCTTACCAAGCTCTACGAAGACCCGTCGCTTCTTGGGAATCTATTCAGCTTCGACTCGGAAGAAGCAGAAGTGCTGATCGAGAACTACCTGCAGGACATCTTCTCCACTCGAACGACGGCTGAGCTATTGCAGCGCCGCATCACCAATACCGAAAGCCTCGTGACGCTGAAGCTCGACTCGAAGCGAAACTACTTGCTGAAAGTGCAGCTCATCTTCTCGCTCGTGTCGATCAACATCGCCGTGGGCACTCTGGTCTCGGGAATTTTTGGCATGAATCTCTCCTCGGGCTTGGAGAGCGCGGCTCACTGGTTCTGGAGCGTTGTCATCTCCACCGTCATCTTCTTCGTGCTCGCCACGAGCTCAGGCATTATATTCTTCAAAAAGAAAGGAGTTATGCTCAAATAAACGTAATGAAGAGCTGCCTAAACCAAAGATCTGTAGTTTCACATCTATTCAGCTTCTCGCCAACTGTCGCTAAAACGATGCCGCTCCCGCAGTCTTCATGCCAAGTGTGCGGCCCCCGCGCGGGCGTGTCACCCGAGTCACTGTTCAAGTGCTCGCGCTGCCAAACCGTACTCTACTGCGGCCGCGAGCACCAGAGCGAGCACTTCGCCTCGCACAAATCGGCCTGCAAACGCGTCAAGAAGATGCGCGACCGAATGGCGGAGGAGGCGGCCAAGGTCCGCAGCGCCACTGAAGACGACTGGACGCCCGCGAACGCCTTCGAGACGCACGTCGGTCTCTTCTGGGGGATTCAGAGCACGCGCCCGTACATGCGCGCCAAGCTGGAGGTGATCAGGGCACTGTCCACCATTGCCTCACGTCCGGCGATCGAGGCGGCGCTGGCCGAATGTATGGACTGCATGAAACTGTGCCGTCGCGACAACCTCGGCTTCCGTGAGATCATCCCGACGCTCATGCTGTTGCTGGACCGGTACCAAGAGGCCTACGACTTTATCAAGTGGTTTGAGACTCAGGGCAAGGATCCCAAGTTCGACTGGGGCGAAGTGGAGCTCCCGTTCCTGAACGTGCGCGGCTCCGACATGACGGAGGAGATACCGAGCTCCATGCAGAGAGACCGCAACGTCTTCTTCTCGAGCTCGCTCGTGTACGTCAAGATGATGCTGGCCAAGGCCGTCAAGGACGCCATCAACGCGCACGAGCTGGCGGATCGCGCGTCGCTTCCTGCGGTTATTACCGACTCGCTAGGGGCATTCCTAGCTCCAAACGGGGGGACGCGAAGCCTCGCGGAGCTCAAGAAACTCCACAAGAAGCTCACGAGTCAGATGCACGAGGCGTTCGCGCTTTCACACTTCCAGAACCAGCACTTCTGGTACGCGTTGCTGGACCCAACGCCTATCGTTCAGGCGCCAAAGCCGCCCCACTACGAGCCTGGTGATGTGAACCAGGTCAAGCTGTGGGTGCTGCAGAACGCCATGCTGTGGCGCGACCACCACGAGTTTATCCGTGATAAGCGTGAAGGATATCCTGACTTTATCCCGGAGATGCCGCGCAGTGGCCCCAAGCTCGTCCACGCCTTCCCGTAGAGTGTCGTGAACCTTGTTCAGACTCTAGATTCCAGAGCTTACTGCATAAATCATCGATGCGCTTCTTTAACTTGACAACTTTGCATTGCACTGGTGGCCATAACAACATGGATCGATACATTATGCCACCACAGGGGCAAAGCCAAAGGAGCTTTTGGCCTTGCCCCTGCAGTGACCGACTTCAACAAGACCAACTTCAATTTGAATCTTTGGTTTCGAAACCACCGTCGGCTTAGCGCCTCCTCTGACAGCATCCAGACCGCGCGCAATGTCCGAGTCGCTGGATTCCGACAGCATGCGTGGAGAGAGCGAGATGGATTCGTCGCCGTCGCCCTTACTCACTGGAGCAGGAGCACAACAGGCCAGTGACTATGTCAACCCCGCGACGGCGTACGGGACGTACTCGTCGTATCAGCGCATGGTCGAGGTGCGGTCTCCCGAGCCGGCAGAGATGAGCGGCTCGAGTCTCAGCTCGTTGAAGAAGTACGCGTGCCAATTCGACCCTGGATCCAAGAGCGGCCGAGTTCTGGTCATGATTTTCGACCGCAAGGGGAGGCCGACACTGAAGGAAATGAGTCGCCACGAGGTGCTTCGGATGACTCAGGAGGCTGCGGAGCCTAAAGAGGACACTTCACCGGAAGAAAGCGCGCCCTTGGAGTCGGAGAAGATGTCGCCGCCAATTCGCCGACGTAGCAGTTCTACCGCTGCCAAAATCTGGCGCCTTGGTCTCCAGCCCCGAGCAGGAAGTCAGCAAGATCTTCACGCTCCTGTTGGGGTCCAGGTGAGGCAGTTTCTGCTGTTTTGTTCCTGCTGTTTTCAGTAAATGTATTAACGATCTCTGCGTTGCAGCGCGTCCACTCTCGTGACATTCGCAAGATGGAGAACGCTTTCTCAGTGACCAACGAGCCCCGTATTGTCGTCCGAAAGCAAGCAATTCTCATCAGTGCTGGTACGAAATCGTAGCAGTAGTATTTGGAGGAACAAACTTACCTGACAGTGCTGCGTATGATGATGTAGATCCCTTGAGAGCAATCGTCTTGAGAGACGTGTGTCTGGTGTACGTTCCCGACGGTGCGGACGCTCTCCTCTCGGTGTTGAAGGCCAAGTTTATCGAGACCGCGCGCGAGGACGACGCTCCATTTGAGTTCAGGTGAGGCCGTCAATACATTTCTAGTCAAGCCTCACTCGAACTAACGCTTCTCCTCACCAGGGCGTTGGAGGCGCTGCTGTCGACACTCTCGCGCTACTTCCAGTCCCAATACGAGCAACTGTCCCCCGGTGTAGTCCGAGCTCTGGACAGCCTCATGCAAGGGGGCTTGAATTCACGGGAGCTCGACAAGCTGCGCGAGTTCAAGAACGCCATCAACGAGTTCGAGGCTCAAGTGGACGGCGTGCGCCGTGTGCTCATGGTTCTGCTGGACAACGAAGAAGATCTGCGTCTGCTGTACCTCACTAGACTGTACAACGAGCCCAACCTGCTCTCGGACCTCTGGAGCATCGACTCGGAGGAGATCGAAGTTCTGATCGAGAACTATCTCCAGGACATCTTCTCCACGCGCACCAAGGCCGAGCTGATGCAGCACCGCATCTCCAACACCGAGAGCCTCGTCATGATGCAGCTCGACTCGGTGCGAAACTACCTGCTCGGGGTGGACGTGATCTTCTCCATCGTGGTCATCAGCCTCTCGGTCGGCACGTTCATTGCCGGCGTGTTCGGCATGAACCTCCATTCAGGCCTCGAGTCAGCCGACGGGTGGTTCCTGGGCGTCGTCATCCTCACCGTCTCCATCTTCGTCGTCATGACTATCACCGGCGTCTTGTACTTCAAAAGCAAGGGCGTCCTGTTGCAGTAGAACTTCAACTTTCCATTAGCTTTTTAGTTATCCAAAAGAGAAAAAAAAATCCCTTCTAAAATGTTGATGGCTTTCTATCACAAACCACATAAAAGGTCGACATAAAAAATGGTCCGACATAAAAACCTACATCCTTTTAGGGGGAAAGTGTTAGGTGGGGCTACTATTACGAGGAGGTGGCACTATTTCCGCACAGAACCAACACCACCAGCCGAAGCCAATGCGCATGCAGGTCGGCGGTGTGAGCATGGGTGTCTCCGCCTCTCGCAGCAGCGGCCCAGGCGCCGCCAGTGCCCCCAGCGCCGCGCCCACCGCCTCCTCTGCGCTCACTTTCAGCGAATCAGATGCAGACTTCGAGCGTGCGCTGAGCTCGTACGACGTCCCGACCGTGGCCGATGCGCTGCGCCGGTACCTGGCGGCCGAGACGCAGGCGAGCCTCTCGGCGGGCTCGGCGGCCAAGCGGCACTCGGCGCAGCTGCGCAGCGTCTTCTACGAGCGCTTCAACCAGCTCCTGGACCGCGTCTTCGGCAGCGACACGGTCTCCAAGCAGAAGTTCGGCGGCTGGCTCGACTACAGCGCCGGTCTGGGCGTGGCGCCCGCGCCGGGCTCGGCAGCGGCTCTGGCGGCCAAGAAGCGCGCCGAGCAGATGCGCGAGCGCGCGCTGGCGGGCGTCGCCACGGATGAGGACGACGTGGAGGACTTCCTGACCTCCCTGGCCGCCAATGGCCGCGCCATCGTCAAGCTGCTGGGCGGAGGCGTGCGCGCGGAGGACGGCTCCGTCTTCCAGTTCCTCTTCCGCGTGCAGCACCCTGTGGAGTTCAAGCTGGCGCTGGACATGCTGCCCGAGCAGAGCAAGATGGCCATCGTGAGCGGCCGAGGGGCGAGTCTGCTCTTCACGCAGCTGCTGCACAAGCCGCTGGCCAAGCAGCGCCTGGATCTGCGCAGCCCCGAGCTGCTCGTGTCCATCACGGAGCTGTATCTGTTCTACTTCTTGGGGCACCCGGCCTCGTCGTCGCACCCGAGCGGGTCGTCGTCTTCGTCGTCCTCGACGTCGACGACCCCCGGAGCACTGGGATCGAGCTCGGTGGCGTCCTCTACGCCCGCGTTGCTGTCGGCCGCTGCCAAGACGCGTCAGACCAGCTGGCGGATGTTTGTGAAGGAAGGCGTCGCTGCGCTGACGAAGGGGAACCCGTACAATGTGCTGTTGCTGCAGTACCTGCGCGCCTTCTTGCCGGACAGCAACCGCGGCGTCAAGAGCCGATTCCACGGCAAGCTGCTCAAGGACTCGAACCTGTTCCTGCACATTCTGATCGAGTTCTGGCTGCGGCAGAACCTCATCTCGTTCTCGGATGAGCCGGTGGGGGCTTCGACTGCTGCTCCTGGAGTCATTCGTCCGCCGCCACCGGGCAATATGCTGGTCAGCCCGTTTGCCTCGGTGTACACGTCGACGAGCTATATGGCCCCGTCAGATGACCTGCTGAGCTCCCTGCTGCTCACTATCATCCATCTCCTTTCAGACTCGTTCTTCCCGGCGCCTTTGGCTGATGATTCGTCGAGTGGGTCGCAAGGAGGTGCAGGTGGCATGGTCGTCGGTAGCGGTGGAGTGTATTTGAGCCGTAGTGTGACGATGCTGCGTCCTCCGCTTTACGCGTTCTTCCGGCTCGTGTTCTCGCGTGCGCCGATTGGACTCTCGCCGACAGCGTTTTTGGCAATCACCGACGTTTGGCTCGCGTACATTCAGCCGTGGCATTGCCGGTATTGGATCGAGTCGAAGGACCCAGCTGCAGCTGCAACAGAAGCTGGACCTGAACAAGACACGCTGTCCGGATACACATCGGCGTGGGAAAGCTACGTGCTCGCGAACTACCACTTCTACACAACGTTGCTGGGCGCGTTTGTGGAGCGCGCGAAGGAGCTGGACTTCTCTGCAGGTGATGAGCGCAACCTACAGATCGTTGACCGAGTTTTGAGTGTGTACAACTCGGACTTGTTGGCTCTGCTTCGCCGTGCATCGCTTCACCTCGAGAAGACGCAGCCGTTTGCGATGCCGTTCAGCTTCAACCGCAGCTCCAACTTCACTCGCACTCGGAGCGGAAGTTTTGGCTCTTCATCGAAGCCCAAGTCTAGTGCGGGTGATGCGTTGACGGCTACACAAGCGCATGTGCTGACATTTTACTGCAAGTCTCTCGGTATCGAGTGCACTCCCGTGCCACTACACGATAGCTTCCACCGCGACGCGGAACGCTTGTTTGACAAGCTGTGGGCTGCGGCTGTGACGTCCGCTTCGGCGTCTTCGACACCTTCTGTGCACTCGCCAGCGGACTTGTACCAGAACGTGAGCGCTGTCTTCCGGGCTTCGAGCACTAAAACAGTGGACAAGGTGTCCGAGCAGGTTCAGCGCATGAGCCGTATGTTGCGGCGTGTGTTCGAGATTTCAGATGCCTACGTGGCCTCGACGGCGCACTCGCGGACATCATCAGCTGCAACGGGCGGAGGCATCGAGTCATTCGCGCCAAGCCGAGACAAGAATCTTCCGCACCTGCTGAGTCGCGAGGGGGTATTCCAGCTGCAGCATGGCATGCGTTTGTGTTCACCCGACTCAGCGGAGTACATCGGTGACCCCATGCTCAGTCCTATTTGCTCGTACGAGGTCGTGTGGCTGGTACGACTGTCCTACAGAGTCTCGACGTGGCTCAATACGCGCTTTGGATTCGTGAACTCGTACCATGGCAAGCGACTGGAAGACAACTTGGAGGTGGACCCGGCGAGCCCATTTGTGCGATTCCGGTTCAACTTCCGCTTCCTTGCCAGCAAGGTGAACCTCAGTTATCTTGCAGCATTCGTGCTCCTGCTCTACGTGCTCTACTTCTGGTGAATGTAGACAACATAATGCCATTTATGATTCGAATGAACACTCTCGGCATGGCCACAAAACCGCATGCAATTCAACACGGCAAACCTCTTTATTGTTTGTTGCGACGCTAGTCAACATTACACACGTTGCGCAGTTTGCCATCCAGGCTCCCCTCCTGTAAGTTACCTATTGTCATCATCTAGCTGCTCAATCGCTATCGCTGTCACCGTCGCTGGAGTCGCTGTCATCTGAAGAGAAGTCGGACGACGAAGACGAAGACGGCGACAGGTAAGAGTTTAGCAATGGAGGGGAGTGCGTGTACCCCGACGTGGTCTTCCCTGCGGATGCCGGCTTCGCCTTCTTCTCAGCAGCCTTCGGCTTGGCCTTGTTACTCGGTGATGGTCGCACTGGGGGCTTGCTGTCGTCAGGCGATGCAGCCGGTGGAGGCGGAGATGGTGGGGGCGGCGCAGGGATAGAAGATGGTGGCGGTGGCTGGGGTTTCTTGCTTGGCGGGCGCGAGTCGCTATCCGATTCGTCCGAGTCAGAGGACGACGAAGAGGAGGAGTTGCCGTCGCTGTCAGAGCTGTCATCCGAGCTAGAGCTATCACTAATGATGAGCCGAGGCTTGGGACGCTTCTGTGCCGATTGAGACGGTGGAGGAGGCGGTGGCGGCGAAGGTGACGGGGCTCCATTTTGCGGCGGCGGGGGGCGATTACTCGCGCTGTCTGCGTCGCTGAAGTCTTCTTCCTCCTCTGTCGGGGGATCCGCTTTACGCTCGGGTTTGGAAGAAGATCCTCGCGGAGGCCGTCGACTCTTCCGGACAGGAGACACCACTTGCTCGTCTTCAGAAGCCGAAGATTCCTCGCTGCTTGACGTCGGCGCGGGGCGCTTCTTGGACGAGCTGTTTCGCGTGCTTCGACTGACCCGGGTATTTGCTGGACTACTACTGGTTCTCCTTGATCGTGTAGATAGCGACCGAGTCCGTGGCTTCTTGGAAGACGTGCGAGCTGATGATCTCCGTTTGCGGCTACGACTATCGCTGTCGCTGTCTCCATCAGAAGAAGATCCACTGTCGCTCGAATCGCTACTTTCGGAGGCACTGCTTTCGGTCCACGCTTTGTTGACACTGCTACGAGACTCAGCCTTGCTCGCGTCGCTCAAGCTGTCCTCACTGTCGTGGCCACTCTCATCACCACCACTTCCCTTGTCCTTCATACGATCAACGCCGTTCTTCTCTGCGGCGCTGCACATGGAGCGAGATAACTTGGAGAGCAAGTCGGCAAACTGCACAACCATCGTGTCGGGAGCATTGAATGTACGGCAATTTTGCCAGACCAGTTCAACGTCCTTCTTAAATAATCCCCATTTCTGAGCAACATATGAATTGTGGTTAGAAAATGTATCGCAAGATGCAGTGAGAAGTATTTCCAAGCTGTACCCGATAAAAACTGGTTTCAACACGTGACCGGATCGTGCCAAGATCCATGGGGTGGTCAATCACAGACAAATAGTTCGGGCAACCATCGAGCTCGGGGTCCACAGGGCGAGAGAATAGATCCTGTGGTCAAGCAATTCGATCACAGTGAGAAGATAAATGGCAAACTCGAAACGGGCATGCGAGTCAAACCCACTCACCGATGCTTCCTCTTTCAATAGTCGGTTCACGAGCGCTAAGCAGACAGTTGACAGACAGCGAGGACCTCCCTTAACCAGTGACCAGTCAATCCAGTTCCCAGGGCTGGGCCCACCAGCGCCATCCAAGTCGTCGTCGTCGTCAAGGTCCATATCATCGTCTGAAACCTGGTGACGTCGTCGCGCTCGCCACGCTCTAAAGTCCAGATAAAATAAAACAGAGTGAGCACACCAACACAAATCGCAAAACCAGCAACCAAGAAACGTACCGGTCATGCTTTTGCTGGCCATCGGCACCATCAGGGTGGGATCTTCTTGATCGCAAGCCCGGACGCCGGCTCTCAACATCTTCATCAGAGTACCCATCTTCCGCCTATACACAACGATAGTTAAGACTCACTCACAGTAAAAGTAATACCACCAACACACTTGCACTTACGTCCGAGTCTTGACCGGTTTGGTTCTTCATTCGCCCGATCGCAATGCGCGAAGACTGCCGACGTGGAAGAATATTCCAAGCAAGCTCTTGTTGCTTGCGCCTTTCCTCTTCGATTTTTTCTTGATCCTTCATGATCAAGATGAGTCTGCCTCTCAGTCGGTCTTGTTCAAGCGAACCACCCGATAGAGACTGAATCAGCCCTCGCAAATCGTCAAGCGTTGAGCTCACTACGCGCCACCCTTGAGGGGCTTCATCAAAAGCCATCTGAAGATCTCCCTTTATCCGTGCTTCTTCGATCCCAAGACGTTGCTCCTGACGCTCACGGAACAAACCAACAAGCTTTGCAAATTCCTCATGGTAATGGTGACTGCGATGCCTCCTGCGGTGGTGGCCGTGACTGCTGCTGTGGTGATGGTGCGAGGATGACGACGACGACTTGCGCTTCTTGTGCTTTTTCGAGGATGACGACGATGACGACTTTTTACTCGAACTGCTCTTGCTGCTTGACGATTTCCGTTTGGAGGAGCTGCTGCTGCTTTTCTTCTTGGAGGATGAGCTAGAGCGGCTTTTACTTGAGCTTTTCTTCGACTTCTTCGACGATGAAGAACTGCTTCGTGCCTTAGACGACGAGCTTCGTTTCCTAGAAGACGATTCCTTGCTGTGGCTATCCGCTCGCGGCGAGAAAGGCTCCTTGGGGGTAGATTTTCGTCGTCGAGGCCAACCGCGTGCGTCGTTAACGAGACACTCGAAACATCGCCACTCGTCAGAAGGACGCTCCACTAACGGAGGGTCTACATACCTCATATCGTAGCTTTTCTTGCAACTTTCGCAGGTAATGTCAAACGATTCAGGTGCAGCGGCTGGATCAGTCGGCGACGTCGAGGCAGGACCCGACGCCTTCTCTGCATCTGTAGCACCGTCAGTTTTACTCACGTCCCCGACACCATCCTTGTCGCCCTTTGGAGTCGCTTCATTGTCTTCTTTTAACGTACTTGATGCGCTCGCCTCCTTACCATCAGACGGCAATGTCGCTTGAGACGAGCTCACGCTGGTGGAATCCTTTACTCCTGACTGGGCTGCCGGCGCCGATGAGTCCGCTTCCTTGTCATCCGATGTTACACATTCAGGTTTAGACGGTTCGGGAATGGCAGACCCATTGGGGTGCGGATCGTCAGGGTTCGTCGACTTTCCAGTATCTTTGCCAGGATCAACTGCTGTTTCACTGTTCGAAGGTTCAAGGCTCGATTTGCGCTTTTTCCTTGGTGGTGGAGACGATTTGTGATCCCCCTGTTTTGGCGTTGCTTTTTCAGCAGTGTCTGCGTCGCTGCTGTCACTGCTATCGTCATCAATAATCGTGCGCTTTTTGGAACCCATAACCGCCACCACACTTGCTTGGGCATGCTCGCCCGCAACGTCTTCATTGACCACCGTTTGAGGCTCATTTCCAGAAGCGTTGATGGTTGCGCCCTGCCGGCCTGCCGATGCTGGATTGCCTTCCTGCGCGGATGATTGCTGCGGGACAGGGGGCTTAGCGGAGCTTTCGTCATCCTGCTTGCCAACAGATCCATTCGACGCAGTGGTTCTCTGCTCTTCTTTCACATCCAACGGGGCCTTGACCACCGATGGGGTGGTTTCATCAACTTCAGTTGTCGACGATGACTCGAGTTTTAGTTCCTGTTTCACCATCTCCACCGTCATTGCCTCCACTTTCAACGTCTCGGACGTCCTACTCTCATCTTCCACTTTCACCTCGTCCTTCAATTTTTCCTCTTTGATCTCGTCAGCAAAAGCCACCGATTTCAAAGGCAAGCGAAGGGGTGGGGCCGAAGAATTATGGTCCGGATCAAAGTTAATCGATAACCGAATGCGTTTCGCGCTTGCAAACTCCACGAAATACGACGGTTTTCTAACTCACCAAAAAAACACGAGTTGTTAGCTCACGGCTACAACCACACTAACACGTTTGCACGGCCGAATCGTACCGTTCCTCACGCTGCCATCTAGGTTTGTCTTCCGCGTAGATCCAGCATCCGTCATCAAAGTACCAATACGAAACGCCATTATCATCCGTACCAATCTCCCCAGCTCGCTGTGTGTTCACGCATACAAGCACAAGTCATAATTTGATGCTCAGACATCCCCGCATCAGAACCCCCTTCTCACCAATCGCATAATCGCCTCGTTGTCGTTTTCTTTCTGCAGCGTTGCAATGTGCTTGTGGATCTCCGCGCAAGTATCGAGCTTCCAATGACACAACGCATCCAAGATCTTCACCTGCTCCCCCAATCCACGATTTCGTCAATTCAGATACCCCCCCATATCTTAAAAACTACCCACACCCACCCGTTCGTACGCCGTCAACTCGCGATACGTCACGCCACCAGCCATCGGATTGGCCGTGAACTCCTTCCTCCAGTTTTCCTGCAGCTTCCTGGCCAAAGTCTTCTCCCAGTCTTGCACCCTGCGCATCAATCAGCCCCAAACACACGTGAGCAATTCCGTAGCCGCAACCGTTGGCTGTAGAGCCTCGTCGCATTGCAGGCAGTAGCGCGCTCGCACATTTTTTCCATTTTGGCCGTCGGGTGCTCGCGCGCCAACTTGAAGTGCAGTTCGGCCAGCAATTCGACCTACAGAACCACGAAGGCGCGCACAACGTCGTCAGAACCACCACCGCCCGCCTGCCACGTGTGCAGCCACGTGCGCGCACTCACATGGGTCGTGTCACCGCTCGAAGCGCCCAGAATGGCTTCTTGTAGCTCCTAATATCAACACAGACAGGTTTGGCACAGGCAGGTGAGCATTGGCGTCCGGGGGCGGAAACTTGGGGCCCTGCATACAAATCCCAAATGTAGAGGGCGCGGGCGTGTAGCGGGCGTCCTGAGGCATCTGTAGACGTCTCGGTGACTCCCCCCGCGCCCTCGGAGGCCCAGGATCCGAGGTAGAAGGCCCCCCTCGGCGGGGCGGGACCTGCGGGGCCCAAGCGACGCCGTACCGTTCGCGAGAAGCTCGGGAGACGCAGCGGCTGGCGGAACGTGGAGCAGAAGGAGCAGATCTGGGCCAGCTCCACCGCCTGGCCCAGCTGCGAGGCCGACGGGGGCGCCGCGCTCGGGGCCGACGCCTCCGGGTCCTCGTCCGAGTAGCCACTGGACGAGCTGCTTGACATGGCGTTAGTATGTGGAGAGCGGTTCTGCGAAGAGGGGCCACCACCCGAAGGTGGTGTGCACAACACCACTCCGTATGCGATTAGACAGGCTGGTAGTTGCCTTCAAGGCAGACCACACAAAAAGGCAACTTCGAGGGGTGCAATGACATAGAGAGGTTCGTGTTTGGAAAATGCCGTCGTGTGGCTAGGAATCGTTGGTGTCTCGACAATGACGTCGCTTGAAGCGCTTAGACGTTGATGCCGTCGACGCTCTCCACCTCCAGCAGCTTGGCGTGCTCCTTGAGGATGGGGGCGATCTCCTCGCTGATGAACTCCTCCACCTGCTGCGGGCAGCGGCCGATGAAGAGCGACGGGTCCAGCAGCGCGTCCATGTGGTCGTGCACGGCTTTGAACAGCGGGTCGGCGGCGATGCGCTCCAGCAGGTCGTTGGCGGCGCCCTCCATCTTGACGCGCTTGCCGGCCTCCATCGAGTGCGTGCGGATGGCCTCGTGCAGCTCCTGACGGTCGCCGCCGGCCTTCACGCAGGCCATCAGGATGTTCTCCGTGGCCATGAAGGGCAGCTCGGCCTTGATGTGGGCCTTGATCACGTTCGGCCACACCTGCAGACCGTCCGACACGTTGGTGATCAGGTTCAGGATGACGTCCGTGGCGAGGAAGGCCTCCGGCAGCACCATACGACTGCACAAGTACAAAGCAAAAAGAGTCAGCAATCGGATCTACAACTCAAACCAGGAGATATCAGCAGGACGTACCGGTTGGCAGAGTCGTCAAGCGTGCGCTCGAACCACTGGGCGGCGTGCGTCTGCGCTCCGTTGTCCGTCAGCGAGATGACGTAACGCGCCAGACTGCAGATGCGCTCCGAGCGCATCGGGTTGCGCTTGTAGGCCATGGCCGACGAGCCGATCTGGTTCTTCTCGAACGGCTCCTCGATCTCCTTCATGTTAGCAAGGAGACGGATGTCGCCGGCCATCTTGTAGGCTGACTGGGCGATGCCCGACAGGATCGAGAGCACGAAGTAGTCGATCTTGCGCGTGTACGTCTGGCCCGAGACGGGGATGACCTTCTTGAAGCCCATCTTCTCGGCCACCAGCTCGTTCAGCTTCTTGACCTGTTCGCGCATCATTCATTTAGCCAAAGAGCATGATGAGTCAGCAGCCGCTTCAACCTCCCTCCACCACCGGTACAGTAATTCCCGGCGGGTCTCTTTCACAACACGCCGAAATCTGCATCTTCCTCACCTTCTCGTGGTCGCCCTCGAACAGGTCCAGGAAGCTGGCCTGGGTGCCGGTCGTGCCCTTGACGCCGCGCATGGGCAGGCTGTCGATCTGCTCCGTCAGGTGCTGGAAGTCGAGCCACAGGTCCTGCAACCAGAGCGACGCGCGCTTGCCGACCGTCACGAGCTGCGCCGGCTGGAAGTGCGTGAAGCCCATGGTGGGCATGTCCTTGTACTCGAGGGCGAAGTCGGCCAGCACCTTGATGGCCTTGACCATCTTGCGCTGGATGAGCTGCAGCCCCTGCTTGATCTGGATGATGTCGGCGTTGTCGCCCACGTAGCAGCTCGTGGCGCCCAGGTGGATGATGGGCATGGCCACGGGCGCCTCCTTGCCGAACGCGTGCACGTGGGCCATGACGTCGTGGCGGAACTTCTTCTCCATCTCGGCCGCGTACTCGTAGTCGATGTCCGTCAGGTGGGCCTTCATGGCGTCGAGCTGCTCCTGCGTGATGGCCAGGCCCAGCTCCTTCTCGGACGTGGCCAGCGCCAGCCACAGCTGCCGCCACGTCGAGAACTTGCGGTCGGGCGACCAGATCTCGCTCATCTCCTTGGTGGCGTAGCGGCTCACCAGCGGGTGCTCATAGCGGTTGTGCTCGGCCATCGTATCGTGTCTTCAGTCGGAAGGATATCTACGTCTGCGGACAGCGAGCGGCGACTGTGTGTGAATCTGATGCCGAGATCGTGGCCACTCGAACACGGCAAGCCGCTGATTGGACAAAATCATACGCGAATCAAAACCCGCTTCAAGGCGATCTACGTTCTGCACCATCGTGATGACCCGCAGCTGGGCGTGGCTGGGCGCGGCCTGCGCGTGCGTCTGCGTCGCTCTGGCCGCGGCGCTGTCGCCGGGCTTCAACGACCCCATGCCGTACTACACGTTCCCGCTGCTGGAGATCCTGCACCCGCTGAACGGTCTGCTGCTGGCGCAGACGGAGCTGCAGGTGGAGATCGAGGTGCGCGGCGAGCTGCTGGGCGGCGGCCTGCACCGCTCGCGCGTGTGCGTGCTCATGCAGCCGGCCTACGTGCCGCCGGACGTGGTGCTGGACCCGGGCGCCGCCGAGCTGGACGAGTCGTGCTTCGACCAGAGCCTCAACTACACGACGTTCCACGTGGCGGGGCTCGTGCCCGGCCTCTCGTACGCGCTCACCGTGGGCCTGGAGAACGACGGCAACATGGTGGCGCTGTCCACGCGCACGTTCTCCGTCGGGTCCATCCTGCTGCCGGGCGTGGACGGCCGACTGAGTGTCGACGACGCGCTGGAGGCCGGCGCGAGACTGCACAACGCCAGGGACCGCGTCACGGCCTCGCGGATCTACCGCTACGTGCTCGAGATCTTCCCGGACCACCCGCAGGCGCAGCATCTGCTGGGGCTGGCGCTGTATCAAGACGGCGAGTCGGAGCAGGCGCTGTCGTATCTGCGTCGGGCCGTGCAGGCGAACGAGAGCGAGGAGAATTTCCACAACTCGCTCGGGATTTGCCTCAAGTCGTTGGGGCGGGTGGACGAAGCCATTCGACACTACCGTCGAGCGCTGGAGCTCAACCCGATGGAGGTCCAAGCTTCGATTAATCTGGGAGATGCGATGCAGTCGCAGGGTAAGTGGGAGGAGGCGCTCAAAGAGTACAGCAAGGTGGCCAAGACACCGATAAACGTGCTGGAAAGCCACGCGGAGCCGGGGAAGGCGGAGAATCTGGCGAAAGATGCCACCGGCAGAATGTGCGAGCTTATTCGAGTCACGGACGGCTGGTACCATGCCGACCGCTGTTTGAATGAGGCGCTCGAACGCTGGCCGGACGAGCCAGTGTTTCACAATGACCGCGGGAACTTGCTGGCCAACGCCGGTCAGTTTGAAACTGCGCTGGACGAATATCAGCGGTCTTCTAGTCTCGGCTTGCTTGCTGGCATGGTAAGCTGATAGCTGCGACCGGAGCTACCTGATCACGCGCTAACCTCGTTGTGTGCGTTTATTTTTTACTGTTACAGTTAAACCTTGCGGATACCTTGGAGGCACTTGGGGAGACACAGAAATGCATTGATATGTATGATCAGGTAAGGTGGAAACGGCTGTGAACGCACCAATGCGATAAACAATGTCTAACAACTCCGACTATCGTGTGGTCATAGATTCTTGGGAAAGATTTCGACGACAGATTTCACCCTCGTACTCGAATTATGGTAATGAGAGCGACGGTTCTGCCCCGTGTACTTCCATCGACGCAAAAGGAGATTGATGACAGTCGAGATCGCTTTGAACGGGAGGTGGAGGCATTGCTGCACAACCGTAAGTGACACCCCTCGTGAACCTGAGTCTGGAACACTGGGGCTTTTTAAGCTAACATCGTCCCCTGTAATTCAGTCGACTCGCTCGACAAGACAGAAGTAGACCCGAATCGAGTCTCGATATCCACCGCAATCACGCTGACAGCGCACAACCGAAACAACCGTGAGCTCAAGTCAGCCATGGGTTATTTGTACTGGCAGCTGCTGTATCAACGGCAGATTATGCGCGAAGATTACGTAGCAAGTTACGGTATCGTGCCACTTCCCTACACTCAACGAAGCGAGGATATCAGCAGACCTGCGGTACTTGTGACTCTGATTGTTGACTATTTCCCTATACTGAAGCTGTACTGATCTCCTATGCCTCCTTGCGTAGATTGGTCCGCGGCGCTTACGGGTTGGATTTGTGTCCCGATACATTTTTAATTCGGCTGTGGGGCTTTACATGTCGGAGTTAATACCTATGTTCAACCGCGAAAAGTACGAGATCATTGTTTTTGCGATCAGCCAAAGTAAGTCAATGAAGGTGGTGAAGGAAGTCGAAGCAATCACCGAGACGGTGAGTTCAACGCAACTTGGAATCAATCCGGCTAGCTAATAACTAATCACCTATTGGGTAACTTGATTTCTGCTGTTACAGATTGTTGCTCTTCCGAAAGACGTACGAATTGCACGTGAAGAAATTCGCGCCTGGAACATGGACGTTATCATTTACCCCGAGGTTGGTGCCGTAGCGTTTTAGCTGTATTGATGAATCGGTGTTAATTTACCTGCCTACTTCGTTGTACAGCTCGGGATGGACAAAACAACGTACTTCGTGTCACTTGATCGGCTTGCTAAGGTTCAAGCTGTTTGGTGGGGTAATGCCGACACGTCGGGTGTACCAACAATGGATTATTATCTCACCAGCGAGCACGAACACGAGAACTCCAACTCGCACTATTCGGAAGCCGTGTACCAATTTAGGTAAGAACAGCCAACGCAAGCGTGAAAAGCTGAACTCTCGTCCACAAAACGCGTTGAAGCTCACTATATATTGCATTTGGTTGATTTGGCTTCTGCAGAGGAATGGGCATCTTCCACAAGCTCCCGCCATTGCCAAAAAAGAGCGTCAGTCGCGACCAAGTTCGCCGCGCAATCGAAGAACGCTTCGATATTCCGTCAGACTTTCACTTCTATCTAGCTATTGAGGTAAGTGCGCCTACGTCATGTCAGTCTTGAAGTTTGGTGTTGAGTCATTGTTATGTTTTTTTTTCTAGTCTATTATTCACATTCACCCCGACTTCGATGCTGCTGTCGCAAGGATTTTCAAGGCTGATAAGAAGGCTCATGTGTTCCTTTTATCAACTTCGAACCGTAAAGTTTGGAGAAATCAGCTTCAAGAACGGATGGAATCAGCGAGTGTCGACCCAGCTCGGCTTCACTTTCTCACGGACGTCGATCAGAAACAAGAAACAATGCTGATGCGAGCAGCAGACGCCGTTGTTGCGAGTTTGCACATGACGCGGCCCCGAGCTTCATTGCAGGCTTTTGCAGCTGGCGTTCCTGTTGTGACTTTTCCGAGTGAACTCTGGGCCTCGAGAATCACGTACGGGTTTTATCAGCAAATGGGGATCAACGACCTGGTTGCTTCCTCTTTGGACGAGTATGTGGAATTGGCAATTAAGCTAGCCACCGATACAACTTTCCACAAGAAGATGGAGCAGCTCATCAAGCGCAACAGATCTAAACTATCTGAAGATGTGCAAGCAGTCAAGGAGTGGGAGAAGTTCTTCGACTTTGCGGGCCAGCAAATTTTCCCCAGCGGTGAACAGTACTCGGGCTCCGACTGGGGGTGGGGCCAAAGTAATGGACTCGAGGGATTGGATGATTGGGGCCGAGTCGAAGGTGTTGGGGATGTTGTCGAGTGGGCTTCCATTGAGAATGCTGACGGAACACTTGAGTGGATCCCAGTTGAGAAAGTGGAGAAAGAGTAATAAGTGTGATGAGCTGTGAATCGTCTACGTACATACGTTAAATAATGTTGATGAAGAAGAAGGCAAGGTTCGTCTCGTGTTTGTGGCTCACTCACGACGGCCAAAAAAAATAGTTCCCAGGATCAACTTGTAGGAGGTGCTTCCCATTGTGAGATACCTGTGATGGAGTTGTAGAAGTATCGGTTGCCGTTTTCGTCCCAGCATTCGATCCATGCAGCTCTAGCCTCCTTTTCTTGTCGAAGCTGCTGCCGCTTCAATCGCCGCGCTTCTGCTCTCTGCTGTTTCAACTCGGCCTCTTGTTGTTTGGCCATCATGCGATCCCAAAGCATCCAACGTGAGCGAGAGTCATGCTCCTCAGTTTGCATAACTTTCCGCTCGTGCCATTCATTCTGCAGCTCCTCCTTCAGTTTCTCGGCCTCTCGGAAACGCATCTGCCTGCTAAGCAGATCTTCCGCTCGCATTGCAAGAGTTTCGCGATCGGCAATGCGCTTCTCAGCATATAGCAACCGCATTCGAGCAATGTGCTTCTGCTGCTCCTCAAGTGCATTCTTCTGAAGAGCCCCGGATTTCTCTCGTTTCTCCTGTTCCTCCTTCGCCTTCGCCTTAGCTTCCAGAATGCGTTCTACGTAGTAAAGGTCTTCGCGGCGCATTCTCTCGAGCTCCCGTCCTTCGCGCCTTTGGTCTTCAAGTTGCTGTAGGCGCTGACGCTCTTGAATCGCGAGCTTTTCCTTTTTCGATGGGCCCTGCTCCCCTTTCGCATTCACCTTCAACTTGGGGTCCTCGTTTAAATCACCTTGCTCAAGCCGCCGGATTTCAGCTTGCATGCGAAGTATTTGCTCGTGCTTCTGTTGTTGCACTGATAGCTCGCTTTCTTCGGGAACGTTGTAGTCATTCGCGGACATTAGGGTGCACTCGTCCCGTTCTCGTCGGCGTATAGCTTCTCTTTGGTATTGTTGCTCGAGGATCTGACGCTGACGCTGTTCCTGCTGGTATCGGCGCTCGCGCTCTAGTGTCTCGAGTGTTGGTAGAGACTTTATCCACTCTGAAAACGTTTGTTGAGGGTCAGGATGCTGTCGACCAGAGCATAAAACGCCAAGACTCTCGACTAAATGGCTTCGAAGACTTTCAACATCGGCGCACATTTTTCTGATCGCAAGTCTGCGTTGGTTTTTCTTGACGTCTCCGTTCTGCTGAAGTGAACTCTCCTCAAAATCGACCTGTGCAGCCACAGAGGCTGCCTTCAGGCGAGCTTGAACTGGTCGTGAATCATATTTCCTTTGTTTCTTCACTCCTTTGGTAATGCCACCCTTTCTCTCGATTGGACTAAGAGTTCTTCGGTCACAGGTAGCTGTTTGATGCCCTTGAATATCTTCTATGAACGTAGCCTTGCACTCTTCGCCAAACAGACAAAATGCAGAACAGGCGAGCCGCTTCAAGGTGGACGCTTGGATAGCAACAGTCTCGATTGGCAGTAGTGGTGTGTCATTATCCAGCAATGCCAGTGATTTCTCCAAACTGTGGCTGGGTGGTAGTAAGCATGCATACTTGTGAAGTACTCGACGGAGATATTCTGCGTCTCGCAAGAGGGTTCTGAACTCGTTCGATTGCCGTGGAATGTTGATCATTAGCGCGATCAACGACCGAGTTGCAAGGTGCATTGGCGAGCCGTCGTGTAGCACGATTTTCCACACAGCACAAGCTTCGCGTTGTTCAAGCCAAGTCGAACGAGACTCGCAACAAAGAGAAGCCAGCTTGTGCTGAATCCTCTTTGTAGAACTGTTTTTGCTGTCTTCACCATCGCTGAGGGGAAAATTGAAGATGGATGGAAGCTTTCGACGTCTTGGCCTTTTGTCACTAAACCCTTTGTGAGCGTGTGCTCGCTGTTCAAATTCTGATACCTCGTCTGTAGGAATAGCATTGCCTCGTAATATGCATATCAATGGTCGTATCCCGACAGGAATGAAAAACTCGTGACCGTTTTCTTTCAACAATCGAGTACACAAAGATTGGTAACACCAGTCGAATGGATCGATGGCTATCATCAGATCGTGGGGATCAAATGAATCCCTGTCTTGGGAGTCAGCAGCCTGCCCCTCTTGCATATTCGCTTTATTCTCCCACCCAGCGCACACCTTAATCAAAAAGTCGTGCAGATTCTCCTTCACCACGTTGCAAGCAATTTCCGGTTCCCGACACACGCAAAACAATATACTCAGGAGCGTGACACGGATCAACCGCTGCTCACACTTTCGCTCACAACATTCACCAATCGAATGTTCCGTATCAAACCAATTTGCCACAAAGCGCCTTAAGCATCCGAGCACGCGAGCAGTGCAAAGTGTCACCAGTTTTGCTTTATTCTCCAGCTCGGGCTTGTTGAAATAGACTGCGATCTCCAGGAAAATGCACAACGCTTTGCGTAATGCGCCCGATAGTTGTGTCGATGAATGGATGCGTTTTCCCTCCATTGGTTCTAGTTTCATCTGAAAATTCACGCCCTTCCATGTTGCGTCGAGAGTTTGGATTGCTTGAACTAATGCCGTCTCGCTAACCACTAGCTCCGACTCTGCGTTGTCGGGTTGAGGAGACTTTGTACAAGCTGGTACCTGCTTATGAAGACGGCGATAAGGAGGCGGCATCGTTGTTGAAAAACTAATGCTAGGAAGGATGAATGTGACTAAAATGAAAGGATCTATTTTCGTGTCAATGTTGATCAAACACATGCACTATAGGTCTGCATTTACGCTTCTTCCTCATCGTTCTCTGAAATGACATTCATCTCCACAATGTCTTGCCCTCCACGCGTACTTTTCCCCGTAAACTCGGTTCCCACCTCCTCCTTGCTCTGCGATGATGAGATCGGTAGGTGCGAGTGCGAGTTGAAGAGGATCGGGCCGGCAATCTGCAAAAACGTTCCGAGAAGCTCCTCGTCGTCTGTGGAGAATACTCCGCTAGCGTCGAGTTTGTTGATTAACTGTACGACGGCAATGACTTCGCCCGAGCTATTGCGAAGAGGCATCGCAAGTACGCTGCGTGTCTGATAGCCGAGCTTCTGGTCGAAGTCCTTGTTGAAGCGCGGGTCGTCGTAGGCATTAGCGAGGTTGATAGGTACATTCTCTTGGGCGACAGCACCAGCGATGCCCTGATTCAACGGTACACGGATGTTCACTTCGCCCTGCAAAGTCCAGAGCTCATTCTTCGCCCGGTCCACAATGTAGAGGGTGCATCGATCCGAGTTGACAAACCTCTGAACACGAGTCGAGATCGTGAACATCAGCGAGATGAACCCCAAGTCACGGTGCATATCCTGCACAATGCTCAGCACTTCTTTGACCCGTTCACGCGCAATACACGCAACGGCGTGGGTGTCAGCATTGTGTAGTGCCACACCCGCCTGAGCAGCGAGAATTGTCAGAATCTCCTCGTCTTCGTCGGAGAAGCTCGCCGTTTTATCGACCGATATCTTGTTGAGCACCTGCATGACCCCGACCGTGTTATTTGCCCCATTGCGGACCGGTACGCAGAGCATTGATCGAGTATGATATCCGTTGCGTTGGTCATACTGCGAGTCGAAATTGGGGTCCGCGTACGCGTCGGAAATGTTCATCGCTTTGCCTGTAGCAGCTACCGTGCCAGCAATTCCCTGGTGAATAGCAGTAAAGTTAATACACAGTTCGCGTGTGAGCTCAAAACCAAGATAAAGCCGTACCTTTCCAAACGGGACGCGAATATCGGTTGCTCCTTCAGACACTTTCAGTACCAACATGTCCGTCGATCGTTCATAGATGAATAGCGTCGCTCGTTCCGCATTCAGCACAGAGCACGCCTGCTTGATGATGATTTTCGTCGCTACAATAATGCTTTAGTGCGATGGACTTACGCTGACAAGGTTTAGCGCAGCTCACCTTCCATAGGATCTAGCTCTGAGCCAATTACGCGGCAAGCCTGAATGACCTGCTCCATCTTCGACAGTCGATGCGTTAAGACAGGGTCGCTCCCAAGTTCGGGAGTCGGTGAGTTGACGGACGGCGGAGGAGGCCTGATTACACCACAGAGATAAGCAACTTACACAAAGAAAAATGGGCTCAAACACGTACGCGAACTTTCGAGGCTTGACCAGGATGCGACCATTCTCGTCAGCTGATGCACTTCAGCACAAAATCAAATGTTAACGTCTCATGGCATCACATAAACTTAGCATTTTTCGCTCTTTCAACCTTGCTGCGGCGTAGCACTGTTTGATGTACGCCAACGTATGTTCGGCTTGGAACTTCTCCCCACTTTTTCTCTGCCAAAAGAAAACTCACATTAACAATTGCACTGTGATCATAGCGATACAAGGTGTTGTTATAGTACGAAGTACCTCGCCTATCTTCTCCTGCAGCAAGGACTGGAGGAACGTCAGAGGGTCGTCGGGTCTGGACAGTAGCGCCTCCGCCGTCATCCACTCGATGAGCGAGCGGAAGCCCATGGAGTTGAGGTAGGCCTCGCCGGCCTCGGCCGTCTGCGGATCCATGGCTATCGTCTACTATTTAGCAGTCCAGCCAGAAATCTCTCGCCTCAAACTGGTCCACATGCTGCTCACTTTGAGGCGGATCTTGAAACGACGCGTCTCTTCGTGCGCAAAACTGCTGCTAGTATGTCTTCCAGGAATCAACTTTTGGACTTCCTGAGTACAAACGCTGGGCTGAAGTTGAAGTGACCTCGGGCAGTTGGCGACAGGAGTCGGAAAGAGCACACGCCAACCCTGCCATGGCAGACAACGCGGGTACTCGGCCCAAGTCGGGGCTGCAACGACTTTGGTCGTTCGGTCACGGTGGGCAGCTGGATTTGCGACCGCCCTCGACGACAACGCAAACTGCTGACAGTGCTGCTGCTTCTGGTGGTGGTGAAGGAGACCGAGGTGATCCAGGCACGCCACCTTCGGTGATTCGCCACCGTCGCGCAGACCCGCGAGCCGATTTCAGGCTGAACATGCTCACGCACTCGTTCTCCAGCGACACTGTGACGGACGCGATGTCAAGTCGTCGATCGGACGAGAACGCGGAGGAGGATTCGGAGGAAGGGGAGCAGCGATCCATCCCGTATCGCCATCGACGAGTCAAGAGCTACACGGGCTCGGCGGACTGGCAGCTTTTGGACTCGGGGCCTACCTTTCGTCCGCGCACGTACACGAAATCGCTGGAGTATCTGGTCCAGCACTTGGCTCCCACTGCGGACATTGGCGGGACGTTGCCATCGCCACGCTACACATCGCCCACAGCGAAGTCAAAGAACGCGATGCCTCGAGTCTGGTCGCCTCGTCATGGGAATGCGATTCCAAGTGTTCCTGCCGTGGACTACCAGATGAAGTACGAGTTCGCCTTGATCCTTCACAACAAACCCACCACGCCGCGAATCCTGGCCCGAAACGGGTTAGATGCCGTGGGGAAGCGCCAGATGGAGGTATTAAGTCGCTGCATCAATGCTGGGTTTGAGGTGTCAGTGCTCTCCAGTACTCTGTACTCCCGCAAGTATCTGGTGCTCCTTCTGCGTCCGTCGCCATCGAGACTGCAAACCGAAAAGAATCGGCTGGTGCTGGAGCGTTGGCTTCAGATCGGAGCTGTCGGCGAAGTCCCCTCTGAAATCGAAGAGCTTATTGCCTCCAGTAACATTGGAGATGTGGAATCGCCTTCAAAAGCGAAAGTAAAGGCGCCAGAAGAGACGAAGGATGTGGCCGTGGACGACGACGATAAGTTCACCCCTGCTGAACGAATCCAAACCATCGCGCGTATCATTACATCGATAGCCAACGTGGAAGAGCTGAACCCCCCAGGAGCAAACATCTCGTTCGAAGAAGTCAACCGCAACGAAACAATCATCATGGCCTGCTTCCCGCTTCACAATCGCCATGTGGACAACATGCTGCTAGCCAAATGTGGTCAATGGTGGTGGAAGTCGACAGAGATTACGAACGAGCTCCGTTACTACTACGGAGAGCGCGTGGCCTTCTACTTCAGCTTCCTGTTCGTCTACACAAAATGTTTACTGGTTCCAGCTCTTGTGGGGTGCGCTGTGTACGTTTCTTGCAGGTGGATTGGGGCGGTTGCGTACATGAGAACACTATGCATTTTCGGCTTCTGCACGGTCACGATTTGGGGAACGTCATTTCTGAAGGCATGGACGAGGCAAAATAACCTCTTGAACGATGCGTGGAACCTCAGGCTGTTCAAAGAAGCAGACTACCCGAACGCGACGTTCAAGCCGCAAGGCTACCGCGATGTTGTGGATACACATGGTGTCCTGCTCTTCCGTGAGCCGTACTACAACCCACTGTGGCGTATTCCAGCGTACATACAGACATTCCTGGTCTTTTCCCTGTTCATAGCAACGTACGTCATAGGGACCGCGTTTTTCGTGCAATGGTATACTGCTGCAATGATGGCTCCAGTGTGCAGCAAGTGCCCAGACTGCGTCGCGTTCCTGTCGTGCTTCAACACGGAGAGACCGATACTGCTTACGGACAGGTGGTGTTACATTTTCGCTCAAGGAATTCTACTGGGAATCTCGCTCGACATCGTCGTATACTTGCTGAGTGTCAAGCTCATTCGCTTTTTCGTGGCTCGAGAGAATCACGTCATGGAGGCCCATTTCCAAAGAACGATGATCAATCGTCTCTTCGCCATTAACTGGATCTCCTTTTTCCTCTGGTTCATGCTGATCTCGTTCGTCATCATCCCATTTGGCGACGAGGTGGAGACCTGGCTGTCGGCGAATCTCAAGTACACTAAGCTCACTGTTCGATGGCAAGGTGGCGTCATCGACATGTCGACGGCATTTGTGACACCGCTGCTCATTACACAAGCTCTAAACCTCTTGATCGACACGTCGCTACCGATAATTTTTCGACGAGAGACCCTGAGGGCATCGAAGCTGGCGAAAAAGATCATGAAAGCCAATCCAGCAGAGACGCTTCTGGCGCTTTCCGAGTATCACTCGTCCTTCGAGAACCTCTCGAGTGATCTTTCTCCGACCCAATCATCTCGGTCAGTTGCATTCAAGACCAAAATCGAGGTAAGAGGCAATGTTGTGCTCTTGTTGTACGCAGACGTGCTAATCGTTTACGTTGTTTTCCTTCGCTGTACTAGCTTCAAATGATGACTCCGATCCGAATTCCATACCTCGAAGAAGCATTGGGGGTATCGATCCCCACGCTAGAAGGCTTCGACAACGAGAAATGTACGTGGCTGCTGAGCGCTGAACTAGCAAGTCGTAGTACTAACTTTTTTCTATATTGCACCAGATTTTATGACAGCTGATGATGTGCTTGAAGAAAGTCAACTACCGCTGTACAATGCTTTCGTGAGTTACCGTTGACTCGAAAGCTGCATTGAGGATTCATCCGAAACTAACCACATTTCTTGCTTCTTGGATTCGATAGCCTGACTATTTGCGAATGGTCATTCAATACGTACGTGTGTGGGTCTCACACTCGGTGGTCTTGATGGTTGCTAATCGTTATGAATGTCCTGGTTACCTAGGGATACGTCGTGATGTTTTCTGTAGTGTGGCCGTTTTGCGCGATGGCAGCCTTTGCCAATAACGTTGTCCACATCCAGAATTCATTCTACAAACTCGTGCTGCTGCGACGACGACCTGTTCCACGGAAGTCGAACAGCATCGGCCAGTGGGAGAAGATGCTGTTTATCACTCTTTTCTTGGCCATCTTTGTGGTCGTGGGGCTTATTTGCGTTAGTACTGGCGAACTCGAGTACTTCATATCGGAGTGCATGGCACTAGACCGATTCAACGGGAAGGATTTCAGGTACGTCTGGCGCATATTAGCTGAAAAATGCGAACAAACATCTAACCAGGTCGCTCCCTTGTCGACTTGATTTTAATGATCCTTAGCATGGGCCCCGAGTTTTCCTGCCTCGACATTTCGTCGCGGTTCATTGTTGCGCTGATATTGGAGCACGCTGCCATCCTCATCGTTTACGTGATAATGGACTACATCTCCGACACGCCGTCAAGTGTGCGCACGTCGTTCGAGAGGAAGAAGGAGCTCATCCGACGAGCGATTTGTGGGCAGGGGCCACCGACAAGTCCAAAATCCGAAGGCAAGGGCGCGCCAGTCCGCCACGGAATAAAGTCGTTTGAAACTGCGTAGACTTGCAATCCGAACGGGACAACAAGGGTTAGCAATCACATCCACATTTCATGAATACGAATATCGATTAAAAAAACACTTTGCAGAGTATTCGCGACGCAACCTTCCTCCTCCCGTACTGCTATGAAGTACGTATATACTATCTAGCGGGTCTACTTCAGATATCAATGTGGTCAACGTGTCCCACAGCATTCGTGATGGTATCTTCGCTGCTAGATGCTGTTCGCAGATCTTCGATGACCTGGCAACAATAAAGAAACAAACAGTTATTTAACGAAGGTGTCACGAATCAGCAGCGCCAAATACTCGCACAAACGTACCACGATCGAGCTCAAAAATGCCTTCAATCGACGTAGAAGGTTGGGGACGGGAGACCACATCCACTTGTTTTCCACCAGTTCCTTCTTGCCCGTATCCGAGATGACGCTCCACAGGTAACTCACAGACATGCAGACAACGAAAGTGTAGAAGACAACCGAGGCGAACGAAGAGATTTGCTCAGCTGCCCTCGACTCCATCTCGCGACTCTCAGCTCGTGTCTTGATTGAAATCCTCTCCACACTCAATCGCTGTCGGTAGACTCCATCATTTCCATCTTGCTGCAGAGTCTGCTCTGCAACGAACGAGAGCTCTTCCATGGCGTTCCCAAGTCGACGGGACAGTCCACCACGAGCTTCCTCCCCGTGTTGCACGCCCTCACCTTCCAGCAGCTTCAACTCTTCTTCGTCTTCATGCTGCCAAGCCTCCGGCACTGGCCTTACTGCAATCTGCACGGGCAGAGTGACGTTCATCTTGAGCAGCCGCTCCCTCGTCTCCCGGATCTTGCGCTCCTGCTGTTCGTGGTAGTGCAGCACCTCCTCCATCACCTGTTGGTGCTCCTGCATCATCGTCTTCACCTGGTCATCGAAGCTTCTCTTGGCCGAGTTCTGCAGCATCACGGTCCGCGTCGAAGCGGCCACCTGCGCGTCCTGGCAGCTCTTGAGGAACTGGTCGCTCGTGCTCTTGAAGCGCGCTGTGTCTCTCCCCAGGAGCGAGACGCTCCTCTCCAGCCGCTCGAACCGCTCTTCAACGCGCGACGTACCGCGTCTCCAGATGCCCAAGGACGAGCTAAGCACGTTGACGCTCGTGGAGAGCAAGACGACGCACAAAATGCCGCCTACAATGACCCGCAACGGCTTCGGGAGCACGAGAGGCGCGGGCTCCGCCGCTGCCTGCTGCTCGCTGAGCGGGTCCACTGGAGCTGCTGCTGCTGCGTCTCGGGTTCGACGAGGTACACGACGGTGCGTCGCCGTGTGCAGAGGCTCCGTGTCCTCCAGCGACACGGTGGAGCGCATGCTGTCGGACAGTCCGAGTCGGACCATCGTGTTGCCTTTGTCTGCCTTTGAACCTACGGCGCGAAAACTGGATTCAAATTGGGGCAATAGTCGGACCAAGTGAAACGACTAAGTACGATTTACATGTATTGTTATTGTTGTTCAGTAGCTGTTGAAGCCCCAAGTGGCTACATTCACGACTCACCGACTTCGGTCACTGCTGCTTGCTGCTTCTCCATGTACACGTTGAGTCGGATGGGCGACACGACGGACTGGACGGCTTTGACTGGGAAAATCTCCTTTTGCTTCTTCTGGTCCTCGCACCAGAACGGGTCGGCCAGCACCCACGAGTTGCAGGCGTTGCTCTCGTTGATCGCCGTTGCCTGGTTACTGGCGTCTTCAACCGTCTGCACCAGGATGCGGAATGTGTGTGGCTTGCTTTGCTCGGATTGATCCGCACCTCTGGACGCTGGCGTCGCTACAAGCGCCACCATTCCTGCCCGGAAAGCCTCTTCGAGCTGCACCAAGGGCAGCGGCTGGTCTTCGTCCGATTCTACGGCCTCCACGAAGGCCGCTCTCCAGCTTGGCTCGACCACCAGCGTCTCCATTGTCCGTCCTTCCTTGGAGAGGAGAATGACGCACAACTTCTCGAGTTCAGCTCGTAGCAGCCACGTCCGGCATCCAGCCAGCATCGAGTGGATGTACTCGCACAGCAGCGGGTGGCGGCTCATGTGGATCGGGACGCCGTACAGCACTCGCCGCTCAAAGGACTCTGCGTGGTAAAACGTAGAGCAGATGCAAGGTCAGCAAGTGCCACATAGCGCGAGTGTGCTCGTACAATACTGCACAATACGCACCTCGCGGGTAGACATGCCAGGCGAACCTGCCAAACAGACGCAAGGCCACGAGCTCATATCAATGTTTCTGGGTGCAATTCAATATACTGCTCTAAGCTGCGGGCGTCATACAGGAATTCGTGCACTGCAGCCTCCAGGAACTCGAGCACGAGGTCCGTCAGCATCTCGCCGGCGTTTGCCATGGCTCTCTCGGTCTCCATCCTGCGTTGTCCGGTCACTCTCCCGGGTATTTCCACACCCAGAAGAATGACCAGCTTACGAATTTTCCTGTGCACAGTCAAGAATACAAAATGTGGCGCAACTTGGCGTACGGGTCGCAGCAGGCGGCGGATGCGGCGCCCGCCGTGGTCCCCACCAAGGCGGCAACGAAGGAGTTGGTGGTCTCGCAAGGTCCGTCGCTCTCTGCGTCTGTAGCTTCCCGTGTCTTCCTGACTGAATGACTGATTGGTGCTTGCTTAAAACGGCGGCAGTGGACGCGTCCTCCGTGCCCAAGAATGACGGCGCCAAGGTCTACAAGATCCTGGAGTATCTGCGCAAGGTCCCCATGCATAAGGCCGTGGCCGTGGCCGACATCTTCAAGCACACGGGCGTTGTACGTGGCAGCAGTTGACTTGGAGCAGCAGAGAGAGAGAGAGTTGGAGCTGACGATTGGGAACTCTGTAGGACCTGACGATGGACGACCAGGTGGAGCAGCGCCTCAAGAACAACCCGAAAGTTCGGGTGCAGGGAGATCAGTATGCCTACCAGGTGAGGGAGGCGTCGGTGTCCAACTGCTGCTGGGTTGGCTACACTCCTTGCTGATTGCTGCTCTGCTGGTAGGCTAAATACGACATCAAGAACCGGATGCAACTGCTTAAGATCCTCGACAGGGTAAGAAGCTAGTAAGGGATGTTGGTGCCTTGAAACATTTATACTTACTGATGATATTTGTGCGTTTCCTGCGACGTGTGCAGATTCCTGAGGGCATGCCCATCGAGGACTTGATCGATTGTTACGTCGGCGTGGAGGACGATTTGAAGGAGCTCACTCGCACGGGAGAGATTATATGCCTGAAGAATGCTGACAAGGGCGCGGAGGTGTACTATTCTCGCGGGCCTGCGTTCCTCGTCGACCTCTCGGGAGTTGCCACGGTTGAGGCTGGCAGCTACTTGGCCCATTCCAGCCAAGAAATCACTGGTGAAATTCGTCGTGGTGATGCATTGCGCATTGGTGATAATTGGTTCCGCGTTTCAGCTGCGGTCAAGGTAGCGAGAGCTCTACGATATTTTTATGTCATGAGTGTTGGTGACGGGCATACTGTACTCACGACCTATCCTATACTTTATGTTGCTACCCTGTAGAGCTCGAGTACGACTCGCCCAGCGCCATTTGCGGGGATGGCGACGAAGAGTGTCTCGTCGACACGTGATCCGAACGTGTCGAAGAAGATCAAGTGCGTCTTCTGTTACAGGGCGAACATGTTGGTCTCACTCACCTCTGCTAACAATCCGTAATGGTTGTGCGCTGTCGACGTATAGGTACATGTTCAAGTTTGACAAGGATCATCTTCCTTTGGACGTTCCCTTTCCGGACGCCAAGAGGAGGAATATTGCTAGCAGCGATCGCTGGGACCTTCTGCCTAAGCGAGGGCCGAAGTTCCAAATGGTGAAACACGGTACGGAACGTACAATTTTTTTCGGGATGTCTACAGGATAGTAACATTGGTGTTGCATTTGCTTATCTGCAGGCTGCTCAAATGACATCCGCCAGCTGTGGCGTGACACCTTGCGGGCATGGCCCTCGGATCGCGCTGAATTTGAGAAGAAACTGGTTCAGGCTGGGCTTACGACGCAGGCTAAGGTTGACGCTAGCCGCCGCCAGATGAAGCGTCGTCTGAAGGAGGACAAGAAAAAGAACCGTCCTCGCAAGCAGCGTGATATTAAGATTACAAACCACCATCTCATCGGTACGAAACTCGGCGAGATTTTGGCGAAGGGCAGCCAGGAGCAGTTCACGCTTGGCGCCGTCAAGTTCGAGAAGAAGTAGTTGCCTTGCTTTAGTGATAGCAGCGCGCTGCTAGTCAAATCGGATCATGCAAAGCACTTAAACGAGATGAATATCTTCCTGCAACAAAATTTATTGACATGCGAAACGAGATTTCGAATGTGGTAGCTCAAATCTGTAGCACCCCCTTCTGTCTGAAGAAAAGAATGCCTATGGCCGTGATCACGATGAAGGCTACGACGCACGTGATCGCTACGCCCCAAAACCAACCCCACGCTTCTTCGACCCCAGAAGCCAAGTTCATGCCAAACACTCCAGCAAGTAGAGTGCCTACCGATAGACTGATGGTCATCAGCGAAAACACCAAGTCGACTCGGAGCAAGTAGTTTCGCATCGAGTCCAGCTTCAGCATCACCAGACTTTCTGTGTTTGTGATGCGGTGCTGCATCAAGTCCGCCTGTGTGCGCGTCGAAAAGATATCTTGCAGGTAATTTTCAATCAGCACTTCAGCTTCCTCGGAATCGAAGCTGTACAGGTCCATGAGAAGAGAAGGGTCTTCATGAAGCTTGGTGAGGTACAGCAGGCGAAGATCTTCTTCGTTGTCCAGCAGCTCCATAAGCACTCGACGTACACCATCCACTTGCGACTCAAACTCATTCATCGTGTTTTTGAACTCGCGTAGCGTCTCCAGCTCACGTGAGTGCAGATTTCCTTGAACGAGCCGCTCCAGCGCTGAAATGACGACGGGGGAGAGTTTCTCGTAGTCTGCTTGAAAGTACCGGGCGAGGGTGGCCAGCAAAGCCTCCAATGCTCTGTAGCACACAAGCGCACATAAGTAACAGAAACTCGAGAATGTCATCCTAATGTTACTGAGTTGTTACGTACCTGAACTCGAATGGAGACTCCGCGTTCTCTCGAGCAGTCTGGCTGAACTGATCCTTCAGGATGGACAGAAGACTATCCGCTCCGTCAGGCACATACACCAGGCACACATCTCGCATCACGATCGCTCGCAATGGGTCTAGCGATCACATCCACAATCAGCACCGGCCAGCATCGCCTCCTCTGTCATCATACAACAGCATTCTTACCAGCGCTGATGAGAATCGCCTGCTTCCGAATAACGATCGACGGCTCATTCGACACTGAGAACGCGTTTTCCATTCGGCGAATGTCTCGCGCGTGCACTCGCTAGCAACACAGCAATGTCACCAACACCGAAATGGTATCCGTCAAGACCCCCAGCATCCTCAGCTTCCTCTCTACAGCTACCACCACCCACCTGGACGTCACAGACAGTGGCGTAATTGGGCCCATCGATCCCTCCGCCATCTCCACGCGTCACGTGCATGCTGGTTCGGCGTCCTTTGGCGCCGACACTGCCCAGGCGACGCAGCGGCATCGGTGGGGTGATGTCCGTCGCCTCGCCGACCTCTTCGGGCTCCTCCTCACTGGGCGCCGCCGCCTGCTGCGTCATCCGCAGCACGTCCAGCCTGCTCATCTCCTTGAACTCGGAGTCTCCATTGCGGTCGAACAGCAGCACCAGTACGCGCCCGTTCTTGGAGCCAGGGTCGAACTGGCAGGCGAAGCGCTTGAGCGAACTGGCGCCCGGCGAGCTGGCGCCGCTCAGCTCCGTCGGGTCCGTCGCGCACAGGTCGATGCGGTGGTAGCTGCTCCCGGGGCTGCGTCTGTTGGCTACGGGAGTGTCCATGACAGCGGCAAAGGACGCACGCGCCGACGACGAGCGCGCGTTCGAGGCAACAGCATCCGACGGCATGTTTCGGCGTTCGGCGGTACGACGACGAATGTGACAGGCGACAAAGAGAGAATTAGATCTGTTCTAAAATCTAAATCGAAAAGGTGGGACTTCTTCCAGATCTGATTTATTCCTGCCTTCGCAATTTTCAGATTGTCGTCGAAACGTGGGCGGTTTCTCGCACTTTGTATTGGCTCGTAGGAAAATCGGCGATATTTTCATTTTCCTTCGCTCTTCGCCTGTGCAGTAGTGTGCAAATGGGGGCAAACAGCTACGTGTATTGTAGTGACGGCTCCACCGGCGCCTTGCGCACTGGGTGCCTGCCAAAAGGGTCATAAGGACCCGGAGTAAATGTAGCAGATATGCTCGGCATAAGCTAACATAAATCTCGTGAGACCGGAAAATCGTCTCGATAAACTGGCGGTTATGGCGTGTACCCATCTTAACGACTTACTACGACTTTGTATTGAATATGTCGACCATCATTCTTGTGAAGAATGACAGGCTGTCATATATCTTCTTCCACCAGCCGCTTGTGAATCGCGCGTCGAACAGCGCCCAGGTCCTTGTTGTAGCTCACGTAGGCCTCGCACAGCACACACAGAGCGTCACACGTATCATTCTGGAGCTCCATCACCGCGGCTGTGTGGGTAGAAGGGCGCTGAATCGTAAATGAGCATGATGAGATAAACTGCAGAAAGATCTAGCCATAGGAATGTCCGGCGCAAAGTGACGCTGTAGGGCGAATAGATGTGGTACTTGGGCATTTGTAATCGGACGGAGTTGTTGTCTATAAGCATGTTGTGGCGGGTGCAACTAGGCTATATGTCGACATATCCACCCGCATATCTGCGGTAACTATGTTAGGTCCTTATGACCCTTTTGGCAGGCACCCACTGGTGGGTTGTCGAGACGACCGATACCTTTGATGAGCATGCGAACCTGTGGACGGTCCGATGGAAACACTCGGACTGCCGCCAGGAAGAAGTGTCGAATCCCGAGCAGGTTGTTGAGGATTGTTGAACATCGAACTGGACGGCCAGATCCGAAGCGTCCTGGAAGCCGGCGAGGATAAAGTCGGATATGTGTTGGATTTGGGCTGGTGTGGTAATGCCGACAAGCCATGGGTTTACACCGCGCCGCGCGATAAAAGCTAGCCAGCCGCGAAGTGCTTGTATTTCGCGTAGGTGGAGTCTGCCACTGAGTTCTCGCAGAGATATCCTGCCAGAGCGTCTCAAGCTCGATTCCCTCGATAATGTGCAGAATAAACTCTCCAAGGTGACGAAGGATTTTGTTCTTGTCATATGGGGGAAGCCTTCGAAGGTGCGATCTTGTAAAAGACCCTTGGTCCTCCACGAAATCCACAATTCGGTGCTCCTGGAGCCAATATTTGCTGGAGACAATGTCATTAGCCCCGGTACTACATCGCCACTAGGGCGCGGCAGAACAAAAAGCAGCGGTTTTAACCGAGTTTCAAGTAGTTCAATTTCAGCCATTTGCTGGGAGAGAATCAGGTCTTTGACTTGTACTTTGACGAACGTCACGTTGACGAGAGTCATGATAGTTTTAACGGCTGCAGCGTTTACCTACCACGCAGGAGTAGGCAATTCCGACTGATGGTCGTCAAAATGCTTCGCTAGACGAACATGATGACTTAAAATCCAGCCCAACGCGTTCCCCATGTACAACCAGCGATTCGTCAGTTTTTTAGCCACGGACCCCAATTCAGTAATCAGCGTTTTTTGCTTGCGAAGGTGAACAATGACATCCTTCGTTTTTTTTTACAAACTCACCATCGGATATCAACGCAAACCCAGCTTTAAGTACCAGATCCAACTGGTGGGCTGCGCACCAAACACGCAATACGTTGTGAGTTGCTTCTTTCTCCAATAGTGTGACCACGCCTCCGTGGCGACTCGTCATCGTATTTTCTCCATCGGAAGCAATACCTATCAATTTATCTCTCCAACTTTCGAAAAGAATATCCAGAACCGCAACAATGAGATTTCGCTGGACAACCGCAGTGTGGCGATCAAACATCGGAATCGCTAATAAATGCAATTTTACTAGAACTACATTTACCGCCAGGCGCACGCGCTGATCCATAAAAGATCGGTCAGTATGCGTAGTCACGTCACTTGCAGATGCAAACGCCCACACCCTTGGTTCTGCTAACAGGTCTCCAATCCTTTGAAAGGATGCAGCAACCAGAATACGAGCATATGTGCTGGCTAAGTTGTCAGTCATACCGTATAGCTTGTGGTCGCTGGTAGCTACCGGATTACTTCAGCAGTTTGGCGAAATGACAGGCCGACGGAAAGATGCTGGACGGCAAGCGTGAATCGAAGAGGGGTCTTGATCACAACGCTGTATTTTTCATCTAGATTCGGACCAAATGCACGAAGCGCAGTAGCGACAGTAGCCTCCTCGTCCTCCGCATTAAAAAAAAGATTTCCGAGGAGGACCTCAACAATCTCGGCAGGAAATGAAAAGCGCACACACGCGGACTCTTTGTCGAAGTGAGCCGACAACTGGTTTTTTTTTGGGGGGGTTCGGTCTTTGAAGAAGTCCACTTTATCCGCATCACTGAGACCTTCATACTCACTCCACTTTTCAGGATGAGCCGTTTGGTTGTGTTCAATGTAGCTTTGAGGTCGATAGGGGGGCTTGTACGTCCGAACATTCTGCGTTCGCTTGCGTTTTGAAGCAACAGCTTCTTCGCGCCCGAAATACCGGCAGAAAAGGCACTCAACAGAGCACACGACGCCAGTCTTGTCTCGGAGCACGATCTCGACACCATACTTTAAAGCATGGGCCGGCTGGAAAGGCGTTTTGCGTGAGGGTTGCTTACCCAAGACTATTGGATTCAGCTTCTCCATTGTCAGGGCGTCTTTTCAAATGACTGTTAACACCGGCACTCCCTCAAACCTAAATCTGGCATATTGCCATCTATTTTTACGAAATGCCGGTATTAAGATAGCTGGCTCTACTGGCCTCCTCGCACCGTCCTCTACCTATCGCGGCGCCACATGAATCCCCACTGCTGCTACGCCAATCCCGCGGCACTCCCTTCGCGCTCACCAGCAGCGCATTCGCGTGACCTGATCGTCGAGCGTCACAATACCACACGCGCAATGCAAATGTAGTAGCGGCTCGTGACACTACTAGCAGGGGCGCTGCGGCCAAAGACCGCGCACGATATGCACAATATGTGCTACGGACGAACAGCAGCGACGACCATGCCTCCACTGACGACGACCTCGGCAAACCAAGGTGAGGGAAGACCAGGCCCACCTACCCGAGTGCTACCTACCTACCCATCCGCTTGTCGAGTAGATTGCGAGTGTGAAGAGTCGCGGCATTCTTGGCGAAAGGTTAGCGTTACCCAACAAACACAAAGGAGGGAACGGAGGCGTGTCGAGGCTGAGCGCGAAGCCGATGCGTTTGTTCTTGTTTTTCTTCCTACCCCCAATTCGTTCGAGGTGGTTGATGTACCATGATTATATAAGATAGAGCTGCAGAAACAGCAGAATACACGAAGCCGGCCACTGGAAGCTGTGTGTGTGTATGTGGCGGGGGCGGTGTGTGCGTTTGGATAGGTGAGGGTGGCTGGTCGGAAAACGGTGGTTTTCGAATTGCGCACGATGACAGCTTGGCCGAGTGGTTAAGGCGTTAGCCTGCTAAGTTAATGGGGCAACCCGCGTGAGTTCGAATCTCACAGCTGTCGTTTTCCTTTTCTCCTGCCTACAACAAACACCAACGCCAAACAGCGAGAACTCGATGCGACGCCGGCCAGTGCCGCCTCGGCGCAGATCCAGCTGCTGTCGCCGGCCGGTTCGCACCAGCCGGTCGGCTGGCTATCTGGGTGTCCAGTTGCCTGGAAGACTGCTACTGTATGCATCCGCTTCGGGTCGGGGGAATGAATGCCTTGCGTTTTTGGCGAAGTGGTTCTGGATGTGAGGCCCAAGGCTCGCACGTATAGGAGTCTAGCGCGAGTAGTGGCAGGAACCACTTCGGTGGTCATCCGTAAAAATTGGAACGATACAGAGAAGATTAGCATGGCCCCTGCGCAAGGATGACACGCATAAATCGAGAAGTATCGCACTTTTTGTCGTCTCGTTCGTTTTACTGGCTGGTTGATTGGCGCGAGGGAGTAGTGGCGGCTGCGAAGGGGGCTGTGGCGCAGCGAAAAGGTGGGCGTCGGGCGCTAAAAAAGCGCAAAGGATGAGGGAAGAGGGGATCGAACCCCCGACCGCTGGGACTGGAATCCAGCGCTCTACCACTGAGCTATTCCCCCGACACCAAAACGACTTTCACACTCACAAAACAACAAACACACACGCAAACACACGCAAACACACGCAAACACACGCAAACACACGCAAACACACGCAAACACACGCAAACACACGCAAACCAGCCACATCGCAGACCCACGCACCGCGCTCAAACCCCGGACCCACACCAGCAACCTGCCGCACAAAACGAACCCGCTGCTCCATTTTGCGTGACACGACGAGCGTTTGAGCTCGCCACGCTGAGCACCGCCCACGAACTCTCGTCGAGATCAACATACAAAATAAGACGGAAGCATCGCATGCAGAAGAGGGCCCACATGAGCAAACAGATTGCGGCCCCAAGATTCGACTCGGCGTGGTGTTGCCCCGTGTCTTTTGGTGGTATTGTTGTGGATGTGTGGTGGTTGGTGCGGTCGTGCGGGTCGTGTGGTGCGTGGCGTGTTGCGAGTTGTTGTTGTTGTTGTTGTTGTTGTTGTTGTTGTGCGTGTGTTTGTTGTTTGTTGTTTGTTTGTGTTGGTGTGTTGGTGTCCGTACAGCCCCTATAGCTCAGTGGTAGAGCACTCGCTTCGTAAGCGAAAGGTCGGTGGTTCGATCCCGCCTGGGGGCTCATCTTTTGCCTTTTCACACTCTCTCTTTGCTCGCTTTACCGCCTCTAGTGGCCTCCTCGCACCGTCCTCTACCTATCGCGGCGCCACATGAATCCCCACTGCTGCTACGCCAATCCCGCGGCACTCCCTTCGCGCTCACCAGCAGCACATTCGCGTAACCTGATCGTCGAGCGTCACAATACCACACGCGCAATGCAAATGTAGTAGCGGCTCGTGACACTACTAGCAGGGGCGCTGCGGCCAAAGACCGCGCACGATATGCACAATATGTGCTACGGACGAACAGCAGCGACGACCATGCCTCCACTGACGACGACCTCGGCAAACCAAGGTGAGGGAAGACCAGGCCCACCCACCCGAGTGCTACCTACCTACCCATCCGCTTGTCGAGTAGATTGCGAGTGTGAAGAGTCGCGGCATTCTTGGCGAAAGGTTAGCGTTACCCAACAAACACAAGGGAGGGAACGGAGGCGTGTCGAGGCTGAGCGCGAAGCCGATGCGTTTGTTCTTGTTTTTTCTTCCTACCCCCAATTCGTTCGAGGTGGTGTACTGGCGGTTGATGTACCATGATTATATAAGATAGAGCTGCAGAAACAGCAGAATACACGAAGCCGGCCACTGGAAGCTGTGTGTGTGTATGTGGCGGGGGCGGTGTGTGCGTTTGGTGGTTAGGTGAGGGTGGCTGGTCGGAAAACGGTGGTTTTCGAATTGCGCACGATGACAGCTTGGCCGAGTGGTTAAGGCGTTAGCCTGCTAAGTTAATGGGGCAACCCGCGTGAGTTCGAATCTCACAGCTGTCGTTTTCCTTTTCTCCTGCCTACAACAAACACCAACGCCAAACAGCGAGAACTCGATGCGACGCCGGCCAGTGCCGCCTCGGCGCAGATCCAGCTGCTGTCGCCGGCCGGTTCGCACCAGCCGGTCGGCTGGCTATCTGGGTGTCCAGTTGCCTGGAAGACTGCTACTGTATGCATCCGCTTCGGGTCGGGGGAATGAATGCCTTGCGTTTTTGGCGAAGTGGTTCTGGATGTGAGGCCCAAGGCTCGCACGTATAGGAGTCTAGCGCGAGTAGTGGCAGGAACCACTTCGGTGGTCATCCGTAAAAATTGGAACGATACAGAGAAGATTAGCATGGCCCCTGCGCAAGGATGACACGCATAAATCGAGAAGTATCGCACTTTTTGTCGTCTCGTTCGTTTTACTGGCTGGTTGATTGGCGCGAGGGAGTAGTGGCGGCTGCGAAGGGGGCTGTGGCGCAGCGAAAAGGTGGGCGTCGGGCGCTAAAAAAGCGCAAAGGATGAGGGAAGAGGGGATCGAACCCCCGACCGCTGGGACTGGAATCCAGCGCTCTACCACTGAGCTATTCCCCCGACACCAAAACGACTTTCACACTCACAAAACAACAAACACACGCAAACACACGCAAACACACGCAAACACACGCAAACACACGCAAACACACGCAAACACACGCAAACACACGCAAACACACGCAAACACACGCAAACACACGCAAACACACGCAAACACACGCAAACACACGCAAACACACGCAAACCAGCCACATCGCAGACCCACGCACCGCGCTCAAACCCCGGACCCACACCAGCAACCTGCCGCACAAAACGAACCCGCTGCTCCATTTTGCGTGACACGACGAGCGTTTGAGCTCGCCACGCTGAGCACCGCCCACGAACTCTCGTCGAGATCAACATACAAAATAAGACGGAAGCATCGCATGCAGAAGAGGGCCCACATGAGCAAACAGATTGCGGCCCCAAGATTCGACTCGGCGTGGTGTTGCCCCGTGTCTTTTGGTGGTATTGTTGTGGATGTGTGGTGGTTGGTGCGGTCGTGCGGGTCGTGTGGTGCGTGGCGTGTTGCGAGTTGTTGTTGTTGTTGTTGTTGTTGTTGTTGTGCGTGTGTTTGTTGTTTGTTGTTTGTTTGTGTTGGTGTGTTTGTTTGTGTTGGTGTGTTTGTTTGTGTTGGTGTGTTTGTTTGTGTTGGTGTGTTGGTGTCCGTACAGCCCCTATAGCTCAGTGGTAGAGCACTCGCTTCGTAAGCGAAAGGTCGGTGGTTCGATCCCGCCTGGGGGCTCATCTTTTGCCTTTTCACACTCTCTCTTTGCTCGCTTTACCGCCTCTAGTGGCCTCCTCGCACCGTCCTCTACCTATCGCGGCGCCACATGAATCCCCACTGCTGCTACGCCAATCCCGCGGCACTCCCTTCGCGCTCACCAGCAGCACATTCGCGTAACCTGATCGTCGAGCGTCACAATACCACACGCGCAATGCAAATGTAGTAGCGGCTCGTGACACTACTAGCAGGGGCGCTGCGGCCAAAGACCGCGCACGATATGCACAATATGTGCTACGGACGAACAGCAGCGACGACCATGCCTCCACTGACGACGACCTCGGCAAACCAAGGTGAGGGAAGACCAGGCCCACCCACCCGAGTGCTACCTACCTACCCATCCGCTTGTCGAGTAGATTGCGAGTGTGAAGAGTCGCGGCATTCTTGGCGAAAGGTTAGCGTTACCCAACAAACACAAGGGAGGGAACGGAGGCGTGTCGAGGCTGAGCGCGAAGCCGATGCGTTTGTTCTTGTTTTTTCTTCCT